ACGCCTTGCTCTCACGGACGTCGGGGCTTGCATTCAGCATTGCATCACCGTTTCCTTACGATGCTCGTTTTCCTAGAATGCGCAAGGTATTTTCCACAAGTCTCCCTAACCCCGCGCGCTCCATCTCCTCCACCTCAAACCCCGAACCTTCAACCTGCGCTTCACACACTCACACCATACTACGTCATCAAATACGCATATCGTATGTCAATTCCACACTAGGCTGCAGCTGCGTGTCAAGATTTGTATGATCCATCAGGTTTTACCTTCACATACAACCACCACGCTCGTCATCAATGATATCTTTGCTTTTGCGCCCCATAATAAGACGAGAGAGAGATAAGCAGAGTGTGGAGGCTAATGATAGTATGAGCGCATAATACAATATGTGAAGTAGCGAGGCAACACGGAAGTGGGCCTAGCTAAACGGTCTTGGTAGCGCCATGACTTGATTTTGTTGTCGCGTCCGCTTCTCGATACCAAATACTTTCCTTGCTTGCTTCCGACGTGTGGCACTGCTTCCCCTCAGACATCCATCCACGCATGTGCCGCCAATGTCACCTTCCAGTCATGCCATCACACTCTCGCGCATCCTTCTCTGCCTCTGCAAATTCGAATACGACGCAATTTTCAAGAGTGAGTGGCTCCTCAGGCCTCAGGTTTTCAGCGCTCAAGAGTCGGTCGTGAGGGTGAGGGCAATGACACAGGATGAGAAGAAACGACGGACTGGAGTGTGTGAGCTCGTTTCTTGAGAATAGCATTTCTGTAGCGCGATGTACTAGGGAGGTACATGTATCTCATTATCCCTAACCTAGAGTGCGTACGGCTGCAGGGAACACCATCCACCTGTCTGACTTTTATTCCGGTGGCTGTTCCAGAGCTACTCTCTAACAACTCTGCAATGCCACCACCATGACCACCATCGCTGCACCCGCCACCATGGTCAACAACACCGTGAACGTCAGATGCGCTGTTTATGACCACAATAACAGGTGGGCCAGAGATGTCTCGCTCGTGGTATCTTCCCAAACACTGGTCGCAGAGTTGAAGGAGAAGGTCAAGGAGGCCATGGCGCCCAATTTTGACCACATCGCTCCGAGCAAGCTCACTCTGCGGAGGAGGGTCAGCGACCTGATGTCGCTCTCCCATCACGATGTCGAAGAATTTACCGATGATGAGGCACTGCTCGTGTGGCTGCCTGATCCTGCCAACGACATCCCCAGTCAGTGACCAACAAAGCCTATTCGTTCGTTGCCATTAGGCTGATTAACCTTCTCAGCTACAGCCCAGGACTTTACCTCTGTTAGTTCTCGTTCTAATCCAGACCGCGATTTAGTCACTTTCAAATATTCTGGCCAAGTTTCCAGCGTCAAGTGGGATCGGGCGGTCACCGAGAATGAATTTGATCGGAATGGATGCCTCCAGCAACCTGCAAAGGATATAGTGGACATGGTGAGACGACCGCCGGATGGCGAGTCAAAGCTGTCACTCTCCGCCGTTGCTGCAGTTCTCCCTCAACTCTCGACGAGAGAAGGCAAGATGCACGATTTTGCCAAGTTGTTCGATAACTTATTTGACGAGAATAGCTCTGCTCCCCCATATGTGGCCTGGAATCTTGAGTTGGCCCATTTCGCTTTCGCTGCTGCACACTCGGTGTCACCGTGTGAGCGTGGACAGGTAATGGAGGGGGAGACACGTCGCTTGGTGCTCGACTGGTTCGAGACATTTTGGATGAAGGAGGTTGACAAACTTGGCTGCATTTAGTGAGTAGCTGATCATACGACAGAATGTATCTCATTTTGCTGCTTAGTAACGAAGCTATCCCTTTCCCTGTTATCATTCATCTAACCCAGGAAAACGAGAGACGCAAGTATACACCGCGACCTGATGCTACCTTCTTACAGCACGGTATCCCTCGTATTCTGGTCAAAATTGATTCGCAATGCAAGAATCTGGATGAGTACCGGCTCAATGTCTATGCGGCGTGTGTGCTACGGCGCATAGCGCGCCTCGGAGAGGATGATCGCGTCAAAGACGAATATGACAAGAATGTTTTCCTCATGGCTGTGTTCTTCTCTGAAAAATGGGAAATAAATCGCTACTTTTTCTTCATGGACGATGATGATAAAGTACGTCTGAAGACATCCATTTGGGCTAGTCCTAACTATGGGTTCTGTTTCCAGGTCTGCCGTGATCTGAAAACTTTTGATATGGGGGATCCTTTTCAATTAACGCATTTCCTGCGTGAGTTCTACAATTATGCATTCTACATCGGAAAAGGAGGAGCCCTGAGGCCAGATATGGAACAAATTTGGGAGAAGATTGTCGGAAGTATCAAAAAGAGTTTTCATACTAATGACCACTTGAACACCGGGGATAGTGACAAACAATGTAGTCAGCGAGGGGGTCCGGGTTCAAAGCAATATAGCGCCATGGACATCCGCAACGTGATGACTGACGCTCTCAAAGGAACGTGTTTCCAGTTACAAGTAGATCCCGAGGGTTTTGCCCCCCTACATGAGGCAAGTGTTTGAAGACCTGTGTCCTGCTTTGCGCTAATAAATTGGAGCAGTTACCGGATCATATAGCAGAGGCAAGAGACTCCAACGGAAAACGACTTATCGTGAAGCTTGTCCGCAAACCGAGCAATGAGCTCTCCTTCCTCAAGGAATTATCCAAACAAAAAACTCCACTTAACCATGTCGTGCCCTTGGTTGAAGTGGTCGTGTCGGAATTGGGACCTTTGCTTATTCTCAAAAGGGGGAACACACTTTCTACGTTTGGGTATATTCACAAGGACAGATCCGAGCGGCTGAGCCGCGAGCTTGTAGAAGGTGTTGCCTTCCTCCACGCGCAAGGGATTGCGCACCTAGATATCAAGCCTGACAATCTTATCTGTACCTTTGACACCGAGAGGCTCCTTATTATTGACTTTGATATAGCCATGAAGTGCAGTGGTGCAGATGACATGGTCGCAAGGTCCTGTGGGACTCTGGAATGGAGCGCTCCGGAAATTGTGCTCGACGCTGACAAGCCGCCATGGGCGTTCAGTCCTATACGAGCGGATCTGTGGTCCTGTGGGAGGGTTTTGCAGTTCGTTGGTGGGATGGTGGATGAAGGCGGATATTCTGGCTTTAGACAGCTCATCAAGATGCTTCTGGACAAGGATCCGAGACGGCGGCCGTTGCTACATTCAGTGGATAAGGAACCGGTTTCGTGGACAACTGATCAACTCCTGGAAGCATTCGGGTGTCAAGCGAGTGGTAACGAGATTCAAGAGACAGTGCATGGCGTTCACAACCTGAAAAGGCCTCGCGATGATTCGGGTTAAGGCGGTGTCGATGATGAGAACTGCTGTTAGAAAACCACACACAAAAACAAACTAACACACAATCCTCCCAGATTCCATGGAACTTGTTTATGGGCTTTGCCTCCTAGAACAGTGGGTGCTCTGGTTGTTCGTGGGGTGGTACATATAATGATCCTTCAAAGTAAAACCCAGAGATGTATGGGTGTGGGTTTTGAGGAGGAGGGATAGTTGAATTATAGAGGATAGGGGCTTAGTGACGAGTATGGACAAGCACTACCTTGCTAATTATAGCACAAGGTAGGTTTGAGAACGACAAGATGACAAGGTTCCCAGTGATAGCAGGCTCCTGATGCACAAACTATAGTGCTCAGAAGGACTCTAATCAAAAGGGATGATAAAGACTTCAAAAGTGACAAGTGACGATGACAGCAGTTAACAGTGGTAGCAGTGGGAAGTGTTGTGACCACACTGGATCACAAGTAGTAGTGAGTAGTGAACTTGAGATTAGAGAGGAAGTCTGGATTCAAGTTCTTGTTGTTTTTTTACAAGGTAAAATACAGGGATTTATATAGTGAAAGAAAAGTAGGTTATGCACAGTATAGCTGTGCAAAAAGAATGAGAAAGAACTTGAAGGAAGGAATGTACGCTGACAAATCCTGCGTAGGTAGTACAGGATAAGATTGTCAAAAAAAGGAAAAGAAAGGGATAGAACAATGAATGCTGTGAGTAATGTCATAGGTTTGTACAGCCATAAAGTAAAGTCCAATAGCAAAAAAAGAGCAGGAAAATCATGATGTCACGGGAAGATGCAGTAAAAAAAGAGCAAGGCAAAACACTATCAGTATCAATACAGTTCCTTTATTGTCAGTCAGGCATTCTAAAAAAATATGTGTCCATAAAAATGATTCAAAAATCAAAAATAATCACACTGTAAATGAATGTTCTGCTGAAAAAAAAGAAACTGGAGCCACCAGTCCACCACCTAGTCCAAATCCGACAGTTCCATGGCCTTACCAATGGACTGGTTGTGTTGGACCACCTGATCAAACCAGGGAGGGAGAGGAGTAGCTCCAATTTGGAACAAGTGAGTCCCAGGCAGCGTGTGGTAGGTGTAGCTGTAGCGAAGACGATGGACAAAAGGTAAGTGTACCCAAGTGAATGGGACAGTGATGTACATAGGCAACGCAAGGGGATGAACCTTCTCCAGCTCAAAAACTACCCACCCATGCTCCAACCAGGCGAGACGAGCGAGCGATATTTTGATGGTATATGATGGAAGATCGATATCATGAAGATGGACCTGTTGCCCAACTTGGACCGGCTGCCAGGGCTTTGCTGATATCAGCAGTGGCATGTGGTGGTCGACAGATCAGCGACGGAAGCAGATAGAGAGTGGTGACATCAGATATGGTGGAAGAGCAAAGAAGATGAGGAGGAGGAGGGTGGAGGTGACTAGGAGGTGAACTAAAGTGGGGATCCAGAAACGACTGTCGGGTGAGAATAAAAAGGAGAGGAAGGGGCCCATGGTGGGGCTAGGCAAAGGAAGGGGAGTAAGGGAAACGACAAAAGCGAGGGCGCAATGCAATGTGTAGCCAGTGGCAACGCGAAAATTTGCCGAAATGCCGAAACGCGGAAAGTACCGAATGGAAAAGCAAAGGTGAGCGTGACTGAATTGCCTAATAGAGGTGGTGCTGATCAGCCACAGATTCGGAAAAGGCAATATTAATTACTATTCCACGTGGCACTGTGCCTGTGTGGCGCAAAGGCGAGTCTTTTTGAATATTCGCTTCGTTATTGACACCTGTCCATGCTACCAATCAACTTTGGTGCATGACAATGTGCCGGTTTCCAGGTTTCCAGAGTTTTCCCAAAGTCCAAGCTCAACTCTCATTTTGCTGTCCACATTGACACTATGTCAGAATCAATCATCCTGTACACTTGCCCTGTTGTTGAAGACGAGTCCAATCTAATGATTCAACCATTTAACCTGTCAATATGTTTTACTGGTGGTGTACCTGATAAAATTGGATAATGACCAAACCAGGGATTGAACCTGGAACCTTCTGGATACATGCCAGCTGCTCTACCAATTGAGCTATATGGCCAAGGTTACAATGTAGGATCTTAAACATGACATGCAACCACGGACATCTTACACAGAATAGCTGCTGCATACTGGGCTGGCTTACAAATCAGAGGTATTATCCTATGGGGTATTGGTATGTCAGAGTATATTCTAACAGTACCTGCATTGCGCATTCCTTGGGGTGAAATTGTGAGTTTCTTGGCTTTATAATCTTGACTGACAGTACTGATTTCCCCACCCCCCTCTTTTGTAGCCTTTAAAATTAACGGTCACTCTACCTAATGAGTGGACAGGCCTGACTCCCATTTTCCAAATGTCGCCAATCAAGTTTTTGTTTAGTAGAAGGGACATGCATACAGGAGCAGGAGCGTCAAGTAATAGAGATGTAAGTCTATTGTTTTAATCCAAATATATTGCTCACTCCCTGCAGAACATTAACCGGCCAATTCCCTTCCTCCCCCTCCAGTTGTCATTTGATCCTGGAAGCAGTCAGTGCTGGATCAACTTAGTGGCCGGGGTTCAGACTTGGTTGCTTGTGGATGTGGTTTACCGTTGTTGCCATGCTTGGATTTGGGGCCAAGAAGCATTTTGGATGGCATTTGTGGCCGCATATCCAGATTTTCCTGCTGGTGACTGGTCTGGTTGGAGCTCAAAGATTTTGCTGGAAGATTTATTTCTCAACAGTTGGATGGCTGAAATGAACAATAAAAACCCTCAGCATTCAGTAGAGGGTGTAGCTTATAGCAAGCAGATTGCTCATGTAGCTGCTAGGGCCATCATCTCGCAGGATTTTCAAGATCTGCTCATACTTTCCTGCCAGCACCGCATCTTTTGATTAATTAGAATTTTGACATGCTTTTGTAGTCCTTTTGTACATGCTCTTGTTGTTGTACTTAGTGGTGATTGTCTTACATGTTTTGAGGTATCTGGTGGCACTAGGATTATATTACTGTGAGCAACCCGAAGCGTCTGATGAGGTTTTGCAGTTTGCTACAATATATATACAATGTTGTGAACTTCCAATATATATATTGAATGCAAAGCTATTCTTAAGGCCTGAAACATTATATCTGTAAGGATTATATCTTGGAAATTTTTACAGGCATAGCAATAGTGCAAATTAATGACTCTCATAGATCTCAGAAATATTTGAAGTTATCGTTCAGGCAGGCGCACTCACCAGGCCACTATAAAATCTTTTTTATTTGGCTGTTGCCAGCAACCGACAGGGCTCATGCAGGACATAAATAAAACTTTATTTCTACTTTTTTGTCAAATATTATTAATTACACTACCTGTTTTGGTGGTGTAAAGATTCAGTGTGTAGCAATGTGATGTCCGTGTAGTTCAGTGTTGACATTCCACTATGTACAACATTACGCAATAGCCTTGTTCAAGGTCCATTTTGAAGGGACCTTGCTTAAAGCACTTAAACCCCAGGATCAAGGCAGTCCAGCTTTCAGCTGGGCCACATCATCTATCTTGAAAATAGCCAAAGAGCAGACCTGGAGATCACCGGGCTGATATTTTGGTATATTCCTCAAAAAATTGAATTAAACAACTCCAACTATAATCAGTGCTTCAATCTTATGTGCTGCAATCCTGGGTGCCACCCCGTCAGCTTTCCTTTGCTCTTGTGCAAGTCATGGCGCACTCTGATGACAAACATGACACTAGCGACTCTGACAATCCCAGCGATTTCATCACCACTGATACAAGCTGTCAGACAGCATCAGAACACACTCTTCAGAAACAAGGTAATCTCCCTAGACCTGCCCAGATCAACTGGACCAATTCTCATACAGATATACTGGTCGAGTGGCTGGAAAAGCACCCTAAATACAGATATGTTCTTTTTTCAGATTCTACTGCCATTGCAAAAAAAGAAAACTGGGAAGTGTTGAACTACCAAGTACATGAAAGCTTCATTGCATCGAAGGATAGCAAGGCATGTTTTTAAACATGACTCTAATGTCGATCTCCGTGTTGCAGTTGATCATCATTGCAAATATTTTGGCAAAGCAGTCCAAAATCATCTAACAATATAAGTACATATATTTTCTCTCCAAGTATCTGCTCACATCCTGTTAGCCTCAGCAAAACATACAAGGGACATTTGCGTGACTTAGGGTCAACTGGGAGCGGCCTTATATCAGGAGACCTGTCTGATGATCAATTCAATAGTCTTATTGGTATGTTTTTTTTTGATTTTTATTTACAGGTTCTATGTACTGATTTGAAAAGAATGTGTTCAGGCAAAGTTCCATTGGTGGGACAGCCTGAATGCATTCTGGAAGTCCTCTCTGAAGTACAATGCCAAACTGGCGACTGCTGCGCATGGTCAAGATCTTGCTACTCAGGCCACAACAATCCTGTTCTCAATGAGAGGTGATGATGGGGCAATGTCAATGATGAGAATTGTAGTTAGAAAACCACACACAAAACAAACTAACACACAATCCTCCCAGATTCCACAGAACTTGTGTATGGGCTTTGCCTCCTAGAATAGTGGAGTGGTCTGGTTGTTTGTGGGGTGGTACGTATGGCGATCCTTCAAAGTAAAACCCAGAGATGTATGGGTGTGGGTTTTGAGGAGGAGGGATAGTTGAATTATAGAGGATAGGGGCTTAGTGACGAGTATGGACAAGCACTACCTTGCTAATTATAGCACAAGGTAGGTTTGAGAACGACAAGATGACAAGGTGACAAGGTTCCCAGTGATAGCAGGCTCCTGACATGCAAACTGTAGTGCTCAGAAGGACTCTAATCGAAAGGGATGACAATGACTTTCAAAAGTGACGAGTGACAATGACAGCAGTTAACAGTGATAGCAGTGGGAAGTGTTGTGGCCACACTGGATCACAAGTAGCAGAGCAGTGAGCTTGAGATTAGAGAAAAAGTCTGGATTGGAGTTCTTGTTGTTTTTACAAGGCAAAATACAGGGGTTTATATAGAAAAACAAAGGGAGGCTATGCACAGTATAGCTGTGCAAAAAAAATGAGAAAGAACATGAAGGAAGGAATGTATGCTGATGAATCCTGTGTAGGTAGTACAGGATAAGATCATAAAAATAAGGAAAAAAAAGGGATGAAACGAAAAATGCTGTGTAAGTAATGTCACAGATTTATACAGCCATGAAATAAAGTCCAAAAACAGAAAGAGAGCAAGAAAATCATAAAGTCATGGGAAGATGCAGTAAAAGAGGATAAAGAAAAACAATATCAGTATCAACACAGTTCCTTTATTGTCAGTCAGGCATTCTAAAAAAAATATGTGTCCATAAAAATGATTCAAAAATCAAAAATAATTGCACTGTAAATGAATGTTCTGCTGAAAAAAAAGAAACTGGAGCCACCGGTCCACCACCTAGTCCAAATCCGACAGTTCCATGGCCTTACCAATGGACTGGTTGTGTTGGACCACCTGATCAAACCAGGGAGGGAGAGGAGTAGCTCCAATTTGGAACAAGTGAGTCCCAGGCAGCGTGTGGTAGGTGTAGCTGTAGCGAAGACGATGGACAAAAGGTAAGTGTACCCAAGTGAATGGGACAGTGATGTACATAGGCAACGCTGTCATGCACCAAAGTTGATTGGTAGCATGGACAGGTGTCAATAACGAAGCGAATATTCAAAAAGACTCGCCTTTGCGCCACACAGGCACAGTGCCACGTGGAATAGTAATTAATATTGCCCTTTTTGAACTTGTGGCTGATCAGCACCACCTCTATTAGGCAATCCAGTCACGCTCACCTTTGCTTTTCCATCCGGTACTTTCCGCATTTCGGCATTTCGGCAAATTTTCGCGTCGCCACTGGCTACACATTGCATTGCGCCCTCGCTTTTGTCGTTTCCCTTACTCCCCTTCTTTTGCCTAGCCCCACCATGGGCCCCTTCCTCTCCTTTTTATTCTCACCCGACGGTCGTTTCTGGGTCCCCATTTTAGTTCACCTCCTCGTCACCTCCACCCTCCTCCTCCTCATCTTCTTTGCACCCCCACCATTTCTGATGTCACCACTTCCTATCCGCTTCCGTCACCGATCCGTTGACTACCACGTGCCACTGCTGATATCAGCAAAGCCCCGGCGGCCGGTCCAAATAGGGCAACAGGTCCATCTTCATGACGTCGATCTGCCATCATATACTATCAAAACATTGGTCGCTCGTCTTGCCTGGTTGGAGCGTGGGTGGGTAGTTTTTGAGCTGGAGAAGGTTCATCCCCTTGCGTCGCCCATGTTCATCGCTGTCCCATTCACTTGGGTACACTTATCATTTGTCCATCGTCTTCGCTACAGCTACACCTACCACACGCTGCCTGGGACTCACTTGTTCCAAATTGGAACTACTCCTCTCCCTCCCTCGTTTGATCAGGTGGTCCAACACAACCAGTCCATTGGTAAGGCCATGGAACTGTCAGATTTGGACTAGGTGGTGGACCGGTGGCTCCAGTTTCTTTTTTTTCAGCAGAACATTCATTTACAGTGCGATTATTTTTGATTTTTGAATCATTTTTATGGACACATATTTTTTTAGAATGCCTGACTGACAATAAAGGAACTGTATTGATACTGATAGTGTTTTGCCTTGCTCTTTTTTTACTGCATCTTCCCATGACATCATGATTTTCCTGCTCTCTTTTTGCTATTGGACTTTACTTTATGGCTGTACAAACCTGTGATATTACTCACAGCATTTATTGTTCTATCCCTTTCTTTTCTTTTTTTGACAATCTTATCCTGTACTACCTACGCAGGATTCGTCAGCGTACATTCCTTCCTTCATATTCTTTCTCATTCTTTTTGCACAGCTATACTGTGCATAGCCTACTTCTCTTTTACTATATAAACCCCTGTATTTTACCTTGTAAAAAAAAAACAAGAACTCGATTCCAGACTTCTTCTCTAATCTTAAGTCCACTTCTTACTGCTACTTGTGATCCAGTGTGGTCACAACACTTCCCACTTCTACCACTGTTAACTGCTGTCATCGTCACTCGTCACTTTTGAAAGTGATTGTCATCCCCTTCGATTAGAGTCCTTCTGAGCACTACAGTTTGTGCGTCAGGAGCCTGCTATCACTGGGAACCTCGTCACCTCGTCATCCTCGTTGTTCTCAAACCTACCTTGTGCTACGATTAGCAAGGTAGTGCTCGTCTATACTCGCCACAAACCCCCTATCTTTCTATAAATTCAACTATCCCTCCTCCTCAAAACCCACACCCATACATCTCTGGGTTTTACTTTGAAGGATCATTATATGTACCACCCCACGAACAACCAGAGCACCCACTGTTCTAGGAGGCAAAGCCCATAAACAAGTTCCATGGAATCTGGGAGGATTGTGTGTTAGTTTGTTTTGTGTGTGGTTTTCTAACAACAGTTCTCATCATCGACAACGCAAGGGGATGAACCTTCTCCAGCTCAAAAACTACCCACCCATGCTCCAACCAGGCGAGACGAGCGAGCGATATTTTGATGGTATATGATGGAAGATCGATATCATGAAGATGGACCTGTTGCCCTATTTGGACCGGCCGCCGGGGCTTTGCTGATATCAGCAGTGGCACGTGGTAGTCAACGGATCGGCGACGGAAGCAGATAGAGAGTGGTGACATCAGATATGGTGGAAGAGCAAAGAAGATGAGGAGGAGGAGGGTGGAGGTGACGAGGAGGTGAACTAAAATGGGGATCCAGAAGCAACCATCAGGTGAGAATAAGAAAGAGAGTAATGGTCCCATGGTGGGGCTGAGTAAAGAAGAAAAAAATAATGGAGGACGATGAAAGCGAGGGTGCAATGTGTAGCCAGTGGCGAAGCAAAAATTTGCCAAAATGCCGAAATGCAGAAAGTACCAAATGGAAAAGCAAAGGTGAGTGTGACTGGATTGCCTAATAGAGGTGGTGCTGATCAGCCACAAGTTCAAAAAAGGCAATATTAGTTATTATTCCACGTGGCACTGTGTAACAACCATGAGTTAGTTACTCTAGCACACAACTCAGACAAGCAAAAGAGTATAGATGAGGGAGTAGTTACCCCTTAGGTAGGACCGAGTTAGTTGTGGGTATACAACAGGAGAACTCGCTGAGGAGTCTCCTGGATCTATTGGGTATTTATATTACTACAGGTTATTTGTACATATGTACTATACAGTTGATAGAAGCAGTGGCTGATGATGTCATGGGGCACAGCCCATGTGGCCAGCTCCACTGCGTGAGAGTTTTGTAGCTATAAGTAAAGAAAAGCAGTGCAGCGCGAGAAAAGGGGAGTTTGAACAAAGGAAAGTGCCACATAGTACACACTACGAGCATTCGCCGAAACCACTTGGTGCGACATACCAAAAGCACAGCGCTGACTGAAAGCCTACTATGGCTATGCTCCGGACCATAATTGGGAGTGAAAAGGTAAACAATGGGTCTAATATCGCATAACTATTCCTTTATGGGATGAGCCAAACCATCCCGTTCTAGGATATGACCGTAACATCATAATCACAGTAAGCCTATTCTTTGACTGTTGCAGATAATTTTGGCTGTTCCAGAGCTGCCACTTATCTTTCCCTTTGTGCGACAGGGAAATGCAATCCCACAAAGACTAGCAGTGAAGAATAGATAAAGACCAAACATGTATATTTTTACCTTTTGATTCTTTGTTCAATCTTGGAGCACACCGGTGAAAGTTTTCCATTTGCATCTCTGGTGTTAGACTGTTGCAACTTGCTATTTTGGCAATTGCTCGTAGTGACAGTGTGCAAAAACTATAGAAGAAAGTTAAAGAGGAGAATGAAATTTAAAGGTCCGAAAATTGTGTTATTGTAACACTGTGCCTGTGTGGCGCAAAGGCAAGTCTTTTTGAATATTCGCTTCATTTTTGACACCTGTCCATGCTACCAATCAACTTTGGTGCTTGACAACAAGCTAAGCCAATTCCCCATCTTGTACTCCGTTACCCCCTACTCCATCTCCATACTCTGTAAGGTCACAGTTCTGACACAATAGCCCTCAGATAAGTATCTCAGTGCTATGTCTCAAAGGCAGCTGTAGAATATGTACCATATACCTATTATGCATGCCTCTGGTAATTATTGGCAATGCCTCAAACAAGTATTGCTACAAATTATCTACTGTATACTCTACTAAAGGATGCACTGTACTCTGGCTTTCTGTATTGGCCTGTATCACCCTCCCACATCTAAGAGAGGCTCTAAGTATATAGGTGCTATACAAGTTTTCAAAGCTTTTGGATATAATTGGTGCAAGTCTATTGGATATATTGCGCAAAAAAGGCGCCCCAGATGTGTCATGAATACAAGATCAGCCTTTTGGTTTCAAAGCTCGCACATACTGTATATACGGGTTAACCAACAGTGTACATGTGTTCTCACAAGCTGGTCTATCAATATCAATCCAGCCATACAATGGAAGGAGCTTCAAGATAATACACATATACTTATTATTTTTTGATTCTGCCATCACCATCACTGTGGCTGGCCACTATTTACAAATGTTAAGTCACACCCAAAATTAATAAAAAAAGCCAGAAAGTAGGTAAATTTTTTGATTGTATTCTGGACCTACAAGATTTTATTTGAATAATGTATTTTTGTTGACATATTTTTATATTTGCATGCAAAACATACAATCAAATATTCACTTTCAGGCTTTTTCATCAATTTTGGGTGTGACAAAAGTTGCTTGGTGTGAGTGCAAGCCGCTGGGAGAGTAAGGTTGTGCTGGGTGGGAAATATAAATATAACATCTATTAATAACACTACTCCATGCTTTTCCCCCTATGCTCTAGGAATATCTCCTCCTCTCTCGAAACAGTGTGGGTTGGGAGGAGCCTGGGTATAAACCCTTGATATTTTTAGGGCTCAAAGTGCAGTGCCAGCTTGGTTGGAAATCTTATGTGCCTCGATGAAAGACTTGTCATATACATTGACATAGTCTCAATACTTTCATAGATTTCAGGTTGGCAATTACAACGATTACTAGCACTGACAGCGTATCATGACCAATTTTTATAGTCAAGTAATACTACCACACCGCACTTACTTTAAATCGAAATGATGTCAGCGCACTGTGGATGACTGCAACTTGACTTTGGGGGTCATCCAACAAAAAAGTATCTGCGAAAAGTTGAGTATAATCTCAGCTTCTAAGCAAACTATTAGAGTAGTCAAACTTACCAGAGTCATCACAACACACCTTACGAAGAGGAGGTCTCTACAGCATCTTCATTTTTGCCTTGTTCCTTTTCCGCATTTTCGATATCGAGGATCACTTGCTCATACTCCGGAAAGAGTGGAACCGACATGCGCCGACAGAAGGAAATAAGAATAGGACTCTTCACGACCATGTCGTAGAAGTAGGGATTGGCCTTCGTGCCCAAAGTACTTGTCAACAAACCCGCAATCATAATATCGATCAACGTAGCTTTATCACCATGGAAATATGGATGAAGGGACAAGCGTGCATCCAAAGCTCCAAATCCCTCATTCTCCAACATCCTCGCTTCGTCTCGAGAATGCCTTCCGACTCCCGCGTTCCACAATGATTTTTGAACGCTTCTTCGCACCCATTTTACGACGAGTGGCTTGATAATCCATGGAATAGCCGCGACTCCTGGCACTTCTGACATCATAGTCGCGAAATTAGTATCGTCGAACCACTTTTCGTAGGCGATAGCTGGATAGACGACCTCTTCCAAGTACCCTTGGAATGCTCGAGACTCGGCTTTTTGTACGGATGTGAGACTGGCTTCACTGTCTGGATCACTGGATATGCCGTTCTCGATGAGATAACGAATGATGAAGTGGGAGTCAGCGATTGTCACAACCTTGCCGTCGTGGTGGATGTCGACGTATGGCAGTTTATGTTTCGGTGCTTTGCTTGAAGAAGTCGCACGGAATTCGTACGGTGTGGATGTGAACCGCAAGAAGGTCTCCATTTTCTGACAAAACGCAGAAGGACTGGGCACCTTCGAGTCTTTGCCAAAGCCCCATAGAATGACCTTAGTTTCCGAAGCCATGACTATATGACCTGTATAGTGAGAGGTGTCAGAACTCTACGCGAAACAATTGAAGTTAAAACGCCTCACCTGTTTGTGGACGAGAGTGGGACGGCAAGAAGCTGGGGAAGAAGAACGCTCGTCGTGCGGCAGGCTTATAACAGGCGTCAAGCTATCCGTAATATGAGAAGCCATGAGCGTCTGGCCCGGGCTCGGTTTCGGGACAGTAGTAAACGTACCGTGCCAACATTGATCGAACATTGATGCTTTCCACGACACATTCTCTACATTCGACGTTCAACCTTGACTGGTTCAAAGGCTGACTGCCATTATCTGACGTTGATCACTCTAAGCTTTTGTATTGCATCCTTCAAGTGTAGTTGCAGAACCCAAATTGAAGAAGTATCACTGTGACCGCGCCGCGGCCGAAATGTACTCAGGTCCGACTAACAACCCGCACGATTAAGCCCCTAATTTATACATCAAGTAATTTGATGCTGTGTGCGGTCCATCTCGTTGACTTTGACTATGCTAAACTGGACGTAAAGCATCACAGATTTTGACAACAATATTATTATATTTAGCTGACATTGAGCACATGGAACAGCTCAAGATATGGGAAGAATGTCGTTGGTACTCTCCCACTCATGAGGTTCTAGGAAGTGTAGGAAAGCAACACGCTTTCCACTTGAAATTGGAGTGGGTTTGGAAGGATCAGTAAATACAACAGACAATGACACGCAGCTCAACTCGTACCTCGCTTCGAATGTGGCTCCGCAAGACCGGAGATAAGAGTTATGAGACATGCAACGGGACAAACGTCCCATAGCAGAATGCATATTTTATAAACTCTCACTTCCTGGAATAGATACTTTCACATCAGAATTATCCTTTGCCTTAGAGTGCCTTTATGAGCAACTTCACTCGTACTGTATTACAACAAGAAACACACCTGAGCTAAAATGTCATCATCGATTTCAGGGAGCGTCTCCAGTAAATCTCCATCGTAAGGAACCACTTCCCATCTAGTCGGCATGTTCTCTATGCATAAACAGATATCAGCGGGGATATGAGCGCCATGATCTGCATTAAATTCATTCCGAACGTGACGTTCCTCTGATTACGATTACACCGCAATATGCAATGAGCTGTAATCTTGAAGGCACAAAGCCAAGTGACTTACCTTCCGTTAGAGCATCCAGCTGTCTCATCATTCCCTCAACTATCCTCTCAGCGGCTTCTTTGTATTGTCGTCGCCGCGCAATTTCGACAAGTAATTTGTTGAAGGAACCCTGGTACTGAACAAATCTGTGGTAAAGGTCGTCGATGACTAATAATTGTTGCTGTAAGCCGTCTAAAAGTTCTCGACACTCGTCCTGAAACGAGAGAGGATTTCAGCACGAAAAGGGATAACAATACGACCTGAAGCTTACCACAACGTCTTGCTGTCGTTGAAGCATCTCGGACATAATTTCGCCTAGCTCATCAAGGTCATCCAGAGTGGTTCGATGCACTTCCCGCTGCTGCTCTCCCAAAGCCTTTGCTGATAACAGTTGCTCACTTAAATAACATTATAGCAGTGGTAACTAAGTATATAGAATTGCACTTACTGAGTTGCTTCTATGGATTTCATGCTTTCTTCCAGTTCTGACATTATAGATGGAAGCTCGTTGGTATCGCGGTTCATATCTGCAGTGATAGAAAGTTTTATATCGTGACTGGATAATTGGTCAGACACGTAAGTGACTAGCCTTGTAAGTCTTCTTCGCTAAATGATTCTCCTGCTTCACTCTCTCGCAGAGCACCAGCCATCTGATCGTAATGGGCGGCAAGGCTCTCTAGGTGACTGGCCATTTGGGTCGAAATCTTCTCCTGTGAAATAATTATATCCCTTATCGAGGGCAAAGCTGACGACTCAGGCAAAGATTCACGTATAGACGACACAGTGTTTAACAGAGTCTCCGGATAGTCGTATGTTGAGGCCAAGACGTCCTAAGCACAGGTGAGAAAGTGAGGTGCAACTCTGGCACTGACGTATATACATACATCCAGTTTGGTCCTTTCGCCTTCCAAAGAATCTAGCACATCTTCGATAGCCCTCTCATCGACAAAATCTCGCAAGGTTTTCCATTTAGTCCGATCTGTTCGCTTGCCTTTGCGCTCAAAAGCGTTGTCACGGAGGGTGGCGGTAGGACTGTGGTCTGCGTTGAATATACCGCTGATTCCATTTGCACCAAGGTCGGAGTGTTGACTGCCAAACAAAGAAGACTCAGAGGATGGCTGGTGGAAGTCTGGTGGTACTAGCTGGGCGCCTAGTGACTCAAGTATACCATCAAGCGCATTTGTCCGTCGAGTGCGCCCAGTGTCCCATTCCTGTAAAACCACGAAGCTACTTCGTAAGGAACAAATATAGTGACAGTTAAATGACAGGTTCATATACATACGCGAACTTGCTTGTCTAGTTGAGCGCGTTTGTATTCAATACTCTTCGCCACACTGGCCGCAAGCTAAAGTGTAAGCGGTCGGCCATCAGAGAGTGTCCAAATTCGACTACAGACACGCAAGCTATTCACCTTGAGCTGTTCCAGGACTGCATCGCTTAACCATTTGACCTTGGCGTCGAGGGCGAGTACGTCGATAGAACATTGAGCGGACGTGTTCGAAAGCGCATTTGCCTTTGAGCAGAGCTGCTCTCCATGCTGTAAGGCTTTCTTGGACTGAAGAACGAGGGAGACGAGATGAGGTTGTTCAAGCGGGGTGGGTGGAAGTGGTGGTGATGAGGCCATGCTCGTCGTTGCTGACAACGAGCTCAAGAGCAAGTATTAGTGTACAACCGAACCGAAGTCAAAGGTACTGTCACCGATTCAAGTTCGGTCGGCAACGGATTTCCGTTACTCATATCGGCGGTAGCACGTGGGCGGTGGCTGCCGCAGTCTTTCCGGTTCTCAAGTTCTGCGGTCAAGGTTTACAGCAACAGCCATCTACTGGTTATAATTTATTCATCTATTGACCACGCCCTCCAACTGTAGATATTCAAGGAGGACTACCTCCATATCATTGCCATGCCTGATAGCCAGTCTTACGTGGATCGCTCTGCAGTTCTCTGCTTAGCATGCTCCTCTTCTCTCCCACCGCGCTCCAAACATGTCGTGGGCAACACTGACAACGATATATTCATAACATCGTGCTGCAATCGCCCTATCTGTCCATCTTGTCTCTCCGCCAACCCGCGTCTGCGGAGGTACAACCCTTGTTTGTCTTGTCTGGGTGGTGTGGATGTGGTTGGTACAGCCAGTGGTCTAGTTTCAGCGACAAAGACACCCAATATTGACGGTGCAGTTCGGGACGAGGATAACTTTGTGATTGGTGACGACGATGACGATATAGATGATGGATTAGAAAATACAATACCGTCTGGATCACTTCTGAGATCCTCTCCTCCACCCCCCTATACAGCGCAGAATGAGTCATCGTTTACTCACACCTCCTCTTCAACCTCCGCCAACCATCGAGAGGGGGAGACAATGGAAGATAGATCAAATCCTGTCATTGAAGCAGCACCTTCGCGCTATTTAATCCAGCGGGGAGATACTTTACAAGGCATCGCGCTCCGTTTAGGTGTGAATGTAAGTGATTCTCCACTACACTTTACGTGTTTCGTCAACATGTAATTAGGGTCGTGACCTTTGCCGCCTGAACAACCTGCCCCCGAGTACTCTCAGCACCACACCACACCTCCTCCACACCCGCGTATCCCTCGTTCTTCCACCTTCCGTTCGCTCACTTAAACCACTTCCTCCCGTAAATGTGGAAGAGAGAGACAAGCGCGTCCGTGAGCAGGCTGGAAGACGATTACAGATGTTGACGAAAGAAACAGACTGGCGGATAGCTAAAGCATATGTTGCCCTCGCGGACGACCCGGGAGAGGAATCGTCACATGCAATGAAGGCGAAGGAGATAGGCGGTAGTTCTACTGGTGCTTGCTCTTTGGAAGCGCGAGCTGTAGACAAATATTTGGAAGACGTAGAGTGGGAGGAACAAGAGGGGAGGGCCGGAAGGAAGATATCAGCTGCACATTTACCCGTGGCAAGCAAACAGATTCGTAATCCTGTTAATAAGGGCACTCGTGGTTGGGTTTGACGGCTGTCTTGAGACTGAAAGATTGACTACGGACTTGTGATATTGTATATCATTCACACTCGGACTTGTATTCCAGCGATAGATATTAACTTGTATCGGTACAGTATATTTTCAGTTTGGTTGTTGACGAAGTCGTGCTTTAGGATGTTGAAAGTGCAAATGCAAGCACTACACTATTCCATAGACTGGTCGATTGTATGCTTGTGTAGAAGTTTACAATGTATCGTACATGTACCTTCAAAAAGACATACTTGAATTATTTTTACAACTATTGGGTCAGCTTTCACTGGAGCTCCGGTGTGTTGGCAAAAATAAAACACATATCCCCAGCGGGATAACAATCACCTTGCGCCCAGTCTACTTTCTCAGCAACAGCTCGCGCGGCTTAAAACATCCTTGGGGGTAAGCTTCACATTCACAGCAGCCAAATTCTCTTCTAAGTACTAAAGGGCAGAACAGTGGAATTAGCCCCTGGCAAAATTAAAAGTTTCTATAGAAAAGGACCTTGATTTTCTTGGTACCAGGGATGGGGATGACATCGTCTCCTTGCGCGAGTAACTAGGCAAGGGAAACCTGACAAGCTGTTGCGCTATACGTGTCGCGGATCTTCTTGAGGGTGTCAGTAAGCTTGTTGATGTTTGGGAAATTCTCTTTCGAATATCTGCAGATAAAGCGTAAATAGGTATAACCGTTACTTGGGAATCCAAGGTAGAGACTACCACTACGCTGAACTTACCTTGGCATGATTCTCCGCCAATCATTGACCTCAAAATCGTCAGGGGATTTCTAACCATTAAGTTAGCAATGTTGATACCGCAGACATGGCTCACGAATCGGCCAGTAATCAACCCTCGTCCCAACGGCTAATACGCAATAACTTACACGTCCAGTTCGCAAGGTGTTTTCAGCAGCGTGATCTTGTCGTCTTCGATGTCAAGCCTAAATGGTGCATATTCAACTTGTAATGCAACGATGGGGTGGACTGCTAGGCACGGCAAAGCAGATGAACACTCTGAGAGGCCTAGGTATTTGACCTTACCGGCTCTTTGAGATAACGTCGTAAAATGTGATTTAGTTTCAAAGAGTGGGGTGTTCAATTGATATCACACTCGCTTGATAAGTTCTGCCATGGCGCCGACAATCAACTGGAAGGCGATTAGCGAATGCTGGCAAATCGACCAACATATACCATTTACTTCGATGGGGACAGAAGGGTCAGGCCTTTATAGAACAACGTGCCTTTCACAACCAATGTGCATACAATTTACCTGTGAAGATAGTACAAGTCGAGTGTGTCGACACCAAGCCTAGAGATTTTATTTTTCGAATTCAATTATGACACTCTGGCCTTCCATCGACACCCATAGCCGTGAACCCGAATTTCGTCCCAGAACGTGCCCGCTCGCAAAAGCAGCGTCCGACACTTAGTAGTAAAAAACATTGCATTACCTCCAGAGATGACATTAACGGGGAAAGCGTTTTCTGAATCTGAACATACCTTGAAGCGCTCCTCGTCTGATTCAATGGCATCATATCCAGCGGATATACCCATTGCACCAAAGCCGATAGCAGAAATATCGGTGCTGCCAATTTTGCGAGTAGGCTAGGACTTGATATCTGTAATAGAAAGGATCGGTTTGAATATGAGTGATATGGAAGTTAATGACCTCTTACTATGCCCAAGAACTTTTATATATGTTCCAAGTTCTCTGTTATGCGAGACACTGGGGCTCTGCAAAGATGCTTCACCATTTCACGGGTCCTCGTAGGTCGTTGGCTGGCGTAGCACATCCACTTGAAGTACAGAGGAGCCCTTGCATTCTTATTTGTGCTGACATTTATTTTCCTAGCAGTAGGTCTGTGGTCCTCTTGGTGGGCCCATTGTTGTGCCTTCTTCCACGCATCTAGTGCTGACTGTTGTTCTGCGATGTCAATTTGAGATTTGGCCAGGATTCCCCAATTCCTGTGGTCGGGTTCTTTTCCTTTGGCATTTGAAGGCCCTTTGTCACAATCGGAACTTTCTTTGAAGTTGTTAATTCAAGATGGTGCCGAACGTAGTCGTATTCAGGCAAAGATCCTTGTCAGAACCTTGATCAGAACCGGTGGCTGAGCTAGTCTAGGATCTTCCTCCGTTCGGTACTGATGTAGTTCTTAGGGTACTTTTATTCTAAAAAGTAAAACTGCGATACCTACAACCTACTCTTTCCAGTGCTAGCTGTATACGAACCATTGAGGAAAATGTCACGATGGAAACACTGGCATCGGTATCCAAATGCTCGGGGGCTCGTGCCACCACTGGCAGCCATATACTAGTAACTTATCGAATGCAGGCTGTCCTTGACTGGTCGAACGCTTCTGCATCTGTTTGGCTATATCCACCAAGTGAGTCAAACCAATCATAATGTTATTAATCAAGAGTACTTGCCTCTAAAATCGTTTTTTTGAAGCGAAGGGGCCAATGCTGAACCACGTTCAAACCGAATCACATTGTCAGAATTCATAATAGACGCGTTAAGGTACAACGTTAGCCTGAGCGTCAATGAACCTATTGCTGATACGCCTCAGCGTTTGTATTACGACCGAAGGCACCGTCACACAGTCGTTTCCCCCTCCTCCCCACCCATCACGACTGCCCTCTGACTCACATTCTTGTCCGTCGTGGTATTATCCTAAGCAGGATACTTTTCACTTCCTTGATGTTTCAAGGTGTGGACGTTCAGGGTATGATGGCCCAAGCTTCGTCCGTCGATGCGCGCCACAGCATGTTCAGTGAAGTTCATGGCCAGCAAATAAATGGCGACAATACAGTAATTAACAATTACAGCAGATATAACGGTATGAGTTGTACTATCGCATGTTCTTCAGCAACATTAACATATCCATTCGTTTCGCATAAAAGAGCGAAAGGAACTGGCTAAGTGGTTAACTCCTTTGAATTTCCGACAGACACAGAGCGACGTCTACGGAAGTAGACGAGAGGGAACCGGAGACTGGGTATTTGATGATGAAACATTCAAGGAGTGGATCAAAGATGATACGAAATACAAAACCTTGTGGTGCCCCGGGATTCGTAAGTACTCATCACTTGATCACCACGATATCCTATGTAACTGATTCTGATTATGACAGCCGGTGCTGGAAAAACCGTTATTGCGCAAGTGTTTTAGCGAACACCAAGTACCCACACTGACAAATCTTTCAGGTCACATATCATTAATTCTCTCACCGAAAAACACAAGAGCATTGATACTGCTGTGGCCTACATTTATTGCAACTACAAAGAGCAACCAACAGTTTACGACCTTGTTGCAAGTCTTTTGAAACAACTTGTTGAAGACTTCTCTCGTACCTTCAAAGATGTCGCCAGTAGTTATGAATCCCATCGGGAGAAATGCTACCGTCCAACTCTGGAAGAGATTCACAAGACACTAATGTCGGAAATCAAACGTTTTTCGCAAGTTTTTGTTGTCGTCGACGCTTTGGATGAAATTACAGAACTTGGTGCCAATCGTTATGAACTGCTCAAAAAGCTCCAATCCCTTGAATGTCATCTCCTGGTGACTTCACGCGATATCAAGTCAATAGGGGATGCCCTTCGTAACGCCTTGTGTATGCACGTTCGTGCACATGAATCAGATATACGCCAGTATATCGAAGGCCATATCCTACCAGGGACAACACTGGAAGGGCTCATCGCTACAGATCCCCCTTTAAGAGAAGAAATTGTTGAAGGCGTTACGAAACATACAGATGGCATGTGAGTGCTTCTCTGAATCTTTCTTGAATAAGCTAATATCAATCTTGGATAAGGTTTCTCCTATGCCGTCTGCATGTAGGGTCATTGGAAAACATGTTTACTTGTAAAGAGGTCCGGAATGCTCTCAAAAATCTACCCCATGGGGTGAAAAGTGCCTACGACGAAACAATGATCCGGATCAACAAACTAGACAAGAAACGCCGCGAGCTCGCTTTGACGGCTATTATGTGCATCACTTATGTTCAAGAACCACTGAGCGATAGGGGACTTCAAGAAGCTGTGACGCTTTCCCGTGGCGGTTTAGGAATCAGCGGTGAGGACCTCGTGGATATCAACGCCATATTGGGGGCCTGTATTGGTTTAGTTGTGGTCGATAAAGAACGTTCTGTGGCTCGTCTGATTCGTGAGCAGTCCACAATTCCAATAACAGCTACCTCTGATCGCCGCTCCATTAGACTACACTGCGCAGGATTACTTCAGCACATATAAGGAATGGCTATGCTCAAATCCTCCCTCCGAACTTATCAATATCTGCATTAAAGCTTTGTCATTACCGCCACCTGCTGGTGGCTGGCCATTCAGTGGGGATTTCAGCTATTATGCTGCGAACAACTGGGGATACCATGCACATGGTCTTGTTGAAGATACAAATAAGGCCATAATACATGATTTTCTTCACTGCGAACGGAACATTAAAAATCTGCGGAATGCACGGTTCACGGACTCCCATGGCTGCGTGATACACATATGCGCCTTTTGGGGTTTAGCTCGAACCATTGAATATGAACTACAAAGTGGAGCTGTTGTAGACCAACGAGATGACTGGTCGGGTAAAACAGCTCTACACATCGCAGCAGACATGAATCGAGTGGAGGTGGTGAGCTTGCTACTCGATAGAGGCCATGACGTAAATTCACAAGACAGAAGAGGCATGACGCCACTCTCGTTCGCAGCCAAGGATGGAAACGAGGAGGTCGTCAATTTGTTGTTAGAAAGAGATAGTGTGGAGGCCGACTCTAAAGATAAAGGGGGCCGGACACCACTCTCCTACGCAGTCCAGTATGAAAGGGAGGAAACTGTCAAGTTGTTGCTGGCAAGAGATGATGTGGAGCCTAACTCGAAAGATGGAGAGGGTTGGACACCACTCTCCTACGCAGCCCAGCATGGAAACGAGGAGATTGTCAGTTTGTTATTGGAGAGGGATGATGTGGAGGCCGACTTGAAAGATAAAGGGGGCCATACACCACTCTCCTATGCGGTCCAGCATGGAAGAGAGGGGACTGTCAAGTTGTTGCTGGCAAGAGACGATGTACAGACTGACTCGAAAGATGGAGAGGGCCGGACACCACTCTCCTACGCAGCACAGCATGGAAATGAGGGGATTGTCAGTTTGTTACTGGCAAGGAATGATATGGAGGCCGACTTTAAAGATAAAAGGGGTCATACACCACTCTCCTACGCAGTCCAGTATGGAAGGGAGGAGACTGTCAAGCTGTTTCTGGGAAGGGATGATGTAGAGGCTGACTCAAAAGATGACAAGGGCTGGACACCGCTCTCATTTGCAGCCTGGCATGGGCAGATGGAGATCGTCAGTTTGTTGTTGGCAAGAGATGATGTAGAGGCCGACTCCAAAGATGAAGACGGCCGGACACCACTCTCATTTATAGCCTCACTCTGGTTTGAGAAAACGGATATCGTCAAGCTGTTACTGGCAAAGCATGATGTACAGGCTGACTCGAAAGATGGAAAGGGCCGGACGCCACTCTCCTACGCAGCCCAGCATGGAAATAAGGAGATTGTCAGTTTGTTATTAGATAGTGGTGATGTGGAGGCCGACTCTAAAGATAAAGGGGGTCATACACCGCTCTCCTATGCAGTCCGGCATGGAGTGGAGGAGACCGTCGAGCTGTTGCTGGCAAGAGATGATGTGGAGGCGGACTCGAAAGATGACCATGGCTGGACACCACTCTCATTTGCAGCCTGGCATGGACAAACAGAGATTGTCAGTTTGTTGCTGGCAAGGGATGATGTGGAGGCCGACTCCAAAGATGAAGAGGGCAGGACACCACTCTCACTTATAGCTTCACTCTGGTTTGGGAGAACGGAGATCGTCAAGCTGTTACTGGCAAGGCATGATGTACAGGCCGACTCAAAAGATGGAGAGGGTCGGACACCACTCTCCTACGCAGTCCAACATGGGAACGAGGAGATTGTCAGTTTGCTACTGGCAAGGGATGATGTACATGCCGACTCTGAAGATAAAGGGGGCCATACACCACTCTCCTACGCAGTCCAGCATGGAAGAGAGGAGATTATCAAGCTGTTGCTGGCAGGAGGTGATGCTGGGGCGGCCGACTTGGAAGGCGAGGAGGGCCGGACACCACTCTCATTCGCAGCTGAGAAAGGAAATGTAGAGATTGTCAAGCTGTTGCTAGCAAGAGACGACAAAAATGTGAATTGGAAACATGAACAAGGTCAGACCTTTCTGTTCTGTTCAAGCGGCGAAAAAAATGGATGCGAACCTCTTCTTAGTAACAGAGGTACGTTTTATAGACACCATTCCGGAGGAACATGATAAATTTCTGATTACAGAAGGGATTGACGTGAACTTGCAAGACAAGAATGGAAACTCATCACTGCATTATGCAGTGCGTTCTGGACATCACGATGTAGCTTCCTTGCTTCTCTCGCATTATAATATCGCACCAAATTTGAAGAACGTGAAGGGACAGACACCACTGCACTGCGCAGTCCTAGGTATCGACAGAGAACGCGGTGTCGATTACAACTCTGCGAGCTCGAGCTCGCGGGAGGCTACTGTGAGCCTTCTTCTTGCGCGCAATGACATTCGTGTTGATTTGGAAGACGACGATGGATTGACACCACTGATGCTTGCTCGCTCTCTCGAGATCGTGTCCATCGTAAAACTCTTTGAAGAGTATATAACAGGCTCAGGGTTTAGTTCGATTGAAAGAGAAAACCGCCCCAAACGGATGCACAGAGATTGGAATAGAGCGCTGTCAATAGGCACGACGATCGTTGGTCATCAGACAATACATAGGAGAGATATTATGCTACCTTTATTATGTTCGATACCGCTGATTAACACTCAATGTATGTCTCTTATATGGTCGACTTTACCTTCCCTCATTGGCTTACAATAATCATTGCTCTCATTTTTAGACGATTCCCGCTACCGATCAGAGTCCCATTCCCCCGATATTCCCCACGAAAGCCCATCTTCACCGGACTAGTCAACTAGTTTCATGACATCCATTTTCACTGTGTCGGAAACACAGATCCGATAGTCAACAACCCACTCACCGTAACAATAGTGCTATTTTGGCCGCAACGTATAATTGCAGCATCGGCATTTTGACAGCAGTGACAGTGCACCTGCAGTACAGAAAACTGCGTCAAGCCAGCGGCTTTTTGTTCGTCCGGATCCCACCCATAGTCTCAAGACGACAAGTTGGAATCGAGGAATTGAGAAAGTACTGTAGACTTGAAGAGTATCGGGGCCACGAGCCTAGCTGTAACGAGCATGCTATGAATACAAAAAACACTACCCTCTTCAGCTTGCTTTCAAAGCCTACTTGAGTCGAGCGGTCGCACACTGATCGTGCGCTCGAGGAACCTTATGGAACGAATGTCTTTCGTTGCATGATGAGACTAGAAAAATTTACACCTTGGAGGTCCCGTTATAAGTGATCAGATGCGCGTCCTCTCGGGAATAAAGCAGGACGTGTCAGGAATTATCTGGTGAATGAGAGCAGCAGTACGGCCAACTTCAAAGCCTGAGAATAGCATTTTAAAGTCGCTAGCGCCGAATATTGACAATATAAACACGACATATGCAGTGTCAGCCAGAGTCCCCCAATAAATTGCGAGATAGTAAGGATAATAGAGGTCGGTGATTCCAAGAAAAAAAACTGTTATCTTCGTATGGCGAAAGACTTTGAAGTCAGGTCAAACCCTACGCCGACTCGTGGTTCAATTCAACCGGTATTTACACACAATAACGAATGTACTCTGATTTCTCGAGCACCACATCACGCTACACTTAAAGACGTACATAAAACAATTATTATAGCTATTGCGTCGATTTTCACTGGAGCTCTGGTGTGTCGGCAAAGATGAGATTCATATACCCAGCAGGGTAACGATCACCTTGCGCCCAGTCTGCCTTTTCAGCAACAGTGCGCACGGCTTGAACATCCTCGGGAGTAAGTTTCACGTTCACAGCAGCTAAATTCTCCTCCAAATACTAAAGGACGGAACGGTAGAATTAGCCCCCGTGGAAAAATATTCATATAAAAAGAGGCATACCTTGATTTTCTTCGTGCCAGGAATGGGGATAACGTCGTCTCCTTGCGCGAGTAACCATGCAAGGGCAACCTGACCAGCTGTTGCGCTATACGTATCGCCGATCTTCTTGAGGCTGTCAGCAAGCTTGTTGATGTTTGGGAAATTCTCTTTCGAATATCTATAGATAAAGTGTAAATAGGCATACCCGTTGATAGTGAACCCACGGTGAATAATATCACCAAGCTAAACTTACCTTGGCACAGTCCTCCGCCAATCGTTGGCCTCAAAGTCGTCAGGGGATTTCTAACCATTAAATTAGCAATGTTGATACCGCAGACATAAGAGGAGCTCACGAATCGGCCAGTAATCAGCCCTCGTCCCAACGGCGAATACGCAATAATTTGCACACCCAGCTCACGAGCCGTTTTCAGCAGCGCAATTTTGTCGTCTTCGATGTCAAGTGTAAACGGTGAATATTCAACTTGTAGTGCAGCAATGGGGTGAACCGCGTGGGCACGGCGAAGGCCGGAAGAGGAACACTCTGAGAGTCCCAGGTATTTGACTTTACCAGCTCTACGAGATAATGTCGTCAGATGAGATCTAAATTCAAGGAAGTGGGATATTCCTCACTTGACTAGTTCTGCCATGGCGCCGACAGTCAACTAGAAGGTGATCAGTGATTGTTAGCAAAATGATACCAACATATGCTACTTACTTCGATAGGGACGGAAGGATCAGGCCTTTACAAAAAATGCGTAAGAGCCCCTTCAGAATCAATCCGTAAAACTCGTAAAATTCACCTGTGAAGATAGTACAAATCAACGGTGTCAACGCCAAGCCTTGAGATCGACTTCTCAAATTCAAGTTTGACGCTCTCTGGCTTTCCATTGATGCCTGTGGCCGTGAACCCGAATTTCGTGGCCAAGAATATATCATTGCGCTTTCCTGTGCGTTTGAACCTGGATTTGAGGTAACAGATGGTCAGAATGAATGTAGTAGAACAAGATAAGCTTCGTGAAACTTGCCATTTGCCAATCAGATCTTCACTATCTCCGTAGACGTTGGCGGTGTCCCAGAACGTACAACCGTTCGCATAAACAGCATCCAATACCTAGTGAAATACATCTCATTAGCTCTGGCGTTGACGGAGGAAATGTTTGCTGAATTACCTTGAAGCGCTCTTCGTCTGCTTCAGTGGCACCGTATCCAATGGATATACCCATTGCACCAAAGCCGATAGCAGAAACATCGGTGCTGCCGATCTTGCGAGTAGGGTAAGACATGATGTCTGTATTTGAAAGGGTTGTAGATATATGAGGCTTGAGTATGAGTGGTATGGAAGCTAATGATTTCTTACCATCATTTCCATGAGCATTTATATATGTTCCCCAGGATCTTTGTTATCCGAGATACCGGGGTTCTGTAAAGATAGGCTTCGTCATCGCACATCCACGCCCACGTTGGCTGGCGTGGTACATCCACTTGGGGTACAGTAGCTGGTAGTTCGCGATGTGCCGAAGGTAGTCGCAACACGTTCCGGCAAGAATTCTGGGATTCTGGGGAGGAACAGAAGCTCAATGTCATGTAGTCTCTGTCAGCCGAATCAATCTCTGTCGCTGATGTGGCTTTAATTACTGCCAGTACGATATCCACAACCTATTTGATACCATTAGTTATACGATCCTCACTGAAAGTGTCTCAGTGTCACGATGAAAACGAATCGAAAAATCGAAAAATCAAATGCTCGAGGACACGTGGTAGTTTCGCATAGTCGGCGCCAATTTCGTACAACACAGGCCGGGAGACAACTGTAGATATGGCTGCTGGCATGTGATTTCCCCAGGATATATAGTCCGAGTCTTACTAGCATGCGCATCCAAACTTCGTATTTTCACTTTTTTCTTTCTCGTCCCCAACGTCTATAGCACAGAAGCGTGTCCATAAGAGTAGAAACGATGGCATCGAAGGAACTGAAGACCTACAGTCGTGAAGAAGTTGCACAGGTGTGTTGCATCTGGTCATCGTGACGAAAGCAGACTCTCAGATTCATCCTTAGCACAACAAACCAGATGATCTTGTGAGTTTTCATAGCGGAGGGGCCCATTTCCAATTTCCTGACTATTTGTTGTTGGTAGTGGATTATCGTAGATGCTAAGGTTTACAATATCAGTCGTTTCAAGGATCTCCACCCTGGAGGCGCGTCTGTATTTGCAGAGGAAGACATAGGTATGTACGCTATTTGCTCGTGGCTGAACACTCGTTAATCACCTCGCAAAATGTTATGCTCGTCATCGTTGATCCGATCAATTTTTATATAGCCGGACAGGATGCAACTGAAGCTTTTTATGGTCTCCATCGCCACGAGGTGCTGATTCGTCCACAGTATGCGCGTCTGCAAATCGGTGTACTCGAAGGAGAGGAGAGCGTTATTTATGGTCGGGTCCCGGGCAAGCTCAGCGATGTGCCATATGCTGAGCCATCGTGGCTGAGCGAAGGATATTACAGCCCGTACTTCAAGGACGTACGTGAAGGCATTATTTCTTCTGGAAGGAAAGAGAGAACTGACATCATGTGCAGAGCCATAAGAAATTGCAACAAGCAATGAGGAAGTTTGTAGATGAAGTCGTCCTACCTGATGCTCTGGTGCGTTTTGCAGTTTTCTTTACTTTTTATCTAAAACTGATGTCCACTCGTTAGGCTCGCGAGGAAGATGGGAAACGCCCAAGCACAAGTGTTATCGATGCCATGACGTGCGTATCTACTTTTCCATGGTCAGACCTTTCTTCCTGAGTGTCTTGTGCTATCTAGGGAGTTGAACATTCACGCGATGCGGATGGGTCCTGGAAAACACTTGAAGGGTCTAACATTGATGGGTGGTGTTGTCACTCCTGAAGAGGTAAGTCTTCTGACTACCTATACGATTAACTAGTCATTTATGCCCTCATCCCCAGTATGATTACTTCCATGAGGTACGCTCTCTTGGACAATCTATGTTTTAATGGTTTCTTATCTGTGGATAGCTGGTGTGCATTCAAGAAATTGCCCGCTGCGGTCAACGCGGATATGGTGATGGTATGTTATCTTCTATGATCATTGCTTGTTTTCAATAACCCTGTCATCCCAGGCCTACAGAGTGGAGCTGTGATTGGCCTCCCGCCTATCATGAACTTTGGATCACCAGAGCTAAAGGCGAAGATCATACCAGAAGTCCTGTCAGGCAAGAAATTCATTTCTCTTGCTATATCGGAGGCTTTTGCTGGAAGTGATGTTGCTGGGTTGCAAACCAAAGCAACCAAGACGGAAGACGGAAAGTTCTGGATTATAAACGGGACGAAGAAGTGGATCACTAATGGAACGTCAGTGGTTTTGCCTTGTTTATCTCATAGTCGTGGTTGCTTACTACTAAACTAAATACAGATTCTCTGATTAGTGAGTTTTCAATGCACTGAGATGTATGTTGATAGTGTACTAATTCCTTGTAGCTTCACTGTTGGGTGTAAAACAGACGTATGTTTACAATCTCATTTACTGCAAGGGTTCTGATTAACTTTTGTATAGAATGGTTTCACTGTCATTCTTGTCGAGCGTTCCGAGGGAGTGGAAACGAAACAGATAAAGACGAGTTATTCGACTTCTGCTGGTACTGCGTATATCACGTTCGACAACGTGAAAGTTCCCGTCGGGAACACGCTTGGTCCCGAAGGAGGAGGAATTTTCGTCATATTATCGTACGTGTTGATTCGGCACCCCTGCCTCATTCCGAATGCTTATCATTGACGATCAGAAACTTCAACCATGAGCGATGGGTTATGTGCTGTGCGTCGGCACGAGGACAACGAGGAATCGTTGAGGAGTGCCTCAAGTGCGTTATGTTTCTGCGTCGTTACATCTTATTCTGACCTGTTGCATGTTGCAGATGGATATCTCAGCGCAAGGCTTTCGGAAAGCCTCTATCTTCGCAGCCTGTGATCCGTAATAAGTTGGCTGCCATGATTGCGCGAGCGGAAAGTGTGCAAGGCTGGCTAGAAAACCTAACTATGCAAATGTGTAATATGGTAAATGTCTATGATGTGTACATTGAATATCGCACTCACCTGGTCATATTTTTCAGTCATACAAGGAGCAAGCGCAGAAGCTCGCTGGGTACGTATATTTCTCTCACTCGCTTCTCTGCATGTCTCTGACCTTATTATGAATCAGTCCGATTGCGTTGCTCAAGATGTATTCGACGCGATGTGCACAACAGACGGCGACGGATGCCGTGCAGATATTTGGTGGACGTGGAATAACTAAATCTGGAATGGGGAGACTTATTGAGCATGTAAGAGTGTTTCTTCTATGGTGAAGGCCTTGACCTCAATTGACATGTGGACATCGTTACAGTACTATAGAACGGTACCATTCGACGCCGTACTTGGAGGTGGTGAGTACTCTTTGTAACTGATGGTTCTTTTCCATATTCTGACTCGTTTCATAGCCGAAGACGTTCTGGGCGACCTGGGCGTACGCCAGGCGATAAGACAGATGCCAAAGAATGCTCGGTTGTAATGAGGGGAAATGTTGACAGAACTATCCTTTCGTTCGTTATATTGTTATAATTTATTCAAATCAATCTGCATGTTGTTTGCTTGTAGAATGATATGTACTCTATATTGAGGTGTTCGATCTTCCCGTAGAGAAACACGTTGCGTGAGGTCCCCTCTATTGTTTGCATAAATATCGAGCAACGTGATAAATGCACATAAAATAACATCCGTATTGACGAGCTCAATAACAACTATCGCAATCCTACTTTTGTCGCAGTACGGCCGTTCCCCTGGCTCTTCCAGCCAAACCAGCCAACCAGTACGTTTTTCGCAAATATTTCGCCAAAGCCAAGCATGACACCGTTCACAAAAGGCAGGAAAAGGTTGATAGCGAGAGACGACAGGAGAAGTGATATGCGAGTGCGGGGCATGAGTGTGCCATCGAGTAATGGAGGAAGTAGGGAAGGAGGTGCGCCAGGCTTTCCTGTATCCCGCTCTGTCGCCGCCACACGGCTATGGGTTTGGACGCGCGAAGAGCGCGTATCTGCATGCGGCAGATGCGCAGCACGTGCGGATGGAGAGGGAGGACCAGATGGCTCAGGGAAAGACATGGAGGGGTAGGACGAAGTAGGCGAAGAAGGAACATCGACCCATTTCTGAGAGGGTGAGCCACTTTCCGTTTTGACGTGCTGCGAACCAGGATGAATGTGGGAAGAGGGGCCCTGCGCTTCACCGGTGACGAGGTCGCGCATGTCCGTAGGAGCAGGTGAGCCTGAGGTTCCTGCGATGCTGTGCGCAACAGCAGAAGACGAGGAAGAGGCGGCGAAAGAACCTAGAGATTCCCAAGGCTCTGGCTCGCTGACAAGCTCTCCGCGTGCGCGTCTCTCCTCGAGCTGTGCAGCCTCGCGCTTCCTGATGTCTTCCCAGCGAGCGCGTTCCCGCTCTGCCTTTTCGCGAGCCTCGGCAGACTGTGCACGCCATGTCTGGACGAGAACTTCGTGCTCTGCTTTCCAAGCATCCTCTTCTGTGGGTGCGGAGGAGGCGTCTAGGGCTGATTGGGGAGCGGGGACGGGTTCTGGAGGGGGGCTGGCGCTTGGAGGCGGGGGAAGGGCGGATACGCGGGGAACGGGTGCGGGCTCAAAAGCTGTTTCGAGCGCAGACTAGAGAAAAGGCGGGGAAAGGTCAGACATTTTGTAGTAAAATTGGATGGAAAGTGAAGGATTACCTGGAGAAGGTTCTCCTCGTTTGCGCCGAGAGGGCTGCTGTCGGTCATCGTAGTGGTGGACGAGGAAAGTGACCTCGACGGCGTGAGTATGCTCGCTGCCGACAATGGCCAAGAATGGTGTATTACTTTCCCACGATCGTCCATTACTCCTTCTGGCGTGTCGTCGATCGAGTAACCACTGAGCACAAACCATCGACGTCACTGACGCTCGATGACGAGTGACGTGCACTATGACTTGATCATAGAATGAGTATATAAACCCTCGTCATCTGCGCAGACCCTATCATATCGCTTATAACTTAACTCGAACCCACCACAACCCACATATCGCTTATCATGGTGAGCTGCTACTTCTCTTTTCATCGCAATCGTAGTCTAACTTGCTGGCTCAGTCTGAATACAAGGTATGCCGTGTGGGATTGGATGTACAACTCGCTTAACCCCTTTGTAGAAAGGAGACAAGGTCGAGTACAGGCCCATCGGTGGTGACTCGGATAATGTATCCCACAGTGTTGGAGAAGTGGTAGAAGTACAAGGGTCTGGCGCAGTCAGTATATTCTCCGTCAACCCGGCACATCCTCTGACATTTCCGCAGGATGCCAAGTACACTATCAGGAATGACAATACTGGTAAGGCTACCACTTATCAGGTACGAATGTGCTTTTGTGCCGCCGCCCGTTGCTATAACTTTTGCTGTTGTAGGAGAAGAACATCGTCTCCAAGGCATAAATCCACCCGAGTTTCACCTTATAGCACCTTTGTAATAATTAAGTGCCTACGTTTATTGTATCCTTTAGACAAATGCACGATTTAAACCGACATAAACCGACATTGGACAAGCTCCTATCTATACAACACTACGCGCAAGTAGGAATATTGTTACAATTTAAAGGAGTGGTTCTCTAGCTAAGTAGCCCGAGTATAATAATATTGGAGCTATACACTCGGCGGTCAAAATCCAAGATCTAGTTTGATTTGCAGCTAAGGAATAGGTGTGATCATGTCCATCTGTCTGTCACCCAAAACTGATGGCTTACCGTTTTTGCAAAAACTCCTACAGCAGTTTGTAGCCCACAGCTAAGCTGTTGTATCGCCTCTAGAGCCATGTACTCGCATGACCTACACGGTGCGTAGATCTCATTCACCGTCCGTTTCAGCTTCTCCGATAAAATCACTTTACAAGGCGTGACTTGCACTCGAGGAATGGCGTCTTCAACATAAGCATTCCACCATCTAGGAATGCCTGCATCGTCCTTGTAGCCTTTGCAGACACTACCTGTATGCACTTCATGGTAGTCCCGAACTACCAGCCTCCTTGCCCTGTCGAGCCACCCGGTACTTTCTAACAGAGCTTGAGCTGCTGCCCCATACCTCGTATGATAATTTTGAAGTCGCCCAAAATCCCTTGCACTGATAAACTCCATCTCCTTGACATCCGGAATGTCCGTAAGCGGTTCACACAATGCGTATTGGACTGCCGCCATGGCCTCTGGTTTTAACCCAAATCTACATGCAACAGCAAACACGCGAAGGGGCGCCTCCATAAACTGAGGACCCGCGAGAGCTTTTCTCGCTTTCTTTTCCAGCTCCTGAGCTTCATATTTCGTCGACAACTCTAGCATGGCAGCTACGTCTTCCAAAGTCTTCAATTCAGGTTTGTTTGCGATGGTGACAGGCAAACAATGGCCTAAGAACACGCGCAACGTCTTGCTGTCTTCTGATAGGTGAACGACGAGTAGACCGTCTTTGAAGTCGCTGTTACTATCGCTTGCGCTGTGTATTGGTGATGGAGGCTGTGGCTGTGGTAATGCGAATGTGGTTTCAAAGACGGGAGATGCGAGAGATAGTAAGAGTCTGAACATGCGAAGATCTACTTGGTCCGATGAGCGTATGATGACATCGGCTTTAGGGTGGTTAAAGGGAAAGGCGGCATCGACGGGCTCTGTAGGAGTAGACATGGGCGATATCTGTTGATCAGGTGCTGATAAACACTTGTTATGATTCGAGAGACAAGAGGGGGTTCATAAGAGACGTACAGGTTGTGGATAAGGCGTCCAAAACTCGTGTTTCTGAACTCGAGGCTTTTCGCCGTATTGGTACATGCCTTCAAGAAGTCCAGACAACGTGTCCAGCTGACCATATCAGATAAGGGCTTGTTATGGCGATGAAATGAAAAACGGTATTAGGAAAACTGATATGGTCCGGTTATACGCCTTCCGTAGTGAATTTTGTGCATCTTGTTTAATTGTCCGATGAATCCTTGAGTCGTTGACAGCGGTGGTAGCTGAGATAATGGGAGTGCATTGGACATAATTACATTGGAAGCTCATTTTAACACGAGTCTACGTCTACTTGGCTCTTGAGGAAGCGGATCAGTGGAGATTTGCTCGAGCGCAAGTTGAGAAACTAGGAGCTAAAGAGGGCTGTCATAGGGAGATGCTGAGCGTTGTCCTGAGATACTATTAAAGCGCTGTAAGTATCCTGCAGATACTGTACTGCCTAAAGGAGGGCCTTTGAAGAGGATCCACAGACAAGACGCGAGGTGCCATTGGTTGCAAGTTGGTTGCTGTTCTAGCTGGTCACAAAGGTAGTAAGTGAGCACTGGCGTGCGTAAATTTTATCGTGCAGCTTCGTTGGAGAGCATATTTATGAGAACGCAAAGTAGGAGTGATCCAGCAAAGTGAAACCAAAGATTTGGCTGTACTGAATGTATCGTTGACTGAGAATCAAAGCCGCGGTAGTAGTGAGTGTTTTTGTTTGCCCATGTCTGGATGTGAAGCTGTTGAGCAACATATACAAATACACAGATCTCAGATTCCCCCGTTCCTGTCATTTACATTTTGCTAGTGTCAGGCTCTACCCAGTTAAATCACCCAGTACCCTCTAATAGCAACGTACATCGGAGGGAAATAACTAGAACATACTGAGTAAGTCCCATATATCGAGCAGAAGCCACTTTTCAATAATCTTACCGACTTATGCTTGGTTCTTCAGCTAAACATGGCTGGCCGCCGAAATACTTCGAGTACTACTGGGATACGATTACCACAATCTCTACTCGACGATATCAACGAATCTCAAGGTATCTACGATATCCTAACTACAGTGCTCAGAATTCTCTTTAACTTTAGGTTTGCTTGGTGCTTTCAGGTCACGACCATGCACGCAGCGGGAAGAAGAAATCAAACATATCTCGCAAGGATGCTAGAAAACAGCAGAGAATGGACGTCAAGAAACGCAAGGCGGAGCACTTCTCGAGCGTTCACTCCCAGAGCAAGATATATGCGGAAGGCGATCATGTAGAATCGCCGAAGCCAAAGCGTCGGAAGACATCGAAATCTCAGCCATCTGAATCGGCCTCTGCGAAACTTGGCTCTGCTGCAAACAACATTCGTGACTCTGAAGGACGTAAAAAAGTGTCTCCTGAAAAGGCTGGTCAACCTGTGAAAGTTGCAAAAATGGCGAAATCAAAACTATCTACTTTGGATAAACTTGCTGCTAAAACAGAGACGAAACGCGTCAACGTGGGTGTTCCGCGTACGCGACAGGAGCAAGACGAAGATGCATATATAGCATACCTTGAGGCAAAACTTGGCTATGGTAAAGGAAAAACATCCAAGGCGACAAAACAAAAGGGCAACGATATAGATGGATTGGATGGTACGTGTTTGGCAGGCTGATGAGGGCGTTGACTTATTGTGTATCTGTTTCAGACCTGCTGGACTTTACATCTAACATGATGCCCTCCTATTCTCCTGTTTGTTGTTTCCCTCTATACGCTAGTTAACTTCTCAATGTGTGGAATAGGGATCTCCAAAGTCTGAATCTGAAAGTAGTGATGATGAAGATAGCGAGGGAGATGTATCTTCGGGAAGTGGAGCGAATTCGGAGAGAGAAGAAGAGGAAGAGTGGGCAGGATTTGGCCAAGGCTCATCTTCAGATGACGTTGATATGGTGGAAGCAACGACCAATGTCCCTCCAACATCGACAGAGGCCGAGCCTGTCACGTCTGGTATACTTCTTCTTCGTCTACATCATTATCCTCCATCTGACAAGTTATCATGCAGGAACGCGCTACGTTCCACCCCACCTACGTAAGCAAGCTGGGAACGGTGAAAAGAGCTCAGAAGAGCAACTAAAACTCACGCGACAAATGAAGGGTCTGTTGAATCGGTACGCATATATCTAATAATGTTAATTTCTACTTGACGAACCGTTCTTATAGCATGAGCGAGCAAAACATGTCGAGCATACTTGATGGTGTAGAGGAGCTATATCGTAAACATCGACGATATGGTGTGTCATGTCTTTAGCTTTTGTTCTGATTTTCATATTCACAATTGGCCAGATGTGACTTCTACGGTGACAACACTACTCATCGATGGAATATCGTCACATTCTATGCTTCTGGACTCATACGTTGTCCTTCATGCGGCATTTGTATCCAGCCTTCATAAACTGATTGGACTTGAATTTGGTACGAACGCACGTTCCTCGTGGCAGCAGCACCAGGTCTCACCTCATGTTTTCTGCAGCGGCCTACTTCGTACAGAATGTCGTGGCAACCTATGAACGCCATTTCACTCAACTGGAGGAACAGATACCCAACGCAGACTCTGTGGAACCGCAGGATGATCGTGGAAAGGAATGCTCCAACTTGATTGTACTTCTTTCCGAGTTGTACAACTTCCAGGTGGTCTCGTGTATCCTCGTGTATGATTTGATTCGTCAGTTGTTGGCCAAGGAGTTATCAGAGTTCAACGTGGAGCTGTTGCTCAAAATTCTTCGAAGTCAGTGGCTATCAGCCCCTTTCTGCATCATTATTGACTTCAATGTTTGGTGGCAGATTCTGGTCAGCAGCTTCGTCTGGACGACCCTTCTGCACTCAAGGATATTATCACAACGGTACAAACGAGACTAGCAGGTGATAGTGGTACTCTCAGGTACGCAAGCTTTGTGACTGCCCTTATCCTAACTCACCGAGCGTCAAAATTGTGTAGTTCTCGGACGCGTTTCATGATGGAGACGCTTAACAATCTCAAAAACAATAAGGTGAAGAAAAGTGCCACGCAGCATCAGGGAGGAGATGCTATGGAAAGGATGAAGAAATTTATATCTGGTTTGAGCAAAAAACGACATGGTATGTTATCAGTGGTGATTTTCTTGTATGTCATGTACTAACAGGCGATATAGTACTAGCTCACGAGCCGCTGCGCGTGTCATTGCAGGACCTCCATTCTGCAGAGAGTAAAGGAAAGTGGTGGTTAGTGGGCGCTGCATGGGGCGGCGATCCACTTCTCGATCGTCAAGAGACGAGCGCGAGACAAGAGAATGATAATGTTCAAGAAGATCTAAATGATATGTCATTGCTGAAGCTTGCGAAGAAGCAAGGCATGAACACAGATATTCGACGTAGCATATTTGTTGTATTGATGAGTAGCGACGTGAGTAATCTTCCTTGTATTCGTGAAATGGTATCTTACGTGATATGCATATGCCAGGATTATGTTGATGCTTGCGAGCGGCTATCGCAGCTGAATCTGACAGAAGTCCAACAACGGGAAGTCGTCAGAGTGAATTTGCACTGTTGTGGCAATGTAAGTCTATCGGTTCCTTTCACTGGTTATTGGTAATCGCCGACACTGACGACTACTTTCCACTTTTTAGGAAAGAAACTATAATCCTTATTACACGCTAGTCTGTCAACAGCTCTGCCGAACCTCACACTCGTACAAGGTGACTCTGCAATACTGCCTCTGGGACTTTCTGAGAGATCTTGGCGAAACCAATGTTGGTGGTGCTGAGGTCATCAAAAACTTAAATGAAGATGCCACTAGTTTCGATATCAAGAGTATCTCTTCCACTAGAATGGGGAACGTTGCCAAGGCATATGCATGGTGGATAACGAGAGACTGTTGTTCTTTGACCATCTTGAAGGTGAGAAGGAAATGGGGTCGTCGAAACTTTATATCTAACTGTCTTTGCAGCCTGTTGACTTTACCGTCCTCAAACCTCAAACGCGCAAATTTCTGAAGGACTTGTTCACCAATATCTTCATCGCTAGTCAGATATCTTCGCCAGTGTTTAGAACAGGCCTCGAACATCTTCCAACAACACGCAATCGCGGAGCTCTGGAAGAGATATTCATCAAGACGACGCGACCGGAGAACCTTGGCCTAGGCTTGATGTACTTCATGTCGGAAAACTTTCGTGGTGAGGGTGGATTTCTGAAATGGGCTAGTGGTGTTGCGCGAGAGACTTTACAAACCGGGATGGATATCGTCCCGAGTCTATAACAACCGACCACACGATATCTACAAAATTTCCGAAATATCACGAGTGTGCTACTGCATACGAAATGTGGACTATAGTTCAGGCTTCTTGAACGCCACGCTGGAGCATATGCTCCCACTTTTACCTCCAAAAGTATATGTTGGGTGTTGTATTCGAGAACTTTGCGAAGAGGCAGGTGAAAACGGGTTTGTGGGCATAACTACCAATTGACTCACTGGTACTGTAAACCCGTCTTAGGAGTTACAAACTTCGCTGTCAGCTCTTCTTCAGTGAAATTGCAAGCTTTGTATTCAGAATTAGTTAATAATCATCACTTGGCTCATACTGAGAAAGCCCGACGCACACGTTATCAGGTACAAGCAGCCAGGTTTCAATAATTCTGCAATATGACGAGGGTAGTTCGCGACTGGCGCGTTTCCATCCTCATCTGGTTTCATCAGAGCAATCGCATCAAACGTGCCTTTGTCCATGATCAGATCCCATGCTGCGTGGCGGCTGTCCTGTGAGTTCTGGGGTAAAAGAGGGGGATCTTCTTTCAGGAAATCACAAAGATTGAATGTGATGTTTTCTGCTCCGCGCGTCTTTGCAATCGCTTGGGCGAGCTTGATGGACCCTGCACTGTAGTCTATCCCAGACAACTGCTCGCTCGCATATCCAGCGTCTACTAAAGCAAACAGTAGTGTTCCGTTACCACTTCCTATTTCGAGTATCGATGTGTCAGGACTCGGGGGGACATGTTCTATAGCCCATTCGACCATTTTTTCAACTGATTCAACGCCAAACCTGGAAGAGAATGAAAAGTCACACTTTAGAAAGAAATGACCAAACTCACCAGATCTCACCCTCATCTCCTATCTCCTCGAAATTGTCGAACTCTTCTTCATATACACTATCCCAGCTGACATATGGTGATTCGATGGGAGGGAACGAACTCAGGAATACGGTATACCTACTGCTCTTTGGTGCCCAGCTTAGATGGCTGTAGTTCTGCCGTACTCATGGTATATATGAATAGTCTGCACTTGCAATGGTCACAACTAAGAATATGGTGTAGAACGATAGAGAAATATTTTGATCGGGAAAAACGGCGACATTTACTTGGCTTAGTCAGCGGAAGTTTCGGGCACCCAGTTCCCAGTTCAACTTCGTCTTGAGACGGAGGGTAAGAAAGATATCAGAGTGGTGTGTGAGGGTAGATTATAACTATGCGCCATATGATAGAAATACATCGTGCATCTAAATGTATAGCAAGAACCTACAGAAAAGGTTAGCACTAGCGGAAGGTGTGGTAGTATGTCTGACCCACCAACTCCAATAAATGCTATCGAGATCTGCCATCTGTTTTGTCCAATAGGTCCTTCGCTTCATTAATCTTGCTGGCAAGATAAGGTGAGCCGCCTCTGTCAGGATGATTCGCAAGCATGATATGTCGGTGAGCATCCTTGAGCTTGGTGCGTAGTGTAGGCCCGTCTCTATGCGCAAGAAGAGACATTAAAAAAGGCAATGGTTTGAAAAGAAAGCACTTGCTTTAGTCCGAGGACTGCAATTGCCTCTTTACGGTCCATCTTGGACTTGAAGCCTCCCTTTACCCACTCCTCTGCTGCTCTCTTGCCTATGACACCGTTTCGCAGCAACTGGCGCCCGACAAGAGCAGCAGTGATGGCCCCGACCCCAACGATGACTGGCGTTGCCATGGTCTCTCAAAAAGCCTTGGAGAGTCGCAAATGAAGGAAAAAGAGGGACAAGCGAAGTCTTTACTCAGATACTTCCAATTCCGTAGGAGACACGTTCGAGCTCCGACGGTTCGCGGAGACTCTGGAGGCGACACTGGAAATAAAAGCAAACCTATGCCACTATTATTACAACAATCGTCGTCCTAGTGCAAGCTCATGACTTGGTCGCCGCTAGTTTTACAGCATTTATGGCTGTTCACTTTGTTTAGGGAACGTGTATGGATGACCTTCCCGGTTTGATGTCTACATTTTCTGTCCAATGACAGATCGTCGCTTTGGGCAAGGTACTCTATTCAGCACTAGTCCAGGTCATATCAAACTTCTTGCACTGATCTGTATAGAATTTCAGCAGATGTCGGAATAAAAAGACTTTGTTCAGCCTTGGCTATGCATGCCCATCTGTCAAACCGTTGGAGCAAACCGGCATTGATCGCCTTTGGCTCAATGCTACCTTCTTATTGCTATGAAGATACGGGAACGCCCTTTATCGCGCTCATCATGTAATGTGGACCTACAACGGTCACATTAATAGCTCTAGACGCCCTTACCATCCCTTAAAGCATGAGGCTGCCTGCTCCTGTTCCCACCTACCACCCACTTTCAACCATGGCAGATGAGCACATCTCCATAGACCAGAAAATTTTCAGAAAATTTTCATTCCCCCCCATCCTCGTAGACTCAATTCACGAGAATTCTCTAACAGACGAGATTTTACAGACATTCTTGGAGGGCGCCACAGATGGTGCCATCGGAGTGGCATCAAGCTACGGCCCTAGGTGTGTTCTCGCTGCCATAGCATTCTCAACACATTCGCGGGTGCTCTTTGTCCGATTTTCTGGCCCCAATTCCAGACATCGTTCAAAGAAACGTCAGCAGGTCTTTACAGGGAGAGAGCTTCTACAGGATGCTATCTTGTGTCGTCCTGACATGCTGAAGTATTCATTCAAGATGGACCACCTTGCTGTGGCTCTTTTCTTGGATCTATCTCTCTATATTGTCGGTGGCGTCGATGTCCTCTCAGCCGCTGTGGATGATCGGCGTTCGCCGGAAGCATTCATGATGGTTCTAGGAGGCAAACCAACGCTTTATGAGTCCGGCGCGAAGGCCCTTCATCGGAGTAACGAAACCCACAGCACTAAGTTGGCTGATGTATCTCTGCAAGCATGGGCAGCCTTTCAGGCCGGCACAATGGGTAATCGGTTGCCCACCATACCAAGAATCGACACTAAACGCTTTCGACGACTAGTTCAGTTTTATTTGCCCTTTGATATTCAGCCGGCTACTGACGTCGTTTCCCTCTCACATTGGACAGCGTTTAAATATACTTGCAAAGATTTGTCGGGATAGCGAGCGTCTCGAGGCATTGAAACCAACCATTGTTAAGAACGAAGTGGATGCAGAATTCAGCAGCAAAAATGGAAGCCTTTCTTTAACATCGAGCCGCTTCAGAACCAGAATCATGCGCTCTAAGACTCAGGTTTGTTTATTCCAAGTTTCTCGTTACAGGTGCTGAAATGTATACGGAAGACAATTATGGTCGAGACGACATCCCAAGGACAACTCAACGCTGCAGTTGTTGGATGTGCAACCAGAGTCAATGGGCGCAGTGCGACAATCACGGTGACTGGACGTGTTAACGGAGACCAAGTTCGGTCTGTCACAACCATTGGGAAGGAAGCTCCAACGAATGCCGAATCAGAGCGGGAGGCAGTTGTTTTGCAAGCCCTGCAGCAAACAAATACTCTCCTTAGCCGACCGTTTTTTCAAAGCATATGGATCCCTGCGGCGACTCCTTCGTGGCCCAGAAGTAGTCCGGAGGTAACAAGACCACCGGTATATTACCCACATGCCCCGCTGAACCCATCTCAAGAGTGCGCAGTACGGAAAATATTATCTTGTAAAGATGAAGACCGCGTTGTAGTTATTCAAGGTCCTCCCGGGACCGGAAAAACAACTGTTATAGCAGCGAGCGTTACAAGTATCATGAATTCATCTGACGAATCTCGTACCGTATGGATCGCCGCTCAATCTCACGTTGCCGTGAAAAATATCGCAGAAAAGCTATGGGATATCCAATTCAAAGACTTTAAGATTTTAGTATCTAAAGACTTTCATTTCGACTGGTCAGTTGAAATTCTCGCACTCGCACGTACTGAACACCTTGACGGCAATCTGCTTTAGGCATGAGCACCTTTACGAGCAAATCGAAGAATGCGTGATTCGTTCCGACGAATTCCCCAATAATGTCGTTGGCACTGAGCGTGTTGTTCTTGGGGCTAGAGTCATCCTATGCACTCTAACTATGTTGTCACATCGTAAAATCGGCACCTTCCCTCTGGTCGTCCCTATCAACACTATCATATTTGACGAAGCAAGCCAGATAGAAGTCGGTGACTACCTCCCTATGCTCAACCGTTACCACACCACTCTCGGAAAGCTTGTCTTCATTGGAGATCACAGACAACGTGCGCAACCACTTCCACTTTGAACGCTAACGTTGACCTAGTTGTGCGCAGTTGCCCCTTATGGGCAAGATGACGTCGGAAATCTGCAGAGCATTTTCGACTTTCCACATATGCATAATAAAGCTATTTTCTTGGGTATTCAATGTGTGTTCCTTTCTGTCAGTGAAATAAGAGGCCATGTAATCATTAATCATTGTGTTATTACAGATCGGATGCCTCATGTCATTGGCGAATTTATATCTCGTCATGTCTATGATAGGAGACTTCAGACTCAGCACAGTATCACTTCTCGGAGTGCATGTCGTTTTGTCGATGTGCTGAATGGAAAGGAAGAGAAGTCGGGAAAGAGCTGGGTTGTGAGTTTGCAATGCGTGCGTTTTCCAGAGTCAATTTTCACATTTCTCTATAGAACCGCAAGGAAGCTGGTATTGTGGTGAATATCTGTCGCATTTATGAGAAGCAAAGCAAGGCATTCCGAGTAATCACACCTTACGATGCTCAGCGGTCTCTGATAGAGAAGGAGCTCGAAAGCGCAAAGCTGAAGTGGGAAAACAAATGCTTCAACGTCGATTCTTTCCAAGGTTAGTATATCTCTACTTTGTTACTTGGTTATACATTGACTTTGATGTTACTATACAGGAAACGAAGACGAGCATATCATCATATCACTTGTTCGCTCAGAAGGAGTGGGATTTTTGAAAAATAATCGTCGTACGAATGTCATGCTTACCCGTTGCAAGAAAAGCATGGTCATTTGCACCAGCCGTTCTTTCATCACTAAGAAAGCTGCTTCCAGTCTCATGGGGAAGCTAGCGGCTACAGTTGGCCCTGTGGCTTGGGTGGGAGTAGAGGCCTTCCGATGACGATGTAAATTATCAATTCTTGAGTATGCTGTATGATTTGTCTTGTTGTAAAGAGTAGCCTGTACGATAAAACTGAAAGTGCAGCGAGAGCTCAGCGCCTTTGTCATGTGTAATCAAGCATGAGCCTGATCGGGAATAATGAACTTGTGTACGACTATGTTTTATTCCACTCGGGCAAATCCACAGCGCTGCCTCGTTGCATCCGCGTTGCAGGTGGCATTCGTTGCACTTGAACCACCTACTTTTCTGCCATATAACCTCCCATCCAACGCATTACTTTTCCAACTATGCCACCGCTAGTAGAGCGCGTGGTGCATCAGAACTTCTTTAACGTTGATTCCCCACCCATCAACATAAAGCATATCCGCGAACCTGACCTATCGAAGGATCATGATCAGTTGCGATCCTTCTTGCATCTCGGAAAGAACGACGCACAGGCATTGGGCCTCGCTGCTACCTATAATGAATCAGGCGGTCTGCATGCACTAGCCATTGCAAAGGCATCGTCAGTTTTGCTTATAGAATTCTGGGCCAGCAAATGGAGGAGGAACTCCCGTGGCGAAGTAGTCGCTCGCGATACCACAGGTCGAGAAGTTTTGCAGGAGCAGGTACTCTGCCGTCCCTGTGGCCATCTATACGCTTTCGATATTGGCCCACTTGCTCTTTCTCTGTGGCACGATCATGGCATTCGCGTTACCAACGCTGTGGATATCCAATCTGCAGGCTCTCCAAAAACTCGCCAGCCGCTCGCGTCAATAAGAATTGCTGTAGGAGATAATTACGAAATCCATAAAGATAACATCAATGAGATCTTCGACGATGTCGCGCATGACCCTCGAAACTTTACCCCACTCGCTCTTAGAGCTTGGGTTTCGCACCACGTCTCTCAGCTGTCCTTCATGGAAGATAGGCTGGCTAAAGTGCCAGTTGTACATACTACGAATTTCACTGACGAAGCAAGTACTTTCTGTTCATTGCTTGATCGCGTTTACATAATAGCATGATCAGGTTCTTAGCTTCCTTGCCAAAAGTACCCAAGATTCATTCAGACTTGACCAGATGAAGCCTACAGTACAAACGCACAAATTCAATACTACTTGGAATGACCAGAAAAACCACCTCAAAGCTACTGCAGACCGCTATCAAAACGTGATACGGAAATCCGGAAATCAAGTGAGGATACTCTAATACTGTAGTAGTGGTCGTACTAAGGAACCACCTTTAAGACTGTTCGTGTTACAGTAGAAGACCCGTCTACTGCCGGAAAATATAAACTCCAAGGTACTGTCGCAAACGCAATGGGCAGCGGTGCAAATCTCGCTCTGTCAGGCAATCTGGGCGGGAAAATGATTGGTACAATCACAACTATCGGCCGTGACGGTCCAACCGCAGCAGATTCGGCCAGAACCATAGCCATTCTCCAGTTCTTGCAGGGCAAGAAGAAGATCAAGCAGGAGAACCCTTGGATCGAAAGGATTTGGCTCATGTCGGACGAATTTAAGTGGCCCGAAGTATGGTCTGCTGAACCTCAAATTTCTTCTCGTTTTAACCCGAAAAGTGCATCAAGGCCATTAAATTCATCCCAAACATCTGCCGTAGAACATATGTTATCACAAACGAACGACACTAGAATTACTCTGATTCAGGGCCCGCCTGGAACTGGCAAGACTACAGTCATTGCAAGTTTTGTCCAGGCTGCACTGCGGAGGGGACAAAACGGCATTTGGTTAGTGGCTCAATCCAACGTCGCGGTGAAAAACATCGCAGAGAAGCTTGCCGATTTTGGCATCCTCGATTGGAAGCTCTTTGTATCTAATGATTTTATTGAGTTCTGGTTCGCTATTACTTCTAAATATGTTGGTCACCGCTGATTTAAAGATTGTGATAGGCACGAACATCTGTATACCGACATCAGGTCTAATGTCATTCTTGGCGACGAGTTATTAGATCCTGGAATAGTGAAAGATCTAACTAATTGTCGTGTTATTCTGTGCACCCTCAGCATGTTGTCAAAACGTGCTTTAAGGGACCGCGGTATTACCCGAGTAGTCCCGCTCAGTACCTTAGTAGTTGATGAAGCATCACAGATAGAACTTGGTGGTTATATTCCTGTTTTTAATTTGTTTACTTCTATCCGCAAAGTCTGCTTCATTGGAGACGACAAACAATGTAAGCTTAAAGCTTGTCAATTTTTTAAAAAAATATCTGACTAGCTGCTAGTACCTCCGTACGGTCAAGAGGATATCCAAGACTTGAAAAGCGTATTCGAGGTTGAACACTTACACAGCGACACAATCTTTCTTGATACACAGTGTTTGTATAACCTCGTTTGTCATTTTGACGTTGCTGACAATACATTGTAGACCGCATGCCGCCTCAGGTCGGCGACTTCATATCACAAGCTATCTATGATGGCAAGTTACAATCTAACGAGTTTCACCAAGTCACGACAGATAGCATGGCATGCTACTTCGTGGATGTAAGTCTGGGTCAAGAAGAATCTTTTGGAACGAGTTGGAAGGTAAATGGCTATACAATGTCTAGCCAACCGTCTATTCTAACGATCATCGTAGAACGCCGAAGAGTGCAAGGCGGTATTGCAGATTGCAACAATCCTGGAGGCACAGCAAAAGAGTTATCGCATCATCACTCCGTATGATGCCCAGCGCACTACAATTGAAGATGATATGAAGGCAGCCGATCTGTCTTGGAATGATAAGTGTTTTAATGTAGACTCTTTCCAAGGTGAACCCTACCATAAATGCTAATGTCGTACACTAACGAACGAAATGCACTTTAATAGGAAATGAAGACAACTACATCGTGATTTCACTTGTTCGCTCCAAGGACTTAGGTTTCCTGAGAGACCTCCGACGTACCAATGTCATGCTTACCAGATGCAAACGAGGCATGTATATTGTCACCAGCAGAGCATTCATGGAGAAGGCTGGCAAGGACTCCCTGGTGGGTTCATTGCTAGACTATTATGACTATGAAGCCTGGGTGGATCTGAAAGACCTGGAGAAGGTGATCTGAACACATCGTTGTAGTGGCTCGGCTACAAACAGAAAGCATGTATATCATTCTAGATGCCAAAGCATCAACTAGCCAAAATTTGGCAATAATTTTTTTTCTTTTTTTTAAAAAAATATCTTTTCTGAAAGTACTGAGAGGTGATAATAATTCAAATCAAGGAATTTACAAGAGAGCAGTGCTAAAAGGATGCTCTAGGGCAACGGAACATACAGTTCTCATATCACGCAATGAATCAATAATTACTTTCTTAAACCCAGCAGTCGATGTGACAGGGCTCGAGTACTTCGACTCTACGCAAAACTTGACCATACCCGGCCCTATTAGATCTAGAGAAGAGAGCTGTCAGCGCGTCCAGTGCATGTAGTATGGTCATTACTCACAGTTGATACCGTAACCGTCCTCATATGGCGCACCGAACCTACAACACCGATTATCAGTAGCCAGCCAAGGATTAGATAGCGGTCTTACCCAGTACCACGGAACTGATGCCCGGCACTCAAACCACTAGTGCTCAATTTCCAAGTCTGGCTTCGTTGAAAGAGTTCGTCATCAAATAACTCGCATTTTTCGCCTTTAGTTTGGTCCAACACCAGATGCAAGCCAAGGAGATGCCTGTCTATACCACGACCCGTCGCCGCCTCACGAGTGAGAGCCGTGTGTGTTTGAACGGCACGACGAAGCAGGGCTTGACGCATAGTCGACTGCGCATTTATGAGACATAACAGTGAATAAGTTAGTAGTAGATAAATCGACAGTTGTCGGCTTAGGACGTACAGAGGAAGAAGTGTCCGCCATCGCTAACACAAAGTTGCGACTGTCGCTGCTAAGTGTTCTGATTGTCTCGGTGCGTCCATGTTGAAAAATGCGAGTCAAAACAGTCTCATATGTGGCGGTGAACTCGCCACGAGACTTATACCACGCAAGCTGGAGCACCATCTGCACGTAAGCGTCCGGAGAGAGCTGTGCTAGAAAGCGAGCCATTGGAATTAACGGATAATTAACATTAATAAAAGTAATCACTCACCAACGTCTTTGATCCAATCGGCACCATAGTCGGTGAACCAGAACGCACTGTCATCTGAGTTATCAATGAGAAGCTTAGCTCGGTTTTCCGCGCGGAGACATTCGTCCTTGATTTTCTGGTCAACAACCCATTCCAGTCGTTCCCAGCCACCAGACTGGCGAATTGGTGTACTTGACGTTGGATCTGTCCGTGAAAACATAGCTTCGTCGATTCCCTCGACGACAGCATACTCAGCTACGATGCTTGGAACTAGCGCATCACATGGAGAGTGCTCTCCCATCGCTCCTGCACGAGAATTTCTCTCTACGATAAGCGTAAAAGCTTTATCGAACCACCTGTTGTGAGCATTCTGAGACGACCGTATGTTATGCAGATGTGAGTCCATCTCTGCTTGCGAGTTTAAGGCAGCCGGTGTCGATGGATCGGAGTTATGCGTGTAGTGGTCCAAGCTAAGGACCATTATTGACTGCTGAATAGTCGCAAGAGTCCTGGCGTTTGTCGATGAGAGCGAAACAAGGCGTTGATAGTTCTGGATAGGGATGGATGATAAGTGATAGATAGCCTTACTTGAGAGACACTGCACTCACTGCTGCCCATGTATCTCTCTCGTCTGCAGTAAGTACACCAACGGGCACAGCTACATCTCCTCGCTCGATGCGATTAGAGACATCATTTACCACTTCTCGAAGACGTTGCTCTATTACATCGACTGGTATTTGACGATTGTGGCTATCGTAAACTTCAACAGCATAACAGAAATCGTGAACCATTATCACGATTTTCCGAGCATTGGGCTCATACGGCTGAGGTACTTCGGAGAGGGCATCACAGTGAACCTGAGGAATGCGGCTAATGTTGAACATCTTGGCTGTACTTTCGCGAAGCCATATTCCTGGAAGACGTTTGTCTCATTAGGAACGATACGGTAAGAATTAACCGCATTATCGGACCTGTACGAGTGGTATCTGGGTAAAGTTCTTGGCTTGATGTCGATGCGTTCAGATTTGGGAACAACCGCAAGACTGTGTTTTACTTACGTAGTCAAACGGTCTTTGAAGTCCAAGACTCTATGCAAAAGCCAAGCTGCGCGCCTTACCTGCCATGGTGAGACGCCTACCCAAGTGTGTAGATGCTGTTCGCGAAGAACGTTTTTGGGCACAAGATCATCATTTATGAACGTCAGCCACCAATTTGAATTGATAAGCAGCGGAGCTCTCCATTCTAGATAGGTTTTCTTCATCCAAAAATTGTCATCTAACCAATTGAATGGCGAAGTCCTGTCAAGTGCTTTCCGTTAAGATGGACTTTAGGTTAGTCAGACCCCTTAAGTGAACAGATAAACGAAACCGACCCAGTAGGCGTCTTTGACACGTCCTCCCAATGCCCTCTTCGAATTCTGCGGCCCATTCGAGTCTCTTTTTGTAGCTTAATTCGAAGGGAAGGCCTCCACGAGCTTCATCTTCTTTGAGCAAGGGTTGTAACGACTTCAGATATCTATCCAGTGTTTTCCGCAGATCCGGAACAGGTAGACGTGGAAGTCGAGGGCTAGACGGCTTGGACGATGCCATGGAGTTTCGTCGCACCTGAGAGAAAGGACGACCGGCAATGTTTGACAATTTTCTGGCGTTTAGCATGATATAAATGCCATTTAGACCTGCAACGATGGAAAAACTCGGAGACTGGAGGGGATGCGGGTTTTCGGATGGCCGAGACTAGAAAATACAATGGTCACATGACTTGCTATATCGCGACGTCGAAATTGCAGTCAACATGCTTTATGTTCTCGCTTTGTTCCATGTTATCATCACATATTTATTGAACGTCCTTGTTTCATCCTCTATCTCACATCTCAGCGCAGGCCAACTATGCCCCCACTTCCAGTTATCCAATGGCTCAAACAGCACTACCCCAGGCCATCTGTCGATCCTGTAAGTTCGATTTAATCTACTAACGCGTCTTACCACAATAAACCGTGAATTATCAATAGGAATGGCTTGACGCGTGTTGTGGCTGGATATCTGACGAAAAGAACCTCAGTCATGCCACCAATTTCGACGAGTACATCAAGGAGGTCGAGACCCAGCTCCTTCGCTCCAGCCTCACAGATTCCATGGTTGCGGGGACAGGACTCCCTCCTAATACATCAGAAATGGCTAACGGGAAGATATCTGGGAAGCCCGTCCTCGTTGAGCTCACTAGTATAACAGAGATAGCCCACAGCGCGTTCAGCTTGCAGAATACGCGACAGACTATGATCGATAGAGCTGATTTGGCTGGGCTCGCGGAAGAGGACGAGGACGAAGAAGGTCGCGCTATAAAATATCCTAGAGGGATGCTCCACCTGACACTGAGCGACGGAGTCACAAAAGTCAAGGCAATCGAATATCGCTCTCTCGCTGATTTGGAGTTAGGAGTGACGCCGTTGGGTTATAAGGTACAGTGCTTAATTTGTTATGCAAGTCAGAAATAATTTCCTGACGCTTAATTCAACATCATCAACAAGTAGATGTTACTACGGGATGTCTCGGTTCGTGGAGGCATCGTATTCCTTGAACCCAGGACTGTGACTTTGTTGGGACACTATACAGAAGATCTTGAAGAACACCGAGACGAAGACTTCCTCCGCAGCCTTCACAGTCGTCTAGGGTAAGTTCCACCTCAGCTCCAGGGAAGCATTTTCTCGGGCATGATACTCGTATTATTCAAGGCAGCCAGAACCTCCCCCAGAACCGCAGAATGACATTCGCATGCAACCTCCCGCAGCTCCTCCAGTCGTCGCAGCACGAGCTGCTGTCGCTCAGACCGGCCCAATAAGGTCACCGCTCCGCGAACTCTCTGATCCCCCCGAACCTCCTGTGGCAGGTTCCTCTCGCACATATCACGACGATGAAGATCAGCCGCGTCGGCGAAAGATCCCTAATAGGCCAGCAGAGTCGGACCTTCCGTTGACATCGGCGTCCACAAGTTCCTCCACCCTTGTCCAGTCCTCCTACTTCTCCCGTGCCACCCCCTCTTCCACATCTTCTCGCGCACAGTCAAGTACTTCCGCAATTCTTCAAAGAGAGCGTATATTTTCCCCAGTACGCTTGGAACCTATAGTCGTCGACAGTGACGAAGACGAACCGATTATAATGCCATCCATATCACGCATTGAGCCGCCCTCCGATCTGTCTGATGCAAGCCCCGACTATTTTGGTGAAATGGATGAGGCATTGCTAGAACAGGCGGACATATTGGAACGAGAAGCACTAAATACACAAACTTCGTCAAGGACCAGGCACAGTCCCGATGTTATCGTTATCGAAGACGATGAAGAGGACGACAAAGAGAATGTTCCCGTGCGTACACGACACGTGCGCAGACGGACAGCACGCTCTCCGGTAGCTATTGACAACGACGATGTCATCGACATCTCAGAATGATACTTCACAAAGGACCACAAACAAGATACTCAGGCTTAAATATATTATATTCAGTTTTAATTTCAGGCGAATGATGGAGCGCGGGATATTGAAGGGTTTATAAACGAACAATACTCTTAATATTCTTGCCCAATGGTAATTGCGCTCTATTTACAGCAATGACTTGCGAGAAATAATCAACCGAGGACAGCAATCTTGGCCTTTTTCTTCTTTTTAGTATTCGAGAAAGACCGCCAACTGTCAACACGCTGGTCTCTTGTCTCTGAAAGGAGGTGATATGTAAGCGGTAATAGAAAATCCTGTTTACAACAGCAAACTACCTTCCCAAGTCTTGTCTTCCTCGGCTTTGCGTTTCCTAGCAGCAACCTCCTCCTCTTTCTTCCTGGCCTCAAGTCCTTCGTTTGCTAAGTTCATCTTTACTGCCCTATTTGCAGATTGTAGCAGTAATAATATAAGTTACGTTCATATCAAGCGATTTTAACCACCTACTTTCGCCTTCTTACTTCCTCCTCTATCAGAAGGTCCTTTGACTGGGCACGAAACTGTTCCTTAAACGGAGGCGAGAGCGACTTGAGTTTTGGGTCGTTATCGAGTAGTGTTGTGGGGAGATTGTGCTGTTTCAAGACAAGTGTGCGGGCCTGTTGGATGATGGCATCAAGTTCCTCACGTTTACCTTTCTCTCCAAGCTCGGATTCAGCCTACGGAAATGGTAGTTATCAACACATTGGTTTTCTCAACATTCCACAAAGATCGTATGGAGAGGGGATGGGGTAATCAAAACGAGTGATAATTACCTTCTTAAGAATGTCAAAAGCATCTGGAGCGCGAGCATGGGGGGTCTTGTCAGGATGGATGACTGTAATTCAGACAACGTACACATGTAGAAGAACGATCATTGTATGTCAAACAAATAGCCATCTGTAAGCGTCTGTGTGCGGGCGAAGGCAGGTGAGGTGGAGGGACGCCGCTCACAGAGAGAGAGCTGTCGATACTTCCGCTTGATTTCTTCGGTGGTTGCGGATTCGTCTATATCTAGGATATCGTAAGGACTACAGCAGGACGGTGGCACTATCAATAAAGGAGAGATGGCAACAACATGATAGGAAAATGAAGCGCACTTTAGTTTGAAGGCTTTGAGGATGCGTTCGACTTCGAGCTCGCGCTGGAAGGCAGACGCTTCACGGCTGAGGAGTTTCTCGAGGTCGGCATCTGTTATGGGGATTTCCTTGGTAGAGCTGGAAGATGCTTTTTGGTCTGGAGACATGGGTTGAGAGTAAAGGACAAGGAGCGCTGGAGAGACGTGAGCGTAACCGAACCTGGATATCCTGCACTCTTGTCCCGATTCAGAGCTCCCACGCGCCACCCACCGAATGCAAAGTGGCAACAGCGTCAGTCGGCAACTGGGTAAACTTGAATGTCTTTCAGACTCCTTACACCATCATGCAGAGTTTTTCTTTCTGCCCAACGTCAGACATCAGTAAGTCATACACCTGAGAGAGCTAGAGTCTAACAAACATTTAATTGTCAGATTATTTTTCCTAGGGCGCACAATTTATTTCAGTGTCGCGCAACTCTGCATACTTTGCCTCGTAAGGATACTTGGCTGAACTCTAGGACAACTCTATGGCGGCATATGGCTACTCAGACGACTGGTAATACTTCACGGTCTTCGCCAGCATCGCGCATTGTGTCGCGAAAAGAGGTCTACGCTGCCAGAAACCGGACGCTGCTCATGTATACTTCTGCAGTTGTACGTCCCCCCATATTCACCGGATTCAATTCATTGATTTAGGCTCCATTTCAGATTGTATTGGCGGTTGGAGTGACATACGCTGCAGTTCCTTTGTACCGTATGTTTTGTGCTGCCACTGGTTTCGCGGGTACGCCGAAAGTAGGGACGGGGCGCTTCGAGGCAGATCGCCTGGTACCAATTGAAGATGCAAAACGTATCAAGGTCCATTTCAATGCGGACAGAGCTGAGGCACTGCCGTGGAATTTCGTGCCGCAACAAAAGTTTGTTACCGTGCTGCCTGGAGAGACAAGTCTTGCATTCTACAAAGCCAAGAACAACTCAAAGAAAGACATTATTGGAATTGCGACCTATAACGTTACTCCTGATCGAGTGAGCTTCCATCGTCACATGGACACTCGCTTCGTTATGACATGAATGGCTTTAGGTCGCTCCTTATTTCTCCAAAGTGGAATGTTTTTGCTTCGAGGAACAGAAACTATTGGCAGGAGAGGAGGTTGACATGCCGTTGTTGTTCTTCATTGACAAGGACATCATGGATGACCCTTCGTGTAGAGGAATAGACGACGTCGTGCTTTCCTACACTTTCTTTAGGTATACTCCTGTGCTTCTTCTCATGCTGTGTACCCTGCTGATGTTTGGTTCTTTTCTACAGAGCCCGACGGAACTCACAAGGCCATCTAGAACCGGATGCAGATGAGGACGTTGTGCAGAAATCCCTAGGGTTTGGCGATTATGAGCTGGGGCCCAGGGCAGAAATTCGCAATGCATCGTCGTCTGCTGCAACTGAGACAAGCTCTTGAGGCATTGGTATGCTCTATCTGGCGGGGGAAGGGACAGGATGACCGACAACTCTAATGGTTGATATTGAACCTTACGATACTCAACATCCGCACCTGCAGGCGTGGCCTGACGTTTTAATTTGGAAGATGTGGAAAAGAGCGGTGGTAGCGATGGTAGCACAATGGTACAAATCTGGAACGACCTTGGCTTTAATGGTATCCCCATTTTCAGTCTGGTTACGCCGCAAGGCACCTCACTCGATTACTTATCTTTTTGAATTTTGATCGACAATCTGGGCGTCAAGATGATGATGAGACTGTTGTCTCAGCTATTAACTGTCGAAGTAGTATGCTTGTAGTGAGCAGTTGCAGTGAAGGACTGAGTGCAAATGGTAGCGATGCTGATGAAAAAAAGGCAGGTTGTATGAGTGAGAAAAAGACGCTGTGCAGGCGTATATGGGTTATATGTCCAGCGGGTATTTGTATCCGCTCTGTTGCATCCACGTGAACATCCTTGCCTTATAACATTTATCAATCAAAAAGTGGTGTCTACAGCACCAGAAAGGCTGCTCCTCTGTGCGCATGGCTACTAGGTCATCCACAAGTCCCCAGTGGGACAGCCGCAACCGTGGCTTCATTTCTCCCGCCGAACTGCAGCAGCTTCGACAAGCCAGCCCAGCAAACGGTCGTCCTGACGTCCACGAGTTTCCAGCACGCTCTCCAGCCGACCAACAGCAGCACCAACATCAGCAAGACCCAGAACAACCTCAATCCAGCACCCAAAACCCCCCGCTGGTAGCCATCACGGCTCCTCAGCCGAGACCGTCCACAGCTGGAAACCAGACCCATACCCGAACTTCCTCTTTCTTCTCATTTCGCTCAAAGCCCTCGAACGTTGACTGGCAGCAGCCACCTCAGCAACAACAACAGCAGCAACAACGCCAGGCAGAACCGCAGTCGCCTCCACGCACGCTCCAGGGCCGCAGACTCAGCAAAACGAACGGTGCACCCTCTGATTTCGGAGTCAGAGCACCTCAACTATCTCAGTCCAAGTCGCTTGGACCATCATCATTGCAAAGCCCGTTAATTCAGCAACAGCAGCCGCCCTCTGGTCGCAGGACATCTATGGCGGCAGGGAACCCTCCAGCGGCGGCACCACCTCTGCATCCTGAAATTCGTTCTGTCGTCCAGCTTACCCTTTGTCATGCGCGTAAAGTCTACTTCTCAGGTCCTCTCATTCGCAGAATAGAAAGGCAGCCAGATGGTCAGCGACCCGCGAAAGACGACGGTTGGTCGGATGTTTGGGCTCAGCTGGGTGGAACCACGCTGAGTATCTGGGATATGAAGGAAATCGAGGAAGCCAACAAACAAGGGAAAGAGGTTCCTCCGAGCTACGTCAACATGACCGACGCAGTGAGTGGCAGCAGATAATTGAATATTCAATATCCTGTCTTACTTCTCTGTCAAGTTTGTCCAAGTTTTAGGTTCAGTTACTGTTCCAGCGACGTCAAATCAACCTCCTCAAAAATACATGAACGTCTTGACTCTTAATACGGCTGGTTCCAATCTTCTTCTTTTCAGCTGTCCGTCCACAGCCGCTCTTGTATCTTGGGCAACTGCGCTACGGCTGGCCGCTTGGGAAAAGTCACGCCTCGAAGAAATCTATACGGCTCATCTTATAAGGATCACGCTCCCCGAAGGTATCTCCTGCTTTATTTTTGTTGATTATTGTACATCTCTTCATCTATATTTATATTAGGCAAGGACACCCGATCGACACTGGTTCGAGGTCGAATGGAAGGCTGGGTGAAAATCCGCCTATCGGGACAAACAGATTGGAAACGAATGTGGATGGTCGTCGCCAGCGGCAGTCATAGCTCTCCAGAAATAGGGAGTAGCTTATCCACTGACAGCACACGTCCGATGTCCCCCAATGCTCCCCGCAAGAAGCGCATGTCTGATTTATTTTCACGAGGTCATAATGTAGAGACTCTCCCACTTAAACCTCTGTTGTCCTTCTACGCATCGCCCAAGCCCAGAGACAAGAAAAAGCCTCTTTTGACGCTGCGTGAGCTTTCGCAGGCGTTTGCCGTGTATCCGGAGCGCCCAGAGTTAATCAATCGAAGTACATTAATGAAACTCGAAGGACTGTTGGGAGATGAAGAAACTGCGGGTGGCATGCAAAACAGAGAAGGATGGTTACTGATTATGCCCGAGCTAGAGGGAGGGAACACTCAAGCCGCAGAGATGTTGAAATGGCTCGTGGGTACGTATAAACGACGCTTCTAACTTGTTTACGACACTGATTTCATGATAGGCATTCATGACGCTTTTGAATTGTACGGACGACCTAAACCGTATACTTGGGACCCTCGAGATCCATCTGCCATGATGTTTGGCTACCCAGTTGGGCCAGGAAGAGATGTGAGCTTCACAGCTGTCCCCTTACTAGTTTCCAGATACTGAAGTTAAAATGCAGCTACTATTCTTAGAACGCGAAGTCGCGGAGTCTATGGATCCCAGGGATGACCGAACGTCAGCTGTGCGCTCACGCCTACTCAATATCCTGTTCGAGCGCATGAGAGGTCCCGGTTCTGTCGGACCAGCCAAACCAACTGACACTCCACCCTCCCTTCCTCCCATCACTGACCTCAGTCCACCGCCTTCCCAGCAGGGACATGACCTTAACGGTCAGAGTAACGGCAATGGCGACGCCCATTATCAACTCCCGTCTCTTGATTTTGATGCGCCTCACGACTCAGCTGCTCGCGCCCTTTCTCCTATCACAGAGCGTAGCACTACTCGCGAGACTTTGGCTGATTTCGGGCGCGCTGGTGCTCACAGTCGCTCTGCCTCTCAGCCTGGTAGCAGACCTATGTCGGACGAACAGGGTGTATCCCAGATGCCATCTATACACGGTACGCCGTCGGTTGTTCCAGAAGTGCAGGAAAGCACTTCCATGCTCGGTTTACCATACACCAGCAGCCCCCCGCCAACTTCACCTCCAGTAGAGTACAAGGACTTCGGTTCTCGCAAATTCAGTACAGACTCTCAAACCAACATGGCGGGTTCTAGGCCTGATTCAAAGCTCAGTCCGAGCCTCGAGAGAGGGAAAACGACGTCTACAGAGAGTACGAATACTTCAAGTTTGGCTGATCCCCCGAGCGCCAGACCATCTGCCAGGTCTCAAGGATCTCCTACTCGCTCTTTCGCGTCTGCACAGCCAGCACCTTCGACGCCCGCGAAACCACCGCGCTACGGAGCGTCATCTCCAGTTCCTGGATCGCCGCCATTCAGTATTCTGACGTCTCCTTACTCTGTTCATGAAACGTCCAAACATAAAGATCTTCCTTCTATCGAGGGGGCACAGAGTGTAACACACGAAACATCCTCTTACGTGCCGTCAACCAAGTCGTCAAAGTCACCAGTTATGAGTTCAGCTTCGCCTACAGTACCTTCAGCGGCGCCCGTCCCTACAGCTAGGCAGGCAGCATCCCAGCCGCCTGCCGCTCCTGCTGCTTCTCATGATCAGAATATATTCAGTGATGCGCTGTTTTACATGCAACAACTTGATGACAAGCCCAAGGGTAAAGACACAGCCTCAGGGTCTCGTCGTGTTCCTACTACCATTTCAGAAGACGAGGATGAGGAATCTACTTCCACGTCCGAGTTTGAAAATAGGCCCAGTGAGCCGGAAAGGAAATTATCCATGGAGCAATCAGAAGGAGGACGACATGCTGGCGCGACCACCCACGCTGTTTCTCAGCCCCAGCCTCAGCGGCGGGGCACACCAATGGCGTTGAGGGAAAGGCAGGGACCGGAGGGCAGCGTTCCCACGCCGGCCGGCGGCTTGCAAGAAACTGGCGTGACTTCTCCGTTCGGGTCCAGACCTCCGTTGGGACGTAAGCCATCTGGTGCACGTGCGCCACATGGCAGCCGACTACTAAATGCAGACAGCTCGTCGGTTTCTTCACCTGAACAACGCTTTCACAAGGGCGACTCTGAGAGTATGACTGACCATTCCACACAGCAGTCCTCGCTCCCAGAAGACCACAATGCAGATGCTTTGGCTGCCCTTTCCTTCCTCGACAACGATGCAGAGCCCGCACCTCCACCCCCAGCACCCTCCCCATCCCCTCCACCCCAGGCTACGAGGTCTCCCGCCATTGACAAGACCGTGAGAACCGACTCACGTCCAGGAAGCTCGGAGAATGGCTCACAGTATCGCTCATCGTTCGCACCTTCGAAGCAAGCTGCAGAACGTAAAGCGAGGACACAGGCGCAGCAGGCTGCTCACCACGCTGCTGTCCATCGACCTGGGAGGTTGAATGGAAAGCGTACAGTTTCTGGAGGAAGTAATGTTGGTTGGCATGAGAGCAGCGAGGAGGAGGAGGAAGAGGAGGAGGAGGAGGAAGAGGATGAAGATGCTGACTCTGATGGAGAGCCATCGACTACGGATAGCAAGCGGATGGGCCCGGTATCTGCTCCAACTCCACCTACTGCAACGACTCGGCCATTGCGTCCCCACAGCCGCAATGACTCTGCAGAGCCTCCCGTTGATGTCAGCAACTACCCGCATCTCCGACAACCTCGCAATCTCCCTCCTGTACCCAGGCAACAGCAACAAGGTGAGTTAGAAATAGCTTCTCTTGCAGATCTACAACTGACTTGTTCAACGTTTAATAAAGATGATTACTTTGGTGGTGCGCAACCTCCACAGCGTCGCATTGTATCTGATCAGCACCCCGAATCTATGCGACGTACTCATTATGACGAAGCGCCCATGCGATCTCAGACGGATTTCAATCAGCATGCCGCTACGCGACAGAGCATCTGGACCCAAGTTCTTGAACCTGGACGTAATAATGGTGCACTTCCCGAAGCCCCCGCTAATACCAGGGACACCTTCGTACAGATTGAGCCTGCCTCGCAGACGATGACCAAAGCTTTCACGCCTCATGGCCTGCTGTCTGCTGGTATGCAAGATAAACAAGATAGGTCAGCTAAAAGACAAGAGGTGCTCGCTCGGGAGAGTGGCGCGTCGCTCATTAATGTGCCCAATAAGCCTCCACCTCCTCAAACAGGACTGTTAGGCGCTATTACAGCCCATGAACGGGAGCGCAAACGTGAAGGAGGCGTGGGTGCTGCTCTGACGGAGCGCGAGCGAGAAAAGCGATTAGCAGAGGATAGGCAGCGAAAACTCGATGACTTCCAGCGTCAACAACTTGAGATGGCCCAGACAGGTGCATCCATGTATGGCGGTCAACAGTTCCCTGGATTCAATCCCATGATGACGAATCCCATGATGATGGGTATGAATCCAATGATGACAGGGGGATACATGGGTTATCCAGGGATGATGCCAAACTACGGCAATCCCCAATATATGTTCGCAGCTCAACAAGCAGCTCAGGCAGCATACCAGCAAGCTATGATGGCGTTTTCTACTGGTTCCCACGTAGGGCCTGATGGCATGCAAGGTTCGCCCCCGATGGGTCCTATGAATCCTATGATGACAGGCGGTGGTATGGGTGGTTTTGATCCTCGTATGTCCATGATGGGCATGCCTATGATGGGCTCACCAATGCCGAATATGGGACCTATGAACATGGGTATGGGGGGAATGGGGATGCAAATGACCGGTGGTTCTGCTTTCGACCCACGCTTCTCTCCCAATGCTATGGATGATAATTTGCGCCCTCCCGCAGCTCTTGGTGGCCAAACTCCTGGACAGGGGTCATCGAGGAATAGCTCTGCCGGTCCCGGTTCTCCAGCAGGACCACGCCCTGCAGACGCCCCCGAACCTGCGAGAACACCAGGCCAGGATGGCAAAAATTAAATCATGATAACCTTCTCTTCTTTGTATGGATGACACGAGCTTCTTATGACCCTACTTATGACAAAAATGGCTTTTCCCAAAAGATGTTTTCGGCTTCGTTTGCTCTGCCAGCAGTTAAACATGGACTATGGCTTGCCTTCTTTATCTTACTTGTTCTCTCGCATCGTTATTTCAGGTTCCTGCACCTTGTTAGGCATCACTATCTAAACATGTTTTTTTTTCCTCTTTCAATTCAAATTCTGAATATCCTGGAACCCCAGTAGGCGAGCGTTTGCCACGCTTTGCTGCTCGGAACGCACTGCAGTGATCGGACGGCACGTGCGCGTGGCAAAGCCGTCTCCGTTCAGCGAGTCCGAGTCAGCGAAAGCCACCAACGAAAATGAGACTCACGCCTTGCATGGCTTTTCTAACCTTGCACATTGAATCATGGGTGTAAAATCGTTATGGAGTCTGCTATCACCCGTCGGACGTCCTGTGATGTGTGTAACTATCCCTGTCACTCTGATCCCGTCTAATATACTGCAGGTTAGAAACCATAGAGGGCAAGGCTCTAGCTATCGACTCAAGTATCTGGATATACCAGTTTCAGGCGACAATGCGCGATAAAGATGGCCGCGCTCTGGTGAACGCACACGTCCTAGGTTTCCTGCGTCGGATATGTAAACTTCTTTTCTATGGTATCAGGCCCGTCTTCGTGTTTGATGGAGGTGCCCCTGCGCTTAAGCGCAACACCATTGTAAGTTTCCTCTTCCTGTTTCATGAACTCATTCGATTGCGCATTCTCTTGCAGTCAGAGCGGAAGAAGAAGAAGAGTGGTGCTGCAGTCAGCCACGTAAAGCTCGCGGAGAGGCTGCTCGCTGCTCAGTTACGAAGAGAAGCTCTGGGCCATGCTCAGGCAAACCGGTGTGTTTATATTCCCTCATGACTAGTCGTCACTGTTTGTCTCAATGATAAGTAGTCCACCTGTATCGAAGGGCAAGGGGAAGGCGCCCGCGGGTTCTGTCATGATTAATGAAAACACCGTTTATCTTGAGGATATTGATAATTCTGTAGTGAAGACCCCAGCAAAGAGGCCAGAAAATGCCAATACGAACACCCAATCTCCCTCGTCGTCGTCCAAGAAGAAGGGTCGCTTTCATGATCACGACCCGTATCGACTGCCAGAAATCAACATGGATGAAGTGATAGCTCAAGCGACCAGATCAAGTGCTCCCGATCCTCGTCTTGCAACAGAGGAAGAGTTGAGGGCTTTCATAGAAGATATGCGACCGGAGGATATAGATGTCAACTCCCCTGCCTTTCGTGAGTTACCCACTGAGGTACAGTATGAAATCGTGGGCGATCTCCGGCTCAAATCGCGTCAGACGTCCTACAAGCGCCTTCAAAACATGTTGCAGAAAGCATCGACTCCCCTTGACTTTTCAAAAGAGCAAATAAAGAACCTCAAACAGCGTAATGCCCTGACACAGCAGCTGCTCACGACCACTGATAGCATTGGAAAAGCCCATATTACCATACCGGTCCGAATCGCCAGTGAGCGCAACAGAGAGTATTTGTTGATGAAAAACGAAGGTGAGGGCGGAGGGTGGATTTTAGGTATTCGCGATGAAGGGACGAGGGCGAAGCCTATCGAAATTGACCAAGAGGATCATCACCATCGTTCTGATGAAAGCGACATGGAGATGGAAGAAGTCACCATGTAGGTCTTTATCTTTGCTATGTGATGATAGTTCTAATGACACTTGGTTATATTTCTCAAGCCCTGGGAGAGTCACTGCAGATCCTGACCTACGAGAATACCAGCAGACTATGGCTCTATCTGCCATCGGCAAGCGTTCGTCAACACATATTACGCGACGCCCTCCTCCAAAACCTCTTCAGAGGAAGACAAGGCCAAAACCATTGTTCGAGCTAGAGGATGAAGATGACAGGCCACAGCCCATCGAGGACGACGAGGACGTACAGCTAGCCATGGCTATACAGGCCTCCTTGGAGGAACCGACGGTAGCAAAGCCCTCCCGGGACGGAGATCATGCAAGCCATAATACATCAAAGCCGTTGGAAGCTAGGGAGCCGCTTGGCAGTGTACCCCAAACGCCGCCTCCCAAGCCAATGAACGCCATTTCTCATAATGCCCGCTTTTCTGACGACCCCCCTCAATCTACCGAATTGTATAATTATCTAGACGACGACGACCTGTACGCTTCTCCAAATCGCTTGGAAACGGTGCTCTCATTGGCGGGAACCAACTCTCTACGGACTCCGTCGCGGAACTTTGCTGGTCATTCTTCTGAACCGTCGCTAGCAATGTTTGGAAAACCCACACTTTTGACTTCGGAACCTTCGTCTTTGCCCTTTTCGGAACCGCGGGCTGCGAAAATACAGCTTGAGGGGGAAGGCATACCTCCTCGATCGGTGACCCCTGTCAAACAAACTCGTACTATCCCATCACCAGCTACACCTCATGTCGTATCGCATTCCACGCCGGGACAACAACCCCTCCCTACCACGATAGAAGGGGTTAGTGAAAGTGAGTTGGATGACGACATGGAAGAAGTGGTAGTGCACGCGACGTCTATTGCACCAGCTGCACCTGATGTCATATCACATTCCACCCCAGCACAACAATCTCTCCCTATCACTATAGAAGAGGTCAGCGAAAGTGAATTAGATGACAACATGGAAGAAGTGGTAGTGCCCGCGACGTCCATTGTTCATTTGGAAGCGGCAAACATTGATCATCATCATCATCATCATTCAATAAGAAACGATCCGGAGCCTTCTAATCATTCATTAACTGAGTTTATAGTAGAGGAACCTGCTGCCTTGCTTGAAACGCAAGGAGCCGAGCCGTCTACAGGTTACACAGAGTCATCCTCGGGTCCATCGTCAATACCGATCACAGTTATGGCTGTAGACCCAGATGTGCAAGATTCTGACAATGACTCACTAGAACAATGGTCTCGATCACCGTCACCAAGCTTCGATCCCACCCGCGAAGCTAGGGAACCCCATGTAACGGAGAACTGGGATGCCGCGCAAGAAATGGATCCTCATGCTGAAGAAGGAGAGTTCGCTCGTTTTATTTCTCAAGTCAAGGGGAGAGACCTAGACGCCGTCAGGCTTGAAATCGACGAGGAGATAAGGACGCTGAACCACCAGAAGAAAGCAGCAATGCGCGACTCTGAGGACATCACTCAACAGATGATATCTCAGATCATGGTGTGTCATCGTTACAGCATACTTCTCCGCACCATCAATCTGACTAGCTTTGATAGCTCCTACTACGATTATTTGGTATCCCATATATCACCGCACCAATGGAAGCCGAAGCCCAGTGCGCCGAGTTGGTGTCGCTAGGATTAGTGGATGGTATCATCACGGATGACTCGGATGTATTTCTCTTCGGCGGCCAGCGTGTCTTCAAGAATATGTTCAATCAGTCTAAGACTGTGGAGTGTTTTCTTCTATCTGATCTTGGGCGTGAACTTGGGCTAGAGCGTGGAACACTGATTAGGCTGGCATACCTGCTAGGGAGTGATTACGTTGAGGGTCTATCTGGAGTGGGGCCGGTCGTGGCAATGGAGCTGCTGAAAGAATTTCCGGGCGAGGACGGGCTTCATAAATTCAAAGATTGGTGGCTGAAGGTACAGAGCGGTCGGGACAAGGATGAAGAAAACAAGTCCAAGTTCCGAAAACGTTTTGTGGGTCCTGCCGTAACCGACATATTAATCGAATGCTCATTTTGATGAAATAGAAGAAAAAATACAAGGATCTATACCTACCACAAGAGTGGCCCAATGCAGCAGTGGTATGTCTGATGCTAATCAACTTTTGACCAGCCCTCCTAACGTGATGGGCACTACTTTGTTTCATTCGTCCAGCGGGATGCCTACTATCACCCTACGGTAGATTCATCGGAAGAACCATTCAAGTGGGGCCTACCCGACCTTGATGCTCTACGCGAGTCAGTGGCTTTATTATCTAAAGCGGAAAATGTTTAAGTCTAACTTCACGGTAGTTTCCTTCGTGAGGAGCTAGGATGGGGTCAATCCAAAGTTGACGATCTTCTTCTACCGATTATTCAAAAGATGAACAAACGAAAGCAGGTGCGACGGCCACTTTGTTCGATACTTGATACAACGAAACGGGGATTAATGCAAATTTAATTTTGTCCAGGCTACATCCTTGAATAGACAAGGCAACCTTAATAACTTTCTAGATGTAGCGCCGGGATCACATGCACCGCGGAAACGTCAGGCGTATGCAAGCAAACGGTTGCAGCAGGTCGTCTCAGAGTTCCGCAGTGAACAAGCCAAACTTAAAGGGAAACAGCCGACGTCTGAAGAAGATAAATCAGAATCCGACGTCGCGGAGGACGTACCCCCTAAGAAAAAAAGAAAGACAGGGGTACAAGGAACAAGAAGAAAAGGTGGGACCAAAACGGCCGTAGATAATTCTAAGGAGAAGAAATCTACTGTCAGTCGTAAGAGGGGTCGCGGAGGACGAGCAGGCACGACTTCTGGAAGTCGAAAGAATGACACTGGATCTGTAATTCCTTCAAAAGGGAGTGAGAGTGCAGACGAGTACAAGGGTGACAGCGGCCACGAGGCAGATAGGAGGGCACCTTCTCTCGCGGTCCAGCTTCGACCGCGAGCGAGACCGATACCGAAGGGGAGCCAACATATTGTATCAAATGCGTACGAATCGGATGGAACATGAGCGGGAATAAAACCTACTATTTTCAAGTACATGTGCACGCTGGGCGGCCCTGAGTTCTCTGAAGTTCAAATCTGGAAAAGACGATGAATTTTAGTAGTAACAAGTCTCGGTTCGGATCCGTCAGTACAAGCTTGGTTTGTTGTCCGATCAAATGCATTGGCTGAAAGAGATCAAAAAGACGTATACACGCAACAAATCACGACCAGAAGAATAGTCTTGACAGGAGCACGATGCCCTCGGCGTAGCACAACACTTGTTAAACTTAAGGATCAAGAGTTACGTATTTCCGGAAAACATTTCAACCGGGCGAATATGCATTGACATCAAAAAGTACAAGCGGATTTGAATCACTCGTCTTCGGCGTCAGATCCTTCGTCCCTGGCCTGACATAAAATAAATGAGTTGTGAATTAATCGTTTGAGAAGAGAATAATTGTGCATACCTTATTCTCTTCCAGTCCGCCAAGTTCCCTGACGAGACCGGAATACGGATATTCCCGAGGGACGGTTGGTCGCTCCGGCAAGAGGACGAAGTTGCACAGCAGACCGAAACTAACAAACGTCATGGCGGCTATGGAAAAGTGCAAAAGAGCAGTCCGAGGGGGCACGACGGGAGGGTCCGGGCCCCACATGGATAGAACTTCGTCATTTTCATGCACCTGCAGTGGTTTGTTTAGTAAAGCAAGCACCGAGAAGCAGAGCATCGTACGGGATCTCCAAAGTTCCGCCTCATCTGCTGATCCCACCATCCTCTGGCGGGTAAGGTTTGGTTAGAAACGAAGGGAACGTCAGGGTAATCAGCTAGCTGAGGATCTCTTTGCTGAGCATTGTAGGTAGCTGGTGTAGCGTAGGACCGGTGTGAGGGCGGTATCCTGGCGATGCGCTTTGCTGAGGCATACACGCTGTTTGGTACGCGCATGATGGATGGTGGAAGAGAGGAACGCTGGTATCGACGGACAGAGTGCGCTGGACCCCGGGTGGACCCCGGAAAATAATGTCCTAATGGAGATGGGACCCTGGGGAGTGCGAATTGGAGCGACCAGGAACGGGTGTAATTAATTATGGCAGAGCCGGGTAAGTGTGTCAAGCGGCGGGACCATTTCGGTGTGTATCTGGAAGAGACGGCCATCATGGTTGCCCATCCAATAAATTTTCGAGATCTCGATATTTACCAGGCGGTTTCAATACTTGGTTAGCTTAAAGCTTAAGCTTCTTGTCTCCTGGAACGAGTCCTTTCTTTCTTGCTTCTCTCCTCCTTGACCTTTGCGACATCATCGCTGGCTTTCATCCCGACAGAACCGCGGTCGACTTCTAGAAATTTGGTACTTTTTTTTATCTCACCCTCATTAATATCTTGCTTATAACCATCTCCTCACTTGGCCGTTCTTCTTCTACAGTTCAATGTGCTTTCTCCTACTATGAGCAAAACCCAGGTCAAGGACGTCCAGGACGAGCTTTTGAAGAAACGTAAATGCAGACGACGTCCAGGAGATGTCATATACCCTTTGGAATATACCAACGAGATGGTGAATTTGTGAGTCATGCTTGCTCTTCTCCACCCATCCAGTCTCGCGTTCATCGGCTCACTGGTCGTCTCAAGTGATAACTGGGATCATCTATTTTTCACCAAGTGTTGCAGGAGTCTCACGATGCACCAGTTCGATACCCCCCCACTTTCAGTCTTAGATTTGGGATGTGGTCGTGGTTTGTGGGCAATTGAAGCCGCGAAGCAATGGAAGGTTCACCATTTCTATATCTTACTCATTCACCCACGCTCAAAACGGGCGCTCAGGAAAGCTTCATAGTTGGATTCGACATCAAACCCAAACAGCCCAAGCTCAGTATTCTGGATCCATGTATTGCTCGAAGGTTGGAGTGGGTCGTTGGTAACTTGTGAATAGCTTCGTTTCCCATCGCTGAGCTATAATTACTAACGTCGTTGTATTCCAGCCTCGACCCTTTGCCGTTTACAGCGGGCCAGTTCGATTTAGTGAGGATGGTCCGTTTAGGCCTTCATATTCCCGAGGACGAAGTATGCATTTTTCTTATCATTAGTCATTGTATTCGCTAAGAAATTGAATTGAAAACGCAGTGGCCCTATGTCTTAGAGGTAGGTGCAATATTTTTCTGTGTCGTAATAGAACGCTTAAAGTGATCATCTGCCGTCTATAGGAAGTCACACGCGTTCTGAAGCCAGGTGGCGTGCTAGAGGTGCGGACTATCGCTTCTTTGGACATCGTCTGTGTTGTCATCTAAATGACATCTGCCCCTGCTTTTAGATGGTCGAAGAAGATCTTATTTTCCCGTGCCAGAGAATTGATTCTACAATAACATTTTCTTCCAGCGGTCCCTCTTCCATTAAAAGTTCAGCTAGAAGCTCTAAAACTGATGTGACCGTCGTCTCCGAGTCGTATCAAAAGCCGGAGTCTTCCAACAATGTACTCAATTCGAAGAGTGGTAGCGCGGATACGTTTCCGTCTTCTTCAGCTTCACCTTCCACCGCATCTCTCGCCGAAACGATCCCCGAGGAACAAGGGCCAGTCCAACCGGCTCCTGATCTGCGGGACCACTCTAGACTGAAACAGGCATGGGAAGACATGCTCGACAGCCGCTTTCTTGCTTCGCAGTTGCTTGCAGTTTTGCCTTTCTATCTAAACTCGTCGTTTACTGAAATTCGATCACGACCACCTCTCCAATTTCCATTACCGTCGAACTCTCCTCTCACAAAGGACGCCCGACCACCATGGAGAGGACAAGACCTACTAGATCCAGATTCGCTTTTCGTCCGGGTGTCTTCTCATGGAAGACCTTCGGGTGGCACCAACAGTAACGACGACGACAATGTTTCAATACACACCAAAAAATCCTCGCAAAGAGCGATACCATCATCGGTGTCCATGCATCTCGCCCGTACGGTGCGCACTATTATTGGATGTAAGGATTCCATATGGGAAGCCTACGAGAGACTTTTCGGCAACGACCCAAACATGCCACGCATTATGAGGACCTCGAGACTGAGGGACATTAAGAATAGGATAGATTTCATCAGCGGCGAAGATTTAGAACCGTCTATAAATTCGACGCGCGCTTACTTTGAACGGGATTGGCAGAACTGGGAGAAGTAAGGCTTTTCATAGCACAAGTTACTTTGGTCGCTGACTTTCACATTAGCGACATGACCGACCGTATTGGTATACGAGGGAGCATAACCTCGGAGCTTTTGTGGGCCGAGCCATTAGGGAAGCCTCCAGATATGCGCGTATGGCGAAAGTCGTTACCTCCACATGCGGGGAGCCCGATACTCGAGGTGGAGACAAAACCAGCCGACCTCTGCAGAAGCCTGCGAGGTTTTGTGTGTTGGAAACCTTTTAACAACGACAGTGTCGACACATTGGTGGGTGGAGGAAGCGTAGTCACGATCCCCGATCTCGATGCCTGCAAAATTAAAGGGAAGTGAAGACGGCTTTCGTTATTCAAAGCATCGAGATCTTTGGCTGCGACATTACGGTCGATCGCTTTCACGTTCTGGGAGTTGGACCATTATTCTTTCTCTATACTAGTCGAGCACCATTTATGACTCTTTCAGTCTTGCTTTCAGTGGTATATATCTGCGTCGCATCTGTATTTTACTCAAATGCTTTGAAAACCTGGATTGGCTGTTTTGACTGGCAAGGACATGACCGGCGCATGGTTACCAAATCGGGCAAGAGGTGGCTAGATGAATGGCTTCTCCTAGTTGAACGCTTTTCAAGTGCAACACCATCCTCCTCTTTGCACCACGCTTGTTCACATTTTATATCTTTCATTTCCCCCCATCCCCCCACCTCACTCTCCATCATGTCCGAGCCTGCAAAATCCGATGTCCCAAAACCTGTTGAGAAACCCCGTCTGACAACCGAGGCAGATGTAACCAAATATAAGGTGCGATCTCTAAAGTACTATACGCCCTATCTTCCCCAGATTGCTAATATCCAGCCTTCTCATTTTTCAATCGTGCAGACTGCCGGAGATATCGTTAACGATGTGATGAAGAAGCTGATCGATCTCTGTGTCGAGGGTGCAAAGATCATCGATATCTGTATCGAAGGCGACAAGCTCATCGAAGAGGGCACAGGAGCCGTGTACAACAAAGCTGTCAAAGGCGTAAAAGTTAGCAAGGGCAAGTCGTCTCATCACCCTATTCAACATAGGAAGCCACTGACGGGAGATCACACGACTTAGGTCTTGCCTTCCCTACCTGTGTGTCTGTAAACAACGCTGTTGCACACTACTCTCCCCTTGCGTACGTTTTATGGATCTAGCCAAATTGCGATGATCCTCATAAAGGATCCTTCCGATCTCAGCTCCGATCCCTTATCTTCTCAAACCCTCGCCAAAGACGATGTCGTCAAACTCCACATCGGCGCACACATCGATGGTTTCGCTGCCATCAGCGCAGAGACCCTCGTTATTGGTGCAACAGAAGAAAACCCTGTGACGGGTCGACGTGCAGATGTCTTAAAGGCGGCATACAACGCAGCTGAGATTGCGATGAGACTGGTCAAAGTCGGAAACAAGAATTATGCAGTTACCGACACTGTAGCAAAGGTGGCCGCTGCCTGGGACTGCAAACCAGTCGAAGGTAAGCTGCCGTAATACTCACTCATGTTTTTTTTTCTCGTAACATTGACCACCGACACGGATAAATCCAAAAAAAAAAAGGCATGCTGTCTTGCCAACAAACCCAGAATGTCATTGATGGAAAGAAGCGTATTATCTTGAACCCCAACGAAACTCAGAGGCGGGATTGCGAAACCGTTACGTTCGCAGAAGATGAAGTGTATGGCATCGACATCTTGATTTCCTCAGGCGAGGACGGCAAGGTAAAAACTCAGCTTTGGCCGATCATCCCCTGGATACTGACTGTAACGCCATTGATAGGCCCGAGTTGAGGACTCGCGAACCACCATTTATCAGAAAGAAGGCTCCGTCACATATCAGCTCAAGATGAAAAACTCGCGTGCAGTGTTTTCTGAGGTACAAAAGAAAGCTGGCGCATTCCCATTCAATGTTCGTGCGCTTGAAGACGAGAAGAGAGCTCGCTTAGGTTTGCAAGAAGCTGTTCAACACAGTCTTATCAAGCCTTACGACGTTGTGTAAGCTCTTTTCGTGGTGTCCGCGAAACAACTTTTTTCCTTGTCTAACTTCACGTTACCAGCTATACTCCCGCAAATACTTTTGTTGCAGCATTCCACTTCACCGTTGCACTGCTCCCTGCCGGACCTCTGCTTATTACGCATCCCCCACTGTGGTACAAGCCTGAGCTCGTGAAGACTGACAAGGAGTTGGAGGACGAAGAGCTGAAGGCTTTGTTAACGAAATCACTGAGGGAGAGCAAGAAGAACAAGAAAAAGGCCAAGGCTGAGGCTGAGGCCGCTGATGGAGCAGAGTCGAAGTGAACCAAAAGAAGTCTCAACAGGCCATTATTATTGAAACATATATAACAAACCGAGAGACTTGACGCTCACGGACCTGATTGTATTATCCGTCGCCAGTGGGGATGTAAGAACAGAGTACTACTACAAATGATGAAATGGTGATTTGGCCAGCGGTGTTCCACTGTTCCAGTCGAAAAGTCAAAAATGTCTATTTTATATGAATCATTGGCGTGCGTGTTGCTCTGCTTCTTCTCCAAACTCTCCTATTGTCCGAACCACCAGGTCTAACTTCTCGAGGAAGCCGTTTATCGTGAGTCTCGCCAGCCGGATGGTCAGCGTCTTGAATGTCCTAGAATTATCAAGGGTGGATCAAAAGGATGGCGCGATCATAAATTATTCCAAAGACATACACGACCAGTTGATCGCCATCGACGCTTAGATCGCGTTTCACGGCGTGGGGCTGCAGCTCAGCATCAACATCAATGACCTGCTTTGCGATGGTGGCATGCTTGGTGCTTGCAAAGGGAACGCGGACGGTCCTGCAGTCTAAGCGTTAATTCCAAGGCAGCCAGGCTACGATCCGTTCGTGAGGGTAAGATCTTACAATGTATGCCATGTCGAATCATCGGTGGACATGATGACGGTTTCAATTACGAAACCTTCACGGGTAGATTAGCTCGACTAGGTTAGTAGTACTGTATGTAAGGTTATCCGGATCCAGATTCAGAATGTTCCATCAAGACGACTCTTATCGCAGCTGCTACAGATTCAAGCAACAGGCAACAACGCTCAGCTCAGGTCGCTCATTTCCAACGAAAATATTTAAAGAATAAATTCCTTGCGTGCTATCACACTACAATTGTTTTGATTTCGCAGGTAAGCTGCTGATTTGCCCAGCTCGAATCGCCGCCGCCGCCAACATCAAATTGAAAAGCACACCTCCAACTCGAGAGATCAAACAGCCTAACCCCACCTCTCTCAAAACCCCCAAGTAAGACAAGCCTTAAAAGTTATAACCACGACAAAGTAGATCATTTCCAAAAAAACACACTACAAGAAACGTGAAAGGGATAAGAATAAAAACCAGCGCCCGGGCTAGGAAAGAAGGCGGCATCTCCAGGATAAAAATAAAAAAAGGAAAAGAGAAGATGGGTAGACGGCCAGCGGGGTATATTACCCAGACGTGAAGCGTTCAAGGGTTTCTTATAGAGAGAAGGCGAACAGGGCGGCAAGAGCACTGCCGAAGATCGCGCTTGCGCCGAGGTGGTTGGCGGTTAAAGCGGCGCCAGAGGACAATGGGTTGATACCTGCGTTGGCGGCACCTGCAGGGGCGAAGGGGCTGGTAGTGGGAGCGCCAGAGCCGCTGTCAGTACCACTTGGGAGGCTACAGTCATCTAGAGTCAGCAATATGCATAGGCGGGTTCAACAGAACTGATACTCACGCAGTGGGAACGGATGCAACGCTGGTGGGTGCGACGGATGCGGAGGACGAGCTGGAGGCGAGGCAGGAAGAGTCACTGCTGCCTTGAACAGTAATCTAACCACGTTTATGCGATCAGCTTCCACTTGCCACGTTTTCGAATGCCACGCATCAACTCACCGTTCCGCTCCAGGCTTCGTCACCGTTGTTGTCTGCGAGAGAAAGCACGACCTGAGTTCCGGCGGTGATGTTAACGGTGTAGGCTAATTCCGTGGCGCTGGTGTCGCCGAGATCTTGACTGTAAGATGATATGTACATCAGCCTTCCAGAGCAAAATAAAGGAAAGACGGAGGGCGTACAGTGGGTTACCACACATATCATCTGCGGAAACGATGATCAAGTTGTAAGGAGGTTGAGAGGCGCTCCATGTGATGTTAGCGGATTGGCACTACAATAAACCGACAGAGGTGTGCTCAGTATCCCTTGGAACGCGTTTGAAAAAAACAAGTAAAGGCTTTACTTGGGTGAAGGTTGGGGTGTCGATTTCGAAATCGGCAAAGACGCCTTGAATCGCGAGTGCGAAAAAGATGGTGACGGAAAGGAGTGTGGCGAACATTGTGTTTTCGCTGGTGTAGAGGTGGGGGGGATATATACGTTAGAGGCTAGGGCTGGCCTGGGGGTGAGGATGCGGTGAGGAGGAGACGAGGGATGAGGAAAATAGAACTGGGGAGGCCACGCCGCTACCTTAAGACAACCGGAAAACACAATCACAAACGCATCAAAATCAATATATTTGAAATTCCGACAATGATGCACCCGAGTTTCATTCACAACAACTGCCCGTACGGCATCGTTTCAGGAAGACCTTCTCAAATGTTTGTAAACCTTGTCTTTGTGAACATTCCATTGTTATGTGCATTACAGTCTATCCTATGCATACTTTACAGTTTACTCTTATACTGAGCGAGGTTTCTTCTCCTCGTCATGCTGCAACAGATGATGAGAGGTTGTCATGGCCACATCGACAGCTTTTGACAGGTCACTTACCCAGAGTGAGGAACAACACTTGGGCTCATCTTCGGAGCGTCAACAGGAACCCGCTGATCAACGGGCACATAGTCCCGCTTTTCAGCGCCAACATAAATCTACATTAAAAAAAATGGCGAGAACGGGGGAGCCGATGAACAGCTGCAAGGAAAGGTATACGAAAGGGACTCTACCTGACGAGGTCTCCAGATCTTAACACCGTCGGGGTGAAGCATCATCTACACAGGTTTTGTAAATCTGACCGTGCCACAATCAATGTTGTCACCTCACCTGTCGCCAGTGTGCCAGCCATCCAACCACTCGGGGGACGACGAAGAGGACTGGGAAGAAATCAAGAGGGAAGCCTATAAGAACCGGCGTGAGATACTGTAGGTCTTCCAAGAAGACGAGCTGGAAATTTACCCATGGCACGGTAGATGAGACCGCTGATTGATATAAATGCCTAAGTCACATGAGAACCTGTGAATATCAGGGCACGCACCTCCTGAAAATACGAGACGACAGTCAGAAGTGTCTAGTCAACATTGAAACCTAATACTCACCAAAAATCGACATTTGGTGCAAGTTTTCGAGAAACAAAGTATTGATCCTTGATAGCAGCATCATGGAGGGCCATGGCAGTGTCAAGCAGCTCATCTTTGCCTGTCCTACAATATCAGAGGTTAACAAAAAGACATTGTAAGAATTCATGGCTGTACTTACACTGCAAATACTTCATCCGCAACTTTACGGATAATGTATGAACGAGGATCCGACTGATCATAAGGTCAGTCCAGCTTTCTCCGTCCTACAGTAAAACTTACAGTCTTATACACGCTGCCCATAAATTCAGATTTCATTATGTATGAGATATAAATGAGACTTACCGATGCCCGAAGCCAGACAGAACTTTTTCACGTTTCTTTACTGACTCGAGGAACGCCGGTACGTTGGCAGGGCTAAGTGCAATGTATGAGTTAGAAAAGGAAAGAGAAAAGGGCATTCGATCTTACCTGCCAATAGATATCAGCATGCGAATCACAGCTTCGTTGGCTCCGCCTGTAAAATAATTTTTAAGTACAGCATTTTATCAGTTACAGGAAGTTGGATTACCATGTAAGGGTCCACTGTCGCGCGTCCGGTTATATTAGTACAAGAAGACACATCCTGTCGCGTCGGGACTCACTAGAGTGATGCACAGCCGGCCCTAAAATACCAGTCGACTCGGTGAGAATCACACAAACTTGATCATCTTAAGAAACTTACGAGACGGCACTGTATGGATCCACGAGCGAACTACCCGCCTGGAGAACTGTGGTGCTTGATGCATTCATTTCATGGTCTGCGTGAAGAAGGAAGAGTACATCGAGTGCATGTTCGAGGACAGGATTTGGGCGGTAATCTTCGTGTCCGAGGTAGTCCATTTGGTACAAGAAGCTGAAGTCATGGAAAAATCAGGAATGACAACGCAAGTACGCTAAGGTCAAGAAACATACGAGCCGGTATAACTGAGTCCTGTTGGAGGGGTGACGAACTCACGACCTTGGCGGACACGGTAAGCCATGCTTGAATAAAAAGTCACTTCTCCTGCGTTAGATACGAAGCCTAGTGGCAACTCACGCGGCAAGAGTAGTCGCCTTTCCAATAAGTCTGTATATCTGCTTATCCATATTCTGAAGGGATGCCTTGTCGCCCTTGGTGAACAGTGTCTGCCCTGTACACGATATTCAAAACTTCGACACGGTTTATACACATTGCTCGTCGTACCTTCAAGGGAAGGGTTAGCTTCACTGTAGTAGGAACCCAAGTAAGCAAAGGCGCTCGTAAGAATGGCCATAGGATGTGCATCATATCTGTACAGATGATTGTGGATGAACGCCAGTTTCTAATCACTATGAAGTGAATGCTTACCTGAAAGAGCGGAAGAACCCCGCTGCGTCGGCATGCATGATACCATGCTGGAGCACCTCAGTCTCAAAGCTTGAGAACTGGTTATTAGTCGGTAGCGAGCCATAGATGAGGAGGTAAGCGCTTTCGAGGAATGACGATTGCTCCGCTAGCTGTTCTATAGGGTAACCGCGGTATCGTAAAACTGTTCTTCCAGACATACTTCAGACACCTTCGTAAAACAAGAGTACGAACGACAGCGGGACACACACCTCCAGCTTCACCATCTATGTAGGTGATATGGCTTTCAATAACAGCGGTGTTCAAGAATCCCTTGTCCGCTACGCGCAGTCCCTTGTCGGTCTCATCCTCGTCGCGGTCAGTGGAGCTCTTTGGAGCAGAGACGGCCTTGAAGGCAGTTGCAGGGATGCTGTTGCGCGTTATTCTAGTCAGCGGCGATAGGAAGTCAGTGTGGAACGAGTGAGAGCGAGGGGATGGGTGAAAGAGACTGACGGGATGGTGTATTTCTTGCCAGTGCGATTGTCAACGACGGTGAGACTGTTTGCGCTGTTTTTTGAGGATGGAAGGTCTTGTCCCATGGCTGGCTCGTGAATGGGCGGTTATGATATTTCCTTTGGACGCTGGAGTGCGCTCTTATAGAATTACTTTTGGTGTAACGGCGAGTAGCCGGAACACGGTTACCGAACTGAGCCAGCGACCACACTGAATTTCACATGCAGAACGTAACTTATACCAGCGCTCTGGCGCATATGAAGACGTTCAAAGCTCATATCTTATTTTCTATACCATCATGTACAGAAACATAAATACCCAGACCATTGTCGTGAATTTTAGAGATTGTCCAGGGAGCATGCACAGGAGACTTGCAAAACAAAGCTAGTTGATCCAAAGTAGTGCGGTGACGGTCGTGCAAATAACTACATATTCATTTGGCATTGATGTTTCGAACAAGCGGCAGGATGGAGGAAAGTCATTGTACACTCACCCTGGCAAAATATATGCATATCTTGGAAGGAAGCCAGTGTCATGTCCAGCAAACCCCTGGATTTCAAGAGTGAAGCCTATGATGTCGAAATGGCTCTGTATCAGCGCTGTGTCAGATCAACTATGAGCACTTGGAAACTTACTTGTTAGAAGTAAAAAACGTCCACTTCGCCGCCGTATTCGTTACCAACGCCTTTTTCTGTAGTGTCGACTTTCAGGTTCTCCAGCGACATTTGGAGAAAATCACCCCTCGTAGCATCCAAGGGCCTGCCAAGAATAAATTGTGGGGGTTTTTAATGTAGGGAGGAAGTAATCGTTCACGACATAAAACCAGGCCAGCCCCCTGAGGAAAAACGCAGGCGAAAAGCACTTCTGACGTTTGATTAAACCAGTATCGGTCGTGACACTGTCCAATTTCGTATACACGCGTATACCGCAACATGAAAATGAAATGAGACTAAGATGCACAACTTGTAAGCTCGGGCGAGTATAAAGCGTTGAACGTGGAGAGAAGCGGTTGTAGCATGATAGCAATATTTGATATAAGCAGTATATGATCAGTAAGGGTAAAAACCGGGGAGATGCGACAAGAAAAATACAAGACATAGGGTATCCCTACAAACACACAACACAACACACGACCCGTAAATGAAAGGAAACGCATGTCATGTGGCTGCCGATGCCGTTGGCTTCTTCTCTCGAGACAGAAAACCTGCCACCAATCATGGATAGGGTAAGCAAATGTGCGAGGGAATGAATAGAATGAAGTGGACGAACCTCTGAGCTTTTGATCGTGCGCTTTTTGTCGTTCCTTGTCAGCGGAGCGCAGGCGGGTAAGTTCAGCGTCCACCATTGCTGCATCTGTGTAGCGACGATGAATCAGATGAACACGCGATAACTCAGCAAACACCAATAAATGCGGTACGAACCAGACGGATTCTTTTTCTTCAGTTCCTCCAATATCTTCTCGGCTTTCTCAAAGAACCCCAGCTCACCCAAAGCCTTTCCCTTGCGGAACATCGCTTTATGATTATTCTCATTTTTGGCTAATGCCTTACCAAACTTCGAGTTAGAATAGAAGAAAAGAGTCATTAGGGGACACCCACCTTATCAGTAGTTTCCAAAACTCTTTTCCAGTTCCCTTGTTTTAAATGGCACGCAGCCATGTTAGCGTATATCTTCTCGATAATTTCATCTATCTAAACCACATATTTTACGTCTTCATTTCACACATGATATACGTCTTCAGGAGGCATCGACTAACCTCTGTCCGATCCTGCTTTGCACTGGCAGCTGCATCTACAGCTTCGCCAGAACCCCCGGTGGGCGATGACATTCCCAGACCCTGTAAAGCTGTTCTGTACGTGCTATAAGTCCCACAGAGTCTCCGATCAGCGTACGCCACTCACTTGTCTATGCCTACGAGGTACATAAGGGCCTTGCCAGTTGCCACAGACGTCAGATATACTCCATGCGCACAGGAGCATCAATCACCTCATGATACGATCTCAGCGCTAGACGATAAATTCGATATCAGCTTCCGTGGATCCTACTACAGATGAAGAAGAAATAAAGCGAATAATGATGCACCTTGCTTCAGCTCGCCTGCCTTGAACGCCTGATCTGCTATTTCCTTCTTCTCCTTCGCCGTGTCCATCTTTATCTGCGTCATCGACTTGTCATCTGCCTGGTTTGAAGACATGTTCGCAGCCGCGCTGTTATCAGTATTTTATATAATGCAAAGACAAGTATCCTAGTGCACAGAGATAGTGATTGGGCCAAGCAAGAAGAGATAAAAAGATCCCCCAATAAGCGCGTTTTCGAGCGCGCATGCCTATTTTGCCATCGACTTCCTTTTCTGGCCCGGGATAACCCTCAATTTGTCGTTCCGTCCAAACCAACGAGGTCTCAGTCAACGTCGCGACCCAGGACAGCAGTCAAAAAAAAAAAACATATCAACACCACAATGACACTACTAGGCAGCGTAGTCGGCTTCTCGTTCTTTGGCCTCGCATCACGCTTTGGCCAGCTCTCAATCCAGAAACGCAACCTCATGGACAGTACGTTCTTTCCCTCCCTCTCAAACCACCCCTCAACCCGAATTCGCCGCCCTTTTTCCCGCTCTGCTCTCTTTCACGTTTCATCCCAGCGTACTCCTAGTCGCCTCTCACGGACACTAACGAACCCAAACCCACACAGATCCAGGAGGCCACGTATTAGCCATGGCCGTCTTCGGGTTCGCAGGATACTGGGCACATCAGTGGGACGAGCGGGCAGGAGTGATCTTGGCGGAGAAGCGGGCAGAAATAACAGAGCGCAGGGAGAGGAGGCTTGCGAGAGCGGATATATGATGCTGTGCGCAGTTGCAGACGAGCTGGAGCGGGGTATGATAGACAGGTGAGTGTTTTGTTTATTATATTTACGTAGTGAAATACTGATTTAGAGGGCAGAATCGTACCGCCTGTATCACCCAATGCACTGCTTGCTTGTCGGTATAAATCACTTTTTAGACTCGTTCCTTGCCCAAATCTTGGAGAGGAAATCGAATAAATTCAAACACTCTTGATTACTGTCAAGCTCTCAGACTTAAATCTGCAAGCTAACGTCTTATTTAGTTGTTCGCGGCACTGGCGTATCACTTTGCCTTGGCGCTTACACTTATCCACCAACTGCAGACGTCCAAGGCACCTACTTGCAACAACAATCACCATCCCCAGTCATCTATTGCTCATTACTCAGAATTTGCATAGCATCGACAATAATCACACAACAGATATCCATACAACACAAGAATACAGTCGTACAACGTACGTATACGTATACACAGCGAGCTCAAGTCCACACATGCACGCAGTAGTCAACGGGACATCAAGTCTCGACAATTCAGTATATCCAAAAAGACAAAAAGATAAACGCAGGCAAAACTGTGAAGACGAAAGCGAGCAAGAAAGGTAGTTAAAAGAAAACCGAAACGCAAGGAAGCGAAAGCGAAACGGTATAGACGAGCAAGTAGGTACTATTGTTACACGGCGAGAGCGAGAACGAGCACCAAAAGCGCAAATGCTAGAAACAAGCAACAATCGCTTGCGAAAGGAAAGCAGGAAAAAGCTTGAGCAACTTTAGTTATCGACGCTCGACTTTTTGGTACAGGATAAAAGTACAGTTTGTCCAGAACGCTCGTCCAAGCGAGTCGAAAGAAATCCAGATAATGACTGTGTCGACGGGTAGATAAAAAAAATTCCGCGATGTAGAGAAGAAAATTTGAAGGAGAGTGTGTACAGGCTGCTGCATAAAATAAATAATTCAGGTCGCATGAACCTGGCTTAAGGACGGTGGCAGCAGCAAGTCATGTTTAACGAGCGTGAGTGGTCATGAAACGAAGATAAAGGAGAAATTGACTGTTGGGAATGTATCCCAGCCCGTCCAGAGGTAGTGCGCATGGCGCGTGTTGTGGTAGAGTTTAAAACGGTGGATGAGAGTAGTGTCTCCCAAAGTTGAAAGCGCTGGAAGGTTTGAGTAGATGAATCCACAAGAGGTATTGAAACGCCGCTACTGGTTGGAAAAATAAAACGTCAATGAGTGTCGCGATTGAGATCAATGAGATACCGCGTTGGAAGCAAGTATGTAGGCGAGATGGGGCGGGGCGGGATAAAAACAAGAAAGGAATGTGTGATAGCCCTGGAAGCGAGATTTGGAGACAGAAGGAATGGCTGGGTGGTTGAGGGTGGTTGGTGGGTGTGGGTTGGGTAGCGGAGAGTTAGAACTATGGAGACGAGCGGCGTGTCAGGTAGGGCGCGATCACCAGGGAGGGTTAATATCCTGGAAATTTGAGAGGCGGAAGCGGGGGACGGTGGAATTCCACAGTGGGAGGTTGGGAAAGCAGGAAATGGAAAGAAGGTGAGGAGACATGAACGAGCAACAAAAAAAAGGGAGGACCAACGCAAGAAAGCGGACACAAAAAAACCTTTTCAGAGAAAAACAGCCGCAAGAAAAGCGAAGAACGACACCAACATCAACGCTGCAAAACGAACAAGCATATGGAAAGAGAAAGAAGGAGAACTAGAAGTACATAAACATCGTAACAAAAAAAAAACGGTCTGGAAAGAGAGAAAAAAAATCAGAGCATCATCACTATCATCGATCAACCTACACGAAAAAAGCACTGAGAAATAGACGAAAAAAATTTGATGACAGATTTTAAATGGAATTCTACGTGGGGTGTCAGAGCACAGCTCTTGCCAGCCCCAAGGTATGGTTTTGAGCAGCCCATCAAGCCAGCTGGAACGCACTCCCCAAGCCTAATCCACAACCCCCGCCGCTCCCACCTTCGTCACCCTGCGACGCGAGACTCCCAAACGAAATCCGCCTCGCAGCGCGCCTGAGTGTGCGTGGCGCATGCGGAGAAAACGGAATCATGGGAGTTGACGTCAGATTGAACGCAGAGTGTGTGGGAGTCGAAATCCGTCGGTTGGCCTTCTCACGGGATGCAGGCGAGCTGGGGGAGAGAGCCTGGACGCGGGGAATAGGGGACGGGAAAGGAGGGGTCACTTGTGCCCTAGGCAGCTCGGCCCCGAATATGCTAGGGTTCCGTTGAAGGTTCGCGCGCAATTGGGGCTTCTTGTCTTGCTTAGGACTTAGACTGGACGAAATGGGAGATGCAGAAGAGGTGGGTGCCACGGTTGAAGTGGCACGAACAGACGAAGCAGCGCCAGCCTCACGCGCCTTCGAGATAGGGGAAGGGCTAGAAGCAACTGTGACTTTATTGCTAGAAATCTTCTCACTGACCGACGAGGATACCTTCGTGCTGGACGTCTTGATACTAGATGCGGAAGTTTTACTACCTCTTCCAGTACTGGTAGATGTCACGCTCTTGATCGACACGCTGGCGCGCGTCTTGCTGCGCGTCTGAACTCCGTATGGCGATCCAGGGGAAGAACTACCTAACAACGGGAGACCTTCGGGACTCTTTGTTCTAGCCTTCTTTGCGCGCTTACCTCGGGCCTTCTCTTCCTCGTCAGAAGAAGATGGGGAGGGAGAAGGCGCAAGAGCGCGTGCTTCTCCCTTAGTCTCGGACCTCGATTTGACGTGCGAGCTGGACTTGGCAGGAGCGGGTGTGGCGAACTTTGAGCTCATGGGTAAAGTCGGTAGGACGTTGATATTATGAGGCTTCATAGGTGTGCTAGGATTGACCTTGATAGGACTCGCAAGCTTTGTCTTGACAGGCGTGCTGGGAACACCCGACTTGACGGCTCTGGCGTTGGCCCTAGTCTGCACCGCAGCGACCCCAAAGGAAGGTGCACGTTTGATGGCATGGCGCGGCGTCATATATGCGTCTAATTCGATCAATTGAATATGAAAAAGATAAAGATAACGAAAATATACGCACTAGAACGCTTCTCGCTGTACCCACCAGGAACAGAAGCAAATACGTTCTCTACTTCGACGTCCATCGTGGACTCGTCAGCGAGCGTCATTGTCGAAGCACGGCAGAGAGACGACGGGCGGTGCAGAGAGACAGAGGACATGGAAGATAGGGAAGAGCCTGACATGCGGGAGTACGTGTACGGATGAGAAGAGTTCAATGTAGACGAACTTGGTGTCGATGGGTTCAGTATGTGAACTGATGGGCTGAGTGAGTGAGCGTGGGCATCAGAACGTCTGAGGGATAAAGATGCACGAGGAAGGTGAGGTGGACGTAGATATGGGTGATAGGAAGTGTTCGAGATGGTCCTGTCTTGTCGCTGGAGGCGGTAAGAGAGTCTAGACACAGACTAATGTTAGGGCCAATAAACCGACAAGCGAAAAGAAAAAGCAGTGTTAAAAAATTAAATGAGGAACACGAGAAAGATAATGAGAAAGTATGCTAGGAAAAAAAATTCAGGTCTACGCAAGGAAAGGGCTCGTACTGACCTGGCGATGCTGTCGTTGTTCTTGACATCCAATCCGGGATCGACAGCATTCATAAAATCCATACTGGACTGTCTGTAAAGTGGGCGACGTGGGTGAGAGGCATTTACTTTTGCAGAGTGTTGAGCCGCATCTCCATCATCTCTTTCCTCGTCACCTTCCATCTCCTGTTGCTCTTCGATGACGGTCCTCCTACGCTCGTCTTGTGCACGTGCGCGGGCTTCCTGTGCGCGAGAGCGAGCGAGATTGAGAAGCTGTAGGCGGGTCGCGCGAATGGAATGAGGCCAGTCGTTGGGGCCTTTTGCAGCGGTGATCCCGCGTGCGATCTTGTCGAGGAGGTTGGAGGGAGGCACGTGGCCGTTGAAGGGCGTGATTAAATGGGCAGGGAGAGCGTCGAGGGTCTGTTGACACGTGTAGATATTGTGAAATGGGTGACGAAGTGATAAAGGGGGGTGAATTGAGTGGAGGTGACAAAGTAGGTAGTTAGCGAGCATAGTGGGACGGTGAGAAGAGAAACGCGTACCCTTGAGAGCAAAGTAAGCTGGTCCTGCTGCCATTCTGCATCTGGATCGCCGTCGTTATCGTAGATGGAGCTGTTCCAGCTGTCCGTGCTTTTCCTGTTCTGTGGATTGAGGAAGAGGTTGGAGCAGGTCGGGGAGTGTACGGAACGCGGGGTGTGTGGTGCGGATGATGTGGGATTGTATAGCTGGGGGTGGGGGAGGATGATGGCGAGAGGGGAAAGGGCAGACGTCGAGCGACGGGTGTGCATTGCGAAGGAAGGACGCGGTGAACGACGAGCTCGAATGTCTTCTTTGAGAATGAGAGAGAACAATGAATTCGACATAAGCATCGCACACGTGCATCTTTTCAAGCTCCGCGCGTCACACGTGTCACGCTTCCATTGCACGGTCACCTCTGTCCAGTTATGGTAATTGTATCTAATTGCTACAAAGCCCCAAGCGACCCCAGCGCTCGTCTGACCTCTCTTAGCTGCTGCTGCGTTCCCGAAGCGCATCCTTTTGTTCTGTTCCTCGTCAGACGCGTCAGGTTCAGTGCGAAAACGCGACTTACGATACCAGTACAGGTAACATTCTTCACCGTTGCATTCGATCGACACTCTGAGCCTGAAAAACATCGTGTTTTGGTCCTTATTGTACGAGATTACCGCCTTACGCCGCTCTGGAAACTGAGAGATGAAGCCTGTGTTTAGTTAGCATCATAACACCCAAATAGTAAAACCCTTTGCTCACTGTTTTTCCACTGCGCTCCTTTCCACGACCTCCCGTCTCTGTACTGAGGTTCTTTCCGCACAACGACGATAGCACCGTGTCTAACCAACGTCGCATTACTGGCTGCGTTGTATGGCCCCGGCAATATACTCATTTCTTCCCATCGCGCTTCCACAGCTAGGACGCTTGCTTCGTCGTCAATGAGAAACACACCAGGGAGCGCGTGTTCGACAGGCATAGGGAGCACAAACATACTACAATGTTAGGTGGTGTGCGTGGTCAAAAAGGGATGATCAGAAACCAATGCCCGATGTCGTACTATATATCTGATGCCGGCGCACAGAAAGAGAAAGCCACTCAGACTTCCAATACTAGAATAAACCATTCATACATCGTAGCTTCGACAACGTTAACCATGTCTCAGAAGAGCCTACATCCGGCACGTACACCCGCTCCCTATTTCATCGCAACCTTCCTCGTCAAACTCCTCAGCCTCTCCGCATTCTTTCTCCTCCTCTCAACGTCCATGTCCACGCTACTGGTCTTGTCATTCTTCATAATCCCCGCGTTCATCCTCGGCGCAACAGTATAGTCCCCGAACTCGCGCTGCGGTATCATCACCGCGTTCTTCCTGATCCTATTCTTCTCCGTCTCCTTGGCTCTTGCCAATATCGCATTCAGTCTCTCTCCCCCATGTCGCCCACCCCCTTCCCCGCCCTCTCCCTGCACCATCGGCACGATCCTGTCCCGGTAAGAAGCACTGCGTTTGATGATAGGCCTGGACCACGTCGATATCAGATCATTAGCAATCCGCTGCACGTCCGCCGTTACCCTTTTGCATTTTGTATAGAACAACACTATCCTTCCCAATCCTGACTCCTTCAACACTGCACTGTCAATGAATTCCATTTTTTTTATAATTGGGAAGAAATCCCGTTGAATGTTAAGACCTGGCAGTGACCGGTCCGGAAGAGGCTCGAGCCACCGGCGCACGCCCTCGAGTAAGTTATTATCGATAATAGACTGAGATAGCGATTGTCTATCAACGCAAGTTGGCGTGAGCAGAATAACATCAACTAGACAATACTGCACTTACTTTCTCAGCACTTCCATGACCTGTGGTAGCAGCCTCAACTTGTTTGTAGCCGGCAGTTTTTCCCTGTTGGACTGCTCGTCATCCGCAGCGGCAGCCAACATCGCTTCTCTCAGCCTCGACACCTCCTCGTCCGCAAACCTGTCCAATACCTCTTCCTCGGCATCCTTTTTGCGTTTCTTTTGTCTAGCAGCCTTTTTGGGTTTCAAAATCGCATCAAATTGCATGTCCAGTCTGAGTTTATTCGCTATGTTATTGGACCTCATCCGTCAGCGGTGGATACTGAATGCGAAGTACTTGAAGGAGCTCACCCTTCTCAGGAGGCATATCCATTAAATCCTCCTCTGTGATCTCCTTTCTCTTTCTCTTGCGCCTCGCAGCATCCGCCCCGCTCTGTCTCCTGACAGGTCGTCGTTTTGTCTTTGCAGTCCTTTCCTGGACATACCCATCACTTTCATCTTCCGAGGAGCCATACGAATCCTCTGCGGCTGTGGGAAGGGGCGGCGGGCGGGGGCGCTGCGGGATGTCTGCGCATGATATTTTGTGTAATTAGTATACAAAGAAGGGTATGTGCAAGGCGTTGCAGCACACGTACCCTCTTCTTCTGAGGACAACTCCGAGCCGTCACCGAAGATATCACGTTCAAGGTCATCTTGAGTCTGACAGATAGACAGCGTCAGTGCATACAAACCTCTCTCAAATGCACTCCTGGCTGTTCAGTCAGAAATGAAACATACCGTTGGAGCTGGAGCCATCGAGCTTGTCGCTCTTGTTTATACTTTGGGATCGTAAGCTGAAAATGAAAGCACAGTAGCACTCGAGCACCGAGGTGGATGACAACTTGAAGATTCGAGTCTGAGAGCTCCAGTGGACATTTCCAGGTGTCTGAGTTTCATTCCGGTGGCTGTGCCAGAGCCACTCTGTAATAACTCTGCACCCGCCACCATGGTCAACAACACCGTGAACGTCAGATGCGCTGTTTATGACCACAATAACAGGTGGGCCAGAGATGTCTCGCTCGTGGTATCTTCCCAAACACTGGTCGCAGAGTTGAAGGAGAAGGTTAAGGAGGCTATGGCGCCCGATTTTGACTACATTGCTCCGAGCAAGCTCACTTTGCGGAGGGTCAGCGACATCAGGTCGGGCGACCTGGTGTCGCTCTCCCATCACGACGTCGAAGACTTTACGGATCATGAGGAACTGCTCGTGTGGCTGCCTGATCCTGCCAACGACATCCCCTGCCAGTGACCAACAAAGCCTATTCATTCGTTGCCATTAGGCTGATTAACCTTCTCAGCTACAGCCCAGGACTTTACCTCTGTTAGTTCTCGTTCTAATCCACACCGTGATTTAGTCACTTTCAAGTATTCTGGCCAAGTTTCCAGCGTCAAGTGGGATTGAGCGGTCACTGAGAATGAATTCGATCGAGATAGATGTCTCCAGCAACCTGCGAAGGATATAGTGGACATGGTAAGACCACCGCCGGATGACGAGTCGAAGCTGTTACTCTCTGCCGTTGCTACAGTTCTCCCTCAACTCTTGACGAGAGAAGGCGAGATGCACGATTTCGCCAAGTTGTTCAATAACTTATTTGGCAAAACTAACTCTGCTCCTCCGTATGTGGCCTGGAATCTCGAGTTGGTCCATTTTGCTTTCGCTGCTGCCTACTCGGTGTCACCGCGTGAGCATGGTCAATTAACGGAAGAGGAGACGCGTCGCCTGGTGCTCGACTGGTTCGAGACATTCTGGATGAAAGAAGTTGACAAGCTTGGTTGCGTTTAGTGAGTAGCTGATCATCATACTAGTAGATCATATGAGTGAACGTATCTCATTTTGTTGCTTAGCGATCAGGCTATCCCTTTCCCTATTATCATTCATCTAACCCAGGAAAACGAGAACCACAAGTATACGCCGCAACCTGATGCTACCTTCTTACAGCACAGTATCCCTCGTTTTTTGGTCGAAATCGATTCGCACTGCAAGAATCAGGATGAGTACCGGCTCAATGTTTACGCGGCGTGTGTGCTACGGCTCATAGCGCGTCTCGGAGAGGATGACCGCATCAAAAACGAATATGACAACAATGTTTTCCTCATGGCAGTGTTCTTCTCTGAAAAACGGGAAATAAATCGCTACTTTTTCTTCATGGATGATGATGATAAAGTACGTCTGAAGACATTCATTTGGGTTAGTTTTAACTTTGGGTTCCGTTTCCAGGTCTGCCGTGATCTGAAAACTTTCGATATGGGGGATCCTTTTCAATTAACGCATTTCCTGCGTGAGTTCTACAATTATTCTACATCGGAAAAGGAGGAGCCCTGAGGCCAGATATGGAACAAATTTCGAAGAAGATTGTCGGAAGTATGGAAAAGAGTTTTCATACCAATGACCACTTGAACACCGGGGATAGTGACAAACAACGTAGTCAGCGAGGGGGTCCGGGTTCAAAGCAATATAGCGCCATGGACATCCGCAACGTGATGACTGACGCCCTCGAAAGAACATGTTTCCAGTTACAAGTAGACCCCGAGGGTTTTTCCCCCCTACATGAGGCAAGCGTTTGAAGACCCGTGTCCTGCTTTGCGCTAATAAATTGGAGCAGTTACCGGATCATATAGCAGAGGCCAGAGACTCCAACGGAAAACAACTTATCGTGAAGCTTGTCCGCAAACCGTGCAATGAGCTCTCCTTCCTCAAGGAATTATCCAAACAAAAAACTCCACTTAACCATGTCGTGCCCTTGGTTGAAGTGGTCGTGTCGGAATTGGGGCCTTTGCTTATTCTCAAAAGGAGGAACACACTTTCTGTGTTTGGGTATATTCACAAGGACAGATCCAAGCGGCTGAGCCATGAGCTTGTAGAAGGTATTGCCTTCCTCCACGCGCAAGGGATTGCGCACCTGGATATCAAGCCTGACAATCTTATCTGTACCTTTGACACCGAGAGGCTCCTTATTATTGACTTTGATATAGCCATGAAGTGCAGTGGTGCAGATGACGTGGTCGAAAGGTCCTGTGGGACTCTCGAATGGAGCGCTCCGGAAATTGTTCTCGATGCTGACAGGCCGCCACGGGCATTCAGTCCTATACGAGCGGATCTGTGGTCCTGTGGGAGGGTACTGCTGTTCATTTCTGGGATGGTGGATGAAGGCGGATATTCTGGCTTTAGGCAGCTCATCAAGATGCTTCTGGACAAGGATCCAAGACGGCGGCCGTTGCTACATTCAGTGGTGGGTAGGGAATCGGTTTCGTGGACAACTGATCAACTCCTGGAAGCATTTGGGTGTCAAGCAAATGTGTAACAAGATTTAGGAGATGGCGTTCACAAGCTGAAAAGGCTTTGCGGCGATTTGGGTTGTGGCAATTAGTGTCGGTAGATTGTCCTATTGTCCTTGCTGGTTTTGTCAACTGCAACAAAGTGGCTGACCATAAAATATGTGTTCATCTCCTGTAACCACTCCTCTCGCAGATCATCATTCCTCTCTGCAGCAGCTTTTTTCAACAACTTATAACTAAACCCAGCATTCTGGACCAATGCTAAGGGCCAGTGCTAGCCACTCCTGTATTTCATCCAGGTACATTTCAAGGGCTTCCTCTAATAGATCATAGAGGTCGTAAGCTACTGCACCTCTGAGGGTTTGAGGTTGGCCATGAATACCATTTGGAGGGGGGATAGTAGTCTCGAATCCAGACGTCCCAGACCGTCTGGAGACATTCGTTTCAGGACGAGTGCATCGAGTCACAAAGTCACACTTATAGCTGTTTTTGGGTAGAGCTCGTCCAAAAGCAGAAATAGATAACATTTTGTCATCATGATTAGTTGTACAGTGTAAATAGAGTTTTTTTGGGTGTAATGCAATAAGTCGAGTATTTTCTACGCATGACAAGATATGGTCCTCAAGCTCGTCAAATGTCACACGCAGAAGACAAAGGACAGTCTTAAAAACTTCTAAGTCAGCACCGAGACAAAGCAAACCATTATTGCTCCGAGGATTTTCGTCAAAAACTTATAACAAGTGTTCATGAACGATGCAGAGGCCGGTCTGGATCCTCCTCAGCTCGTCCTCAAGCACCTCTCCAATGCAACCAAATGAAAACTCCTCAAGAGCTCACTTGGCTCCACTGGCCCGTGCATTGTGAGTGCTTTGCGTGCGCGGTGGCTTGGACCAACACTTGAGGCCAAGAGTTGACATGTATTCGAGGACAGCTCGGACTTTGAGGACAGGACTGCTGATGAGCTGGCTCTCGAGGTATGCAGTATGTTGCACTTGAATCGGGAGCTGGGGAGGGTCCTCAGGATCACTGTCAGATTCTGTGTCAGTAGGATTAGAAAATACATGTATGCTACTCTGCGCGAATGGATTGACTTTGTCGTTAAACTGGCCACCAGGATGATCAATCTCACAGTCTCATGGCAAGAGATAAGATAACAGTTTGTGATTATGTTACAAGTCAGCAGGTACTCAGCAGGTTTCCCGGCTAACAAGCGTGACTCAATGCACTCAGCCCGTATCAAATGTCCCCAGACGCTAGCGCGGAGCCCTAGCTTCTGGGTTCGGGACTAGGGGGATAGTAGAGCCAAATCTTTCTTGATTGCTCTTCCAGCGACTGAGACTGCATTGAAAAATCACAGATATCAGCAGGAACATAGTTGTGTTCAATTAGCCATAGTGCTCGATCTTTGATGTCCTTACTGATGTGTCTGTTGCCTATAGTCCTGATAGTTGTCTAGTCTCAGCAAACATGTACCATCAATCAGCAGCCCATCTGTGGAATCTGGATTCAGATTCCACTCCCATAATTGGTAAGATTGTATATTACTAAGATTACTAATGCTGCATGCGCAGGAGAAAGAAAAAATAATGGTGCAGCTATTCTTTTCCCAATACGCTGTCATGCACCAAAGTTGATTGGTAGCATGGACAGGTGTCAAAAATGAAGCGAATATTCAAAAGACTCACCTTTGCGCCACACAGGCACAGTGCCACGTGGAATAGTAATTAATATTGCCTTTTTCAATCTTGTGGCTGATCAGCACCACCTCTATTAGGCAATTAAGTTGCACTCACCTTTGCTTTCCATTTGGTACTTTCGGCATTTCAGCATTTTGGCAAATTTTTGCGTTGCCACTGGCTACACATTGCATTGTGCCCTTGCTTTCATTGTTTCCCTTACTCCCTTTCCTTTTCCTAGCCCCACCATGGGTCTTTTCCTCTTCTTTTTATTCTCACCCGATGGTTGTTTCTGGATCCCATTTCTAATCCACCTCCTCGTCACCTCCACCCTCCTCCTCCTCATCTTCTTTGCTCCCCCACCATACCTGGTGTCACCACTCTCCATCCGCTTCCGTTGCCAATCCATTGACTACCATGTGCCACTGCTGATATCAGCAAAGCCCCAGCGGCCGGTCCAAATTGGGCAACAGGTCCATCTTTATGATGTCTATCTTCCATTGTATACTATCAAAACATTGGTCGCTCGTCTTGCCTGGTTGGAGCGTGGGTGGGTAGTTTTTGAGCTGGAGAAGGTTCATCCCCTTGTGTTGCCTATGTACACTGCTGTCCCATTTACTTGGGTACATTTATCCTTTGTTCATTGTCTTTGCTACAGCTACACTTACCACACGCTGCCTGGGACACATTTGTTCCAGATTGGAACTACTCCCCTCCCTCATTTGACCAGGTGGTCCAATACAGCCAGTCCATTGGTAAAGCCATGGAACCATCGGATTTGGACTAGGTGGTGGACCGGTGGCTCCAGTTTCTTTTTTTTCAGCAGAACATTCATTTACAGTGTGATTTATTTTGATTTTTGAATCATTTTTATGGACACATATTTTTTTAGAATGCCTGACTGACAATAAAGGAACTGTGTTGATACTGATATTGTTTTGCCTTGCCCTTTTTTTACTGCATCTTCCCATGACATCTTTCTTTTCCTTGTTTTGACAATCTTATCCTGTACTACCTACGCAGGATTCATCAGCATACATTCCTTCCTTCATGTTCTTTCTCATTCTTTTTGCACAGCTATACTGTGCATGCCCTACTTTTCTTTTACTATATAAACCCCTGTATTTTATCTTGTAAAAAATAAAAAACTCCAATCCAGACTTCTTCTCTAATCTCAAGTCCACTTCTTACTGCTATTTGTGATCCAGTGTGGTCACAACACTTCCCAATGCTACCACTGTTAACTGCTGTCATCGTCACTCGTCACTTTTGAAAGTCATTGTCATCCCTTTCAATTAGAGTCCTTCTGAGCACTACAGTTTGTGCATCAGGAGCCTGCTATCACTAGAAACCTTGTTATCTCTTCATTCTCAAACCTACCTTGTGCTACAATTAGCAAGGTAGTGCTTGTCTATACTTGCCACAAAGCCCCTGTCTTCTATAATTCAACTATCCCTCCTCCTCAAAACCCACACCCATACATCCCTGGGTTTTACTTTGAAGGATCATTATACGTACCACCCCATGAACAACCAGACCACTCCACTGTTCTAGGAGGCAAAGCCCATACACAAGTTCCGTGGAATCTGGGAGGATTGTGTGTTAGTTCATTTTTGTGTGTGGTTTTCTAACAACAGTTCTCATCATCAACATTGCTCCCAATACCCAACTGCAGGGTGTCTGGGTTTCACCCTTTTTATTGAGTGAGCTACTACACATAGCTACAAACTTGCAGCAGTGATATACCCAGATCAAGACAGTTCAGCTGCTATTCCACATCTATAACTGCATAACATGATCATGTGAAGGTACTGACCATCCCAGGGTCATTGTCCGACTTCGTAAAGATTAACAAAGTGTCAATGTAAATGACAACACAGTTTTCCATATCCGCAAAGATCTTGTTCATCATGCTCTGGAAGGTTGCCGGTGAATTGGTCAACCCAAAGAACATAACAAGGGGCTCAAAGGATCCTCGGTGGCACGTGAATGCGGCCTTCCAAGCATCTTCTTCTTTGATCCATGGATATGCATTTTTAACTGTGTATTCATTCACGTAACAATAGTCCATAATCATACGCTTCTTACCATCCTTTTTAGGAATGAAGAACACTGGGGATGTCATAGGGCTTTTGGAAGGTCTGATGTAACCCTTCCTAAGCTGTTCATCTATGGATCTAGATACCTCATCTCTTTCTGTAGCAGAGAGGGGTGGTATCATGTGTCCTTTTCTTGGTTTGAAGGTGTTTTTCAAATCTCTAGTATGGTCTTAAGGCTTAGCCTCTGGGAAGTGCTCTGATTTATGTTTAAAAAAGACTTTCCAGAAGTCATGGTACTCGGGAGGTACCAGCCTCTTAATCTCTTCCTCGGGTTTTACCTCATCATTGTCATTGTCAATATTTTCTAAAGATCTGAGCTCATAAACGTGACCAGCATTTATCTTCTCAAGGCGCTCAGTTTGACGGACGTGACTCGGCTTACCCAAGTTTTTACACTCCTGAGGGCAATATGACAATGTGACAACCCCTGTCTGCCAGTCGACCTCAGGATTTTGTTTAAATAGCCAGGTCCAGCCTAAGATTAAATTAAACTTCCCTAGTTGGGTAGCTTTAGCGATGACTCGTTCTCTGTGTCCTTGGTGCTTGACAACAAAAGAACATTTGTGTGTGATACAGCCACCCGCATTAAGCGTACTGTCAGTGTTATAGACTGGAATAGATACATCTATTTTTACAAGGGGGAGTCCAATTTGCTCCGCCCAGACCTGATCTGTGAAGATTCTGTTAGCGCCTAAATCAAGCAGTGCGCTGGTTGGGTGTACTATGCCCCGGGCAAGGTTTTCCACACCAACATCCAAACAGATCTTCTTTTGGAATAAATATGTGCACATCAACACACACCTTGGGATTACTGTGGAAAGTGGCTCCGAAGAAGTAGAAGAATCAAATGAAACATGTTTTTCTACTTTAGTATTTTCTATATTTTTATTTTTATTTTACCAGAATTAAGCACCCTAGTGTTTGTTTCGCTGGGGCCACACTCCAAAGGAGATGCTGGTACAGCGGTGGTTTTATAAGTATTTTCAGTGTTAGCTCCTTCATCATCATGTCCCACTGAATCAGCGCTCAAAGCAGCTATATCGTCAGGAGGGTTCAAGACAACTCCACAGTCACAGCTTCGCATACAAGTACATACTTCAGATAACAAATTCAAAAATCTATTTACAAATTGGGGAGCCACCCCCTTCTTTCCATTATTGCTTGTGCAACACCCCAGAGCAGGGGCCACCTTGTTGTGGTTTACTTCATTATTTTGGGGAGCAAAGGCACTCAAGTGACCTACGCTCCGAATTCTTTTCCCCGAGCCTTCATCTCAGCGACCTGCTGGTTGTAAAAGAAGGCTCAGATCTTGTTGTAAGAACGACCGGCCAAAAAATTGAGCCAATCGTCCAGTTTTTCTGCTTCTAATTGGCGCGCCTGGCGTCCTTGGTTATTTTTTTGTTGGGCGGCCTGCACTCCATTTGGACACTTTTGGGCTACGTGCCCCTCCTCCCCACAATTGTAGCAGTTGAATCCGCACCTCTGTCCGCCTTGGACTGCGCCAATATCCATTGCGGCTCCCTGCCTTGGTTGCAACCCGAATGGTTGGAACCCGCAAGAGTGACTTTTAGTTTGGTTTGTTGACCCAGGGCTCCTCTGGGAAAAGTTGTTTTTGGTGGTGGACCCGCCACCTTGATGCATTTTGTATAGTTCTATGGCCTGCCTATTTTTCGAACCTCTGCTGCTTCAGAGAGGTTCTTGCTCCTCATATCTTGTAGATAGAGCTGTTCTGCAATGTGGGGGTTCACATTGTGTTCTAGTAGCTCCACTGCATATTCATTACCTAAACCCCCTTGGATGGAGATGGCCAGGAACCAGGTTACAAATTTATCTGTCCTCATGTTTCCTTGTTTAAAGGAACAGATTTGCTGACGCACCCAGTCACACTCAGCTTGCGGTTTAAAATATTTTTTAATCTCAGCTTTGAGATCATCCCAGACAGGCCACAATCCCGCGGTGTAGCACTCCTGCATTCTAACTTGGGTGTATTGACCCGCCACAGGTCCCTTTATTCAAGATAGCACCCCAGTGGCTACCTCAAAGTTGTCGGTAAATGTGTCCCAATTTGCTTTGATCCAAATTTGGAGCTTGATACACCATTCGGCAAATTGCACCCTGTCTCCTTCGAAGGCACCGGGGTCAGCAACGACTTTGACCTTGTTGTTAAACTTCTTCTCAACCGAGGGGGTTGCTGCAGGGGGGTTTTCCTGGAGCTCGGCAAGTTGCGAGGTTAACGCCGCAATCTGTGTATGCATGCCATGCAACAGAGTGTTGACATCAGGTTGGTTTTGCGACAACATGTTGACTTGTTCTCTTGGTGGTAAAGTAAAAAAAATGTAACTGGGGGTCCCTGCTTGCTATCTGCGAATCTACCTCTTCCCAGCTGAGTATCGGATCTCAATCTCCGACTACCCACACTATAGTATTTGAAATTGTATATAAAAAGTAATCATAATAAACCCTGGTCCAAACGGTTGTCAGGGGGTGGCCCACTTGTTAAGCTGTCAGCCCTTCTCCAGACTGGCGGAGGCAAGTGCCCGGCCTGGTCAGAGGAAAGAGAGATCGAAGATTTGTATGTAAATTCTAATCAACAGTGGTTCCACACCAACTGCTGAGCTAAGGTACTCCCCTTAACGCTGGGGGCCGCGTATCAAAGTTATTGTCTCTTCTCCCAGAGCACTACAAGGCTGTTGCTAGGAGCGCACCTATCTGCTATTTGGGATATTCCCAAACAATAACAATATCTCCTTAACCCTGGAGTCCGGGTTTGCACAATGTGCAAGAGAGTAGAAAGAGCGAGTCCTAATATAACAACCAAGAGTTAGTTACTCTTGCGCACACTAAAACACACTATAAAGGTAATGATGAGGGAGTGGTTACCCTTTAGGCTTCAACAAGTTAGTTGTGAGGATACAACAGGAGGACTCGCTGAGGAGTCTCCTGGATATATTGGGGTATATATACTAATACAAAGTGTTTGTACTTATGTACTGTACAGTTGATAAAAGCAGTGGCTGATGATGTCAGAGGGTGCAGCCTGTGTGACCAGCTCCACCACGTGAGAGAGTTGTAGCTAAAATAAGAAAAAGGCAGTGCAGCACGAGAAAGAGGAGTTTGAACCAAAAGGGAAAGTGCTGCATGGCACAGTGTGTGAAAACTACAGTAAAAGGTTAAAGAGGAGAATGAAAATTAAAGGTCCGAAAATGTGTTATTGTAACAGCATCTCTGACTGGAAGAAGCAGCCTTGGAAGCAGCCTTGCTGAAGTCAGTGATCCATTCAATCACTGACACCCCAGGACCTGATGGATCCCGGCAAGATAGAGCCATTATGGCAGTAGACGCAGTTGCGTCCACAAGTAACACCACAATTGTGAACAGAGATACCAAACATGGTATGTCTAGATTGTTCAGCAAGCTCCAACTTAAAATAAATGTCACGAGGCTCATGATAGCTCTTTCCCTCAAACCACTACCACTACAATGTCTCATGAGACATTTTTAAACCAAAGTTACAAAGCCATGCCACAAGCTAAGCAAAGATGAGCACCAGCTCTAAAAATGCCCCCAAAACCTTGCCATCTCACCCTAGTGGTGGTGAGGATGAAATCACCAGACAGCACTCGTGCTCACCCTCCCCAACATGTTTGCACCATAGACACCATTGTGATGATTGTCATAGACACTTGAGCAACTCATTCCAGATCAGGAGACTGGAGGACATGACAACACCGTTGTGAGTGTTCTCCAGACTTGGTCTGGCAATTTGACCCAATGACCAAGGCTGTCATTCATGGCTCAGGGTGCCCTTGCTGTGCAGAGTACCTGACGCACATGGTGATGGCCCATGTACAAGACAAGCCATTCTACAAAGAGGCAGTTGATGACCGTAGTGTGTTCTGGCAAGATGCCCCCTATATCCTGCACTTGCAGGACCAAAACAACACCCTGCAACACGACATCAAGCAGGCACCCACCATCAAACGAGAAGACTCCACCTCTGCCCCCGCCCTTTGTAATGCTTCATTTGCCTCATGAAGTTTCTGTGTCATCTCAAGTGCGTCCTTTCTTATGCCTGAATGGGACCTGCAATGATATTAGAGAACCGGCTTATCAGGTCATTGACATCATCAAAAGCATTGCAACGTAAGCGGGGAGATGTGTAGTGAATGAACTGAGCTTGGGCAGTAGGGTGCTGCCCAGCCAGAACCAACCAACTGTTGGTCTTGACAGACATGTGCTCGGCCTGCAAAATGTCAAGATATTGAAGTCAAACTACAAGGCCTTTTTTACTTACCCGTCCTACAATGTCCGCCATGCATCTCAAGAAGCGAGAAGCTGCATCCTTAGAAGATGGCAATGGAGGATGCAGGTGAGCTTGATGCAATATATCTATCAAACCATTGACTGAGTAAAACATTTTGCGAACAAGCTTAGGAGACCTACGCCAGTCCTGTATGCCTTGTTGAGCACCCTCAACGAACCCAAATACGGAGTTTTTGTTGCTCACTCGAGCGCGACTAGATTGACTTGTAAGAGCTATATCATCAGTACTCTCTACTTTTACTGTTGCAAGAGATGGAAAGGTACGGGGTGTTTCAAAACTGTTCATATCACTGGGGGATGGCAGATTGGTTGCTGGACTGGCACTGTCAAGTGTCTGGAGTTTGAGACTTGGGTCTATCACTGGCGCCTGTTTGAAAAAGGTATGTCAGTATTGTTGTCATTAACAGTATATGGACTTACCGGCCTGGTTGCTGTTTCATAGCTTGGGATTGTGTTTGGCTGGGGGCCGGCTTGGCTTGGCTGGGTAGATTGATAGCCTTCATGGGTAGTGGGTAAGAAAGTGGTGGTGTTTGCAGTAGGTGGGCTGACTTCATCCAGCTGGATTGCTGGAAGGTCACTGTTGGTCAGAAACTTGATGAGTCAACAAAGGTGAGCAGCTGAAAAAATTATGATGGACAATGATGGCTCACATCTTTGATATGTGTACGTACGGCTCACATCTTTGATATGTGTACGTCCAGCTTTGGTGTGTATATAAAGTGATCGTAGGAGATAACCAGAACACTTTTGGCATAGTGGTGGACTATGTTTGGAAGCTGGCATGTTGGAAATCAGAGAGCAGCCAGAGCAGGACAAGTATGTCTAGGCAAATTATTTCGGCCGTATATGACTTATGCTGATGGCCTTAAAGAACACACAGCCTTTGTAAGCACTTATTGCATTTATTGCATTTGTGATGGCAATGCTAATTGTGATCTTGTCAGAATTCTCCAAATTTTTACCAACTTGGACTAGTCTCTATGTGTAGTCTGCAACTGCCTCTGCCAGCAGCAAGTCAGATGCCACAAGCAATCAAAAATTGGTCCAAGGCTGCACACGCCAGCAGCAACAGTTTACTCAAAGCACCTTATCCCTCTCCAGATCAATCTCTTCAGGGATATTTCATCAATTATCCAGACTCACCAACTCCAACAACCTCTAACAAAACCTTTTTGAAAAGGCCACCATCCACGCCAACAGCATCTTGTTCTCAGTGTTTTTCTGCCACACAGAAAAACTTCTCATATTTGAACCCAACCCCAGAGAAACAGCAAGGATATGGTCAAATTCACAACTCAACAAGTGGTGCAAAGAAGCATCAGATTGAGTCTGATAATAACGAAGTAGAAAATTGTTTGCAAGATAACCTAGCTACTTTCCTGAGGTAACATTTCAAACACTAATGTCTTAGCAGAAAAACACTAAGACGTCTTCACAGATCTTGTGCTTTCAAACTGTATCCCAATTTACCAGATATCAAAGACTATATTTGTTGTACAGGGCTGGGATCCAAAAAATCAGACTAGTACGGTGAGTAACATATCTTGCTTTTATTATAGACTGATCATGATGATTTGTGTTGTGTTAGAATAATTGGTATCATCTTCAGCGCAAACAAATTGGTCCGGACTTAGTGGTTGTTTGTTTCTGCCCTAAAGGCAGCCAGTGTGTTCATGTGAGATTCATCAAGGATCATGGTGGAGAGTGCTTTGTGGCAGACAACAACAGCTTTCACTGCTCTGATGAGTCATCCACTTATTAACCAACCTACCATTTCATTGATGTTGGATCCCACCAAGATGATGAGGCTGTTATATTGTTTTCTTGCCAGCTAGTTGACAATGACAACTATTCAAGTTTGTTCTCGGTGTTATTGTCTCCTACACAGGCCCCGACTATGGCGATGGGAACTGGACCTGCTTAAAAGACCATTATCAAGCATGTAGCCATATGACAAAAGCACATCACCACCTGTGCAAGCTTGTTACTGTTGACCCTGATACCAACAGAACTGATGGCCTGGAGCAAAGTCACGTCAATACAATAACAAGTATGTGATGTCTTGTGGGGCTTGTGCCCATCTCATATGATTTTTTGAAGTGGCCTATGTTCATTCGGCCAAGCCTCAAATTGTGCCATCAGTATCTCATCTGCCAATACATCTGCCTGTTTGGGCAATGTTCACAAGTGATGTACAACACTATTTGCAGCCGTCTCCTCTCCAAAAGAGGCTCCTCTTGCTTAAGTTAACAAATACAGGGCTTTTGTTTGTGGTAATGGTCGGTATTTGCCACTATCTGCTAGGGAAAAACGCCTTTGCATAGTGTACACTATCACAGATGGATATACAACAACTATAGATACTCAACCATGCCCCTCACGTTACCCATCCAGTCAACAATTTATTGGTCCTGATCTGTGTGAAGTTGGTTTATTCAATCTCAACAACCGCTTGGTATTCACCCATGATCTTTTGGATGAGTATACCAGTGCATTCACATCATTTGAAACACCTTTTGTTGCATTTGTTCTTGTTCTTGCACGGTGTTATCAAAGTTACAAGTCAGAAGTTAGCTTTGTCTCAGAAAATACTTTGCATGGTTCTCTTATGTGCGCCTGCAAGATTTTGACGGCGACATAAAATGCCCTGAATGTAGTTCTGTCCCTGAAGAAACCATCTGGGATGGAGTTACACTTGCATTTAACTAACAACACCTCCTTCCCTTGCTATGCCACCACCTCTCACAAAAATTCTATCCAGCGAGATCTTGTCCGTTACAAATACAACCAACAAGCACTATCAGATAGAAAGCTACGAAGGGATATTCGAAAAATTATGTCACATTTAACAGTGATGAATGTCCGGATAATACAGCTAGTGATGTTCTCAGCTGTCTAGAGAACATATCTCACATCGAGTTGCATCTGAAAGAAATCAATCCAGGTGTTCAACTTTTATTCTCAATGTGTTATGGTGCTACACAGATTTGAAGCACACCGCCAACTGCTTACCAACAATTCTTCACTCAGGTGAGGAAATACATCTCCCGCTTATAATTGCTCACTTGATATCTACAGCTTGTGGCCGGAGAATCAATTTTACAAATGGTAAATAGGTCAGGACTGGTGGAACTTTACAAGTTCTTGCAGTGCTTGACCGCTGATGCCACTTTGTCTTTGGTGGGAATACCCTGTATATACAACATCCTACAGTATCACTATCAGCATGAAGAATGTTATCCACCTACATTGTTGGCAGTGTGTCTCTGGTTATATGAACGAGCATATACTGTGCTCAATGCACTGCTGGTCTATCATTCTCCACCACTTTATTATGAGAGTATTAGCAAAGCGCTAAATACAGATTGGAAAAAGGTTTGTAGTTGCCCTGTTGATGTAAATGCAATGCTCAGTTATTGTTTCAGACTGGTTGTGACTATAGTATGCCCCAAATTTGACATTGCCTGTACTATCCTAACCTGAAACATGACCTTCAAAGTGAACCTGGTGGTTGCTGAGGCGACAAATGCTCAAAATACTATTTTCAGTATGGTGAGCAACAACTAACGGGTGGAATCATGTGTGCTTGGTGCACACACAGCATTTGTTATGGATTTAATTGCATCCCCCAAGGAGAAGGTCGGAATGATGTCTTTTCAGCAATTCTCACTCACTGGCCAAAGTCTCCGAGAGGGGTGGTCTACAACTTTGCTTGCGCTTTGGGCCCATATTCCTTAACTTGAGAACCAGATGTCTTTGCAGACACATTATTTGTTGTAGACGCCTTCCATGCCAAAGGGCACACAAAATGTTTTCTTTCATCTTTTCTTACAAATTATGCTCAAGCAGATATTGACTCTAGTGCTGCAGAGTGTGGAAACAGTACAATAAAGCGGATTCAAAAATCAGTTAGCTACATGTCTCAGGATTGGGCAATTTTGTATGCCAAGGTTTTCTTGTTGATCTGGAATCGACTCAAAATTGGGTTTAAATACTTAAATACCAATATTGTAGCTTCAGTTGTAATCAAAATGGTGGGATGGTTGCCCTAGATCATCACTGTACATATGATCTGAACGTACCATACTGGCAAATGGTAGGATGGTTGCCCCAGAGCATCACTGTGCATATGATCTGAACATATCATACTGGCAAAAGGTGGGATGGTCATCCCAGATCATCACTGTGCATATGGCCTCAATGTACCATACTGGCAAAAGGTGGGATGTTCATCATAGATCATCATCACTCATATGATGTGGTGATACCATACCAGTAAATTGTGGGATAGTTTTTAGAGACCATAACTATTTCTATGGTGCCGAGCAATCATACCATGTGCTACCCAGATGGTCATACCATATCATCTGCACTCATATGGTTTCACAATACTGAATTATTCAATCATAGAACACTTTTTTCAGGCCTTATCAATACATATGGTGTTGAGAGACCATAGTCACTTATTTGTGGTATGTTTACACCAGCACATATTGACTGATACAGCATGGCAGAACCATATATGCTCACATAATGATGGTTTGGCCAGGTCATATCGTCCAGGATACTCCTAACATACTGTATTGACTGACGTGATATATGCGGTTAATTCTTCACACTCTCTTATGTCAGCACATACAGCTGGCTGTACAATGTATTTGGCTGACAGACTGTATGTGCTTATTGTAACGGGCCATATCTGTCTATACAGCTGGTCATCTGTTGCCTGACCCCCATTTTCCGTCAAGTTAGGGACCAAGATCTGTGGAAGGGCCTAGCACACAAGCTAAGCCAATTCCCCATCTTGTCCTCCATTACTCCATCACCCTATCCCCTTACTCCACAGCTCCACTAATCCAAAGAGGCCACGGTTCTCACAATGTCTCAGGGAGGATGATCACATCAAAGACAAATATGACAAGAATGTTTTCCTCAAGGCCATGTTCTTCTCTGAAAAATAGGAAGTAAATCACATAAATGAGGATGATAAAGTGTGTATGAAGGCATTTGTTTGGGCTGGTTCTAACTTTGGGTTCTGTTTCCAGGTCTGCAATGATCTGCAACTTTCAATATGAAGGATCTTTTTCAATTAACACATTTCCTGCGTGAGTTCTACTCTATGTTGGAAAATGTTGGAAAAGGAGCAGCCCCATCTGCATAAAAATGTCAGCCTCAAGCGGCCTTAAGCCACCTGGAAGCTGTACGTATAAGGGGGTAGCACGTAACCAAGAAGATTGTATTTTAACATGAAATAATACCAATTTGAGCTTAGTCCAAGATTATCAAGGCCAACAATAATGTTTCTGAGCATATCTTTTGACTAGATTACTAGATTACAATTATCACCATAGATAAGATGAGACAATAAAGACACAAAGATATGAAAAGCGTTCAAAAAAGAAATCTACAAAAACCTACAAAAAAAAGTGTAATCTATGGATCAGCATTGCCATCATCACAAGCTTCTTGACGATGCACTTCTAACGCTGCCATGCACAAAGTTGATTGGTAACATGGACAGGTGTCAATAATGAAGCAAATATTCAAAAGACTCACCTTTGCGTCACACAGGCATAGTGCCACGTGGAATAGTAATCAATATTGCCTTTTTTGAATTTGTGGCTGATCAGCACCACCTCTATTAGGCAATCAAGTTGCGTTCACCTTTGCTTTCCGTCTGGTACTTTCCGCATTTTGGCATTTTGGCAAATTTTTGCGTCACCACTGGCTACATATTGTAATAAATCTAAGTGAAAACTCAGCCGCTGCCCAAGAGGCTATAGAAACGGTTTTATTATTTACCTAAGTGAAAACTACAATAGGTGTTAGTTTAAGGTAATCTCTAATAAATGTAATATAACATACCTCAGCCACTGCCTGAGAGGCTATGAAACCGACTGAGGTATTCCTATACTAAACCCCCTACTACTTATAGTCGGAGGTGCTACTTGCTACAGTATAATGACTCCTAGGAGAACAATGGTTACTCCATGGAGTGGTGGCTATGCTCCATGGAGAACAATGGCTGCTTTAGCAGACACCGGGTTTATCTGGTTTTGTCACTCCTGCTTGAGTGCAATCATAGTCCCATAGCTTTGGAGAATTTCCAGTGTTTTTCGTGAGTGAGGGGTTTAGTGAGAATGTTGGCAACCATATCTCCTGTAGGAACATATCTGATTACTGCCTCTCCCTTTGATACTAAGTCATCTTGGATAAAATGATATTTCCATTGAATATGTTTTGAGCGAACACGGATCTTGTGTAAGAATGATAGCTGCTTGATTGTCACAGTATAATGTTGTAGGTCCATTTTGAGCATGTCCGATTGCTTCAAAAAATGTCCGAAGCCATGCAAGGTTTTGTCCAGCATTGCTCAATCCAATGTACTCTGACTCCGTGGAGGATAAAGCTACCATGCTTTGTCTTTTGCTTGTCCAGGAGATTGCTCCTCAGACGGTGATAAAAACAAAACCTGATGTTGATCAAGACGTATCTGGGTCTCCAGACCAATCTGCATCTGAATATCCATAGAAATCCATGTCCATGGAGACATCTGTGCCATCATAACATAGTTCCATGTCCCTGGTTGCTTTCAGATATCAGAGGTCACATTTTGCAGCTTCCCAGTGATGGCTCCTTGGAGCTGAGCTATGCCTGCTTAGTATTCCAACAACGTCTGGGCGGGTTCCGAGCATGGCATAGATGAGGGAGCCTACAATTGAGATGTATGACACTTGACACCCTTCAATATGCATCTCGTGTTGCACAATATCTTCCCCTGGAGCATTTGCAAGGAGTTTTGATCCATGGGCCATTGGTGTCCATACTGGTTTGCAGTTATTCATTCCAGTACGCTCCAGGACTGTGTCAATGTATTGGCGTTGCAATAGGGATATTGTTTTGTTTGAACAATATCCAGCAGTATCCAGGTTGGATAGGAACACCCCCTGGAGGAAGCATGTACAGTTTTTCTTCAAGTTCTTCACTGAGATAAGCTGTGGATATGTCCATTTTATCAAGTTCTAGGTCATACTTTGCTGCTAGGGCTAGAATAATTCAGATTGACTCTAAGTTTGCAACCGGAGCAAAAACCTCCTGGTAATTAATCCCCTCCCTTTGAGTAAAACCTCGTGCAATAATCCGGAGTTTGTATCTCTCAATGTTTCCGTTTTGATCAAACTTGATCCAGAACACAGGTTTTGATGTAATAGGTTTCACTCCCTTTGGAAGTGGGACAGTGTCATATACTGCATTAGTATTGAGACTTAGGAGTTCCTCCTCCAAGGCAGACTTCCATAATTCTCCATCCGGACGTGATAAGGCTTCCTTTAGTGTCCTTGGAAGGTCTATGTTAGATGGACTGGTACTTGCTATTCCAGCAAAGAATGTCTCCTCTGTATCAGATGTTTCTTCATGCACCTCAGGAGTGTTAGGTTTTTCCATGGAGTTGTCATGCTGCTCTTTTCAAGACTGTTCCTCATCTAGAGTCCTTTGATAATCTCGGTTTTTGTCTGCAGGACAAGTCTGGCAACTGCTTCTGCGTACTCCTAGGACTTCAGCAGGCATGACTTCTCTTTTAGGAACTTGTGCAGGTACTTCAGGGAGTAGACACATTTGTGTGTGTGTTGCCCCACTCACTCCTGAAGGTGCTGAATGACTCCTGGGAGGTGTTGTATGCCTTCCAGAAGCTGATCTGATGGACAGGCTGTCTATGTTACAATTGACATACCAGCACCTACTTACGCTTTACTTTTTTGTACTTTTACTTTTCATTTTCCAAGTCACATGACTGATCATGTGACCATTGACTTTACCTTACATTTCAGACTTTTCATAGTCACATGACCAACCATGTGACACATCACCTGACCAGTGTCTAGACTCATCATGTGACTGGTCACATACTAAACATCGGACTTTAAATTTTATTTACAATTGTATAGTACATATGTACAAACAAACCTGTAGTAGTATATATAATAGATCAAGGAGACGACTCAGCGGAGTCCTCCTGTTGTTAACCAACAAACTCTCTGCAGCCTAAGGGGTAACCACTCCCTCTTCACTACTTTTATAGTGTGTTCCTGTGTGCGCCAGAGTAACTAACTCTTGGTTGTTACAGCCAGAGTAACAAACTCTTGGTTGTTACAAGGACTGAGTTTGTTGTGGGTAAACAACAGGAGGACTCGCTGAGGAGTCTCCTGGATCTATTGGGGTATATATACTACTACGGGTTGTTTGTACATGTGTACTATACAGTTGATGGAGGTAGTGGCTGATGATGTCATGGGACTCAGCCTATGTGACCAGCTCCACTATGTGAGAGACTTGTAGCTAGAATAAGGAAAAGGCAGCGCAGTGCAAGAAGGTGGAGTTTGAACAAGATGGAAAGTGCCGCATGGCACAGTGTGTGAAAACTCCAGAAGAAAGTTAAAGAGGAGAATGAAATTTAAAGGTCCAAAAATTGTGTATCGTAACAGAAGCAGGTTTCAAGCTGCTTATATGGGCTTGTGTGCTAAAAGGTTATTGAAGGTACAAATGTGATCATAAACTTTAGTACTAGTGTTTTCTCTTGTTTTTCTCTATCTCTGTCTCTCTCATTAGTTCACACTTAATCTCTAGTTTACTTTTGTTTCAATCTTTGCTGAATACAATGAACATTTTGTTTTACATTTGCACAAACTATAAGCTATACAATCACAATAAAACAGTGTCTGCATTGTAGCCAGCGTGAATGTACCACTGCCTCACCTTGTCTGAAGTCACTACATGTGCCACTCCAAGTAGGGCAACTTCAGGGTATTCATATTCTTGGATACAAACATAGTCAAGTTGTATCCAGGATTTGACTGTATGCTGTTAGCAATGTAAGAGAAGAAAGAAAAAGGGGTTACCACAACTGAAACTCTCCTCAATTGGATTCAAATTGGGAGAGTAAGGTGGGAGAAAGACTAGCATACATCTGACTCCTTCAACGACCTCCCGTGGTGCACTGGCTTTGTGAATTGCACAATTGTTGAGTATTATAATGCTTGGGTCTTGAGGATAAGGGTTCATCGTTGGTAGCTGTTTAAGTCAAAAATTAGAAGACAAAAATAAGAGAAATAAAATGTACATACCATATTGTTGACAATAAAATTGAAAAAAGCCTCACTGTTGAGAGAACCAAGGATAATGCTCATAGCTGAGTATCCTGTCATAGTTAATGCAGCCACAAGGCTATAGCGCTCCCCTCGGATAAAATTGGCTTGAACCTCTGCGCACCAGCCTCTTGGGGCTCATCCGTAGTGTCGGTAGATTGTCCTATTGTCCTTGCTGGTTTTGTCGACTGCAACAAACTGGCTGGCCACAAAGTGTGTGCTCATCTCCTGTAACCACTCCTCTTGCAGATCATCATTTCTCTCTGCAGCACACTTCAGTCACCCTCCAAATGGGGGCATTTAGGTTGAACATTGTGTGTAAAACTATGTAAAACTATCAACCTAAATGCCTGTTTTTTTGGGAAGATCCCAGGACTTGGAATGATCCCCAGGTAATTTACATCTGGGCAAATCCCATCCCTATAGGATCATCCCAGTGGATTATCCCCACTAGGATAATCTCACAGAAATGTCACATGTCACAAGGTGTCAGGGGGGCCAATAACAGAAAAAGTGGCTTTTCCCAGATCAGCAACACCAACAGATCATTAATTGGAAATTGATGCTTGAGCACTAAACAATGACAAGTAGTAGTATGGCTTGTAATGAGGAAATAGGTACCTGGAGAAATCTGAATATTGTTTGAACAATGAACAACTGGAAGATAATAAATACTGTACCATTCTGACCTTAGATGTATGTGAATTTGAGTGTGATATGGTATAATGCTAATTTCACATATTCATTGGTTGTTGGGATGTGTGAAAAACCTGTAGTAGTATATATACCCTAATATATTAAGGAGACAACTCAGTGGAGTCCTCTTGTTGTTGACCAACTAACTCACTGCAGCCTAAAGGGTAACCACTCCCTCATCATCCTCTCTATAGCTTATCTGAGTTGTGCGCCAGAGTAGGAAACTCTTGGTTGTTACAGTCTAGCTGTATTTGGACTTTTTCCACATCAGCTGGCTGTATGTTGAGGCGCTGTCCTCCCACTGACTGTGACTCTAGTTTCCGTTCTGAAGATAGCCAGTGTTCGGGTCTTGGTTGTAGAGACTGTTGTGGAGGGTGTCTTAGCTGATCAGGTGCTCCCACTGCTCTCAGAACGTCTCCATGGAGGTAATGCTCCACTGCTCTTGGAACATCTTCTTGGAGATGTGGTTCCATTTGCGATTCATTTGGATTTTGGGTCTGAGGGTCAGGATCATCCTCCTCCAATGTATTTTGGTCTGGATAGTGAGCATTCTCTGGAATGAGTCCCTCCCACTGATCTGTGCTAGGGTCTGTGTTCTAGGAAGCAGTGTCGTCCTTTTGTACCTTTCCAGATTCATTGAAAATGACATACCGACTGGAAAACACAGTTTGTTTTACAGTGTCTAGGAGTTTGTAGGCTTGCTTCCCATGTGTGTAGCCAATCATTATGGCTTTGCACCCCTTGGAGTAAAACTTCCCTTGCCTTTTATCTTTCGGAATCAAGGCATATGCTGTTATGATAACACAATTTTTGGATTTTTAAATTTCATTCTCCCCTTTAACCCTTTACTATAGTTTTCACACACAGTGCCATGCAGCACTTTCCTTTTTGTTCAAACTCCTCTTTCTCGCGCCGCATTGCCTTTCTTCTTATTTTAGATACAAGTATCTCACGCAGTGGAGCTGGTCACACGGGCTGCACCCTCTGACATCATCAGCCACTGCCTTCATCAACTGTATAGTATATATGTACAAACAAACCTGTAGTAGTATATATACCCCAATAAATCCAGGAGACTCCTCAGCGAGTCCTCCTGTTGTATCCTCACAACTAACTTGTTGAAACCTAAGGGGTGATCCCTTTCTTACATGTCTACTCCTTTTGCTTATTTTAGTTGTGCGACAGAGTAACTAACTCTTGGTTGTTACATATGCTTGGCATCTGAAAGGGCAAAATAAAGCTGGATCAACTCTCCTTTTAAACAGTATTTCATATGGGGACTTTCCATGGAGTCCTGATGCTGGGCTGCGTGCTGTGATATATGCAGCCGTTTGCATGGCATCTACCCAGAATGACTTTGGGAGCTTGGAATTATGGAGCATAGTGGTTGCTAATTTAGCCAATGTCTGATTTATGCGTTCTGCAATGCCATTTTGTTCCGGAGTATCTGCAACTGTAGTTTCTTGGATGACACCATCTCCTCAGAGCTGATTTTTGAATGCATTGCCAGTATATTCTCCTCCCCCATCGCTCCAGAGGAATTCTGTGTACAGTGGAGTGAAGTTTTTTTCTCCCAAATGAGTTTGGAAAAATGTTTGGACATCTTCTTTCCATTGCTTGTATCGTTCCAGTGCTTCACTTTTTTGTTTTAGGAAATATATCCATGGAAATTTGGAGAAATCATCTACAATGATAATCCAGTACCAAAAACCCTCCCTGGAGGTTGGTTTGATTGGTCCTCCAACATCTGTGTGCACAATTTGTATGGGGTGCTTGGCTCGGTTTCCTCCAGTGGACTTGAAAGGTAATTTCTTCATCTTTCCTAAACCACAAGGTTCACAGAACTCCGGGGTTCCGGTAAGGGTGTCTATGTCCTGGAGCTGTCCTTGTGTAACCATTTGTTGCAAGTGATCCATTCCAATGTGTCCCATTCTCCTGTGCAATAAATTTACATCTACTGCTGCAAAAGCTGACTCCGGGTTGATTTTGGGTTTTGCTTGGATGTGATAAAGTCCTCGCTTGTGTAAGGCAGTGAGGATAAGTTCCTTCTTTTTCCAAACTTCACAAGCATTTGACCCTGCTGGAAAAAGTGTTGATAACCCCGTTTTAGACAATTTGTGGACAGAAACAAGTGCTAAAGTGAAGTTTGGCACAAGTAAGACATTTGACAGTGCAATATTGTAGTCCCTTTTGCCAACAGTTGCTTGTAAGATTACTGTTCCAATTCCAATGGCATTTACAGAGGATTCAGAACATGGTATGTTCCTGGCTCAAACCAGGAGCGGTGAGGGACCATGTGAGATGTGGCTTCAGAGTCAATGATGATTGTTGTTTTGGTCTTATCTGGTTCCGACACAAGGTAAGCTTGAATGTGTTTAGCAAGGGGCTTGGAAATATGTACATGTTCCAATGCAATATGACTCTGTTCCTCCTCGGAGTCAGATCCAGATGATTGCTCCGCCGTATTTGCCTTTTCCTTCTCTTTTCCTTTATCCTTGTGTCTTTCCTTTCCCTTCTTCTTTTGACCTTTTCCAGCTGACTGAAGTGTTCGGCACTCCGAGGTGTTGTGTGATTTGGCTTTGTGGAAGTCACACCACTTCTCCTCGGACTTGAGTGCTGATTCAGAAACTCCAGGGGCCTTTTCTGACTGTTGTGCAACTTCTGCAATGATTTGGATCCCAACTTCATCAAAGGTAAGTTTATTTTCTTCAATCGTGTTGATTACCAATAACTGAAATATTTGCCATTTAAGAGTACATGGGAGAGATTGGAGAAGAGCAAAGGCCATGAGTTTGGTATCAACTCCTAGTTTTATTCCAGAGAGGTGTGAATCAATTGTCCAGATTTTTGCAATGTGGTCCTGGATAGGTGATGTCCCATCCCAGGACAATTTGGTGAGTTGCTGGAATGAATAGAAGGCCAAGGCAATGTTGGACGTCTGATAGAGTGAGACAAGTTTATCAAATAACTCCTTGGAGCTGGTGAGTTCTCCAATCCTCATTAGAAGGGCATTGGAGATGTGGTCCTGGATGATTCCATGTGCCTTCTCATTCTTAAGTATCCAGGTGATCTCAGGATTCCCCGAGGAGGTGGGTTTTCCTGGTGAGCGCTTAAGCTCCTCTCCAGTAACAACCCGGAGAACTTTTTCCCGACATAGCTTTGAGATGATCTGGAGTTTCCATATCTGAAAATTGTTCGGTCTAGTGAGAACTGGACATGCGGATGTATTGTGTGCTGTGGTCATGGTTCCGAGGTTGCCATTTCAAATAAAAATTATTTCCTGTGTAGCTTTTGTGCCACCAGGGCTCATAACCTAATAAATCTAAGTGAAACTCAGCCGCTGCCCGAGAGGCTATAGAAACAACTTTATTATTTACCTAAGTGAAAACTACAATAGATGTTAGTTTAAGGTAATCTCTAATAAATGTAATATAACATATCTCAGCCGCTGCCCAAGAGGCTATAGAAACGACTGAGGTATTCCTATACTAAACCCCCTACTACTTATAGTCAGTGTTACGATAACACAATTTTTGGACCTTTCCTTTATTTTTCATTCTCTGCTTTAACCTTTTTACTGTAGCTTTCACACTCCGTGCCATGCGGCACTTTCCCTTTTATTCAAACTCCTCTTTCTCGCGCCGTATGGCCTTGTTTCTTATTTTTAGATACTAGTATCTCACGCAGTGGAGCTGGTCACATGGGCTGCACCCTCTGACATCATCAGCCACTGCCTCCATCAACTGTACAGTATACATGTACAAATAGCTTGTAGTAGTATAAATACCCCAATAGATCAAGGAGACTCCTCAGCGAGTCCTTCTGTTGTATACCAACTAACTCACTGCAGCCTAAGGGGTAACCACTCCCACTCATCATTCTCTGACTGATCAGTGGTACATACTGCTGGTCGGTGAACCTTATAGTGTGTCTTAGTGTGCGCCAGAGTAACTAACTCTTGGTTGTTACAGTCAGAGGTGCTACTTGCTACAGTATAATGACTCCTAGGAGAACAATAATGACTCCATGGAGTGGTGGCTATGCTCCATGGAGAACAATGGCTGCTTTAGCAGACACCGGGTTTATCCGTTTTTGTCATATTACGCCCTTGCTTTTGTTGTTCTCCCTTACCTTTTTTTCTTTACTCATCCCCACCATAGGCCCCTTACTCTCTTTTTTATTCTCACCAGACAGTCGTTTCTGGCTACCTATTTTAGTCCACTTCCTTGTCACCTCCACCCTCCTCCTACTCGTCTTTCTTGCTCCCCCACCATACCTGATGTCACTACTCTCCATCCGCTTCTGTTGCCAATCCAGCAACCACCACGTGCCACTGCTGATATCAGCAAAGCCCTGGCAGCCGGTCCATCTTCATGACGTCTATCTTCCATTGTATACTATTAAATCATTGGTTGCTTGTCTTGCCTGGTTGAAGTGTGGGTGGGTAGTTTTTGAGCTGGAGAAGGTTCATCCCCTTGCATTGCCTATGTATATTGCTATCCCATTCACTTGGGTACATCTATCCTTTGTCTATTGTCTTTGCTACAGCTATACTTACCACATGCTGCCTGGGACACATTTGTTCCAGATTGGAACTACTCCCCTCCCTCCCTCATTTGACCAGGTGGTCCAATACAACCAGTCCATTGGTAAGGCCATGGTCTAAGAAATCAATACTGAAGCATAATAAGTAAATGAACATGTGAAGAAGACTGTATCTACTAACCTCAGTTTTGTGTAATACAAACTGAGGTGTAACTATCCTAGAAATGAGCATAAAAATGAGAAGGAAAAGTCCGAGTTCTTGAATCCCAATGGGGAAATGTTTTCCCATAAATATAGGGTGAAAGATCGGACTGTAACTGAATTATCTAGTACTTGAAATATTAGTGTAGGCTCAAATAAAATATTGAATTGTGAGAATGATATATTGAGTATATAGAAATATACCTACACATGGAACCACCGGATTTGGACTAGGTGGTGGACCGGTGGCTCCAGTTTCTTTTTTTTTTCAGCAGAACATTCATTTACAGTGCAATTATCTTGGATTTTTGAATCATTTTTAGGGACACATATTTTTTTAGAATGCCTGACTGACAATAAAGGAACTGTGTTGATACTGATATTGTTTTGCTTTGCCCTTTTTTGACTGCATCTTCCCATGACATCATGATTTTCTCGCTCTCTTTCTCCTATTGGACTTTATTTTATGGCTGTACAAACTTGTGACATTACTTACACAGCATTCATTGTCCATGGTGGCGGGTGCAGCGGTGGTGGTCGTGGTGGTGGTAAGAGTTGTTACAGAGTGGGCAACCGATACATGCTAATTAGATATGGCGGCCATAATGTATGTACTCGGAATTGCCCGCACTTGCAAGTTGCACCAGTGTCTACCCGACGGTGTGAGTTGTCAACGGTTTGGGGTAACACTACGAGTCATATTACGGCTTGACGCCTGTTATAAGCCTGCTACCACACGATGAACGTTCCCTCCCCAGCTTCTCGCCGTCCCACTCTCGTCCACAAACAGGTGAGGCGTTTTTACTTCAATTGTTTCGCGTAGAGTTCTGACACCTCTCACTATACAGATCATATAGTCATGGCTTCGGAAACTAAGGTCATTCTATGGGGCTTTGGCAAAGATTCGAACGTGCCCAGTCCTTCTGCGTTTTGTCAGAAAGTGGAGACCTTCTTGCGGTTCACATCCACACCGTACGAATTCCGCGCGACTACTTCAAGTAAAGCACCGAAACGTAAACTGCCATACGCCGATGTCCATCACAACGGCAAGATTGTGACGATCGCCGACTCCCATTTCATCATTCGCTATCTCATCGAGAATGGCATATCCAGTGATCCAGACAGCAAAGCTAATCTCACGTCCATACAAAAAGCCGAGTCACGAGCGTTCCAAGGGTATTTGGAAGAGGTCGTTTATAAAGCTATCGCCTACGAAAAGTGCTTCAACGATACTAATTTCGCGAATGCGATGTCAGAACTGCCAGAAATTGCGGCTATTCCATGGATTATCAAGCCACTCGTCATAAAAATGGTGCGGAGAAGTGCTCGAAAGTCATTGTGGAACGCGGGAGTCGGAAGGCATTCTCGAGACGAAGCGAGGACGTTGGAGGATGAGGGATTTGGAGCTTTGGATGCACGCTTGTCCCTCCATCCATATTTCCATGGTGATAAAGCTACGTCGATCGATATTATGATTGCGGGTTTGTTGACAAGTACTTTGGGCACGAAGGCGAATCCCTACTTCTACGACATGGTCGTGAAGAGTCCTATTCTTATTTCCTTCTGTCGGCGCATGTCGGTTCCACTCTTTCCGGAGTATGAGCAAGTGATCCTCGATATCGAAAATGCGGAAAAGGAACAAGGCAAAAATGAAGATGCTGTAGAGACCTCCTCTTCGTAAGGTGTGTTGTGATGACTCTGGTAAGTTTGACTACTCTAATAGTTTGCTTCGAAGCTGAGATTATACTCAACTTTTCGCAGATACTTTTTTGTTGGATGACCCCCAAAGTCAAGTTGCAGTCATCCACAGTGCGCTGACATCATTTCGATTTAAAGTAACTGCGGTGTGATAGTATTACTTGACTACAAAAATTGGTCATGATACGCTGTCAGTGCTAGTAATCGTTGTAATTGCCAATCTGATCCACGAAAGTATTGAGACTATGCATATGTCTTCATAAGATTTCCAACCTCTCAAGCTGAAGTTCCACCTTTTACTGTAACGGCATGAAAAGACTGATCACATGTAATGATGTACGAGAGTCAATTGGGAATTGACTCAGCGAATAGTCATGGAGTACTATACGTATTTGTTCCCTACCGATGCAACCCGATGAGTGTCTTGGAGTTGGACGCGTCTACCAGCGGTAGCCTCTGGAAACTACATACATATTAGTAAGTAAGGATTAAACGTCTCATCCATGCACATTTCTATCCAACGCTACAGAACCCATCCCAGTCCTAGTCATGTCAACATCCGACGCCTCCCAAAGCAAAGTCATCCTCTGGGCTTTCGCCAAGCCAGCCCGAGGTCCAAGCTATTCCGCCTTTTGCCAAAAACTAGAGACCTTTCTGAGGTTCACCTCGACACCTTACGAGGTCCGCGAGACTATGACGGACAAAGCTCCAAAGGGCAAGCTCCCCTACGTCGACGTTCAGCACGAGGGCAAGACAGTGACTATCGCCGACTCCCATTTCATCATTCGCTATCTCGTCGAAAACGGCATATCTGCCAACCCAGATGATCAAGCTGGGCTCACAGCCTCTCAGAAGAGCGAGTCTCGGGCATTCCAGGCGTATATGGAAGAGGTCCTATATAGTGCTATGAGGTACGAGAAGTATTGCAAAGACGACAACTTTGCGACGATGATGGCAGAGGCACTGGAAGTGACTCCACTTCCATTCTGGCTCCCATGGCCCCTCAGCTCCTTCGTTCTTGGGATGTTTCAGAGGAGCGCCAAGAATTCTTTGTGGGCCGAAGGTATGGGGAGACACTCTGAAGAGGAGGTGAAGAGTTTGGAGAAGGAGGGTATTCAGGCGTTGGAAGTGCGTCTCTCTGCACATCCGTACTTCCACGGTGAGAAACCTACCACCATCGACGTCACCATCTCCGCCTTTCTTGCCTGCAGCCTGGGTACGAAGGCAAATCCGTATTTTACTTCGATGGTTATCAGTAGCCATGTTCTACGCTCCTACTGCCGGCGCATGACGGCTCCACTGTTCCCAGAATATGAGGAGCTGTTGCGTGAGATCGATAGTGCGGATAAGGACCGGAGCGATGCGACTGAGAATCATGCCTCTGGAGTGGAATGATGACTGATACGGTATGTTTCATTTCATGTTACTTCACACAATCATAACGAGGCTAAGTGGCTGATCAGAAACCTGTCTCAACGTGGTATATCGACTGTAAGCTCTTCTTTAGTTTCGGACTCGCCAAAGCCTGAAATTAAAAGCTCCAATCAAACCTCTTACTGTCCATATTTTATTGAATACAAAACTAACAGCACTTCTCGCATACTTTGGAACTGATATACACCGTAACTTACACTGTAATTTGTATTAGTACACTGACACTACTCGCTACAAAATGATTCAGAACGAGATGTAAGCACTTGCATAGCTCACGCTAGAATCCCTGATATTGAAGCACTGGCTGCTTTGTTCATAACGAACCCACTTAATCTTAACGCTGTGAGTCTCATCCTGCTCCAACACGGACAGTGCACCCAGCAGGACCCCAATGGGGTGCCGACCACAAATAGTGTTCTTGGTTCTTCCCAAGTAAGACGCAAACTCCTGGTGTGCATTCACAGCTGATCCCGGAGGTATAGTTAGCAATTGCATCGCTTCGTGATCCAGGTCAGAGATAGATTCGTGGATAGGTCTACTGGACAACGTTGAGGGTGGGGGACCAGATCGAGAAAGACGGATGCCAGGGGTGTTGCTTGGGAGAGGCTCCGGGTAATAATACGTATAGCTGAACCGTGTACCCCTAACGTGGATTAGAAGCTATAAGTTCGTTTGTTGACGGCATGGATACCGACCGTGCGACTCACCAGTGGCAGAAATCGCTCGAGATGACGAATAGGGTATCTTCTCTAGCCAGGTAGGGGGCCAATATCTGTCCGTATGCAGCCTCTTTGTCCTTTGAGATAGCACCCACTAAAACTGGCACGATCGAAATATCAGAGCTTGAAGTATAGATCTCTGATGATCAGTAACGCCGCTTGAAAGCTTCATGAAAAACATACTTTTCAAATACTTTTCGTACATAAGATAGATGCATCTCGATACTGTGCTCATCTTCGTCGGTTTGAATGTCCATGTCTTCGAATTCACCTGTGTCCCGGAGATCTCGGATGACTGATAAGGGTAAGGTGATATCCTATACTTCGGAGATACTTATGACTTTACCTTGGAGATCCAAGGGCAACTCGCCTAGTGGTGTTTCGTACTGTTCACAGTTCGAAAGTGCACACCCGTCAAGATAAACATGGTGGGAAGGTCCGAGGATGAATACGCATTTACTATATGACTTATGTTGTAAACTCCACGCTAGTAAGAGTGATAGGAGCATACATGTCGGTTGTGTCTATGCTCTTGTATGCCCATGCTGCGGCAGGGCCTGAATACGAATATCCAGCATGCCTGATTGGTAGATGTGAATGAACCTATCAGAATGAGATCGTAAGAGCAAGAGAAGCACGAACGGAGCAATGATGGCCTTGCAGCCTGTGATTGGGGGTGCAAAGTCCTCATCTGAAGTGACGGCAGCTAACCATTGGGTCAGCTCCGCGTCGAGCGTTCGACCTGTCAGGGAGGTCATTGGCCCATCATGATACTAGCATGGTAGACGATGAAAGCAGGTACCACTGCTGGAATACCAAGAGCCAGCATGTGTAGCTCGCCTGCTGAATATTCAGCAGATGTGACGGTGGGGAACAGGAGAGATAATGCTTACCTGGATGGCTGCATGGCGGATGTGTGGTTGTCAATAAGCGGATGGAGCTGATCGATGAATTGGCGGATGGTGTTCCACATTTGGCAGTCCTGCGAATATTGCACTCAGCGTAGCGACACTCAATACCGAGTGTCCCATGACTGCGTTTCACTGCGTCCACAAGTTATCAGATTGCTAATAAGCTATCCGCCGAACACACACGTATGACCATGTTGTCCGCAGTGTATCCATCTTAGTAGCTCAGATGATCTGATGGCAACGGCATATCCATTTTTTATTTAACAAGATCATTCGCGCTTGATTCAAAGCAGCGCTCTTCATCTCTCTCGCAAACACAGACAGGTTCGTATTAATCAGTCCAAGATATGCAAGTTGTCTAATTCGCGTTTCTATTCCAGTCTCGAAGCTATGTCTACCTCGCAAACTAAGGTCTATGGGGCTTTCCTAAACAGCCAGACCTCGCCAGTCCTTCTGGCTCATGTCAAAAGCTCGAAACCTTCCTAAAGTTCACTTCAACCCCATACGAGGTTCGTGAGTCGTCGACCAGTAAAGCTCCAAAGCACAAGCTGCCCTATGCCGATATCCATCACGATGGCAAGACAGTCACCATGGCCGATTCTCACTTCATCATTCGTTACCTCATAGAGAACGGCATCTCCACCGATCCAGACGACGGTTTGACTCCTGCCCAAAAGGCCGAGTCGAGGGCATTCCAGGCGTTGATGGAAGACGTCTTGTACACCGCTATCGTTTGCGAACGGTGGTATGTCGATGAAAACTACGCTACTTTGGTCAAAGAGATGTTCTCGTCGATCCCTTGGCCTATCAGGTCGGTGGTAACCTGGATGATTCGGAGGAATATCAAGACTGCTCTCTGGCGTGCAGGTGTGGGGCGGCACTCTTTGGAGGAGATCTATAGGCTGGAGAAGGAAGGTTTCGAGGCACTGGATGCGCGTCTATCTTTGCACCTATTTTCACGGTGATAAACCATCTCTTATTGACATCACCATCGGTGGTTTCCTCGCGAACTGCTTGGACACAAAAGCGGACCCCTACTTCTCGGATAAGGTCATGGCAAGCCCTGTCCTTCGCTCTTTCTGCCATCGGATAAATGCACCGTTGTTCCCAGAATACAAGCACCTGCTTGGTGAGCTCACCGCTGGGGATAAACCGTCTGAAGAAGGCACTGCAGAAACGTCCTAGGTCAGGAGAGTTGGTCGAGTCTATCAACTCTTTGGATAAAACTGCATATAACATGTACAATACAATGATATTTGATAATGAGTTACCCACCTCTCATTTCTTTACGTCTGGTCCGAACATGAATATTCATAGAAATAAACCACCTGCAATTAGAACAATCGATATTCTCATGTGGTTTCCTGGTCGTGTATCGAAAATTCCATATTAGGGTGTAAGATAGTCCTTGGCGGTGTTTTGGTGTGTTAGGATTTAACGCCTTTGCCAAACAACCGCATATACGAGTCGCAGCTCGCAGTCACGGTAGCCACACCAAATCAATCACGGCAATTTCAGGTGTGTCCAAGACTAGATATCGCTCATAACTCACTATACGCGATGTCTTTGCTATCTCCCATTATTTGCGATAATGGTACTGGTTATTCAAAGATTGGGTATGTCCTGTGCGAAACGCCTGATATATATGGTCGCTAACATGATCATGCTACAGGTTTGCTGGAAACTCAGATCCTTCTTTGTGAGTACAGTGGTTTGAAAGGTGTACCATTGATCTGCGAAGTAATGCATGTTGTTTAGCGTGTTTCCTACCGCTATCGCCACGCGAGGACCAGCAGCCCAATCAGCAAGAGCAGGGCCCCCGATCCCATCTAAACCTGGTAACCTTGCCTCGAAACGGGGAGTAGAAGACCTTGACTTCTTTATCGGAGACGAGGCACTCGCGAACGCCAAAACGCCAGGATATGGCGTTCATTATCCTATCAGACATGGAATGATCGACAATTGGGACCACATGGAACGCTACTGGGAGCAGACTATATTCAAGTATCTTCGGGCTGAGCCAGAGGATCATTACTTCCTTCTGGTACGTCGATTCAATACTATGATCAAGTGAAAAGTAGAGTTTGATACGTGCTTCGCGCAACTAGACTGAACCTCCCCTCAATCCTCCAGAGAACAGAGAACAGACTGCGGAAATCTTCTTCGAGTCCTTTAACATCAAAGGACTGTACATCGCCGTTCAGGCCGTCCTTGCTCTTGCTGCATCATGGTCATCTAATAAGGTGACTGATCGCACACTGACCGGCACTGTCATCGATTCTGGAGACGGTGTCACGCACGTCATTCCTTGTGCGGAAGGCTATGTCATCGGTAGCGCCATCAAAAACATACCTATCGCTGGACGCGACATCTCCCAATTCGTACTGAATTTGATGAGAGAGCGTGGTGAAATGACAGCAGTCCCTCCTGAAGACCAGCTCAAGATCGCGGGCAAAGTGAAAGAGAATTACAGCTACGTCTGTCAGGATATTGTCAAAGAGTTCCGAAAGTATGATGCAGAGCCTTACAAATATTTCGAGCGGTATGACGGCGAACATAGTGTGACTGGACGGGTATGTATTATCCCTCATATCTCCCCAAATCTCCCATTTATAAAAGATGAACCTATCACCTCCAGAAATATGCCGTCGATGTTGGTTACGAACGTTTCCTCGCTCCCGAAATCTTCTTCAATCCTGAGATATACTCCTCGGACTTCCTCACGCCTCTCCCGGACATCGTCGACGATGTTATCCAGGCGTCCCCCATCGATGTTCGTCGTGGTCTATACAAGGTATGCAATTCAAGGGCTTGCATTCGAATCCACTACTGAGGCCTTATACAGAACATCGTTCTCTCTGGAGGTTCGACAATGTTCCAGCACTTTGGGCAACGCCTCAAGCGAGACTTGAAACAACTGGTAGACCGCAGGATTGATGCCAGTGTTGTTTCCAGTGGTAGTACTCAAAGGGTGGATACAATATTTCTTTTAAATGTTCATTCAGCTAACAGATCTCTTAGTCTTCTGGCGTCGATGTGGATGTCATCTCTCACAAGCGTCAACGGTGGGTGACTTCAAAGATTTATCTTTCCCTTTGGCTTATTTGTCTGCCTATAAAGATATGCCGTCTGGTTCGGTGGTTCCTTGTTGGCCTCTCTCGTGCGTTTCTAGCTGACTATTGCGTTACGTTGTGCAACCACACTGATCATTCGTATGTTTCCAGCCTGAATTCTATACTTCTTGTCACACGAAGGCGCAGTATGACGAAATTGGTCCGAGCATTTGCAGACGGTACCAGATCTTTGGCAGTGCCACGTAAAACTAGAAAGAGCATTTACCAGCGATGTATTCTTCTTAATCCCTCGGTGACGAAGGGAAGGTGTTGTATAGCTAAAAGTGGTGCTTATATGTTCTTTTGACATCGATCCGAGTTTCATAGGAGAGGATATTGCAATTTTACGGATACAAGTTGTCTAAAAACATGGCGAACCATTTCGCAAGGCAATATACAGAGCTGCATGATCATAAACCTAACGTTCTAATGTTTACTTATTACTTCAACTGGAGCAGCTACACTGGAAGCCCAACATTTTCTTCTCTCCCAATCCACAAAAGCGTCGCTCCTCTTTAATTTCAGCTTCAAGTTCGGTGATTGGAGTTTCTTCATCTTCAGCACCCCAAGGCTCAAATGGATTACAAGCCATCTATACCGATCAAGTTAATAATTAGCCGTACAGAGGAAGAAAAGTTACTCACCTGCATGACCTTTGCCAATATCCTCTTTCCACTCTCGTGGTCTCCTTCTACCTTCTTAATAACTTCTTCTAACACCCACTGTCTAAGTATGAAACGTGGGTTTGCGCCTTTCGCAGCTGCCTCTCTTTCCGTGTCCATGTCTGATGACCATTCGCTACGCTCGCTTTCAATACGCTTTGAGTACTTCTCTAACCATGCCAGCCAGTCCTCCGTAGCTTTAGTATGGTCCAGCCTCTGCTGATCGGGGCTACAGCTGAATAGGCTTGAGATGAACTTATCCAGATGTTGGGACTTGTTTGACGTGCTGTCAGAAGACAGCATAGACGGACGGAAGAAGCACAGTTTGCGGAAGGTAGAGTGAAAGTCGAGCTTATGCGTTTCCATGATGTCTAAGAAAGGTTGGAATATCTGGCTTTGGTCCGTTTTGTCCTGCCGACGGAGGGCAAGACGTTTTCGGAATAACCTCCCGTATTCGACGGCACAAGTCTCCTCCAGAATTTTCTCCATCTCGTCTTTGACCAGCTCAGTACCGGCATTGCGCCACTCTGTAATCTTTTCGTCGGAGACGTCCTGTGCCCAGCCGGGAGAGACTGCCTTTCTTAAATTAGCTTCTGCTCCGATAAGGGGTGAAAGTGCACGAAGTAGGGCACGGCAAGCATAGACACTAATGGAGGGTAAGTAAGTCACATTTACACTCGTGTGTTCTGACGCTCACATCATGTTAGGTTGATACTACCAGATGATCAGCATGGTCAGAATTGATAAGGAAACGCATCGATAAATAAGTACCTTATAAGCATATCGACCTTCTTCGTCGGTGTGGTTACAAATGTGGTATGAATCGAAAACATCCATGAATGCGTATGGACCTGAACATGAACAAGTAAACGTTGAGTAAATACTAGATAATATAATCAGTTCTCAGCGTACCGTAATCAATCGTCAATCCCAGGACGGAGATACTAAGGTGCAGTTAGTGAATATTACACAAGACTAGTAGAAAGTCCAACTAACTTATCCGTATTCATAACTCCATGCATAAACCCGTAGGCCTGCCATGCAGCAACCATCTTTGCGTTTCGCTTGGCTACATCAAGGACTAACTCTTTACCCCAGGACTTGCCCTTATCCCAATCCACATTCTCTAGTTTCAATACCTTTCTTCCAACCCATTCTCCCAGCTGCCTGAGAGCATCATAGTCAGCACTTTGCTGTCCTCCTCCAAGGAAAAACATATTAGAAGGAGGAGAAAGTGCTTCAAAGTTGCCTATCCGTAAAAAGCTTTCCGCAACACGAGTGAAAACACAAGCTGTTTCGACACGCTCGCGAATCACAGGCAAGTCTGGAAGGGAAATCAGGCTGAGGGAACGAGTTGTTGGGATCGAGAGAGCTTGCATCGCTGGCGAGTAATGTTTCAGAAAATGAACCAAATAAAGGTAAAAGTACAAACCTTCAGAACAGAGGTATTCACGGATAGAAGATCGTAACACAGCCAGGCCGTCGGCACTGCGCGAGAAGGGAGTACGACCAGCGCCTTTCAGTTGGAGTTCGTACGTCAGGTCAGGAGAGGTTGGGTGAGGGGTTACCACTGCATATATGTTGTAAATGAGGTCAGACGATGATGACGACAAGAATTCATGCTCACAGACTGAAATTGCTCTGCCATCGCCAAGTTGACCGGCCCATGAACCAAATTGATGCCCACTGTATCTAACAGACCAGGGTGCAAATCCGGGACTTTCATTGTTTGCATTCGAATCAGCAGACATGAGCACACTGTGCCCACTCAAGACGTCGATGAGTTCCTGGCGGATAGCACCGGGTCCTTCCACAGGCACTGAGTCCACTCCTTCTTCATCCTCGGGAGCCAAAGCGGGCGAGCCCAGGGTTGCAAATGCATCGCCAACGTCCAAGTGAGGGATACAATCCCTTAAGCACGTCTCTGACAAGCCAATGAGCTCCCTCTTGTCATCCCTAGACTTCGCATGGTATTTTTGCAGGACTGGTGTAGTCTGAGTATCGGCAGGTATAGACTGAGATATCACGGCTTCGCGGTCACTGAGCCATTTCTCTATGTAAGCAGCCTTGTCTTCTACGACTTCAGGTGGGTCTGGTGCAGTGATTTCGTAGGGAAATGGCAAAGGAAGTGGGGAAACATATGCAAAATGAGCCTGAGAGGGAAGAAGGCGGGCACGACGCTGAATGCTGGGCTTGTCCAACAACACCTCCTTTATAAAACCTGCAGCACTTGGTGTGTTTGGGTCCGGAGTAAGATTGTTGGTGATTATCTGAGAAGAAGGCGGTAGCGGTAAGCCTGAGATCGGAACTTTCGAGGTTTTAGACATGGTAGTCATAGATCTCAGAAAGAGAGCTCGCATATACAGCACAAAGCGAGGAAATGTTCACGCAAACCTCGTCGTGGTTGTTGTCGAAGATGTTGAGAAAGCCCCTAGGAAAACAGCTCCATCGTTTCGTTTGACGATGAGCAAGCATGGAGCATGACCGAGACGCTACTTGCCGGGCCGATAGAACACCCGGCTAATACAATTTTGTACTTGAAAGCAACACGATCCATAACAAATATACTAGTCCGTACGGCAAATATGTCAAACCTTAGTCCACAGCACAGATTCTTTACCAATAAACCAACACTGCAGATGAAGCCTCGACCTCAACTTTCCCGGTCGAGATTATTTCTTCTACCAAAGGACCAGATGCCACTCCCGATGCGAAGTTTTGTCCAGCCCAAGTTGTCAAGTTGGACGTCATAACGTCTGCACCAGGTGCTTGGAGGCGTCTCAACGTAACTTCTTGATTTTTAAAGGGCAAGAATGCCGAAATATCAATAGTAACGTTGGGCCGTGGAGTCGTCTCAGTTTGGTTGTAAATCTCCAAGTTCAAGAGAGCTAGTTTGGATGGGTAATCCAAATTCGGGTTTTCGAGCTCATCCCAGAACCCGTAAACAGATATTTGACCTGCAGAAATATCGCCACCAGCTGTGGTAATAGTCGAACCATTGGCTTGTCTACCAGGGAAAATGTTCGCAATTTTCAGTGACCTCGAGTATCCGATTGCTTCGCTAACGAAGAGGTAAGCTGAATATGCTGGGAATACTTGAATTGGTCCATTTTGATTATCGACCGGATACCTGAGTAACAGGGGGTCTAGTTTCCGTTAATGAATTCACTGAGTAAAATCATACCACAGGTTGTAGAGGGAAAGACCTCCATGATTCAATTGAGTAGAACTTTGTAGTGCGAGAGGGCCACCTTGGTGCACGTATACCCTGTAGCTCGTCGTCAGTTTTGAATTCAAAAGGAGTGTAGCAAACTTACCTCGACACATTGATAGATGCAGCATACAGAGTAGTATCCAACTGTGAGAAACGGTGAGAGAAGGAATGACTGTTTTCAAGTCATACTCACCAGCCACATCGCTTGGCCGAACGTATTGCTAACATTGGCGCGGCCAGAGCAAGATACCGAGTTAAATTCACCTAACCAATAGGTAGTCAGAATAGATTGTGAAGCATCACACTCCTTTGATACCGTACCAATGAGAAACGAGTCAGGGCCCAGCTGTTCTCGGACACTGTGAATGCGAGGCTGCCATAAGTCCAGATACCTGGTGAGAAAGGAATTATTATCTGCAGATTCGACGTCAAACACCAGCACTCACTGAGCCAGGCGAGTATGATTAACCTATTTCAACAATTTAATAAGTTTTTTTTTGATTTATTCAAGGCGACCTCGAAAAACTCACGAGATTTGGCAATGTCGCGACAGCCGCCCTGGTGGGATCGCACACCTAAAGGCGCAAACTTAGGTCACCACGCTCTCGCGCGCGCTACGACAGAATACTTACACTATACTGGTATGTATGCTCGCTGCACGTTAGTACAGTATTTCCATCATCTGCTCCTGCCGCTAAAGCGGTAACGCAATTAAACTGGTCCTCAGCCTGCGTAGTGTTATATGGCCACAAGGGGTCAATGGCCGTGGCACAGAGTTGAAATTCAGGCTTGTTGATGTCCAAAGCTTTGGATATGTTGACGGACCAAGGCTATATCGGTGTCCCTCAGCGAAATAGCACCCACGGAAATGGAAGGATGCTCACCTCCCAAATTGCAGTGTAGTTCTCTGCATCGAAATCAAGATAATACTGGTCCGGCTCATTACCAACTGAACGCGACATGTTTAAATGTTATTCAAGAGAATTCGGAACAAAACACACTCTCGAAAGATAAAATCTGTGTAGCAGGATCTAAGCCATGCCAGGCAGCTTCAGCGACACTTAAAGCACCGGTATAATTCAAGCTTTCTAAGTCCTGAAAGAGACGAATTGACTAAACGTACTAGTAAGCGGAAATGCGGGACACATACCAGAGTCATGATGATTTTGGTGGTCTCGGGCATCAGCTTAACAGATTCCCAAAATTGCGGGCCAATTGTCGTATTAACGAGAGTACCCGAGGACTCAATGAAGTTATACAGAGGTACATCCAAGGACGGGTCCCAGAAAGTCGAATCGGCTGTGATGCCACCAATCCGTACTTCACCTGCGATTCCAGTTCTGTCTTTGATATTTTGAAACAGGTTCCTCGTGAGTTCGTTGGGTGAGGATGAATTCCCGACATATTCGACAAAGAAAGCAGTTTCGATACTGAAACTTGCCAATGCGGGATTGAGAGTAGACGAGGCAGTATCGGGAAGTGATGCTGGACCCGAAAGCGTCAAGGACGTCAATGCGGACTCGGAATCTGATACAAAGCTATGCATCGTCGTTGCTGATGCATAGCCAGATAAGAGGATAGAGAATAACGCAGCGTTCGTAGAGAGCGCCATGTCAGAAGGGAACAACTCTGTATCACTCACGTTTCTTGAAGCTGGTTTATGTAGCGAAGCCAGTCACGACGGGCCGACACAGCAAAGCGTACTATGAAAAGGACCACATGTTCTGTAAATTGTATATATATATTTCAACAGCGAAGAGCCTTGGTCAATTAAAGAAGACTGTCTCACTCAGTCATGTGACAGGTCAGGCGTTCCAGTATATTTGGACATGCTTGGCTGCAGCTTCGGGTTCTAACAAGAATAAATAATGCATTATCTCATCGGCTACCGGAAGCCATAAAGTAGCCGGGAAGGCTCGGTCCGGGCTACTTAGCTTGAATATCAGCAGCTACTGCCAGTGTGAACAAATTGTGGGCTTGGGTGCAGAGTGCCATTTTGATCTTTGTATAGTAATCGATACGAGAAATGTCCCTAGCAGGGTTGAAGGTCATTGAGGTAAATTTCGCTCCTAGTCTTTGCTGTATAGCCTCAGGCGCAAGTTTCTAATGACAGTTGTCTTAGTTTGCCGGCTTAGCTCCAGCGCCTTTTGCTGGCCTCGTTCTTGCTGACCATGGTGCTGAGGTCATTCGCATTGACCCGCCATCTCCGTTCAATAACGATATCCTCTGCAGAGGAAAGACGTCTATCGCGATCAATTTAAAAACCCGTAGCGGCCTCGTAGTGGCAAAGAAACTGATTACGCAGGCCGACATACTCATCGACCCATTCAGACCTGGTGTGTTGGAAAGACTTGGCCTAGGACCTGAAATATTCCTTGGTTCTGAAGAAACGAAAGGTCTCAATGACAAGCTTATTTTTGCGAGAGTAGTGGGGTGAGTACTGCATATCATCAATAGTGACAGTTGCCTTCGAACTTTTAGTCGTGGACCTTGAATAGCTTCCCAAGGGCCGGTAAGTAATGCCCGAGCTGATATAGGTCAAAATATATTGAGCGGACATTAGGGCCTCATAAAACGATGGCTGGTAAAGTTGTCTGCCAGTGTTGAGCTCAGAGCATGTTTCACATTGGGAGGTACATTACACAGGTCACGATATAAACTATCTAGCTACCAGTGGTGTTTTGTCAGTAAGTGCTGCTTATAGGTTCAAATTCTGCTCACTGAAACTCTTCAATAACCTCTTTCTACAAGATGTTACCGGGTACACAAGAGAAGCCAAGCTTCCCTCTCAATCTCCTGGCAGATTTTGGGGGAGGTGGCTTGATGTGCGCTACTGGCATATTACTTGCTCTTGTCGAACGCGGCAAGAGTGGAAAGGGGCAAGTTGTGTGTACAGATATGGTTTGTTGCAGACCCTTCTTTGTATTCATGTAATAACAATAAATACCAGGTTTCGGGAACGCGCTACCTTTCATCTTTCCCCCTCTTACATGCATCCGAATCATCGCCCTACTTTTCCCAAAATCGAGGCTCTAACATCCTTGATGGCGGTGCGCCTTTCTACGATGTGTATACGTGCTCCGACGGCAGGTGGATGAGCGTGGGCTGTGTGGAACCTGTTTTCTTCGCAGAGTTTATAGCCAGGTTCGATAAAGCTCTTCAGAACGAAGGAATAAACTCGAGCTGGAAGCCATCGCAGGCTACGCAGACGAAGAAAGAGGACTGGCCAAACTTGAAGCAATATTTACACGACGGGTTCAAAAGCAGACCAAGAGAATTCTGGGAAATTGTTTTCCATGGTGCGTTTCAGAGCTTTACTCTCTAGGGTTTTATTTACTCCTTGCGGTATGGCAGAGACGGACGCTTGCGTACTACCTGTTCTGTCACCTAAGGAGGCCGAAAATCTGGATTCGTCCCTTTACCCTGCGCCCCACCCACATCTCAGCAGAACACCTTCATCTCCGCCATTGCTACCGGACGGTGGTTTTGGTAAGAGTTCGCGCCTGGAGCCAGGAGCGCACACGGAACAAATTCTAACTTCACTCGGATATACAATCGAAGAACAGAAGGAGCTTGCTTTAGGAGGAGCTTTTGGGCAAGATGCACGGATAGAGCCCAAGTTGTAGTCTATAATAATGGAAGCTACCATGCGGTATTTCCAGCACATAAATCGAATTCAGTATTCTAGTGAAGTCAAGACATGAGATGAGCGAGTACGATGCAAGAGTGGAGAGACAGGTAGTGCTATGCAGCTATAGTACGTACGGGATAGCTCCTTGGCGGACTAATATACAGAGGGATGCCAATAGTTGGGATACTATGCTGAGATAGGTCGTGGTGGCGGGTTCTGTAAGTTAACGTAGATATACCGTGGTGATGTACTGATCGAGATACCATATTGCTTTTGAAACTGGAGAAATTGAGCCTGGCGAGTTCTCAGTTGGCGGAACTCGTAAACCTGTCGGTCATCTGCGAATGCCCAGTTGTTACTCGCATGCGGATCCAATGGTTTGCAAGCCACAACTTGAGTCTGTGCGAACATTTGCAGCCTCTGCAGTTCAGTCTGCAGCCGAGGGGTAAATGTTTCTGAATTGGGCCCTGAGAAGCGCACCATATCAATGGATCTACCAAGAGCACTTCGACCTGCAAGAAAATCACAAAGTATGGACATGGTAGGCGAAAATCCGGTTTCGTCGTCTCCTTCATCTGGGTGGCTTCTATGTACCTCCGTAAACAATGTTATAGTCCTCAATTCCGGCCACAGGGGAGAAGTACCAAGCATCAAGGCTTGTTTGTCGCTATTCAAGAGAAGGCGCATCAGGGACGTTCGTAAGTCGATGGGTACTGAAAGATTGCTGATGGCAGGAGTTGAGCGCAGGAGGTACAAGTCTACGTCACTAGGTATTCTGCAGCCAGATAGCTGAAGAGAGTGCAAGCGTTGGAAATGGGTTGGGTATGATTCTGTGATATGTTTGGAAACGGATGATACGGCGGCTGCATTGAAGTCAACGAGCGACAAAGTCTGAAGGTTGGGCACAGAAATAAGTTTAAAGAACCCTGAGACGCGGGAACCATTGAAGGGTATGTTTCCGTGTATGTTTCCGTGGAGGGACAAGTCTTGGAGTGATAGTAGTTCAATAGTCGGTCCACTAAAGTCCCGTTCGAGACCGCTGATTGACCCTGTGACATGAAGAGTGGTTAGTGATTTGAATGACGTCATGATGCGATGGAAGGAGTCGCGATCAAGAGAGTGTCGCGTCACTGGAGAATGCGAAACGTTCAAGGAGACTGCCTGTAATTTTGGGAAAGAAACTGGGATGCTATCCACATGTACCTCAGCTAGAAGGGGAGCTCCACCTGCAAAAATTGGACAGTGGGGATAAGGTGTTGTCGTATCCTGACAAGTAACTTTGAAACGCTTTAGCGAGGGTGCAGCCACGTCGCGAAACAGTGCAAGAACATCATTAAGCTCCTGGCGCCCATCGGTATCTATGATGAGTTCTCGAAAGGCACTGACGCGGGGTATCAAGGTTGTCGTTACAGTTTGGATATATTGCTGGTGAGTGTTCCTTGGCCCTAGATGGACATCAAGGAGACACCCATTGGATCTTTTAACATATTCCAAAATCGAGCCCTCCCCATGCAACATGGGGTATTTAATTGAAGACCAAAGAGATGGAATGCCAATAGCAACTTCACGCCAGCGGCGTGTAACGTGAGACAGTCGTACTTCGATGGGTAATACTCGCTTGACACCAAACCACGTTGGAGGGAGGTGTCGGCACTCTTCGAATATCAAAGCAAGGATATCTGAGGGAAGACGTGATACAGGTGCACTCTGATTCCGGATATGGGCCGCACGAGCTTGTAAGTGACGGATAGAGATTTGAATGTGGATGATGTGGCGGAGCAAATTGTTATGTTTCGTTTGTAAATCAGTGATTTTGTCAGAGATTTCGTCGATCTCCTGCTGCGCTACATCGCCAAGTTTAACATGAGCATCAACTAGAGCACATATCTATAATATTCCATATTAGTATGGTAGGCGATGAAAAGTATACTGAATTGTACGAACATCGTAAGCACATGGATTTGTAGACATCAGGTTGAAAGAAACGAGACTGGAGTAGGTCGAAAACTCGCGATGGTGACTGGAGGTGTTGAACCTGGCGGTTTGCACGAGAAAATGAAGCTCCCTTGAGTCGCGTGTCGATGAGATAACGGCCGCCACCACGTGTTGCTAGCGTCAGAAAGTTGATCAAAACTTTTGAGCCCGATACAAGTGATTGCGGAACTGTTGAAAATTGAGAACCCCGATACCTGGCTATTAGGAATCACTTCAAGTGAATGATCACAGTCAGTAAGATGACATCAACTGGGATGCTATCAAGAACAAACTCGGTAACGTGAGTTGACGGGCCCTCGAGCACTTAACTAGGAAGTCCAAGGTGCTATATGTGTATCCGAAAATGCTGAATTTGAGACTCTGAGCACGTCGTATATCGAATATTCACGGCTCGCGCATGAAAAACAAAAGGCCATCTGTTAGCCATGTTGACTTGTACATATTTTTACGTCTGTTCTGGCATGCCTAGTCGTTAACATGGCAACAACGAGTAAAAGACAGCCAATGTTTACCATGAGGCCGTGTGGAGGAAAACCAAAATGCTGCAGTCATATCCCAAAGTTCACTTGTCAAACAAACCGTGACGTCACACGATAGTATCTCATGCGAGTCACGCACGTCCGGTTTTCAAATTAATGGCATCAAAAACACGTGAAATCGACGTTGATACGCCCAAATATAAGACGGGCGGCTCCTTGCTGGCAAACCTTGGTAAAATCCGCACATCATAAGAACAACCATGTCCGCCCCACAATTGAAGGAGCTCACCCGCGAAGAGGTCGCACAGGTAAGTTTGTCCAGTACAGGCATATTCCAGAAATAACGTTAACCACCGTGCAAATATGTAGCATAACAAAGGCGATGATCTCGTGCGTTTTGTGTTTTTTGACCGTATCCTCTAGCTGACAGCTTCCGCTCAGTGGGTAATAATCGACGCCAAAGTATACAATGTCACCCGCTTCAAAAACCTTCATCCAGGTGGTGTATCCGTTCTGACCGATGAAGAAGTAGGCAAGTCACCCTATTTCTCTGCCTAAGTCTCAGCGCCAATAAACCTATCAAACTAGCCGGCCAAGATGCAACGGAAGCATTCTTCGGTTTGCATCGTTACGAGGTCCTAGAAAAACCACAGTACAAACGCCTTCAGGTCGGCACCATCAAGGGCGAACAAAGCGTCATTCACGGAAAAATCGTTGGAGAGACGAGCAAGGTTCCCTACGCCGAACCTACGTGGTTGTCAGAAGGATATCACAGCCCGTATTACACTGATGTGAGTTGTATTTGGACACGAAATCAGTGCTCGCATTGAACTGTCTATATAGAATCATAGAGAATTCCAGAAAGCAATGCGTGTATTTGTTGATGAGAATATCTACGAAGATGCTCAAGTAAGCTCCTGATTTCTGATTTTAGTATATCCCTAAGTATTTTTAGGCCCGTGAAGACGATGGCAAGCGACCAAGTCAAGAAGTCTTTGATAAGATGGCGTACGTCCTTTTCCTGTATCAAGTGAGCGCTCAATGACGATTATTCGCTAGTGCGGTGAATTTGCATGCAATGCGGATGGGTCCCGGAAAGCACTTACAGGGCTTAACTCTGATGAATGGCATTGTTACTCCCGAACAAGTATGCTTTAGTTTATTGTTTCATTGGGTCTCTGACCATACTTCGCGTAGTTTGACTATTTCCACGAGCTGATAATCACTCAAGAGATTGTAAGGTGCGGTGCGCGTGGTTATGGTGACGGTATGCGAATTCTCACTTATTCACTTTTAACCTCGCTAATTGCGTCTTATTGTGCGCACAAGGTTTACTTGGTGGCAAAGTCATCGGCCTCCCACCTGTACTGAACTTCGGAACTCCTGAGCTCAAAGCGAAAATATTACCAGAAGTGTTCTCAGGAAAGAAATTTATCTGCTTGGCTATATCTGAAGCTCAAGCTGGGAGCGATGTAATGGGACTTCAGACGACTGCTGTCAAAAGTGAGGACGGGAAGGAGTGGATCGTCAATGGAACTAAGAAGTGGATAACCAACGGCTCGTAAGTATGATCTTCAAATGTGATACTGCCAAACATAACCAAATATCCGTTTGCAGATTCGCAGATTAGTGAGTATATGCAGGAATGCTCTGATTTTTTGCTAACAATACTATAGTTTCACTGTGGGATGCAAGACAGAGGTTCGTACCGGTCAATCATCCTCCATTTCTCAGCTAATCTGATAAAAATGTAGGATGGGCTCACTGTTCTTCTAATTGAACGTGGACCAGGCGTCGAAACCAGGACAATCAAGACAAGTTATTCAACGGCCGCAGGTACTGCATACATAACCTTCGATAATGTTGGAGTACCTGTTGGAAACACGCTGGGTGAGGTCGGTGGTGGCATTTTCGTGATCCTCAGGTAACCCCCTCTGCTTTTACATCAAACTATCTGCTCATATAACCGCCTATCAGTAATTTCAACCACGAACGATGGGTAATGTGCTGTAGTTCTGCGAGAAGTCAGCGCTCAGTTGTTGAAGAATGTTTGAAGTTCGCCATTACCCATCTCCCAGTTTGAGCAATGCTAATTTCGATGCAGATGGGCTACTCAGCGTAAAGCATTCGGAAGACCGCTTATATCTCAACCAGTTATCCGCTCTAAGCTAGCGGGGATGATTGCTCGTACAGAAAGTGTTCAGGCATGGCTGGAAAACCTCACCTATCAGATGACTCACATGGTGCGATTCGCTTCTGTTGCCGTTTCGTTGTAACATCTAATGTTTTGGGACCTTTTTCAGACATATAAACAGCAAGCAAATAAACTCGCCGGGTAAGCACTGTGTTTTGGTCGTTTTTTGTGCCGTCATCTCATTAGATATACAATTCTTCACAGACAAATCGCATTTTTGAAGAGCTACAGTACACAATGCGCACAGGAAACAGCTAAGGATGCTGTTCAGATCTTTGGGGGACGTGGTATTACGAAGTCTGGTATGGGTAAATTCGTCGAGCACGTAAGTAAAGCTTTACTGCGCCTTAAATTTGGCATTCTAAGCTCGCGCCCATAGTTCTACAGAACGGTTACTTTTGATGCCCTTCTAGGAGGAGGTGAGTACCATGAATGCATTAGATTATACCGACATACTGATTTTATGTTGCAGCGGAGGACGTGCTCTCTGACCTTGGCGTTAGGCAGGCGTTGAGGGCTATGCCAAAGAACGCCCGGCTATAAATAAAGGAGCAGCTTAGTATTTGTTTGTAGTGTAAGACAACTTAACATATATTGTAACACCTTTAAGTTTTCTATTTATCGATGCTCGTCGCCGCCCGCGAGCCTCAAGTACAGCACGTATGGTGAAGAGGTTGTGATTGGCATAAGGTACAGTTATAAAGAAAATAACAAGAAAGCTAGCTCTAGTACTAGAATCATTCGTACAAAACTAAATACATTTTACACAACCTGTATAAGTAGCTCGAACCGTGGGATTGAGAAGGGCCATACAGAGAAAACGTTACAGAGATAGAGAATCGAGAGCATATCGGAAAGTACAAGGTGATGATTATACGTAAGACTTACGTGAGACAGGCCTTCAACAATCCCATTGAAATAAGGGCATAATGTCTAATTTGATCACTGATATGCCGAGGACGCGTATTGTGCATCAAACATGGTATAGTCATTGTAACTCATGTTCAGATCGCTCCCTGATTGCATCTGACTCATCCAGTTGAAACCTAACCCACAATGCTCGTTAGAGTAAGAAGAAGAGAAGGATTCATAAGAGGCTTACCAGGAACCGTAGTATCCTGCCAGACAGGGTCAGCCATCGTTTGCATTGATTCTAACAGTTCTGAATCGAACGGCATTGGGGGTACAAAGAAATCGTTATTGTTAATGAAAGTCGAGTTTTGACCTTGATCGAAAAGCAAAGGCATATTAGATGTAGATGACTGTTGTTGGACGTCCATGGGGGCGGTAAGCTGATTAAACTGCGCTTCTGGGTGAGTCGGAGAAGGTGATTGAGATTGGGACATTGCGGAAGGTGAACCATAGCTAGAAACGGAACCAGAGAGCTCGGAAAAGGGGTCTGCCTCTGTTGAAGGTCCTGCGGAAGACTTGGTATGATGTCTCCGGTTCGAACGCCGTCTAGGCAATGATGTTGGAACTTTGAGATCGTTGGGTATGGGTGGATGCTCGAGCCTTGCCATTGGGGTCGCAAGTAGCCCTTGAAGGAATCGGGAATACAACTTGGGCGCATGACGTTCGTCAACCGCGATTTCGGGAGAGCCAAGCATATCAACTGCTCTCTGAACTAGCGTTCGGATATCTACACGTTGTTCGAACGTCAAGTAGGAGGTGTACTTGGGTTGAAGTAGCTGCAAAAAGCTCAGCCATCAAGTTTTCTTCAAATCGCAAAGCGATGCTTACTTTTACGAGGAATGCACATGCGAAAGTCACGAAGATGCTTTGTGCATCGGGTCCGTGGCGGACGTAAATTCCTGAGCGAAGATTAGATCGAGTTGCCATGATAACAAAATTACACACTTTGTTCTGGCCGACATATATCATCAAGAACGACATGGACAACATCTGAAGCAGCACGGAAGCACTATAAACTATTAGCTGCAAGTAAACCAACTTGAACGATATCGTATACATACCCGCATGAAAAATGGATTTTCACCCGTTCGACTGCCTCCAAAAGCATGTTGAAACCCATACGACAGGGCAACTAGCCGGGCGTAACTAAACGCTAGCCTCAATAGACCGGTCCTGAAAGTGTTTTGGACATTTTTCTGATCGGTTTGCTCCAATCGTTTAAACCAAAGTTCTTGCAATGAGACGAGCTTGTCCTCAGTCTCGCTAGCAAGTTTTTCGTAATCTATATTCTGTGGTTTGTTAAGAGTGAGTCAATAAAAGATGCGCATATAACCATGAATGATTGACTTTGTTCGTGCCCGCAGGCAAGGTGGGGTCGCTGTTTATCTGTGCCATGAAGTCTGCGATGACCCTCAATTCTGCATTGTAGCAACATAGATGCATGTCGAAATGCGGCAAGTTGTACTCGGACTGCCACCAGTTTCCGGAGTTGTTCGCCACAAAATCGGTATTCTTGATGATCGACAATCTACCATATTGAGAACCAGAAGAACGATCGAGATTAAAGCAGTTCAGCCAGATACGAGTTCGGTTCAATAAGACCCTAGAGTGCAGTTCGTTTAGAGATTTTGTATTACTCGAACGGTTGAGGTTGAGGTCTTGAGCAATTCTGATCACGACCATAATGAGAAGGTGGATTTCGTTTTAGCTTATATGCGTCTCACCGTATGGCCAAACCGAGGAATATCCAACTCCTGTCTTCTTCCCAGCGGCGCGAATGGACTGGATATAGTTGTAATAAAAGATATCCCGCACAAAGCTCCTCGTTCTTTGGGCCAGAGATCAAAGCAGTTCCAGCGGCCAGCTGTGCATAACGCATAATTTCATTGTACAGTTCTGGCTGTTCGCTGTTATACCGCGAAGCTACAGCACAAACTGAAGGTGAAACAATTAAATTGCGACCCATGAAGTTACAACAGGAAATTACTTACTGACGGTGAAAAGGAAAGGGCTTCTCATGGCTGTATATTGAGGTGTGTAAAGAATAGGATCCAGAAGCGATGTTGACATGTTCATATTCTCAAAATATCTGTTCACCAATGACTTAGCACAATCATTTTAAGGTGATATTCTAACGAACATTTTAAACAACATCTCAGCTCCGCCGGTGGATATTATTCCAAGGTTCAATATGTCAGGAAGTTGTTGATTCGTACCAAGCGAGTTTTGTCTAATAGGACCAGGACCGCGGCCTGTTGATCCATAAAACATATTAGTATAGCCATGAATCTGCGAACTTGGGAAAAACATGCTTGGCTTGAAAAAATCGACATTTGCAACGCCAACAGCATTTTCAGGAGATGCCGGTTCTACACTCTTTCTCGTGCTTTTTTTCAAGCTGAGATCGGCCATCAAGCCGAAAGGGGCTTCGATTGGTAAGGTCCTGCCTAGCTCTTTCTTTTTTGTGGTAGGACTCGATATCGACGGTGTATCTCTCGCGGTTGCGAGGAGACCACGGTTGTCTTCCTCGGTGGCATAGCCGATTTCCTCGCCTTCAGAGTTTTCTACGCCGATTTCGTATTCATCCTCGTCGCTGGTGTCAACCTCTGCGTCTTCTTGACTGAGCCAGCCTTGAGTTGCACCAGTTCCTGCGGTACCGATAATTCCACCAAAAGCCTCGATTGATTGTCGCGCTTTTGCAATCCAATCTTGGACTTCTGGCCTGGTTGTGATATCAGACGTTGCAGCGCCAGTATCGACCTCAGAATGTAAATCTGCAGTTGAAGCTGGGGTATGCGGTTGGGCATCTAGGGAATTCGGCGAAGTCGGCGATATACAGGACACGGAGGCCGAGGCTTTCTGAGAGCTGTTTATAGCTTCAAGCTGGTTCATCAGCTTCTGGATCTGAGCGGCTTGTTCGCGAATTTGATTGAGCAGGTGCTCCCGTTTCCTTTGAGAGATAATAGAGTACTAGTCAGCTTGAAGATGACAAGGAATCATTACTAAGTAAAAGCGTACGGGGGCGTTCTGCGTTTCTTACGGCCAGGTATGATACATTCCTGACCGGCGCCCAGGCAGCGTCGACATGGGTCATGCTCTGTTTTAAATTCACATTTGACCTGAAATGAATGGAGTTTACAATCTTCAGTAGCAACGATACGAAAGGAATACAAACCTTGAGACCTTTACACCTGGCGCATGCGCCCGTCCTGATGCAGAAAGGTTAGTGGACTGACATTTTTGGCTATTTACGCGACCTACCCTTTTGGTCTCTGTGCCCCTTCCTTGTTCGGTTCCTGATATCCATCACCATCATCGTTGGCAGCATCGTAGTGACTGTCACTTTCATCAAGCCCTCTGTGCCTTTTCGATTGGTGCATCATGGAGGCTTGGATGGAATCACCAGGGTGCAATTGGCGAATGTATTGCTGTTGAATTTCAGATTGGCGCCGCGGAGGTGGATGGGGGTACGAAAATTGCATGGGAACGGAAGTAGGATAAGAAACTGATCTTTCACCATCGTGTAGGGATGCTGATCCACCACCACTTGAGGATGGTGAGGGACGGTTAGGGCTCGGTTGAAATGGCGAGCGGTAAGAGAACTGAGCCTGATTGAAACCGTTCTGTAGCGTCGATTGTTGCTGTTGGCCGGCGGATAATCCGTTTTGGGGGAGATCCACGACACCCAGGGGATTCAAGCGATCGTTGAGGACCCCACCAGCCTCGCTGTTGGGTAGCGAACCACGGAAGGTCTGACCAGAACTCTGCTGTCGATTGGCAGAAGGCAGTGCGTTGGGTGGTGGTGGTGAGCTAAACTGATCAGAGCCATACGGAGAGTACTGAGAGGGCGAAAAGGACGCAGAAAAGGACTGCGATGTGTTGGGTTGGGGGGTAAGGCGATGGGTGCTTTGGCTCCGATCATGGTTAATGATATATGGATATTCTTCGTCGAGTTGCAACCTCGGCTGCTGGTTAGGGAAGTGAGTCCCAGCCCAGGACTGAGCTACCTCGATGTTGTGGGCAGACATGGAGCCTGAGTGGGAAGATAAAGATGGAGATCCGGTTATCTGAGAGACAGCTATGAGATATAATTTAAACAGGCCGACGAGCACGGAAGGACTTACCCAGGGCAGATATTGAGGAGGAAACCCACGTTTTGGGAGACGTAGTTAGGCGAGGATGGCTGTCTGGATGTGGGAGAGAGTAAGCTGAGAAAAAGCTGTCGAAGATGGATATGTGTGGGATATAGTTACTGAAGAAATCAAATAGGTCCGCCCCAAGTGCTAGAGAACGAGAGAAGGAGAAGGACGTGATATATAGCAGGTAAAGGCGACTTGATATTGACCGTTGCGCCTCCGGGCAATGTCAGAGATATATGTCGACGACTATGGACCACTTGAAGGCTATGTGTCCAAAGGCAAAGGCAAGCAAGGCGATGCTCAGCGCTGTCCTATTCTTTGTGTCACGTGCTCCCTTCCTTTTCTGGTAATCTCCTCAATTGTGATTGCTCGTGGCTTCGGCTGTCGAGCGGAAGCTTTTCTGTCACAGCTATTGCAGTGCTGTCTTTTAGAGCGGCAGGACAAGGCTTTACTGTAAAGCTTTAACTGCTGGGCAACGGTATCAAGTCACTGCCACCTCGGGTGGTTCTGTAGCATTTCACCTTTTTTGTGCTACTTCTGCTGTGGATGTCGAATGTGGCCGACTTGAATCATCCGTCTTGGCTATACCCATTTTCCGTCTGTACTCGTCTTCAAGCAGCTCTGCGCTCTGCCATTAGAAAAGTAGCGTGCTATAGCATACGCCGATAGGCCTCATCCTGTACTAGTACATTATCGATTATCGATGAGACTGGCGACCACGCTTCCCAATATCTGTCTCCACATTCTCCATCTCCACCCCTCATCGAGCCCTCATCACATGCATCGCAGCTGCATCGCACCCCAATTATATCCTTTTTCCTTCCCTTTTGTGGTCATTCGCGGAAAGAAGATGCTGCCATCAGCCGAACCTCGTCCAATACCCCACCCCGACTTCTGTCTCCTACACTCATTCGAATATCGACACGATACCCCCGGTGTTCATCTCATCTACCGTTTGAGTTCATTAACCGAGTTATCTTAGACTCATTGAAAAATAACTTGAAACACCGTCTTGTAGGCTGCTCTTTACTTGCATGGCTTTTGATTATTCTCTGTCAATAGGACAGTCATACGAAACCCTGCTATTAGCAAAACGGCCGATGATGATGACGCTTTTGCCACCTAGATTGTACCTGCGAGTCCGAAGAAGGACAGGTCTTCGCCTAGCCTCACACGCCACAAATTGCCCAAGCGAGCTCTCCTTGGTTCCTTGACACACGCTGTGTTGTTGTCTGCTTCCTACATCATACTTATCAGATTCTGAAAACACCGCAAGAAGACTTGGTCGAAGACAAGGATTTCGCGTCTCTCTCGGCACCTTGTGTTATCTCTCATAGCTTACATTCCAAGGTCTATATTGGGAAATGGGATATCGCCTTCTACCGCTCGTCACACTGCGCAACATCATATGCAACGCTGTCTAACGGCCTGATTCGATGGTTGAATATTACTTCCTGTAATTGCACGTGGATTTGGCCACCTTTCTTACGTGTTGAAACGGCACGGACTTCACGGCCATTCGTCGACCACATAATGCGGCTTTCAAGTTAAGATATTTATCTGGGACTGTGCATCATCATATATCCTGACGCGCCGTCCCAGCTCCTTATACGTAGTAGGTCCCAAGAACCAGGGTCCGGCGTCACACTCAAAGGCTGCTTTGCGTAGAAAGAAATCATGTGGCTTGTCGTTGGACCTATTTTCGAATCGATCTTAATCTTGGCTTTCTGGTTCCCACAAGAGCCATTGTACGGTGAAAGGTATTTCTATCTCCGGGAAATATTACTTCAGCACAGCAATTGATAGAACCTGCGCCTTATCACCCCTGGTGCTTCTATCGTACTTTCTATCCACCATTCTCGGACTCGGGGCTGCCTCCCTCTTACGTACACGGAGGAATCTTCACAAATCATTTTTAAAAAAAATAACAACTCCAAGACTTTTGACCAGGTGAGCTGTGTGTCGGAGTAGAATGATGTCTTGACCTCCTTCCCTGTTGCGCGAACTGGGTCGTCAAAAGCCGAAGGGATCATCTCCCCCCTCCACCATCCGGTTTCTATCGGTGCTCGGGATGATCCTGACGGTGATACCAGCTCAGGTCCCCCTTGGTGATTCTCTCCACTGATTGATCGTTTCCCACAGAGGCTCGAGCGCAATGCTAGCAAGCAGATCCAACGATCGTTCAGCTACCCGCGAAACGCACGGCCGTCAACCCGGAGGTCTTCTGTAGTTTAATGCTGTGCTTACGAACATTGCAGGCATTGTTATATCGGAAACAGGCAAACCCAACTTGGACGACCGCTCACTCAAATACCTTTTGCAATACGACTTTGAGGCTTGTCATCGGCGATATATCTATGGACATTGTCCAGCTACTTATGAGAAGCTTCGCAAAGCTTTAAAAAATTTCTGCCACCTTCGTCACTTGCTTCAATCAAACTTAACAACTCGAAGGTATATGGCAATGAAGCTATCGGCGGCGGCAAGGGAGAAGCAAAGGTCGACTATGTCGTGATAAACCTCAAATGAACCCTCTGTATTTTAACAACGTATGTATGTATCATATAAGTTCTGTATAACTACAAGCAAGCATACCTCCATCGCATGAATGATGAAAGGCTACAATACGCGAGAGTAAACCAAGCACCACCAAAAATGGAGGGAACATTGCGATATAAATAAGAAGAATCAAACAATGCCAAGTACTCTGCTCTTCTTCAATAGTTTCAGTGAGGGGACAATGAAAATAAACCAGTAACATGCCCAATACAACGATTCCCCTGCAACGTCGATGCAATTTGAAATGTCATACCTACCGCAAGAAAAGAAGCTCAAACTCCAGCTAACAGAACAGTTTGGCAAGTCAAGATGACAAAGAAAGGGGGGCCGATTCCAGATCGTAGACAACAGACAAGAAAAACGAAGTATATCACGGGTAACAAGATGAAGGGTGTGCAGGACTTGCTAATTGAAGAAATATAGTGTAGAAAACCTAAACATGAATGGTGTGTCGGCCGAAAAACGAGACTGGAATTATTGCCGAATGACGCGAGAAGTATCAATCCACTGCCGAGTAGCACGTAGTGACCTCAGATTTCACCACCTCGAGGAACCTGAGTTGGTGGAAGAGGGAAGGACGTCATGCTTGTGATGTCTTCCTCATCGGTGGTCATCATAGTAGAGGTCCGCGAGTAAAATGAGGGTTGCATGGAGGCAACACGCAAACGCTGTTCCACTTCTTCTGGAGAAACCTGCAATGCGGCGATGAGAGACTGCATGGCACGATCATTGCTAGTAACGCTGATAGTAGATTCAGTATTTGATTCTCCCAAGTTGCGTGGAACGGTTGCAGCATAGGCATCAGCGAAAGGATTGATTGATTTTTTATTTTCCTGCGCATTGAAGAAAGGATTGCTAGTGCTCCTTTTCCTCATAATGGCAGCAGTGTACGGATTATTGGACTCCTCGTCCTCTGCTTCGGCCTCATAAGTCTCGTCATAGTGCATCACCTCCGCAGATTCCCAACGATGTGGCTCAGAAGAAGTGGCAGGAGGGGTAGATTTGGCCATCGCGATAGTGGGCGACATGGACTCCCTCACAGACACACCGGACCGAAGTGAGAGGAATGATTGGTCTGCCACCGTCTCCCCGCCCCATGAAATAGCTGGCTCTTCGACCACGGCGCGACCCATGAATGGTCGCGCAGGCAGAGACGCCATCTCTTCAGCAAGATTGGGATGGTACTTGGCCAACTGCATTGGAGTGATCGACTCTGGAACACCATGTCCTTCTGACGATTTCTCGCCTGAAGTCGTGCTCGGTGTTCGCTTGAACATCGCTCCTAATTTTTCCATCGGTCCTGTGGATGCAACGCGCTTGGTATGTCCCTGCTCTTGGCTCTCACTGTCATCTAGTTTGTCCCATATTTCCATATGGGACCTGCGGCGGTGATAATTATTGTCTGCGTTCCGCGAACTAGGGGAGGGCAAGGTTTTCTCCATTTGTCTAGAGGCGGCGGGCTTCGAAGAACGCCTGTTGTACCATACAGCAAGAATGATAACGAGAGCGAGGGCGGCAAAAGCACCGACACAGGCGCCGATAACGGTGCCAATCGGAATGTTGCTGCTTGATGACGATGGGCTACTTGTCGAAGATGCAGCAGGGGATGAGGTAGGGGATGAAGAGGGTGTGGCGACTGAGGTGTCGGTAGGACCTGTAGTCGCTAGAGGTATAGCTGAAAAAGAGTTGGAACCCGGCTCTGCCGTGTTAACACCAAGGGAGGTAGCGGTAGGAACAGCTGCTGTTTCTGACCCAAAAATACCATCTTGACGTTTTCTTAAGACTTTGTTTTTTGGGTTGTGAAACGACATGGCAACCTGCGATTGGGCAAAAAGCTGTCGAACTGTTGAAGGAGCGAACAAGGGTATGAAAAGAATGTAGGGTGACAGGAAGTGTCTCTTGTCAATATATCGGCGATGCAATATTAATGGCGAGAATTGAAAAAGGTTCTAAGACCGTTGCTGCCAGTTTATGGTGTTCAGTAAATGGTAACTGGGGAAAAGTGAGGCGAGGTTACTCACGGATTGATATACACCAACTAACAGACTACGGTGGAATTCTTGGATGTCTACTGCGGACACTCGACGTCGGTCGTCGTGGCCGTGTCGTTGTCGTCGTATCCGTACTCGCCGTTGTGGACGCTGTGAGAGACAAAAGAGAAATATCCGGAATCAAAGCGTTCAGCGTCTGTTCACGTCTCCGCTGTGGGAATTGATTAATGCCGAGCTCGGCACGTTACCATCTCTCTGCCAGGGGTTTGACTTGTATCTACCACTGCTATATGGGGTACGCAGTCCTCATCAACGTACAGGTTTCAAGGCTACAGCGAAAAAGAAAGAAAAAGAGGTTTATAAAAATTTCTGAACATAGAAAACGTCGATGTCATTGCGGATACACCGGGGAAATTCATAAAGCTCTTAGAGAACTGTGGATCATGCGTGTTGATTGAATCGATGATATACTACAAGCAACTCTATTCTTCGTTGATAGTTATTCAACCGATTACATCGATCATATGCTGTGTGAATTATTGGCAACGGTGCGAAAGAGAGTCGAGACATGGGCAGGTTTGGTTTTGATGTTACAGGCACAAGGCCTTTATGAACCCTCCACGGGTGACTCAGGACAAAACATCAAAACCCTGGTAAGTTACAAGAGGGGAATCAGCTTCGAAATACAGCTGCCATCTAAAAGTCTCTGGGACGTACCCTGCTCAACAAACCTTGCAGCTACGTCATAATCGGGCAATGCTGCATAGGGCAAACGGATACCCTTAGTGAAGTGATCACAAACTATGGCACGCGGAAATACTGCTTGGTACCTGGCTTTGGTTGCAGTATAGTATGGATGGATGGAAAAATACCGGTCCGAAGTTGTGAGTCCAAAGAACTGGAACTGATCATAGCTAAGCCACATCTGGCATGGAAGTGAAAATAATTAGAAAGGAGGCGGTGAATATAATGGCAGGTGCGGAATACGAGCGAAGACTATGATGACTGGAGACCCTCAGGTTTTGCACACTTGCGCCTTTCAATTCGTCCTGTCTTTGGGCAGCGCATTTCCTGCCAGGACACGGGTTCTAGCGTGGCACCTGAGGTAATATCTAGGATTAGTTTCCAGGACGAGCATAGATTTCCTTAGTGCCTTACCTGCTTCACTAGTAGCGAAAATTACGCCTAGGTCATTGCGTGCCGTGGTGATGTAGTTGCTGCGAGCATCGCCGAGCGATATCTACGTTGCGCTTGAGAGGCCGGTTACTATAAATAACATTTTGGCTTACCACCAATCCTTTTACGACATCTCCTCCTCTGAAACAATCACCTATTTTGACTTTATCCTTTTCTGTGCCTCTGACGTCTTGAGTGCGAATGACGCCCGTATATTCATCGCCAGTAGGCAAAGGAACACCATCAACGACAGTTATGGCCACTATGGCTTGCAATGGCGATAAACGTATAACCGTTCCAAGCACTATTGAACCAACAGTAGGAACATGTGGCCGAGCGCGAGATATCGTTATAGCCTGTAAAATACATGATTAGCCTGCACTCGTGCTCCCCACCATAGAAGTGACTAAAGAAGACCGATACCAACCGATCCTTTACTGCGTGGCACACCGATTAAACTTGCTCTTACTTGACCATCCTTCGAGTACAGACCACCACCTATTTGAAGCGTTGGACCAAGAGGAATTGCAACGGGCTGTCCAGGCAATACAGCTTGAGAGTTGTGTGTCATAATATCGTATTATTCCCTCCAGTCTGAGATCCAGAACTAGTGGAGGTGGTTCAGTGGTAGATGTAAAAACATCTTGAATCGCGTTGTCCCGTGATGTGACGATGAAAACCTAACCCTAGATCTCGTTGTTAGTAAACATTTACTGAGGCCATCATGCATGACCACCTCATAGTCCGCTTCAAGTTCTAGCAGTTAACCTGGATATCATACAGAATCAGAGCATATCCAAAGCCTTTACCAGGACATCCAGCTTCAAATTTGAAGCAAAGGGTGCGGCAGATACCAAAAGTGGTCGGCATCTGGCTATTTGACGTCACTCATGAATAGCAAAGGTCTATAAAAGCAGGTCAGTTCTTTTTAGGTGTCAGATATTCTTCTCTTTCAGCACCTCTACATCCGAACAAACTTATCTTACAAAAAATGCCTCAACCAGGAAACACCCACATATTTTTGACAGGTGCTACAGGTATAAACCCATCATATACCCACACGACTGCCGTTATTTAAGATGTTTCAGGTTACATAGGGGGTTCAGTACTCGCTAACCTCCTCAATCACCCCAAGTCGGATTCGTTTCATATTACAGTTCTCATCCGTTCGGAGGAGAAACTACCAAAATTCAGATCCGTTGGGGTGAAAGCCGTGATCGGGTCCCACTCAGATACCACCTTGTTGTCGAAACTAGCATCTGAAGCTGATGTGGTATTCGCCTGTGTACGTGTTTCATTTCAATCAAGCTCACTCGCGCCAATGTCATTTTTGTCAGGCGGATGCTGATAATTTAGACGCGGCGAAAGCTATCCTCAGTGGCCTCCAGAAGAGGTATGATGCAAAAGGTCGCGCCTCCATCCTTATACATACGGTCAGTAGAGAAAGCAATGCACTTGTCAGCAGACCCTGACCTATATCGCAATTCGTCTCACAGTCTGGAACAGGTGAATAAGTGGGATTATATATCTAAGATTCCTCCGCTAACATGATTGAATAGCCGTCTTGGGAGATAATGCAGCAGGAAAATACGGGACCGAGACCATCTATTCTGATCTCAACGTTGAACAGATCGAGTCACTGAAACCTACTCAAATGCACCGTGAGGTTGACTTGGAGATTGTATCTGCTGACCAGAAAGGCAGGTGATCGTTGCAACGTCTTTCTTTGCAGTGTACTTAAACTTCGTCATCTTTGTCACAGGTTTCGTAAAAACGTTCATCGTTCTTCCGTCTACAATATACGGCATAGCTTCTGGTCCCCTTGTTGACCTCGGAGTGCAACACTCTCACTCACAGCAAATCCCTGCTCTAGTAAAGGCAAGTCTAGATCGGGGGCAGGGCGGCATGGTGGGTGAGGGAAAGAACCTATGGCCGAATGTTCACGTCGATGACAGTAAGCGCCTATCCCTCTTCGTCTTTGGCGCTCGGAGACTGACGCTGCACAGTTTCTGATTTGTTCATCGCTGTCTATGATGCCGCTACAAAAAATCAACCCACAGGCGGCCAGGTTGGGCATGGTCTGGAAGGATTCTACTTCGGAGAAAACGGCGAACATAGGTTGTACGATATCAGCAAGACGGTATCGCAGGTGCTCTACGATTTAGGTAAGGGAAAGAGCCCAGAACCGACAACGTTCACAGAAGAAGAGCTGCTCAAGTATTTCGGGGTAAGCCTTTACACAATTTTTGAGATGTTCGGGGCTTTGCTGATGTTTGCAGCATTTAGGGGGCATATTTGGGCTCGAACTCACGTTGTCGTGCTGAGCGTTCGCGGTCCATAGGGTGGAACCCGAAGTACACAACACAGGATATGCTGGCAAGCATTAAACCGGAAGTCGAAGCGTCGCTCAGTGGGTGATTTACACGGGGGCTCCGAGGATAGCAAGCATGTATAATGAGTTCAGTTGTACTTGTTAAAACAGAAAGATAAGATAAGATAGGGAAATATCCTTTGAATGACTGATAAGTAAGTGTGCTTCTTGTAAGTCGTGCCCTGTTTTTATTTGGCTGTTTCATTTATAAAGCTAGTCTCTCAGCCTTAGCACGGCGCTTTCGATGGTTATATCGACGCAGTCTATAAAGACGGGCCGTGGTAGGGCCATCGGAACTTTAAGTATCGTCGAATGTAACCAGGACAGGGTGAATGCTATCGATACCGTCACGGGTCTTTTCATCTTCTTCTCCATAGTTAATCTCTAAGCTACCTGGCTGATTGGTTTATGAATCAAATACCCAGGCATCTAAAAGGCACGACGAGTAGGAGGTTATTGCACCAACACCACCGGACAAAATATCAATCAACTTGCGCATTCACCTTTGACTAACTATCATGTCCGCCACAACGAATGTCTTAATCACCGGTGCAACTGGTATGTAATAAACTACTATATCCTTCATATCCCTCACGAATGCGTTTTTCGTGACACAGGATATGTCGGGGGCGCTGTCCTTGAGCTGCTTCTAGAGCACCCTACAGCGTCGTCGTCACAGTTCACTGCCCTTGTGCGCTCCCCTGAAAAGGCACAGAAGCTTGAAGCTATCGGTGTTCATGCTGTTGTGGGATCTCTTTCCGAACTCAGCAAACTAGAGCAACTTGCCTCCGAATCCGCTGTGATATTTGCTTGTGTGGGCGTTACTTGGTCTGACTGCAGCATTGCTTCTTTGGTTTTAATCGCATTTTCCAGGCGGACTCCGATGATGAGTCAGTAACCAAGGCTATTTTGGCTGGGCTGAAGAAACGCTATGAATCGACAGGACAAGCTCCTATTTTGATTCACACCGTAAGCCTGATTTGGATCATTTTATTTGTTGATTATATTGCTGTCAACTAAAATAATAGTCCGGCACTGGTAGGTCCTGGACTGGTGTGGGTTTCTTATGTGGGAATTGATTCTGACCTATTGCAGGTGTTCTGACGGATAAAGCTGCTGGAATGTATGCTTATGATACCATTTACGACGACACGGACGTCGAACAATTAGAGACTCTTGCAGACACACAGCTTCACAGAAACGTTGATCTCTTGATTATCGAGGCTGATAAACAAGGTGCGCTTCCTCTTTCCTTTCGTAAGATCCACAGTACCCATTAACCTTCAACGACTATCATCTTATACAGGATACGCACGCACGCATATTGTACTTCCCTCTACGATCTATGCCCGTGCGACCGGTAGATTCGTCCAGCTTGGCATCCAGAATCCAAAATCGATGCAGATTCCGTGTCTTATTCGGAGCAGTCTGAAGCGTGGGCAAGGTGGCATGATTGGCGACGGCCAAAACCAATGGGCTAATGTCCACATTGATGATAGTAAGCCTATGAGTGAAATGACAATGATTCAAGGCTGATCATTTTGATAGTTGCATCCTTATATATTGTGCTATACGAAGCCATCTTGGCTAACGAGGCAGGGCACGGTCGTGAAGGCTTGTACTTTGGGGAGAACGGCGAACACTTGCTGTACGACGTCGGTAAAGCGGTTGCCGAAGCTCTATATGACCTGGGTAAAGGCAGGAGCCCAGAGCCCACAACGGTGACTGAGGAGAAGCTCAAGGCTGATCTCTTTGTAAGACTACGTTCAATTATCATATTACACAGTAGATTTCCGGTATTGTTTACTAATATTCAACTTTTGACTAGGCTGTATACTTAGGCTCTAACTCCCGTTGCCGCGCCAGTAGAGCACGAGCTCTTGGCTGGGAGCCAAAATACACTACGAAAGACCTACTTGCCAGTATCAAGCCCGAGGTAGAGGCTATGTTGAAGGAATGACTTTGATTGTGAGTTTAGGTATGCTAATTGGTCTATCCTTTTAAATTGCATTGGTTTGAGGGTCAAGGAGTAATTTTGTGCATATGGTTGAAGTTTGACAATGTCGTGACACTGCGTATTTGTCTGTTATAGTAAAAAGTTATTCATGATCATCATCATGTTGGATCTCATACTTAAAGTTTGCGATACAAAACATATTTCAACTACAAGTTGATCTCACTTTGCTCTTATATAGTCACCTACCGTCTATCGTATACCCTCAGTTGTTCTGATCACACTGAGGGTATGACATTCCATTTCTACAGTATTTCTCATTTCTACCGTAGCTGATAATGTACCGGCATAGTCCTGACTATTTCTAGGTACAAAATACAGTTGTTCTGATCACAGTTGAGGTCCTCACTATTTCTAGCTTCTACACATCATCATCTTCATCATCATCATCATTAGAAACAAGAACGGACAAGAGGGGGGACTGTCGCTTAGCTCCGAGAGGTTATTGGAGCACAGATGAAGCATAAAGGCAAAGGGAGGGAGGTTTCGGGTGTTTATAAAAACAGTGATATTATTATGGCAGTAGAATAGTACGCTACTTGGATCTGTACCCACAGGTGACCTGCAGACCTGTAGTGCCTACCCGCAAACACACCTGCACCCATTGAATCTTTACCCGGGCTGGGTACAAATATCGATCTCCATAATGTCTATACCTGCAGGCATGACCGGTGGTACACCCATGATAGACCCTACGACGTCCGTCACACCAACCTCACGGCAATTTCCCCAGACTGGCACCTAGTAGCGCCGCTGCGATTAACTGCTCTCAGACTCTCGAAGCTCTACTACCACCACAACCACCATCCGACCAACCCCCCAAATTCATGACCACCGCCCTCGAGGACCTCGCACTCGTCGCCCGCCTCCGTGCTGAGCTGGTGGAGGTTGAGCACCGACTCGAAGAGCGATCAGCCTTCTCAGCTGCAACCCAGGACTTTAACGTGACCTCTGTTAGTTCTCGATCTAATCCACACCGCAATTTAGTCACTTTTAAATATTCTGGCCAAGTTTCCAGCATCAAGTGGGATCGGGCGGTCACCGAGAATGAGTTCGATCGAGATAAATGTCTCCAGCAACCTGCAAAGGATATAGTGGACATGGTAAAACCACCGCTGGATGACGAGTCGAAGCTGTTACTCTCCATCGTTGCTACAGTTCTCCCTCAACTCTCGACAAGAGAAAGCAAGATGCACGATTTGGCCAAGTTGTTCAATAACCTTGTCAACGAGAATAACTCTGCTCCTCCATATGTGGCCTGGAATCTTGAGTTGGCCCATTTCGCTTTCGCTGCTGCCTACTCGGTGTCACCGCGTGAGCGTGGACAATTAACGGAAGAGGAGACGCGTCGCCTGGTGCTCGACTGGTTCGAGACATTCTGGATGAAAGAAGTTGACAAGCTTGGTTGCGTTTAGTGAGTAGCTGATCATCATACTAGTAGATCATATGAGTGAACGTATCTCATTTTGTTGCTTAGCGATCAGGCTATCCCTTTCCCTATTATCATTCATCTAACCCAGGAAAACGAGAACCGCAAGTATTCGCCGCGACCTGATGCTACCTTCTTACAGCACGGTATCCCTCTTTTTTGGTCAAAATCGATTCGCACTGCAACAATCAGGATGAGTACCAGCTCAATGTTTACGCGGCGTGTGTGCTACGGCTCATAGCGCGTCTCGGAGAGGATGACCGCATCAAAAATGAATATGACAACAATGTTTTCCTCATGGCAGTGTTCTTCTCTGAAAAATGGGAAATAAATCGCTACTTTTTCTTCATGGATGATGATGATAAAGTACGTCTGAAGACATTCGTTTGGGCTAGTTTTAACTTTGGGTTCCGTTTCCAGGTCTGCCGTGATCTGAAAACTTTCGATATGGGGGATCCTTTTCAATTAACGCATTTCCTGCGTGAGTTCTACAATTATGCATTCTACATCGGAAAAGGAGGAGCCCTGAGTCCAGATATGGAACAAATTTCGAAGAAGATTGTCGGAAGTATCAAAAAGAGTTTTCATACTAATGACCACTTGAACACCGGGGATAGTGACAAACGACGTAGTCAGCGAGGGGGTCCGGGTTCAAAGCAATATAGTGCCATGGATATCCGCAACGTGATGACTGACGCTCTCAAAGGAACATGTTTCCAGTTACAAGTAGATCCCAAGGGTTTTGCCCCCCTACATGAGGCAAGTGTTTGAAGACCCGTGTCCTGCTTTGCGCTAATAAATTGGAGCAGTTACCGGATCATATAGCAGAGGCCAAAGACTCCAACGGAAAATGACTTATCGTGAAGCTTGTCCACAAACTGTGCAATGAGCTCTCCCTTCTCAAGGAATTATCAACGCAAAGAACTCCACTTAACCATGTTGTGCCCTTGGTTGAAGTGGTCGTGTTGGAATTGGGACCTTTGCTTATTCTCGAAAGGGGGAACACACTTTCTACGTTCGGGTATATTCACAAGGACAGATCCGAGCGGCTGAGCCGCGAGCTTGTAGAAGGTGTTGCCTTCCTCCATGCACAAGGAATTGCGCACCTGGATATCAAGCCTGACAATCTTATCTGTACCTTTGACACTGAGAGGCTCCTTATTATTAACTTTGATATAGCCATGAAGTGCAGTGGTGCAGATGATATGGTCGAAAGGTCCTGTGGGACTCTCGAATGGAGCGCTCCAGAAATTGTTCTCGACGCTGACAAGCCGCCACGGGCATTCAGTCTCATATGAGCGGATCTGTGGTCCTGTGGGAGGGTTCTTCAGTTCATTGCTGGGATGGTGGATGAAGGCGGATATTCTGGTTTTAGGCAGCTCATCAAGATGCTTCTGGACAAAGATCCGAGACGGCGGCCTTCGTTACATTCAGTAGTGGATAAGGAATCGGTTTCATGGACAACTAATCAACTCCTGGAAGCATTCGGGTGTCAAGCAAGTGGTAACGAGACTGAAGAGACGGTGCCTGGCGTTAGAGCCCGGAGCCGACAACATTCACAGAAGAAGAGTTGCTCAAGTATTTCGGGGTAAGCCGTTACACAGATTTCGAGATGCTGGGGGCTTTGCTTTGAACTCACGTTGTCGTGCCGAGCGTTCGCGATCCATAGGGTGGAACCCGAAGTACACAATACAGGACATGCTGGAAAGCATTAAACCGGAAATCGAAGTGTCGCTCAGTGGGTGATTTACACGGGAGCTCTGAGGATAGTAATTCAGTTGTACCTATTAAAAAACAAAAATATGATAAGATAAGATAGGGAGATATCCCTCGAATGACTAATAAATAAGTTTACTTTTTGTAAGTCGTGCCCTGTTTTTATCTGGCAGTTTCGTGTATAATACTAGTCTCTCAGGCTTAGCAGGGCGCTTTGGGTGGTAATAACGTGAAACGTTGACGCAATCCATGAAGACGGGCCGTGCTTAGGATCACCTGGAACTTTCAGGATCGTGGAATGTAAGCAAGACCGGGGAATTGCTAATGATGCATTAATGGTGACCTGTCGCGAGTCTTGCCATCTTCTTCTCCATAGTTGATTTCTAAGCTACCTGGCTTATGCATCAATTACCCAGGTATATAAAAAGCACGATGAGTAGGAGGTCATTGCATCAATATCTAACGGACAAAACATCAATCAACTTATAATATTCGCCTCTGACTAACTATCATGTCCTCTACAACGAATGTCTTTATCACTGGTGCAACCGGTATGTAATAGACTACTCTACCACTCATATTCCTCACCAATGCGTATTTCGTGACACAGGATATATCGGAGGCGCTGTCCTTGAGCTGCTTCTCGAGCACCCTACAGCGTCGTCATCACAGTTCACCGCGCTTGTGCGCTCTCCTGAAAAAGCACAGAAGCTTGAGGCTATCGGTGTTCATGCCGTTGTGGGATCCAATTCTGATCTCGACAAGCTAGAGCAGCTTGCCTCCGAGTCTGATGTGATATTTGCTTGTGTAGGTCTTAGTTGGTGTGACTGTTACTTTGGTTCTGATCGCATTTTCTAGGCCGACGCTGATAATGTACCAGCAACCAAGGCTATTTTGGCTGGGCTGAAGAAACGCTATGAATCTACAGGAAAGGCTCCCATTCTGGTCCACACTGTAAGCCTCATTGTGCCACATTTTGACCATTACTGATTACTTTCAACTAAACTAACAGTCCGGCACTGGTAAGTCCTGAACTGATGTGAGTTACTTTTGCAGCAACTGATTCTGGTCTATTGCAGGCGTTCTGACGGATCATGCTGCTGGAAAATATGCTTATGATACCATTTACGACGACACGGACGTCGCACAATTAGAGACCCTTCCGGATACACAATTTCACAGAAACGTTGATCTCTTGATTATCGAGGCTGATAAACAAGGTGCGCTTTCTTTCCACTTTCCTTTCGTTAAATCCACATTGACCTTTAACCTTGAACAACGATCATCTTATTCAGGATACGCACGCACGCACATTGTGCTTCCCTCTACGATCTATGCCCATGCGACCGGTAAACTCGTCCAGCTTGGCATCCAGAATCCAAAATCGATACAGATTCCTTGTCTTATTCGGAGCAGTCTGAAGCGTGGACAAGGTGGCGTGACTGGCGAGGGCAAAAACCGATGGCCTAATGTCCACATTGATGATAGTAAGCCTATTTATGAAACAACAGTGACTCGAAACTGATTATTTTGGTAGTCGCTTCCTTATATATTGTGTTATACGAAGCCATCTTGGCTGGTAAGGCAGGGCACGGACGTGAAGGCTTGTACTTTGGGGAGAACGGCGAACACTTGCTGTACGACGTCAGCAAAGCGGTTGCCGAAGCACTTTATGAGCTTGGCAAAGGCAGGAGCCCGGAGCCCACAACGTTTACTGAGGAGGAGCTCAACGCTGATTTCCTTGTAAGCCTATGTTCAACCATTGTCTTGCACAGCGGAGTATTGGTATTGTTTACTAATATCAAACTTTTGACCAGATTGCATACTTAGGCACTAACTCCCGTTGCCATGCCAGTAGAGCACGAGCTCTTGGTTGGAAGCCAAAGTACACGACGAAAGACCTGCTTGCGAGTATCAAACCTGAGGTGGAGGCAATATTAAAGGAATAAATATTGATCCTGCTAGTGGGTCTATGTTTTTATATTGCATTGATTTCAAGGAGTGATTGTGTGCATATGGTTCAACTTTTATGTTGTCGTGTTTGTCTGTTATAAGTAGAAAGCTCTGCAAGATGTATTCTCTTTCGCCTTTCGAATAAAATGATATAAATGCGCTTTGTTGAATCGTTGCTGAATCGGACCTACTGAATAGACCACTAGTCTGAGAGGTGCTAGATGCTGCCAGATACCTTGGATTTTGACGCGCTTAGTCCCTAAGCAATTTTTTTGGCGTTTTACAGGTCGTTTCAAGACCTTGGAAGTCGCATCACCCCTCTTACATCGACAATTGACCGCAGCGGCGTCTAAAGCTAATACTAAAAGCCGGTTCGGATATTCCAACAAATTTGTCAGACAGACGCTCTCTCAGTACAGTACGTCTACTATTATCTATTTACTTCTCTCCCAGCCTCTCTCAGCCTATTACCGATCTAAACTTTTGGCTGGGGATCATCATCAATCATCATCTAAACGTGTAGGACAGGACAACTCGAAGCTGCTCTATTATAACAAGTGTTATGTTCAATGTATTTATTACCAAATCCCTCATTTGATCGTGTACTTGTCTGACTACATTTCTAATCCCAAACTAGCACAACTTACATTATGCTCTGCTTTTATTGGCTGTTTCGTTTATATTCCAGTCTCTCCGGCTTAACAGGGCGCTTTGGATAGTTGAAAGTCAGCCGAATGAATGAATTAGACCGGGAATTGTTGATACCGTATCAACACTCAACTGTCTTCTCCAAATCTGATTTCTAAGCTATCTGCCTGGCTGGCTTATGAATCAATTACATACCAGCATATAAAGGGCATGACAAGACGACAGCTAGAAGATTGCGCCAGTACCTACCAGAGAAAACACCGATCAACTTGAACACCTTTGACTAACTAGTATCATGTCCTCCACGACGAACGTCTTTATCATTGGTGCAACGGGTATGTAATAGGCTGCTGCATCCTCCACATCTCCCATGAATGTTTATTTTGTGACATAGGATACATCGGAGGCGCTGTCCTTGAGCTGCTTCTCGAGCACCCTACAGCGTCGTCATCGCAATTCACCGCCCTTGTGCGCTCTCCTGAAAAGGCACAGAAACTGGAATCCGTTGGCGTTCATGCTGTTGTGGGATCTCTTTCTGAACTCGACAAGCTAGAGCAGCTTGCGTCCCAGTCTGATGTGATATTTGCTTGTGTAGGTCTTACTTGGCGTGACTGTTTCTTTGGTTCTGATCGCATTTTCTAGGCCGACGCTGATAATGTACCAGCAACCAAGGCTATTTTAGCTGGGCTGAAGAAACGCTATGACTCTACAGGAAAGGCACCTATCTTGATTCACACTGTAAGCCTTATCGTTTCATATTTGGATCATTTTGCTTATCGAATACTTGCAACTAACAGTCTGGCACTGGTAAGCCCTGAATTCATGTGAGTTTCTTATACGGGTGTTAATTCTAATTTATCATAGGTGTTCTGATGGATAAGGCCGCCGGAAAATACGCTTATGATACCATTTACGACGACACGGATGTCGAACAATTGGAGACTCTTCCAGACACACAGATTCACAGAAACGTTGATCTTCTGATCATCGAGGCTGATAAGCAAGGTGCGCTGCGTTCGTTCGATCCAGTAAATCCACATCGACCCTTGACGCTATCGTCTTGTGTAGGATATGCACGCACACACATCGTGCTTCCCTCTATTGTCTATGCCCGTGCTACAGGTAAACTCGTCGACCTTGGCATCCAGAATCCAATTTCCATTTTGATTCCACGCCTTGTTCGGAGCAGTCTGAAGAGTGGGCAAGTCAGCATCGTTGGCGAGGGAAAAAATCGATGGCCTAACATCCACATCGATGATAGTAAGGCCACTGTCGAAACGAGATAGTCCAACGTTGATTATTTTTGACAGCTGCGTCCTTATACATTGTACTATATGACGCCATCTTGGCTAATAAGGCAGGACACGGACGTGAAGGCCTATACTTTGGGGAGAACGGCGAACACTTGATGTTCGATGTCAATAAAGCAGTTGCTGAAGTACTTCATGAGCTGGGCAAAAGTAGGAGTCCCGAGCCCATAGTATTGACTGAAGAAGAGCTCAAGGTTAATCCCATGGTAAGTCTAGGTTCAATTATCATCTCACCTAGTGGATTCCTGGTATTGTTTGCTGATATCAAAGTGTTGCCTAGGCTATATACTCAGGTTCCAACTCCCGTTGCCGTGCTAGTAGAGCACGGGCTCTTGGTTGGAAGCCAAAGTACACGACGAAAGATCTGTTTGCCAGTATAAAGCCTGAGGTGGAGGCTATACTGAAGGAATGAATTCAGATACACTAGTGTCGAATTGCGTTAGTTTGAGTGTCAAGGAGTGATCGTGTGCATGTGGTTTGATGCTGTCGCGACACTGCATATCCTTCTGTTATTGATAAAATGTATTGTATGATGTATTTTCCTCGACTTTTGGAACAATATTAATATTGTCTATTGTTTTCACCACTGTCAAATCTGACTTACTGTACGGACCAGTGCGGGTGAATTTAGCATCGCAGCATTTCAAGTTCTATAATTTTATGTCCACTTAGCACTATCTAAGCGCCCAACTGCAAACCTTCCTTGCCGTAATGCCCCACCCAGGTCTTTCCCATGGTTACTGAACAAAGGCAGGTCAATAATGGAGTGCTGAAGGGGTAATTGATAGGTAAAATCGAGCTGGAACTGTTGCACATGTCTCCTCCTTGATGCGAGTAGGGCTATATCGAACGGATCGTGTAACTTTGAGCTAGGCACCGGTTTGGTTCGTTTCATTTCCTCTCTCGTTTTCTCATGAAAGTTGATTGTCTCCAAGCAAATTTGTATTCGACGTGTTGACGATCTCTGCAGTCTTGGTGTCGAAGTCGTTTCTCCAAGATCTGCCCACCTCAGCTCTCTCCTCGAGCCTACCATTCTTTCCAAGCAACGCCGCTCCTTTTTCCACCATTCTAAAATCTGTATCTCTTGATCCATCATGTCACCAACGATTCGTTCCTTCCTCGAGTCTCGTACATCAGTGTTTTCACGCGACGACGAAGCCACTGGCACTCCGAGTCAAGCAGCCCCTTCCACTCCAAGCTCCATATATATAATCGGCTTTGTCCTGGCTCCCTTGGTCCTTTTGAGCACCATTCTCTGGCTATCCATCCGATGGTACAGACGCAGGGTGAGGACCACGCAGCGAGAGAAGCCTTCGGGTGCTTTCCTTTCAATTCGTGGCTTAGTCAAAATCTTGAATGGAGAGGGCGGAGAAATCCAGGAGAAGTCTACTGACCTTAGTCAAGTCAGGTAATGACATCTTTGTGCATCTTCTTGTTTGCTGGAGGCTAAAACAAAGGATTTGACTATCAGGAAACCTGGTGTGACTCCAGCAGGAGAATTCAGCCGTGCCAACATGACCTCTTCCATCGTGTTCCCAGACAAAGTCATCACTAGAACGCCTCGCTCTCCCAGGTTGTCTTCACACCGCAATTCTCTTCGTCTTTCTCGAGAGACAACTCGTTCGCCACGTCCGAGTCAACGTTCATCGCAACAATCGCCTTCACCTTTTCGTCACGACTCTGGTAGTTCTCGACCTCGCATCTCCATTTTGCGCTTTGACTCGGCCTCACCGAATCGTTCGTCTGTAATCTCCTCCAGGGGGTCATCATCTTCCTCCTCTATTTCACGTACAGTACGTCAGCAGTTCGAGCCCGTGCTGCCCGACGAACTTCGAGTACGTAATGGTGAACACCTGGTCATTCTGCAGTCATTTGATGATGGTTGGTGTTCCGTTGGGAGAGAGCCAAAACGAGTATCAGTATTGATACCTGCTGCATTCCGACCCAAAACCAGCGATTCGAACAGCGTGGAGCTAGGCGTCGTTCCTGCTTGGATATTCACCAAGCCGATGAGAGGTGTCTACGCTGAACGACCCTTGAGAAGCTCTAGTCTGGCTGGCGCATCTGACCTTTTGCCCGACGGCCCTCCCAGAGAAGCGGTCGTGTCTTGGTCAAATTTTGCGTAAAGATGCTATGCATTTCTTTACGTTTCCGCATTCCTGCATTCTAAACTTTCCCCTGTCATATTTTCTTGCTCTCATTTCTTGATGCTTTTCCGGCTTTTCTCTCGCAGTCGACCTGTTTGTTCGGTTCCTCGTTAGATCTCACTACTCATACTGCCATCGCGTCTTTTGTCACCTGGTGTGTGTACCATTATTCTACATTCGACCCTGCAGATGCTATGTCGTCAAGTCCATTTTTCCATCTTCGCAGTCCCGAGTATTGCTTCTCATTGTTGTTGTCTTTGTCTTCTGTAATGTTCCTGTTGGTTAGTTATCCAACCGCCTGTGTAGCCTACCTTTCTTCTTGAGCTGTCTGACAGCTAGATCATTCGATCATACATATACTGTGTATATTGATACCCAATGCACGAAGTCATTCCCATATCTGAGCCCTTATATGTTTTCTCCATGGTCCAGATGAGATGGAGATTTTATGTTTTCATTGATCTCCTTGACATGGCATGGGCGTTCGCGGAGATTGTAATCAAGATATTCACTGGATCCGTTGATTTTTTGGTTCAGAATGTTCCTTACAGTAATGCCCACCACTGTAGATAGATAATATTCTGTGTGCTCTGAGGTTTTGACTTACTATCACATCCACCAGGCTTTATGGCGTCGCTTCCACCACCACCTTCGCCAGTCCATCTCTTGCGGTCACACTTCAGCCCAGTCAACGTTCTCTCCTTTTCAAATGACAACGAGCGATTATACTCTGGGGATACCTCAGGACTTGTCGTTATCACTAGCACCCGCTCGCTGCGTGCCATAGCGTCGTGGAAGGCGCATTCGGACGGTTTGCTGGGTGTAGAAGAATGGGATGCTCACATTATCACGTTCGTCGCCAACCTCTGCCGTTATACCGAAGTTCTTGGCTAACTCGTGTATGCAATACAAACCACGCGGGGCTCTCGTGCAGGCATGGAAGGGACAATAAAATCCATGTGTGGGCTCGCATCGACGAGTTCCCTGCGGCTGCTTCCATAAGACTGGGAGGTTCAGCTTCACTGCCAGGCCTACCCACCCCAAACCTACGCTATTCCCTGGACGTAAATGCGTTGAACTATTGTCGCTTTTCACTTTTACCTCTGCTTCAGGCAGAGCATGCTATCCAGAATACTGACACTGAGGCACTGATAGCTGTGCCCAATCTTGTCGAGTCTTCACTGGTAAGTCATATGGCTTGCATTACCCTCTGATTCTGCTTCAATGCTGTCGAAATTCATGTATGCGTAAAGGCAGACGTGTGGACATTGCCTGCTTGCCAGCGACTACATGCAGCTATAGGCAAACAGGAAAGCTCTGACACAGAGTCAGACGGGCGTGGAAATCGACAGGCTGGTGTGTTTCTCATCCATTTGTTAAAGCCCATCTCATACCAATATTCGAAACTGAGAAGGTATAATCATGTCCATGCATTTATTCACAACTCTTCCAGACACCGCATCATCTTCTAGCTCGCCACGAGAACTGCGTTTGCTCTGCGCATATGAGAATGGCGGTGTCATACTCCGCAGATATACTGGACCCGAAAATAAAAAAACTATTGAGGGCATTGGATGGCAAGTAGCATGGAGTAGCACACTTCATGTTGAATCTGGTATGGCGCATATGCTCCATCTGGCGGAGGCCAACACACTACTGAGAAACCCGTATTTTGATTTCCAGTCATGGCCATGGCAGTCTCAAGGGCCTGTACATTTGCTTTAACCGTCTCTGCAGACCACCTCGTCGGGCGTTATGATTTGATAGTATGATGCTACGTCTCTCACTGAAGAGCGCTAATCACCCCGATACAGAGTGCAGGGCTGCCTGGCGTTTCGTTAGAAGATGCGTGTAAGGTATACAGGACCAAGAAACCGGGCAACGCTGCCATTGCTATTCGCGACGACGGGAAAGTGTGTGCAATCGGAGGGTGGGATGGCAAGTAAGTGCTCATCCTCTTCCAACCAGATCGGATGTAGTTACAGAACAGTCTCTATCATCTCAGAGTAAGACTTTATTCCACCAAGACAATGAAGCCACTGGGAACGCTCGAATATCACAAGCAAAGCTGCCAAGCGGTCGCGTTTGCTAGATCAACACCGTCCATGGAAAAAGAGCACGACTCCACTGTACAGTCGGGCCTCCTGGAAGTTACGGATGATGAAGAGAGCGACGATGAGATGAGCGAAGAAGAAATGCGGAAAAGAGGTCTTTGGCTAGTTGCTGGAGGAAAAGATAGCAGATTGTCTGTGTGGACTTTGATGAGCTTCGACAAAAGGTGATACTACAACTTTTCAGTCGCATACGAAACAGTCCCATCCGATATTAAATAGGTGAGGCTGGTGAGTTATCGGAAGATGTACAATCGACAACAATTTCGAAGCTCAAATATTCTTTCATATCAATCGGATCAGTACTGGTAGTATCCCCACATGAAAGCACTGCGAGACAAACAACAAATGTTATACGATATTCGGTAATAAATATCAAGTCTTGGAATAAAGATTGCAGCACAAAGACATTCTCTGAAGAAATAAGATGAATAAAAAGAGCGAATATTTGACACTGGCACGAAAGTCCGTGGTTGACAGTAGAAACGCTAACGCTGCTCTTGGCGCTCCTGCATTACGATTATACATTTACAAGGAGAAGGTCGGGAAGGAAGGACAAGATGAGCTAACTGTGGCTATAATAAACCAGCAGCTCTTAGATCTTGCAGCAACCTAGCTTGCTCTAGCGTATGGCGGTCTGGTACGATTGAACTGGCATTTCTGTGTGGAGGGGAAGCGGCAGGAGGTGTGTCTGATGCTCGGGGCTCTGGAATATCCTCTTCATGGTACATTCCGAAAACACGCTCAATATTCCGTCTAGTGGAAAGATCTAGCTGAATGTCTTCAGGGGTGACGACGGTAGGCGTAGATGATGCACGAATGGAAGACTCCCATCGCTTTACACGCCAATATCCGATCAGGGAGGAAAGGAGGAGGAACCAACCTAGTATTAACATGTCAGATCAACATGACTACAAAACATAAAACGTTGCATACCCAAAGTCATGAGCAGGAAGGAGAGCCATATATGCGTGGTGGAATTGAATTCACCGTTCAATCCACCGTCGGGCTGAGGCACAGTAGGGGTCGGCGAAGTAGATAGCAATGGTTTGTCTGGCGAATCAACGTTATCTGTGGGCCAGGCCAATGGCGCATCCCCTGGTACGCCATCACCAGTACCCATGCCACCGTCAGCGGTCACACGAGAGTAAAATCCATACTGAATGAGCGTGAGCCCAAGACCGGCGCGGGAACCGTACTTTGCAGCATGGGATGTGTGCAAGAGGTACGTAAGTAGGAAACCAACGAATTGGAAGAAGAAGGAAGTGAAAAGATTGGCGGCGAATATGAGGATTGAGCCTGAAGGGAGGTCTTCGATCATCATATCAGAGTCAAGATCGAATCCTGAGGGTGCATGGATAGTGTTTTCGAAATAAGAAGGGACTGCATCTGCCTGTGCATCTGCATAAGACTGGAAATAATGGTATATGATTAGCGTTGCATAACATGAAAAAAAAAGTGATGTCCTACCGGTGGAGCCTGACTCTGGGTCTCCTCAGGAACCATGTATACGTCTCCGTCTTCAGTGCGAACTTGCACAGGCCGAGTAGGCTTTGCCATGACGTTTGCAAAAACGCCATCGTTTTCGATACCCCCACCTCTGGCACCTGCTTGGGACGATTCGCTGGTGGGCACACGAACATAATGGGTGGGAAGAATGGCTCCTACAGCCCTACGGAAGAATGAAGGTCGAGGTATGGTTGTTCCGAGGGGAGACGTAGGTAGCTGACCGTTGGAGTTACCGATGTCGTTGGGCATAGCGACAGCAGATATGCCTGGGGGAGAACCGGGTGGAGGACGGTCGTAGTCATAATCTCTCTCAAAATCGTAGACACCTGGCATGGCATTTGGACTGGAATTGTGCAGAGTATCCTCTGAGCGAATGCTGTATGATTGTGTGAGTGGTGTCGATTCGAGCTGGCTGTCGTCCTCGTTATCGGATTCAAAGGCGTCATCCAGTTCTTGTTCAGCCTCTGGCCCATTGCTCGAACGCCGAGTTGGTACGGGGGCGTAGCGAGCAGGCATTCTGGATAAAGGTCACAATACGAAGGAACAGGCTGGCTGTATAAGGATGAGTACAAAGGATAAAGTGAAAAAGGCTGTAACAAGTGTCAGGCCAGCTCGCTGGAGAGGTTGTAATTGAGACGACGATATGTCAAATGCAGTGTCGGCATGTCCCATAGCATCACTGATTCAGCTCCTTATAGACTGGCGCCACCTGCTTATTTACAACATGCCCTATGTAGCTACAGTTACTCCAAATGTCTGTGGTGGAGACCTCACGATATCACAAGCTTGGATCATCATCGTAGAAAGCTCGATCGACAACCAAGGAATAGTCGACAGAACAAGGGGTGCTTCCACTTACGTAGACCGTATCAGATTCAAAGGCACTGCTGAGCACGCATCTCAGAACCAATCCTTGCTTCTCGCTTTCCACCCTTCGCCCAACAGCCAATCTCTGATGGACATAGGTGCCTCAATCACCAGCTCACCGGTACGTGAAGCGAGGCGAAGAATGTCACGGGGAACAGCGCAATTCCCGTCGAATGAACAGCGTTCCTCCTTTATGAACGCACTGGCATTCTTCCCGACCTTTGCACAACTTTCCAACCTAAACGTAGTGCTTGCAATTGACACCTGCTTATCCACCAATGAGAGGCTGTCCTCCATAGAAAAGTGCTATCCATGAGTATAAACGTTGAAAACCGACACTCCGAGGAAGGAAGCGTTGCGTGAGATTGATTTTACAAATGCGCAGCATCATATGAAGAATACAGTATTGCGTCGTGATCTAACCAAGAAGTCCTTTGACATATCTCAACAAGTCTCTGCCCTGGATAGAATATTGACAGTTAGGAGTTGCACAGTAAAACTTGAAAATTGCCACCCACCCCGCGACTTTTCACTCCTGCGACCATGGCCTCCACCCCCTCTAGATCGGTCCGCCCTTCCTGTTCACTTCCGTCTGACACTTCATTTGATAGCCCAGACATAGTTCTTGACAAAGCCATTCGCTGTCTCTGACCTAAGCCATGCCTCGACACAACAGCTACCACTGCTCTCCATCCCTCGATTTCTCCTTCCAAACCCTTCAACTGTGCTTGAGGTGACATGTTCGTATGTGAAGTTGCACCTGGCTGAAGTGGTAGCGAGGGAACAACAGTGGAACGAACGACATAGGGACAATACGATCGATGTTCTTTCAAAATATCAAATTGCCTTTGAGGCTTAGGCGCGGGTGGTGGAGTTTCGTGGTCCTCGGCTGTAGAACCATTCTGCGGAGGTGGAGGAGCAAACGCCCATAGCCCAATCCGCCTTTGGCACAGAGAACAGTGTAAGAGAGAAGAATCCCTCTGGTTGTTGACTGGAGAACGGAAAGAGCTAGTACGAGGTATCATAGGTGAAGATACTGGCGTCGCCTCTCTTTCAGAGATACGAGCGACAGAGTTAGCACGAGACAATGACGGTGTCGAAGCCTTAGAGGGGACATTTGTATTTGCTCTAGATAGGGACGTCGTTCGCAGTCGTTCAGGAGAAGGCGGTGCTAATGCCCAACCAAATAGAGATGTCAACAGCGTCGAATCTGACGGCTCGTCTGTAAAAACTGAAGCATCTGGATCACCGTCCACTTGCATAGGTGAAGACCCTTCCTCCGAAAAGGCTGGTGTAATAGGTACAGTCGCAATTATGGATCGCAGAGTCTTCAGTTGCGCGTTAGACTTGAAGGGTTGCACATTCAAACATTAGAACGTGGAATACGTAATTTTGACATAACGTACGTACCAAAGGATGTCTTACTTGCACGCCTTGCAACACGGGTTCCAAAGTTAAAGCATTTAACTTCATATCTCGAGCCATTGCCAATGGTGATTGTAGAGGAATGCGGTATATTGAAGCTACTAGAGAATTAGCACTGGAAAACAGCTTATGATCAGGACTGAAAGACATACCATCGCACTGTCGAGTTTTCCATGGACACCCATCTTTGTGCATCTGCACTAGCGAAGTGCGTTGTTTCTCAATCAACGAATTTGCTGGAGAAGGGTGCATTTAGTTTAGTATACTCGGACCTAGACCTACCTTCTTACCAGCATCCTTGACCATACCGTCTCTCCCGGTAACAACCCACGAGACACCGCAAATACCGCATGACAGCCTATCTTTCCCGTCATTTACCCATCCGCACTTGGACGCAGCCACAGCATCAATTGCAGGAGGTTTGTTGGCGTACGTCGCTAGTTTATAAGTACCCAAACGGGAGAGAAAGGACTGAGTTGAAGATGGTCTGTAATCCGATATCGAACTCCTTGACGGCGCATGCACAAGCGGGTGCTGGGGCGTTTTGAACGGAAGTATTTTGCGAGAGCGTGAGGCAGTGCGTGCAAGTATTGCAGCGAGATGAGGTGCGGTCTTGGATAAGTCTGTCTTGTACGGAGAACCTCTGAATATTCATAATGGAAATAGAAGAACGACTGTTCAGAAGATACGCGACACATGGATAGTGGAGATAGTTGAAGCCGACTGACTCGGATAATGGATTTGTTTCTTTCGGTTTTATCCCGTACTTAGCAAGTGTAGAATAGAGAGAACGGGACAATATTTGTTTCTTCGCTGGAGTCGGCCTTTCGTTGAGCTGAGGAAACGACGATGACCCGACTGCATCGTCCAAGCTTTGGATGGCGTCGTCGAGTTTTCGCTGTTGAAACGGCTATTAGCTCTGAGTTAGATACTATTGACAAAATAGATACTTTTGTTGCTCTGATAGACGACATGTCCGCTCCAGAGGATGTTGAGCTCGTGCTGTTACCAGAACCTTGTTGCAGGGAAGCCATTCAGGAATGTGGAGAGCGCTCAAGGAAATGTCGAGGATACAAGTGGCAGCATTTGTATTATCTAAGCATTTCTAGATTCGGAAGTGTGGCTGGCCACTCTCCTTTTCAGACACCGCGGCCTATCCTCAGAAACATCATCTTTTGCAGCCAACTTGAACATCGTGGCCATTCTATCTCGTCGAACAAGAAAACCCCACTTTCTGACAGAAATGTGGTAATAATACAGTGCCTGTACTCTACACACAGCTCAGGTCAACTCGCTCAGTCGCCAAAGTATAAAAGCTGGCCCGGTGCTTCCGAGTCCACGATCCAGTAACCAACCAAGTATCAGCATATGGTAAAGTCGTTTCGTAAAAAGCGTGGTGGGCAACTATTAACAAGGGCTCTGTAACTATATAATCTAATTGGTTTTGTTTATTATCAATAGTTTGCGTAAACCCAATGCCTTGCAATCGTTCATGCCAAAAACACGAATTCAAGAGGACTAGAGACATAATCAACTGGTATATAATGGTATGGAACCGTTCGTATTCATCCTCTCTCCCAACCATCACAGCTGAGAGGTTACTATTCAATTACTCACCGGAAAACATCGGCAATCGACATTATAACGAGGCTATCTGTGAGTTGTCTCATTCCAACGTATACTCTTATCCTCATCAGCATATGCACCTTTTTGTTGTCTCCTTACTGCTTGACTGACCTGTGTTTTAGATCGATTTTGATAACAACAGATCTTCTGGATAGCTGTAGATCTCTGTTCAATACTGTATCAAGTTACACGGGCCTCTCTTGGTGAGGATTACAAGCACTGGTGCCTGCTTGATGAGTGCTCACACCATCCGACCAACCTCACAAATAGTTCGTTGCTTACATCGGAATCTACGACTACTGAGATAGCTTGTTCCAAACATATTCACATCTACACGATCGTGTACAGATACCATTACGATGTCAGCGAACGATACACAGATGGATTGGGAGGCTGCTGAAGATTGTGTCACTAATCCTCCAGCCACGGAGTCTTCAGCTGCTGTTCGAACATGGACAGCAGAGCGTTCTTCTCAGATTCTAGCCCTCCTCGAGGCCGATCCGCCCCGGGCCATCAACTCTCCCTACAACCCAGAACGCCTCCTTAACAACTGTGTTTTTGTCACCCTGGCCTATCTCCTTCACACTAATGCTCGCGATCTCTGTGACCGTATTGGCATCCGTCCAGTCCCAGGGAGTCCTGGTGTCACGCTTGAAGCTGCCGTCACCGCTATTGAACGTCTAGGGATACGGTTCTGCGTTGTCAGGTTTTCTCCCTCTCACCCACCTAATCCCCTCAATCCTCGTAATCCTCTCGTTATGCGCCCCAACTTGCGGCAAAATGTGCTACCACCCCCCAGAGATGGGATACCAGAATCATACGTCACCTGGCGTCAATGGCCACGCCGAGTGGGAGTGGCGTATACGCGTGCCAATGGTACAGGGCATGTGGTCGTATGCAATTCGCCTGGCGCGCCTTATAGACGTTATATGGACTACCAGACTCGTGCAGATGGGCAGGATGTGACTAGAGAAGTGCAACAGAGCAGGGTCTTTATGGTATTTGCTGTAGATTGGCAAAGGTCTCGAGGCTCGTTCATTGAGGCGTTACAGCGCCAGGAAGCCCAGGAAGAGCAAGCGCAGAGACAACGGGAGGAGGAGCAGAAACGACAGGAAGAAGAACAGAAACGACAGGCGGAAGAAAAGAAACAGCGCGATAAACATGGATTCTATGGAGGCCGCTTCTATGACAAACTGTAACTGTTCAGATTTCTCTGTGTCTTACGAAGTTTTCGCCGCTAAGTTACTTTCCAAAGAAATGTCTTGCGTGTACAATATGATAAATTCCCGGTTGTTGTACTTGTATCGCCAGCTGTAGGTTTTGTTTTGAATTTTGATGTTGTTTTTGGAATAGGTGATATGTTGAGAAAGCAGTTTCTACAGAACTGAATATTTGTCCTTTCCTGATTCATATTCCACATATGCAGTCAAACGACGCATGATGTCATTCAAAAAACAAAGCGAAATATTTGGGACGGCCAGGCCTCGGTGGGAGTGTCTAATGTGATAATAGCATCATCAGAGTGGGTTGCATTCAGTCTGACGGGTTGGTCAGAAAGCATATACATTTACATCCCATCTAATTCAGTAACTGAAAAGTGTCTATAACACACAGGGTGCGTATGTATTAAGCATCGAGGAAGATATCATGCACTACGTGGCTACAATTATCGGAATGACCGCACGACGATAATCAACTATGTACATCATCAGTCACGTCGTGTGGAGGCCCTTGTTCCATGTTCCGCATTGCAACGGCATGTTTCTCCCCTTTGAGGATATCTATAACCGTGCGTGCAGCTTGCACGTCATTTCGAAAGTAGAATGCCTTGATGAACATCATGTACAGCGGACGGGCATGCCGTTCGAAAGATATATACGGCGGAAGTTTGGGCAGCTGCATCTCCTGGGGCGCGCGGGACAGCGGCGTACCAAAGGGCAACCGTCCAGAGGAAACATGCTCCCCCGCGGGATATCCACTCCGAATCATATGATCAAAGAGAGCTCGTAACTTCTTGTTGTCAAACATGGTGCGCCATCGCATGACCGCTTTAAGGAGGATGTTGACGGTTACGCGATCAGGGGTGAAGGAATAGTGGTCCACAAGGTAGTTCAAAGATGCAAGAACCTTGCGCATCTTCCTACCATTGCGGGGTAAAGGTTGTATCACAACACCATGAAGGTATATATTGCAGAGGGATGTGCGGGTATCTGCATCCAATTTATCCGCTACACGGGCAAAAAGCTTCTTCGTCGCCAGAATCCTGCCAGCACGAATCAATAAGTGCATCGCAAGTCGAATGGTGGAGATATCTGAGGGGTCCCTATCCAGCATCGATGAGGCCTTCAAGGACAGTATACGGATTGGCATATGTGCCCGTATGGCGACTGTTCGGGCCGTAAAGTGATATCTGTGCTTTCCCAACGAACCGGGCACTGCAAGACAAGCTCGTGGAACAAGAGAAGTAGCCCCACTCCTCGTAAGTTCATGAACAACACAGCGAAACATCGTGCTATAACGCGGGTAGAGCCTGCCGACGAGCTCAAGCAACTGAACAGCATAACGATACTGTTTATGCCTGAGAAAAACATGAGAGCATCGCAAAAAGAATGATGGCTTAAAGTATGATGGTGAAGTCCGGGTAATTGCTTTGATGACCGATATGGCTTTGCCAGCATGCACCGACTTCAAAATATGAACAAGGATGTGCTCAAGACACCAACGAACAGTTCGAGGTGGTAGAGACGAGGAGTATGTATCGCGTAAGGCATCACCCAATGTAGAGAGAGACTCGGGTTCAAAATTTGCGGATTGATACTGAGCCATGTGCCTCAGGACGTTGGACATAAGCTCTTGCCTTTGCTCGCCAGACAATTGACAGTTATGGAGAAACGGTATCGCGTCTTGATATGCCCCAACCTTCGCGAGTGCCACTCCGAGGGAGATGGTTGGTTCGACGGCGATTTCAATACCATCACGTCTAGCAGCAGCATAAAGAGCGTAAGCAAGTCTCGGATCTCGGCGTACAAGATTATCGATCGCAATGGAAGTGACCGCCGGTAGCCATCGAGTATCAGGGAGGGTGTCTTTCAGGTCTGTAAGGGCCATCCTGCACTGATCAACGTGACTGGGAAGAGAAGCAATGAGAAACTCCGCTGCCATGGACAGAATTTGCAATCTGGTAAGACCGTCGTCGTCGTCGCACCAAAGCTTTGACGAAGTACTATAGGCATGACATGCATCCTTGAGTGACATATCACCTATTACACCAGACAAGTAGAAGAAAGAGGAGACAATCGAGCGTGCAGCCAGGGGATGTTCGGCCTCCCTTTGAGCGCAGGCAGACCAATTCTCCCATGAGGCGCGCAGAGTTCCTTGAATCATGTCCTTCAGAGTAGACTGGTCAACCGAGGTCAAATCCATGCCCCCAAACACCTTTCTCATCGTTGCAAGACTAAACACGGCTTCCCACGTGACGGTAGCAAGACAAGGAATAGGCATTGTCTCCTGCTGCATGGTTGCTTGGCTGATCAGAGCAGGGCGGCCATTATATAATGCAAGTAACATGATGCTACTCCACCGCCTACCTAACGAGTTGGCGGGCACGAAAATGCTGCGCAGAAGAGTAGTTGCGTATTGTGCTAGATGGTCTGAAGGCGATGTCGATGAAGCAAGAACAGTCACGATACTGCGGGCAATTTCGTTGACACTGAGGGCATCATGATGATAGGGCCCCGGTGGGCTCCCCTGAGCGGTGTAGCATTTCGTTGATATAGCACGTTCCCCCCTGAGAGACAAATTTGAAACGCGATGCGAAAACGTAGACAGCACTAGTTCGCGAGATATGGTTGACATATTGCCATTGAACTGGAGAAGTATCCGCCAAAGCACTCCAAGTAGCCTGGGATGCCACTCGTCATGCCTCCGTAGGGCACTACACAACCTATAAACGGCGGCATCCAGAAATCCGGGACCTTCGATGGATAGTAGGGCCTCAAAATACGGAACATGAACTTCAGGATCAGCAGTATGCTGACATATATGGCGGTACTGAATACGCGCGCGATATATTGCACTTGATAGGTTTGCGGCCTTGGCTAAGTCATAGTTCAGCCTTGAATTCAGATACTGACCATGTAAATTGCTTACATTCAGAAAACTCGACCGCTAAATACCGTACCACGTTAGCTAGTTCAGCACGCATGATCCAGTAACGATCCGAGTGACTCAAGGTCTGACCCAACCTTTCCTTATCTTTTGTAATCAAGACAACAAAGGACCAGTAGCTCCGGGAGATAGTATGTTCTTTAAAATGAGATGCGAAAGGATTCGTATAGATACAATGCCTGAAAGGGTGAAGCGATAAAGACCCAAAGAGGCTAATTAGAGAGCTAAGTCTGCCAGAATCGAGTTGACCAAGTTGATTCCTGGCTTTTGCCGACATATAAAGAGACCGTAGGGTGTTAGCAGAGTGCTTCTCTGGGTGGCATGAGGTCATGTTATTAGGAGAAAGAAATGCGTAAAGAAGATCTATAGCCTTGCTATTATCGTGAGGCTTCTCGGGAAAAACGCACAGAGTCTGGACCTCAATAGTGCTGCTTGTTCTAGTTAGATATTCCTCAGGATTGATCGGCGTAGGCTCCCGCCATTGTGGCGAACATGTGTGATTGGTGTTTGCAGCATTTCCCATGTCAATCCGGTCCTCAAGATTGGTGCGAGGCGAGCGAAGCAAAGGCAAGGGTCGTCTCAGCACTTCCTCCTGCCCTATGACTGTTGGAATGCGAGCGTCTGATAGTGTTACACCACAGGGGTCCGTTCGAGTGTGTACCACGCCTGACAACGAGGAGGCATTGTCATGAGTGTCATATACTGGGCAGACACGTCCTTTCCTACGAGTTGCGTTGGACTTTGGTGCGCTATATGTTGATAGTGGCCTAGCAAGGTATTCAGCTGATATTATTCACGGCACAGTATCATATATAACTCACCGAATGTCTTGTAGAATGCCGCCGTATCCGCCCAATTCTCGGACGGTCGACTGACACCATCGCAACATTCCATTGCATGGATTCAGAATCACTGCGCGTCACCACACCGACGTCGAAATACACGCCAAACTTCCACACTAAAACACAGGATATGCCCAATTGCCTGCAGTGCAATGGGTGTCTCTCTCCACCACAGAAAAGATGGAAGCTGTTGTTGGGGAAGAGAAAGGTTCGCTGGCGTCGCGGCCCACGATGAGCTCGCGGTCGGAGTTCCACTTCTGGATTTCGGCGTAAAACGGCTTGGCTATATTCCCAAACCTTGTTTATGAACTGCACGGCAAACTCCGAGATGCAGGCCTCACCAAACTTTCAGAAAAGTTACCGAGTCCACATATCCTCAGTTAGTCGCCTTGAAAAATCCATTGGCACCACCAGGTATGTAATGTGTTTTCAGTCCGTTATATGTTGTTCATCTGGTTTTTAATTAGAGGTCAATCGGGAGGCATCTCTTTACGCAAAACTTCACCTGATAATGTTAGTATACATATCACGAATGGAAGGGGAGCAATCACTGAAAGTTGCCCTAGCTAATATCTAAACACTAAAATGGGTGCCACTCGTGCGCAAAAGGAGGTCTATTTCGTAAAGCTCCGTGAACTCATCACGAAGTACCGTATGTCACTTCATTTTGTGCCAATTTGCCTACATTTGCTGATAACTGTAATTAGCTTCCATCTTCTTGGTCAATGTCGACAATGTCGGTTCCAACCAGATGCATCAGATTCGTGTCGCTCTCCGTGGAAAGGGTGTTGTCCTGATGGGCAAGAACACCATGGTTCGCCGTGCCCTGCGCTCAATCCTTTCCGAATTCCCCCAATTCGAGCGTCTCCTTCCTCACGTCAGGGGTAACATTGGATTCGTCTTCACCAGCAGTGATCTTAAGGAAATCCGTGAAATCATCATTGCCAACAAGGTCGCTGCGCCCGCCCGTGCTGGTGCTTTCGCCCCTAAGGACGTCTTCGTCCCTGCTGGTAACACCGGTATGGAACCCGGAAAGACCTCTTTCTTCCAGGCTCTCGGTATCCCCACCAAGATTGCTCGTGGTACCATTGAAATCGTCTCCGATGTTCAGGTCGTCCACGCCGGTACCCGTGTCGGTTCATCCGAGGCTACCCTTCTTAACATGTTGAACATCTCTCCGTTCACCTACGGTATGACGGTGGTTCAGATCTTTGACCAGGGCAACGCTTTCTCTCCCGATGTCCTTGACATTGAGGAGAAGGATCTCATTGACCGTTTCTTGTCCGGTATCAAATCCATTGCTGCCATCTCTTTGGCGCTCAACTACCCGACTATCGCTTCCGTCACTCACTCCCTTGTCAACTCTTACAAGAACCTCATCGCTATTGCTTTGGTCACTGACTATTCCTTTGAGGGAGCGGAGAAGGTCAGACACTTTATTTTATCTTTTTGGGGGCGAGATAGATGATGTTTTTATACACACTGAAAATGCTGACATCTAAAGGATGCAAAAGTTTTTTTAAACTCATTTTACTGATTCATTCATGTCATTTGGATTTTTGATATAAGAACAATCCATACTGACCAATATATTTTATAGGCCAAGGAATACCTCGAGAACCCCGAAGCATTCGCTGTTGCTGCCCCCGTTGTTGCTGAGGCTGCTCCCGCTGCCGCCGAAGCCGAGGAGGCTAAGGAGGAGGAGAAGGAAGAATCTGACGACGACATGGTTAGTACTTCATCTTGACTGGTCTCCCCTCAGCGTCTAACTGTAATCTTTTGCAGGGCTTCGGTCTTTTCGATTAGTTAATGATGATCGCCTTTACGGAATGCACGACTCATATTTCCTGTAGTCTATTCAAAAGCATGTCACGTTCACCAAATATAATGATCAGGCAAGGGAATAGTTTGGTCATGAACCTTCTTGTGTATTTTGCTTGTAAGCCCTCAGTCTGCCGCATTTAACTGGCCATTGTTTTTTACTTGGAATTCATGTAAGAGGACATTATCTGAGGACTGGTGTAGAAACCACTCGCAGAAAATATTCACAATTACGACTAGTGTGGGGTAAGGATCGACGTCGTGGCTTTTTTTGTGTCGTTATGCCGGCATGCATGACGTTACCGTTCTCGTTACTACCCCAAGTTCAAGTTGTTCAATTCCCATCATCCCTACTCTCTTGAAGACCAATCGATACTCATCGTTGGGACATCTGGCTACTCTATGCACTGTATGCTAGCTTATTCTGACTCTACATCGGGGTATGGATCCTTGTTCACTGTCACTAGGACCCTTTTTCTCGGGCCGTAGAACTCCCAATGGAAACACTCTACATAGCATGTCTGCACAAGGAAACACAGCTGGTGAAGGGCAAAAATGGCATGGTGAGGCACGAACGCACTGTCTTTACACGCTTTTGCTAAAAAAAAATTTACTTTGCAAATGCATAGAAATCCGCGGGAGACTGGAGCTTTTGAGGGTATGAACTTCTGGCTGATCTCTGCATCAAGGTTCACAACTTTCACACTGCTAGAAGCTGCAGTTGCCACCCAGCACTTTCCGACATGCCTTTTGGTGAGGTAGTTCCAAGGTAGGGGTAAGTTGGCCCAGACAGCCCGAGATAATCAAGCCACCGAAACGTTGTCATCACAATTCAAGTTGTCTGTCAAGGAAGAACACCCTGTGAACGTGACCTCGTGTTGTAAATCTTCCTAAACTATATTGCTGAATGATGTTTGACGGATAGGTCCAAAGGTTCAACCTGGCAAGGATATATTCACAATGTGGCAGCCTGTTCCTTAGCCAAATGCAATCTAACATCGTTATCAGCAGCCACTGATAGTTTCCTTCACTGGTGCCGATCAAACAGGTGGCTCAATCTCACCAACGTGAGGCGGGCTGTGGGTTGTTCGATCGACACGAATGCTCTCTTTGTGATTCAGTTCAATTTCTGACCTCTTGCACATTGGGGCTCTATCGCACGTTGCATTCGCCATTAATACACTGGTGAGGATTTGCAAAATGACAGCACTGGAACCAACCTTAACCGTATTTACATCTCCTCGCTCGTAGGATCAACATTATTCCACTCAAGTTGTACCCTCGTCGCAAAGTGCGATTGAGTTCTCAGCACCACGAGGTGGAGAGCCCAGTTGGGAGTGGCAGGACGTAGTTCGAAAGTGATTCAATCACGGTGCGGTGTGCGCATACGATACGGGTGGACAAATCTTACTTGGGGCATGTGGTTTGTTGGCTAGTTAGCTTCTACCCTGCTGTCCGCCACAGAAGTATCACTAGGCTGGCATCTCCCATGTCGTCCGGGCCGATCCCCTCAGTCCTGGTCAGCTTGTCGGTAAAATGCTGAAGGGTTCAGTCAAGGCCTCGATTCGCCGCAACCTGCCAGTGGCTATACTTCTAACACTTCCCATAACGCTAGTTCGGGACCTCGCTGGTGAGTCGTAACCTGTAGTGACTTAGCGATAACATGTCCATGGTATTATCTCTTCTTTGTAGATCAAACGGTGATACAGATACCGGTATGTGCCGACTGATCTCGAAGGTTGCCTTTATTGCATGCTTGCACTTGCATGCTTTGTATGCACTTTCCTGGCCTCTAGGTTCATCCTAACGATTAGCCATAATCAACAACCAGGTTAGGTTACTGACCGACGGTGGTGCTAGATTTAGCTCTCCGACGTGGGTGACTGAACCAATGATTTACCAACGCATATCCCGTTTTTCTTTAGAGCGGTAGTGCGTCCCGAATTATGCGGCTCACATACACTAATTTACACCTATCGGCACGGAGAAGGATGTTTTAGCTCTGTAACAGCTATCTCTCGGCGACCGTTCAATCAATGATCTTCGCGAACACGATTCATTTATATGCCCATTACCCCAACAAGGGATCGATAAATGGAAGCTGCGGTCAGTTGTTCTGCTTCTTTATTTTCCGTGTAGAGAACCGCTGCTTGTAATTTATTTTGGGCCACATCGGAAAGATGGAGGCTATGGTACTGGAGCCCGAAAACGAGCTGGCTTCTGTTTAGGGGCCTGATACAAAAATCCGATGTGGTGGGTAATGAGTGAGCTATGTTGATTGAGAGCCCTCGAATTCCTGATACATTGTTCACACTGCCGCACGATATCAAGAGGTGATCACAGATGGTGGTTAGTTATGAGCAGGCGATACTGGTCTCATGAGCGCTGTTCTTTTCCCGCCCCGAGAGCGTCGATATAGCGCGCTATTGTTGCTGGTTATTGGTGTGCTACTATTTAAAATGATAGTTGCGATATTGCGACAATTTTGCACGGTATCTACGGTACAAGAAAAGGTAGAAGAGGGACGGCGGAGCTCCCTGGGACCGCGTATCCATAGACATCGCTATGAGCCCATCGATTCGACTGTGGATGAGGTCGGGATGGACCGGGTGGACCTGATTACGCAATGGAGGACCGGCGGACCATCCCAAAACGGACGCATGGGGCAGAAAATGACGATGTCACTGGCAGGTCACCGACTGATGACAAGCCTAGTGCACCTTGGAGTATATATCTTATCAGCCCCAGCTTGAGCCCAGCAACACTCAACGCCTGTAACATCGCATACGACATCGCATACGACGGCCAGCATACAGCGATAAGTTGCTGTAATTGCGAGAATATTGTAATCTAATTGTTGATCCCGATATCAACCTGGGACTCTTCCCATTTGGCCCGCACCGGCACCACCACGTTCGCCAGCTCACTCGCCCATCCGCTCTCTTCTTCGCTACAGAAGATCCGATAATCTGCCTTTATCCGGTCTTTCTGGCTTGTATTTCCTACTGCGCCTTCTTCACTTATATACTACTTTATTCGTAAAATGTCTCATTCAATCTTTCCCCCATTATCGGCCGACCCAAGCATATCAGAGATGGACTCCGTCAAAGGAAATCATCTCGTCGTCGTCTCCAACCGCCTTCCAATCACAATTAACAAGGATGCGTCGGGAGAGTACCACTTTAAGATGTCCTCAGGCGGTCTCGTATCTGCACTTTCTGGTTTCAAAAAGTCCCTAAACTTTACATGGATCGGTTGGCCAGGTTTCTTTATCCCGCTCAAAGATCGCCCTCACGTCGACAAGCGTCTTATGGAAGAATACTCCTGTCAGGCAGTTTACCTCGATGACGATGTCGCCGACCGTCACTACAACGGTTTCTCAAACTCTATTCTCTGGCCCCTCTTCCATTATCATCCCGGAGAGATGAACTTTGACGAGGAGAATTGGCTCGCATACCGCCAGGCAAATATGCGCTTCGCGGAAGCCGTTCGTTCCCAGTTGACTCCGGGCGCGATGGTTTGGGTTCAGGATTACCATCTCATGCTCCTTCCTATGCTTTTACGTGGTTTGATTGACGGCACCAACAACGTAGGCGACTTCACCAAGCGCGAGTTGACCAAGATCACCGAGGGTATAGAAGATTCCATCCCTACACCTAATAAGAGAATCCCCGGCATCAAGATAGGTTTCTTTTTGCATACACCATTCCCAAGTAGTGAAATCTATCGGTGCGCATATAGTCTTCATCCAACTTCACATTTCGCTTATTTCAGTGCTTAGTATACTTCCTGTGCGACGAGAAATTTTACTTGGCATTCTATTCTGTGACCTCATCGGCTTCCACACGTATGACTATGCTCGTCACTTTTTGTCTTCTTGCACGCGTATTTTGGGTCTGCCAACGATGCCGAATGGTGTTGAATTCGAAGGTCGTTTGGCCCACGTTGGCACGTTTCCCATAGGTATCGAACCTGCGTCTTTTATAGATGTAAGACCTAATTCTTCCGCTAGTCGATATCTTGTGAATAACGTGGTTACCCTCTTTACAGAACCTTCAGAAGGACTCGGTTAAAAGTCGTATCTCTCAGCTCGAGCAGCGCTTTGGGGGTGTTAAAGTAATCGTTGGTGTCGATCGCTTGGATTACATCAAGGGTGTCCCTCAGAAATTGCATGCACTCGAACTATTTTTAACCCAGCACCCAGAATGGATAGGCAAGGCTAGTGCTCCACAATCATTCACTATTCCACGTAATTAACCATATACTCTATACAGGTCGTCTTAGTGCAACTAGCTGTGCCTTCTCGTCAAGATGTTGAAGAATACCAGAATCTGCGCTCTACAGTGAACGAGCTCGTGGGTCGCATCAATGGTCGTTTCGGCACCGTCGAATTTATGCCAATTCACTTCATGCACAAAAGCTTGCAGTTTGATGAACTGTGCGCATTGTACGCAGTCAGTGATGTCTGTCTAGTATCCAGCACGAGGGATGGGATGAACTTAGTAAGCCCCCTTACTCCTCGACCTTTGAAGTGGCTAACATCTCGGCGGTGTTTACTTGTAGGTTTCTTACGAATACATCGCTTGCCAACAGGCACGTCAAGGGGTTATGATTCTTTCTGAATTCGCAGGAGCTGCGCAGAGTCTCAATGGCTCTATAGTTGTAAATCCATGGGATTCTCAACAAGTCGCCGACGCTATACACGAGGCTGTCACGATGGACGGAGAGACGCGCGCTGAGAACCATCGGAAATTGTTCAAATACGTCAACAAGTATTCCGCGGCGTTTTGGGGTTCTAGTTTCATCAAAGAGATGAGCAAGCTCAAGCAAGACGATGTAGACAAGGAGGGGCAAGCGGAGTTAACGACAAGAACTGATGAAGGTCCAGGAAGCGATGTCATCAACGGCGTGGTCCCGCCAACACCGGCAATCAACGCGCAGGCATGAATATGGGGTATTATGGGGCTGTCTGTATACCTGTTATACAACATTGTAGCGTGTCCTTTGGGATGCCCTATGGAGGTATGCAAAGCCAATTCACCCCATGGGCAGGTAATATCGGGTTGAACGTAATTTCACATATCCTTTTGTCGTGTTCCTGGTCTTTTTCATGATTCTCGGGTATCCTTGGTTCTCAGTCTAGACCGTAGAGAACATTGTTTGAACATATCGAGTCTTTCAGTTTCTTTTTACCCTACCTCGCTGTGATGGGTATTCAGTCCATGTCTTATTGCTGTCTTCTGCCATTTATCTTTGTTCCCGACGACGCAGCAAGTACGTACACACGATGCACAAATGACAAATGAAGTGCAAAACATAGGAGGTTTTCGGTCTTCACTGAAGAGGGCGAATACAGGTCAATGGCCATGTTGACTCTCTGTTTGTGGGGGTTTGGCCAGTGTTTACTCGGCGTTAGATCCATCGACTGCTTCTGCATTAGTCAAAAGCAACACCCAACCGCTACCATTACAACATTGTCCTAGCGTCAAAGTACATGCTGGAAATGCATGGCAATGTATATTCATAAATCTAGCCAAGGACATGCTGCACGACTAGGGGCGCGACTCGGACGTAAGTAAAGCGCTTTGAGCTATGTCACAGAACTGTGAAATGACCCCAGAGCTGCCGCAGCGATATGGATTTACCTGTATCTTTGATGGCTACGATGCCATCATGGCACATTGTTGCTGTATCCTGCCGTGCCGAGCCGGGTGGCAGCGAGCACGTTGTCAAATCCGGGGTAATTTGCACGTTCGGCCGGTACGCGAGCCTGAGACGGACTACGCGAGAGGATCTTGGTTTTCACAAGAAGACATTTGCTGCAACGAGCTCTACACCGGTGCGTTTTTGCTCTCAAATGCCTCGTTGAATTTGTCATCCGCAGCTCCTCCTTTTCAATCGGCTTGCAAGTCCGCTAACCGTCGCATGTGAACACCTTGCCTTGACGCTTTCACCCATCTTCTTCATAAAACTTCGACTTCTCCAGGTGAGTCCGAGTCCTAGTCCGGTCTTGGCTAGTTCAGCACCATTTCGGGCTCTATGGGAGTTGATTTCACTGATCACTCGGTCGTGTGCTCATATGTGAGTCGTTCGCACTCTTGTTTTGAGCGTTTCAAGCTGCTCTAATTGATTGTACATCACAGGAATTGTATAGGATGCACAGGCAACGTCATCCCTGTGTTTTTGCAATGCATAATGTTCACACGACCGTCTCTGAGACTGTCGAATTTAATACACAGCAGATACACCCATGCCGTAAACTTTCTTTGGATCGGAACATCATCGTATCTTGGCTAAATGGGCTAAAGACAACACTGTATTATCACCACACCCATCAGGCTCTCCACTAGCGCTGTGGAAGTTGCACTCTCGCTCCCGGTTTTCTCTTAATTAGACTGTGAATCGTCGAGGGTCCGTTCCACATCCATCTCGTCGATCATTCTCATGCAAACCTGGCCTGATTGAATAATCATTCATACACGCGAAAGCGTCGAGTACTCGGCATTTCTTCCATTTCTTCCTTTTACAGGATTCATTGTCAGTATATCTGGCTTCCGTAGCACGGTCACACACTGACATGCCAGGTGTGTACGAACAGCATCGCAATTTGGCCGCATCAGATGGATGCTCCGTGAGTTCCAATTCGACACGCCCTATATATTCATTTACTCAGCTTCTCATCAAGCCGAAGGTATTCGTATATCAGCTGCTTCGAATCCGGAGCCCTTCGTTTTTCTGTGTTTTGGGAGGACCGTGACAGCCGGAGCATCGTTTTGTCGAACTGTGGCCACAGCCGTCACGGTATCCTAAGATAGACCCGCAACATGAGCGAATGTTTAAGGCTGCTGCCCGCATCTCCGTGATCAATGATTCAGTGTTTGCGTTGACGGATGTCTCATATCCACGTCATTTGCCAAGGGTTACTGTGGAATGCATTGTATGACGTACGTCTCTTATATCTAAGTGATATCATGAACTCGTCACACTGACATTGGCAAGAGATATTTATCAGGTACATGATTGGGTGTTTTCTAGATTATAGTACTAGGATCCCACAGGCCGAAATCAGGCTGAGTGGCCGAAAAGGGGCAAGGCGCTGTGATCAGATGCGTCTGTGTGGAACATGTCCCTGGTGAGACAATCAGTATGGCATATACTATTCCATATATATATTTGAAGAAAATTTTATTACAATTAGGAGGGCCGCATCAACATTGCGATGCGGGCAATAGCTTAACTTCCATCTTCATCCGTAGAGCCTTTTGGTCAATTCAAATTTCGTGGCGGTTAGTCACTGTATTTCGTACAGGGAAACACGGATATAGCACTGACAAAATCAAGCTTCGTCAGTCAGGTACTACTGGAAAATCTGTGAGCCTCACGCCGTCACCGCTGCTTCCTTTGGAGGTAAAGTTTCAGCCGTCTATGCTACAACCGTCCCAAAGTGTACCTGCCTGACATAGCTATCGACTCCACTTCTGTCGAAATGTTCCATTGTGACTTAACAATAGCCGGGAACGTTCCAGGAGCTTCTAGTTTGGTGGTGCGGCCTTCCATACTGTATGTGAATTTGCCACTGCCACTGCGCCATCTTACGGCGTTCTTGCGGTGCATGCTCAGTGAGGAACTGACATTCCGTGTCTTTCGTTTGTGGGCTTTTTCAATTGCATTGGCATATGCTCTTGCTACCTTGTGCCATACTAACCTTACAGCAACCCGGCTCAAGTAAGGAACCGTATGGCGCTTCCAAACGCGGTACAAATTTCCTGGTTCGAAATCGAAATTCCTGATGGCGCGCGGGCGGCGGCGAGCCATCGAGCCCACTACAAAGGGGGAACCCACAGACAAGAGTAACTACTGCCGAGACGTGATTTCCGTCTGGAAAACTGTCAGGCTGTGCAAAAAGCAAGACTCAGAGTACACTACAGTTGCCAAATCGGGACCTTATTGCCGGATTCCGAGACTTGCGGCCTTTTTTGGCGTTTTGTGAGGCATTTGTGACATGCTCTTCCCTTTGCGCCCGCGTCTCTGGTAAAATACAAATGGGTGATTCTACTAGCCTTTTTTTATACCACATTTCGTTGTTGATCCTGTAGTAGTTTGTTCGATGCCAGCGTCTACCCAAGCAGGAGAAATGTTCATTCCAATAATAAATTCCTGTATAGACTATAAATTCAGCTGAGAATGGGTACATATAGGACCGTTCCCCACGCTGGTGATGTGATGCTGCACATGCTCAGGCTGATTGCGTCGAACTGATGCTCTAGACAAGGTTCTAGGCAATACTAAGAGGGACTCGAGCGCCAAGGGTGCTAAGGTGGAAACCTGTGGAAGCTCTGAAAGATCTGAAACCCTGTGATACTGACGGAGGCAGTCTCAACTTGACTGGTGGAAGTATGGTCGCTTAGTTGTGTTCGGAACAGTCGAGAGTGCATCACGTCCAACTAAGTAGTAGCATGCACTACTAGTCTCAACATATCAGATATATATCAGGCTTCTTCGCAACCGTACTCATCGAAGCCAGGATCATGAAAATGACTGTTTGTTATATGAAGACGGGTCATCGGTCGAACCTGCAGATATGGATGTCAGGTGGTCACATCGTAAACGACTAACAAAGAGATTATACTGCGCTGGGAGGGTACGACTGTGGAATGCAATGCTGCAAAGGGCGTGAATGGGATCCCGGACCGCGTGGGCGTTCGCCTCGAGAGAAGGGGGACGTTTTTTTATCCCGTGTTTTGCGTATTGTAAGCATCAGGACAAGCTATTTTCGGTCTCTTAATCGATGTGCGAGGATGTACAGAAAGGATCAGGGCCCATCTCGAGGACACGACTTCGTACATGAGGCCAGTGCAAGGCGACAGATTGCCTCCACCCAGCCAATATAAGACCACGGATATGGCTCGGATAAAAGACTGCATCATGGCCTAGGAGCCCATATCACGGACATGGGTGGGCCTCCTGCCTAGCAGATTATGGATATCTACCATGATCCACGTTCACAGACCCTCGTCGCAAAAGTGCAATGTTGATCATTTTCCTTGTTGGGCGCTTATACAGCAAAACTGTTATGACCCAGTATGGAGATGGCAAGGTAGACGCTCAAGAGGGTCTACAGGAGTTTTCCGGCGTTTCGAGAACATCACTGTGGACTTGATTCTCAATGACACGAATTCAGCGCGTCCGAGCGCCACTTCTGTGTCACAAGATCCTGCTATGAGCACGTAACTTAAAACCCAAAAACACATGCCTTGCCTTCATCGTAACTTTTACCAAATCAAGCATTCTCTGGGACACGTGGAGCGACGAAAACACCGCGAATGCAAAGACGAGCCCTTGTATATTTGGAAATGAACAGCGAGTCGAGAAGCACTCACCTGATTCCCTGGGACCCATATCCATCGCAGAGGTAGCTCAGATAGGCAAATGAGAAACTCGAGAAATGTGCTGGATTTGGCAGATGTATTTGATGAACACTGAAAAGGAACCCTTTACCAATACGTGTAGAGATAAGCCACTCGTGCGTGTTATGCTTGGTTGCCGTCAGAATTTCCATTGGAAGGCTCACTGAGAGATGAAGAAATCTGGAAACGGAGTGATCGGGAAGATGTGCGTGAGTAAGAGGCGAGTAGAGATGGTGTACGATACGGCGAAAGTTTTCTGCGGTAAATGGTATAGACGGAAAAACTAGCAGTACGCGCCAGGGGGTGAAGGTACTGTAAAAGGAGATATCCTGTTACAACGGGTGATCATATAGACGGAAAGGCCGGGGCGCTAGAGTTGACGAGTTAGTGATAACGTGCAGTTCGATCAGTAGTGGGGAGAGGTGAACGATCAATCTGGTGTTGTTGAATAAGGGATGATGATGATGTCAGAGGAAGGGGGATAGAGGAAGACAGGGAGAATTATAGATGGGATTGATATTACCATAGAGGGGAGTGACGCGTTTCGAGGATATATAGAAGAGGGAGGGACCGAGTGCACGCATCGATGCTGTAATCGCGGTTCAAGGGAAAGTCGAGTCATTGAGTGAAATGGAGAAGGCTATGAGAAAAAAGATGCATACCATCGTGGAGGGGTACATAAATGGAGGAGTGCATAAATGCGTGTACCGCCTGGCTGAGCCACATGACAGACATCGTGGTGTGCGCAGTACATTCATAAGGCAAGGGAGGTGCAGATAGAGTGCCAATATGAGGATGTGATATATTCCAGGGGGATGGTAGATGTATAGCGGCTAAACGGCTAAAAGAGGTTGTATGATGAAGAGGGGAGATCCGAAGAATTCGAGGAAGAGGAAGAAACGAGAGTACGGTGATAGTTGTGGAATGAAGACATACGATCAAAGGACGAAATCAAGGGACGAGAAGGGTAGTGTGCAGGTAAGAAGAACGGATGCGGAAAAGAGGATTAGCGGAAGTGGAAAGTAGGGTACTGGCTGTGCGGAAGTAATAAGAGAACAAGGAGGAGAAGTAGGTGTCTGGGGATGCAAAGAAGCGGTTCTACGCAGCTTCGGGCCAAGAAGAGGGGCGTCGCTGGGCACGTCAGGGAAAAGGGAAAGAAAGAAAGGCTATGTGGGGCTGTCAGAGAGGAGAGGGGTTTATGTAGTGGGGTGGGTGTATGCGCGAGACATCCGGGCAGAGGGGAGCCGGAGTCGGGGCGAGGATCTGGCCCAAAAAGGGAATGGGCCGGATTGAGTAAGGGTGAGTGGGTTGGGTGAGTCGGCGAGGAGGTCGCTGTGGACGTGTGGTACCAGGAAGAGAAGCAGGAGATGAAAGGGAGGCATGGGCCAGGAGGCATTAATGGCGGGCTGGTGCGATCTGCCACGGTGCCTTACGGATGGCTCGGCCCCTAACCAGCCATGGCTGTGTCAGAACATTCTCTATAGAAATCTGCCCATAGCCGTACTTACGGATATCCCCTCTTCATATATAACAACCCACCCTTCGTTGACGCCCCTCCTCTCTCGTCGCCACCATGGTCCGACGCTGGCTCACACTCCTCCATCCCCGCCATCGTCACAACCGACCTCTCCTCGACGCACGCCCTCAACGACGACGAACGCCATACCCCGTCCTTCAGACACGACGACGACGCGCACACGATCCATCTCCCCCTCGACTCCAACTACCCCCAGACTCCCAGCTCACACGTCGCAACCAACCCACATGCAGTTCCCAATACGCCCCTGCGCAGACGCTTCCTCTCCCCCTTCTCAAAGCCCTCCGTAGGCCACCACTCCGCCCGCATGTCTCTCGATGTCCCCAGGTCCCATTCCCCATCCCCCACATTCGCCTCTTCAAACGAAGGCACCACCCTCAACGTTCCCCCGTCCCCCACGTTGTCCACACGTTCCTCCGTCCAGTTCACCACCTCTTTGTCCCTCCGCGATAATAAACCCGAGGATCGCAATGGCCTTTCCTCTTTGGGCCTCCTTAATCCCTTATTCGACACAACACCCACACATCGCAGAAAGAGCAGCAATGCCACCTGGGCCAGCTCTGCAGAGGGTCACAGCAGCCTGGACGAAACAGAACCAGATCACGGCACAGCTGACATCGCTCTCGCTCAACTCCATCGCGCAAAGTCTGATGCAACAAGCATGACAGTCGCATCACACACCCACACTCACTTCGACAGCGGCTCAGAACGTTCCAAATCACGTCCTCGTTCCAAATCTGTCGGTGGCTTTTCTGATGATCTGCCACATCCCTCATCTCACCCAGTGCATCCCCTTAACGATGACCAAACTAACAGCCGCCCTGGGAATGAGCCAACTGATGATGACGAATCCGGCGGTGTCCTCGACATCGATCTCGACCAGGATGCAGATATCGATCCTGGTCCATTTTCATTCAAACCTTACGAACTCGCAAGTCTCCTTGATCCGAAAAATCTTGAGGCGCTAGAGGCTCTGGGTGGCATCACAGGCATACTTAAAGGTCTCGGTACAAACCGTACTCACGGTCTCAGCAAACAAGCAACTGCGAAAATTTTGGTGTCGAATGATGGAGGCGGGGGTAGTCTTTCTGATGGGCGGCCAGGGGCAGGCGTGGGCGCTTCTCAAAGGCACGACAGACATAGCACTGAGGCTAAAGAGTTACCTGGGATAATAGTGACCGGTCCCGAAGACGAATTGCCCGATCCTCACCATCACGACGATATTGCGGAACATGGACCCGCGTTTCAGGCTTCGTTTGATGAACGACGACGCGTTTTTGGAGAAAATATTTTACCTCAGCGAGCTAGCAAGAGTTTATTGGCTCTTATGTGGCTTGCGTTGAAGGACAAGGTCCTGGTATGTAGGCTGCCGTCTATGGATTTTTCTTTACCGCTAACTCACGAGAGATAGGTGATACTGTCATTCGCCGCGATCGTCTCTCTTGCCTTGGGTCTCTTTCAAGATTTCGGAACAACTCTGCCTCCCGGCCAACCACCTGTCGATTGGGTTGAAGGTGTTGCCATCATGGTCGCGATTCTTATTGTGGTCTGTCCACACGCATATAGTAGCATATAGACTTCTTTATTGACCTATCGTAGGTTATCGTCGGCTCGGTCAATGACTGGCAGAAAGAGCGCCAATTCAAGTCCCTAAACGAGAAGAAGGAAGAACGTGGCGTTAAGGTTATCCGAGACGGTGTCGAACACGTCATCGACGTCAAAGTATGAAACAATTCATGCTATTTGTGTTACATCTACTGACATTCTGATACAGGAAGTGGTCGTTGGTGATGTTGCCCTTCTGGAACCCGGTGAAATTGTCCCCTGTGATGGCATCTTCCTGTCTGGGCACAACGTTAAGTGTGACGAGTCGGGGGCTACTGGCGAGTCAGATGCTATCAAGAAAATGTCTTATGGAGATTGCTTGGCCCTGAGGAATACACAACGCAATGCGCTCAGGGAGCAGGGTGGCGCTGACGGAGGGGATCAAGGTGGACATGTGTTCAAGGGTTCCTCTCACACCGATTGCTTTGTGGTCAGTGGCAGCAAGGTGCTGGAAGGTGTAGGAAGTTACGTGGTAGTAGCTGTCGGAACAAAGAGCTTTAACGGCCGAATTATGATGGGTACGCCAAGCTTTACTTTTGTGATTGAGACATGTTGTTCATAGGTGAGAATAGCGCTTCGCACGGACACAGAAAACACGCCTTTGCAGCTCAAGTTGAATGCACTAGCGGAACTGATTGCGAAGATCGGTAGTGCTGCGGGCATTATCCTATTCTCGGCACTCATGATCCGATTCTTTGTGCAACTGGGCACGAATTCTCCTGAGAGGTGCGTTACATGTTGTCGCCAATAGCTTTTTTACATACTGATAACTTAAATTTCCCCAGGAATGCCAATCAGAAAGGCATGGCTTTTGTGAACATACTTATCATATCCGTTACGTTGATTGTTGTTGCCGTTCCTGAAGGTACGCGATAATTACGGACTGTTGACCTGACCTAACGATCACCTGATAGGCCTTCCACTCGCGGTCACGTTAGCACTGGCATTCGCGACTAAACGCATGACCAAGGAGAACCTTCTCGTGCGTGTACTTGGGTCTTGCGAGACCATGGCCAACGCGTCAGTGATCTGCACGGACAAAACCGGTACCCTCACGCAAAACGCGATGACTGTCGTAGCGGGTTCGATAGGCATACATGCCAAGTTTGTTCGAAAGTTGGGTGAAAATCAATCTAGAACTAATGCTAATGAAGAACGTGGTGGACGTCGCCGAGTGGAAGACGGGTCCTCCAGAAAACACACTGACGATTTCTCTATTGATCAATCGGAACTACACACGGTACTCTCGCCACAGCTCCGCGAGCTCACAAACGCAGCTATCTCGGTGAACTCTACTGCATTCGAAGATGAAGATCCTGAAACGGGCGAGCGCGCGTTTGTTGGTAGTAAAACGGAGACGGCACTACTCAACTTTGCCAAGGAACTGGGGTGGCCTGATTATAAGAAGACGAGGGACGCGGCGGATATTGTGCAGATGATACCGTTCACGAGCGATCGGAAGGCGATGGGAGTTGTGGTTAGGCTTGGCCAGGGGAGGTATCGGCTACATTTGAAAGGTGCTAGTGAGATTTTGACGAAGATGTGTTCTCGACACGTCGTCGTGAAGAAGGATGAAGAGCAGGGTAGGACAGAGGGAAGGGAAGAGGAAATCGAGACTGCGCCGATTGACGAGTTGGCAAGCGAGAATATTTCGAGGACGACGATCTTCTACGCCAACCAGACGCTCCGCACTATCGCGCTGTGCTACAGGGACTTTGACTGTTGGCCTCCAGCCGAAGCACAGTTGGAGGACGATGAGGTATGTCGTTGTTCTTAGGTCCTCGGAAAGACACTGAGGGTTTGCAATAGGTCGCGTATGAAGATATCGCGCAGAATCTTATCTTGATTGGAATTACAGGTATCGAAGATCCGCTTCGTGATGGTGTTCGGGAAGCTGTGGCCAGTTGTCGCAAGGCTGGAGTTGTCGTCACGATGTGCACGGGAGACAACGTCCTTACGGCGCGATCTATTGCCTCTCAGTGTGGCATATATACTGCAGGTGGTATCGTGATGGAGGGTCCTGTCTTTCGACAACTCACTGAACACGAGATGATGGAGGTTGTCCCACGACTTCAAGTTCTTGCACGGTCGTCGCCCGAGGATAAGAAGATACTTGTGGAGAAGCTAAGATCGCTGGGCGAGATTGTCGGTGTCACCGGGGACGGTACTAACGATGGGCCTGCACTTAAGACGGCGCATGTTGGGTTCTCCATGGGTGTCACTGGTACCGAAGTAGCCAAGGAGGCGTCGGACATTATCCTCATGGACGACAACTTTTCTTCCATCGTCAAGGCAATCATGTGGGGTCGTTGTGTCAACGACGCAGTACGCAAGTTTTTACAATTCCAGATTTCTACGAACGTCACTGCCGTCGTGATCACGTTTGTGACTGCCGTTGCCTCCAATTCAGAAGAATCCGTTTTGTCTGCCGTTCAACTGCTGTGGATCAACATTATCATGGACACCTTTGCTGCGCTTGCTCTGGCGACCGACCCCGCGTCTCCCGCTCTTCTGGATCGCAAACCGGACAAGCAGACTGCGCCACTTTTCACGGTCAACATGTACAAGCAAATCATGTTGCAATCGACATATCAGATCGCCATCACTCTCGTGTTTCACTTCCTAGGATTAAGAATCCTTGGTTATGAAAGTGAATCGGGCAGCACTGAATATGACTCTATTGTCCAAACTGTGGTCTTCAATACTTTCGTCTTTGCCCAAATTTTCAACTCTGTCAACTCTAGAAGGTTGGATAGAAAGCTCAACATCTTCGAAGGCATCTCTAGAAACTATTACTTCGTTGGTATTACGCTGTTAGGTATATTAAACTTCTCTCATTCTTATTACATCCGCTAACAACTGTGCATTTCAGAAATTGCTGTTCAAGTCCTCATTGTTTTTATCGGTGGGGCCGCTTTTCAAGTAACTCGTATTGGTGGCCGCGAATGGGGAATATCACTAGCTCTTGGATTCGTTTCCATTCCTCTTGGAGCTCTCATTCGCATATTGCCTAACGGACCATTCGAAAGGCTGTTCGTGAAAATGCGACTCTTCCCGAATTCTAAAGTTCTTCCCACCTCTCGGGCCGATGTTGAATGGAACGCTGCAATCGAACTTGTCCGAGATAACTTGGCCACTTTTGCTCATGTCCGCGGTGGGCGTCTGCGGTCCTCTTCGTTTGTTGTCAAGAGTCGAAATGCTAGAATTCACGATCACGCACGTGTTCCTCTGTGAGTGACTTCTATCAACGCTCAGCGCTACTCGCCGCTAAGCTCTTTGTTCTGTTTAGTCCTTCGCTGATGACCATGGTGCCCACTCTTATCGCGTCCTCGATTGGGGCTGGATGGGCGCCGCAAATGAATGGTTCGCTGTCAGACCCTGCAAGATATGATCCATCAAAGTCTTCTGCCGCACTATGGGAGGGTAAATTCCAAATACACCCGGATACGAAACCGGATGATCCACTATATAAAAAATGGAGCAGGGCGAACAATAACTCGCCTCCAGTATAATCATTAACGACCGACATAATTTATAGAAGACACGGTTCATCATCGATTCATCAAGTATTCTTGCAGCTGGGGTTGACAAGACGGGCCGGTTCGCTGCTAGCAGTGTACTGCTTTGCATAATATTTTATTCACCTGTATTCATCTTCATCATTCGACAACCTTCATGTTCATGCTTTAACGCGTAAGGCTTCCTACCTATCATTCACGCATACTAAAACACAGCATCCACAATTACTTGCATGGTTTCTCGTTTTCATCACACACAATATCCACGGGACCATATGACAATAGGCAACACACACTAGCTTGAGACGGAAATTACTGTATCGTCGTGTCGTAGATCTAGAATCTGAACACTCATTGGTGCAAATGTGTTCACGTCCCTTATTATAGTGTATCATTATTAGTTTTTACTTATATAGTCAGATTCACGCAGAAAATGATAATTTTTGATGCCATTATAATATCTTAACGTGACCCTTGGTGCATTGTAAGTGACAGTTTGGCGATGCCTGACAACGTTTTTCGTGGCAGCCCCATCTCCTCGAAAGCATGTTCGAGTGTCAGTTCAAATGACTGCGATATGCCAAGTGAATTGACCCGATGGTTATAGTGACGCCATCCAGGCAACCCGTCTAGCTTAGTGTTGTCAGAGAGCCACCCAGTTGGAGCCTCATGGAGACGCCGTGTTTCACTTCCACGGGGTAATCACACACAGCCTCGGTTTCCAGCATGGAAGGGTGTTTGTCTTACTCACGGAAAAAGGGCGTCTCACAGTGGTGTATCGTTCCTGTCATACCGAAAGACTTTTCTGTTCAGAACGTCATGCTCCCCATCTGTCACTTTGACACAGGATAATATTACCAACTGTGTACCTCTAGAAAAATCCATCAGAAAAAAAACAAAAACGGATATAGTCCTCGCTGATGAAAAAAGCGTGGCGACTGCCGTCTATTTCACCTGCCAGCCTCATATGCAAGCACAAAGTCCGAGTTCGAGTCGTTAAAATGGGGGTGATGGACGCTAAGAATATTCCAGAAGGGCGCCATAGAATAGGAGACCGCGTATGAGTATATGGGACGATAACTTGTGGAGACGAGTACAATGAATCAAGTCTAAGTAGGGATTAGAAGCGTTCATTCAGTTGAAGATATTTTTACAGACACGTTCGGGGGACATACCGTTCCAAGGGACTTGACATTCGAGGGAGATAGGTAGGTACCACAACTAAAGCTCCGTTTTCGTTGTGGCATCCCACAAATGCTGCAATAGTCGTTCTTCGCTCTCAGAGCCGCCCCACAAATAGTAAGTGACACGCCGCTGCATATCAATGAGATGCTGAGGTAGATACTGATACAACCCCGTGAACACGAGGATGGCAAGTAAGAACACCACCGTCACTGCGCTCGACATTAGCTATCTGGAGAAGCTCGAGAACTCGGTCGCGGATGTAGCTCACGATAAAAGAACTTCTCCCAGGGCTCGAGCATAGAAATTCCAAATGTGGCTTCTATACGAAGAATCCTGCGTTGGAAGTAGCCTTGCATGGTGGAGGATCGAGAAGTGTAATGAGGATGTTCGATGAGAAAAGCAGGGAGACCGTAGTCGTGAACGTCGCCGTCACGGTCGCCGCCAGTTCCGTGGCGAAATTCGAAAAGAGAGCGATAATGACTTTACCGACACGTGATCTCATCGCGTCTGTAGCATGAACTTTGTAGGTGCGCGTCAAATGACCATCCTACCTCGCAGCCTTGCCTTATGCAAACACACTACCCAGATAGATGGTTTTCATATGCATGACGGTGTACAGGTCGGCACGGCGAACATGGAAGGCTTCCAACTGTCAAAGTGCACAGTAGGTACAGTAATCTAGAACAAGGACAACGGTGAAGTAATTTAGGGCAGCGGGGCACATTTCAACTTGTTTATAGTCTCTAGGAGGGTACCAGCTAGTTAACTTCACGGCTTCCAGTCTGGAAACCAATAGCGGCCACTATAATGCGCTCCACCATTTCAAGTTCCTCCACATCCCTCGGTGAGTATATCAATAAATACTCCTTCGGAAGACCAAGGCTAGGGGCTACGCTGTTGGCGAGAGGGTGTCTTTCGGCCCAACCGCGTTCGATGACTGAAATGAGATAAATATATAAATATATTAAGCAGGGACCAGCTTCCTCAAGTTCGGTGATCACGTACGTAGCTTGCAATCCTGGGGCGCTAGGATTGCGTGCAATGAAAAGTCCTTTTCTTGATGGATGTGTGTTATCTCCCGTCTGGCGTGATCGGCGACTTTGTGCGGAGAAGGTCTGGACGATGCAATGACTATGGCATCATGATGCTTTTCGAACCTAGAATTGGCAATTTCAACCAACCCTGGGTTGGCTTTGCCTAGCTTGTTGAAGATATCCAGAAGCGGCTACATCAAGTAATAAGACACAACGACGATTCGATACACGGTAGATAAACACACCTGCCGAACACTCTTTGGAGAGAATTTGGTGAGCTGACGTTGTGGAAATACGTGCCACCCGGTCTGTGGCCGAAGCCCTCGACGTTCAGGTATGGAAGCGGGATCCTTCAGATAGGTCTCTTTATTGGGATCTTTGTCGTAGATGGCTGTGGATACAGTCTCCCGACCAAACAGTGAGAGAGAAAGAGCGATAAGCCAGCCGAAAGTATTGTATGGAAGCCCTCCGGGACCTATTTCGATGTATTGATTGTAGTTTCTCCGCAGCCATGGTACCGTTATGGCGCTGGCTAGAGCAGCGACGGTGATGCCGCGCGGGTACCGTTGAAACACACCTTGGAGGGTGTCTAGGACGGCTTTCAAGTCTGTGGGCACCAATGCCATGATGGACGATATGAAACAAGTTTTGCTTCCGTGTGGAGGCCGATGATGCGCTCTAAGTATTATAAATATTTATCCACCCCGTGCCACTCCGACTTTCCGACGACACCAGAAGGAACCCCGTAAGCAAGTATAACACTGATGTTCGCAGACGTAAGCCGCCCCGGCACCAACGAGAGTTATCTTAGTCCATCTAGCGGGGAAGAAATCATCCAGACCAGATATCAGTATTGATAATCGTGAGTTTGACGAAGCGACGAAGCGCATGGAAGGATTGGAACCCCTTGACTTCTTGTTTTTCCGGGCACGTGACAAACGCGACAACCTAAAATTCAAAGATTAGCGATTCTGTCATCGTGTCTGTGTTTGTGGGATCTGGTATAGCTTTGTGGACCGGACGCGAAAAAGAATAGTTAGAACACCAAGATCAAATAGGTCGCATGTGGGAGTCATTGTGCGAGCTAGTCAGTCGCCTTTCTGTGTAATCTGTTCACCTCACCGCTACCTGCTGTATGCCAGGGGCCGCAACAAGGATGCATTCCACTCTACCATCTTCTTTTTTGTCGTCCCTGGAGGCACATACGAAGAAGGTTTCCTTCGGTAGAGACAAGTTCTACTAAATGGGTGTCTCGTCCACGTTGGTTGAATGATCAGTTGCAGTTGTCGGTAAGCTCGCGGTGCAAATGTACATACAAGGAGCAAGCGATTGGCAGTTCGAGGCGAAAGAACAGCGTGTAGAAGGTGATCCTTGCCATGTACATGTGCAACTCCGCGCATCTCGTGATTGTCAACGTCATGTGGGGAAGATCGAGGTGAAGCGATGCCGCTGCGATATAAAGGCCTTGGTGTGGCGAGAGCTGTGGCCTCGACTAACTCAGTGTTGGTATGAGCATGTCGATCGCAATGCAGGAGATGCTGCGAGTGAGAAAGCGATCAGATAAGTCCGAGGAGGAATATATCATTCAGTGACTTGACCAGGACTATACATTCGTTTGTGAGGCAACCGATGCCAGTATTTTGAGGGTGCCTCCTCCTCGGCTTTCAGGTATAGAAGCAGTCCATCAAGCCGTGACTAACTTCCACTTAACAGGTCTCCTGTTTCAACGGCTTGATGGCAGGAATGATCCAGCAAAGATGTTTGGATAGCCAGGGGGGACCAGGTGATGGAGAAGTGGAATAATTATTGATGATCCATATGACGAGGAATGCACAGAAATTAACAGAATGTGGCACGATCAGTACAATTGCAAGACTGCGAGCTTGAATGGAATTTAAAATATTAAAATTTAAAAAAAACACCACTACGATGGGTGATAGTAGGGTTGCAGGGGTTGACTTTCTCCTCAACTCTGATTACAAGTGGCGAGTTGAAAATTGGTAGAAAGCCAAGGTGAAAAACTGTGACTTTTGGACGAGGTCCATGGTAGCACTAATCTCTCACGGTCCGTCGAATGTCTGGTCTCCCAACTCACGTGCGCTGAGTTTGAAAATACCTATTGTTGAAGCCGATCGTGTGTCATCGCCAAAACACGCGTTTGCCAGTAAACACACACTTGAAAAGCTGAAACCGCGTTTATCACAGCTTCGACGACGGTTAATTCAATACCACTCACACACCAACATTGACCTTGGATAGCATTGCATTGCTATGAGCGTTGGAAAGAGGATGACAACCGGTCTTTCGGTTCAAGCTGGGTATGACAAGCTCTGTTGCCTCCTGTGGTACATACATTTTCACTGATCGTTCTCTCTCTCGTTGCTGCAGACATGTTTTTGGCCATATACCAGGCATTCGCGTTGGCACGCACTGGGAATCTCGGTACGTTCCTCTGTTACTGTTGATCTGTATCACTGCTGATCACGGATCATCAGGCAGGCATGCAGTCTAGATCGTGTTCACGGTCCACTCATGGCTGGCATCCATGGCACTAAAGATGAAGGCGCCTATTCGATAGCTCTATCTGGCTCATATTCTGACGATGAAGACAATGGTGAAACGTTGTAAGTAATGCCATACTTTGATTTGTAATGACTTGTCATGTTCATTTTTATGTAGTATATACACGGGTGCAGGTTAGTCCGGCTCAATTTCGACCCACGTTCACTATTTCACAAGCTTGCCCAGGGGGACGTGCACGTTATGCCGAAGGAAAAGATGGGATGTTGAAGAGGGTGCGCCGAGTCCAGCTGGGTGCCGATGACTTCCCACAAACAGTTTGTCTTCTTTAGCTTCGTGTGGGACCTCAGGTGGAAGATCAGACTTGGGATGACTGGGGCAATCGCTCTCTCTTGGCAAGTAACCGGATGTTTCCTGTGGGCTATTGAGTCTGACTGTAATTTCTCTGGGATAGGTCTCTATGGAGACAAAGCTCCCGATAAGAGTTATCAGGAGCGCAAGGTTATCATCCATGTATGCTCCCACTGAAGGGTTCGTCGTTTTCTTGAAATGCATTAAGATGTGTACTTACTCGTCTTCCACCTCAGCATGTATCGGTATGATGGCTTATATATCGTCACGAGGGTTGGTGAAGGAAACTATCTTCGCAGACAAACTCTCTGCTAATCCCCTTTGCACAGGCCTGGCAAGAAAAAGGCAAAGAACATAAGCTTGTTTGCAGATATCAGTTCGAAGTATAGGTTCTGTCTACTTCATGGTGATTATCGTTGATTGGTCTGTTATTCAGAGACTTCCTGGACAACCTCCTTTGTTTGTCGCACGACGAGTATCACCCCCCAAGCCTCTGCAAATGGTACCTATCGAGCGCATTCCCAGGAAGCGCTCGCTTCCTTTTGCAGGTAACGGAAGGGACGAAGAGCCAGCGACAAAGAAGAAAGCCTTTCCTGTGACTACTCCTGTGATCGCTTCAAATTCGAATTCCGGTGTAAATGTCAAGCCATTCAGTGTTTTGTCGACGCTCAAATTCACCAAAGTGAGGAGTGAAAGTAGCTGAGGTGTTCTCACCACAGAGGAAGAGTATGAAAACCCTAAAGCGTTGAGATGGATTTATTCAATGTATTTCTAGCCACGTATCACGCATCACTGTATATGCTATCTCGCTTTCAAAGTTACTGTATGTTTTATATCAAGTCAGTGTCACCACAGCCGTGGGAGAGTCTTACCGCAAGTAGCCGCGCCTTGCTCCCATACGTGAACTGCGAATCTCTTACTGCGACCATCATAGTAGTGCAACTTGCTTGAAAGCAATATCGTGAATACCGCCACTAGGTTTGGTGCAATAGCCCAACTATGGGTCTCTTACTTTCGCTACCACTTGCTGGTCCTCTTGGGGCAATAGCTACATCATGTTTTGCAGGCGCTGCTTTCTGTTGTACATCCACAGCTGGTAAGTTTGCACCTCGCACTTCCGGTGTCCAAACTGACAATCATTTCGGAATGTTTTAGCTTCGATGTTCTTTAAATCCTGCAACTGCAACTCCTCCATTGCGACAAGAGTTGGGTTTGCTGTGAGTTCTTGCTTTCTTGCTTTGAAACCCGAGGATGCTCCGCTTACATGACCCGCAGATTATATTCTTGCTCAACTCATTGTTGGCCTGGCTCATGAAGACGCCATTCGCTATAAGACAAATCGAACATTGGAGCTATGATTATATAAAGATGGATTGCGACGACGGCAAATGTTATGGAGTTCTGGCGGTATGTGGTGAACGCAACGGGTATTGGGACTCGCTCACGATATCCCATCTTCCAGGTTCATCGTATCTGCTTTGCACTATCTCTTCTTCACGCGCTACTTAGTCTCTCTCTTATCGGTGTCCAGGATACGCGTGACAAGCGGGCCGCCATTCAGAATGGGTGAGTAGGCTATTCTGCGACCGTAATATTCACCTTAATCCGCTATAGATGGTGGGGTCCGAAAGTGCTCTTGTGGATAATACTCGTGGTCGTCTCGTTTTTCATTCCCAATGGCTTCTTCATCTTTTGGGGAAACTACGTCTCCCTCATAGGCGCAACGATTTTCATCCTCCTTGGGTTAGTCTTACTGGTCGATTTCGCACACTCATGGTCGGAGACCTGTCTCGATAACTGGGAGAGGTCTAACTCAAATATATGGCAATGGATTCTTATCGGTTCCACCGCTGGAATGTACATAACAACGATCGCGCTAACCGGTGTACTGTATGCCTTCTTCGCAGGCTCAGGCTGCACTCTCAATCGCTTCTTCATCTCGTTCAACCTTGCCCTTTGCGTCATCATTACCATCATGTGTATTCACCCTCTCGTTCAAGAACATAACCCCCGCTCTGGTCTCGCACAATCTGGTATGGTGGCTGCATACTGCACGTACCTCATCGTTTCTGCAATCAGTAACCACGACCACGAGTCGTGCAATCCATGGAATAGGAATGGGGGTCCCTCGTCTGGCACACGTACGACTACTGTGGCTCTGGGTGCCGTATTCACGTTCTTGGCTATCGCGTACTCTACAAGCAGGGCCGCGACGCAGAGTCGTGCATTAGTCGGGAGAGGCAAGAAGGGTGGAGCAGTCCAGCTCCCTATTGACGATAGTCCTCATGCCGAGATGGAAGTCGTAAGTACACAGCCTGGCAGGATCGAGTCACCTAGATATCAAGCATTGTTAGCTGCTGTCGAAGCTGGGTACGTGGTGATAGCTTTTCATTGCACTGAGCGTACAGGTTCTAAATGATGTCCGGTCCTTAGAGCCATTCCTGCCTCTGCTTTGTATGAAGAAGACGAGGACGACGAGGATGAGGAAGACTTGGGTGAGACTCGGGATGATGAACGTACTGGGACCCGCTACAACGTAAGTAGTACTGCCGCCATGTTTTGAGCTCCATGGTCTCATCTTGATTTATTCTTCAGTACTCCTGGTTCCATATTATCTTCGCAATTGGTGCTATGTATGTCGCCATGCTTTTGACAGATTGGTAGGTCGCCTCTGTACATGTCTGCTTCAACCCATTAACGACCGACATGCGACAGGAATGTTGTCTCTACAGAGCAAGGAGAATCAGAGGAGATCGTATACATCGGTAGGTCTGAGACGGCGATGTGGATGAGAGTCGTTTCCAGCTGGGTTTGCATGATCTTGTACATGTGGAGCTTGCTTGCCCCTGTGCTTATGCCTGATCGGTGAGTAGAATCGTCGTGCGTCTTTTGAAACCACGTCCCTAACTAGAGTTGCATTGGTAGCTTCGGTGACCTGTGATTCTTGTGATTGCATCCTGGAGATATGACCTCCGAAGGACGATGTCTTAGATTTGTTATGTTCAACTTGAATATTGATTGGAGCTATTATGTAACGTATAATGTGATGTTTTGTGCATATATTTGTTCTTCTTTTGTAAGATCGACGTACCAACGCCCTGTACGATGCTCAAGTCTATAACGCTCTGCGCGTTGGTACATTCTGCACAAAGAGCTTAAGAGTCACATCGGCACAATACGAAGAAATCTGTGCGTTGTCCACTCCTTACGTGCGGCGTAAATATGTCATATTTATCGTGCAGGGAGTGTATATATTTATTTTTCGAGAGTAAGGAGACTTCATTGGCATGATTATTCGTGCGGGTACAAAACTCCTTGATGGATTTCGAATGCACACTGGGTTCCCGATTTCTACAAAACTCGATTGTAGTCCCGCTCATGCGATTGTTCATAAAACTTACAGTCATCTTCGACCTCAGGACTTCTGCAACATATACTGGGGATTGTTCAGAATTGCCACTTGGCGCAGGACTGCCTTCTTGTTTGGCCAGCCAGAGTGTGCAGTCCGTCATATAAGTCAATGACGGACCAAGGGCAGGTTTCCTAACGTTCGAATCCTGTGCAGAAAGGGGGTTGTAAGGTGCAAACGCCGATGTATTGTTGATGACCTTTCAACGGAAGAGTGATTTAACGTCGGTGATGGGTAATTGAGTTGGCAAGAACTCACTAGGACGGTTAACGATTGCGTTTGGGCGAGGTCTCGAAGCTGACGCATAAATGATTCCATTACCGCGTGACCATGGGATGAGACAGCGTTAAGCATGGGGCCAATAAGAGATGTGATGGAATCGATCACTATACAGCGGATCCTCGGTGGAGAGTGATCCTTCTGTGGTGTGTTGAAAACAATATATTCAAAGAAAAACAGCTGCGGCATTTAGCTTACGTTCAAAGTGACGCGAAGTGCCTCGAGGGCAGCATGGACAGCATTTACATCGAAAAGAAACGACACCTGGAGCCGTTCAAGGACTGTCTCGATACCCTTGAAATAAATAAATAAAGTCCACACTGTTAATTACTACAACGTCATAGACTATGGTTGGAAACTACCTCTCCGCGATAAAACTTGAGCTTCATGGCCGTCCTCTGTGCGGAAAAATCAGCCGTTGTATCGATCCAAAGTGCCCTGGAATTTGGGTGCAAGGCGAGATGGCGAAGGACTATGTGAAGAGATAGAACCTTGGACGTTAACTCAGCAAGTTGACGTGAATACGCGAGTGGTATAGGGAACGACGTACCGTTTTCCCTGAGCCTCTGTTTCCGGTAATTTCATAGACGCGTGAAGGCTCGAAACTGTTGACGAGCTGATCTAGCTCGTGTATACCGGTTGCGAACGTATCGCTGTCGACGTTATTGGTGGAACTTTCCAATTCTTTTGCTAGCATGTCGTCTGCCCGAATGCCAGGTGCAGAGGCTTTTTCTGCGACTGTTTCGATATATTTCTTGAGGTCAGCTAGTGAGACGACGTTGAGAGGTAGTTTTGATAGAATATCAATGGGTGACCCGGAGAATAAGAGATCTGCATCTGTTCTAATGCCACATGAAACCAAAGCATCAACGAAAGCTGCAGGAAGTGTGTTGGGCACTAGAGACCGTAAACGCATTTCAGAACCACGTCAAGCCTGTGCAGGGATATTTTATCGCGACTAAGATGCTAGTTGATTCTCGGATATAGTATACGATGGTGGTAGGAGAGGCTAGCTATTGACACTACATCAAAGCTGGACGGGCTTTGCAGTCATTTTCTGATACGATGATGGTTATAGCAAAGAGGGGCATATTACGAGCCGCTTCGAGTTGTGTGTTTATTTGTGGCTGAAGCTGATTTTCATTGAAGGACTCCGCAATTCACAACGTTGCGGACGGATGTCTACAAATTCCAAAACACCTGTTCGCGAGGATGCAATCTTGCCTATGAAAAACGATGCCATGCAACTAATTCTCCAAGGTGTCAAGAACTACGAATTTCGCAGCTACCTCATCGCACACACAGTCCACCGCGTCTGGTTCTACCTCAACGCACCGCTCTCGCACCTAGCGTACATATGCGAGATTGACCCTGCGCGGACGCGCAAGGGTGGAGATCCACCGCTGCCAGAAGACGGGGTAGGAAATAAAGAGTTCAATGAGGGAAGTGCAGACTGGGCACGCATTGGATACGCGTATCGCATACGCAGTTTGTATAAGCTACGCCATCCTATACACCTGCGAGATCTCAAGGCACGATACGGGCTCAAAGGAGCACCACGGAGTCTAGTATATGCGCCTCCCAAGATTTTGGCCGACGTTGCTTGGAATGACCAAGAGCGTATTATTCCTGGATCAGCTGGGACATCCCTGGACTCGTATTGGCATCCTAAAGCTGGTGTTCCAAAGCCAATCAAATCGAACTCTTCAGATTTAAAGCGAAAACGACGTTATTCAACTGAAAGTATAGATTTGAAGCAGAGGAATAAGCAGGTGGGTTAGTTTCTCGATACTGTACTTTTCGATTTATTCACTGAACTTGGTCTTTCAGCGTACCTGATTTTGGTCTGTATCAAGGGGTGAAATTCTACATCTTAAAGCTCGCACAGAAGAGCTCAATATGTCATACATGTTATAAACTGTGAAACTACAATACATATCACAGACCTGAACGCATCGTCGACATGGTGGTTTTGATCGTCCTCCTGGGCGGCACCGTCCAGTTAACGATGATCGATGGCACGGACACCACTGGTATTCTGCTAGTATTCCACCGCCACCTTATGACGTTCGAGTTCGATGACGATCAAGTGTTCGAAATGCATTCCTCTGTCTGCCCCGTCCTATAAGTAGGGAATACAAGTCATCTGTTCACGTACGCTCTCCTCCCATTCACTCCCTCGTAACGCAAGATCACGAACCCCTATTATGCCTAACGATGCTATTGGACCCCCTGGACTCGTTACTACCGCAGTGCGGGCACCTGTCACCAAAGAGCGTGAATACTGCATCGATACCGACAAAGCTATCGAGAGACCGTACGTCGGGAGGGCTACGTATGCGCCCAGCGTTGATCAGCCCAATGGCTCGCAAGCCCACTCGAAAAAGCACCAAGAATATGTGCGTATTCAAATTAAATTTTTGAAAATGTGCACTTATTTCTGGCTCTATGCCCCATGTCTAGACCGTTATGCAGCAACATATATTGTTCTGGGATAGAGATGCCGATGGCGAGATTTGGCCCCTGGACACATACAGAGGATTCCGCGACTTGGGATTCAACATGCTTTTCTCCTTTCTCACAATCTTCATCGTCAATCTAAGCTTTACGCTCCCGACCAGCTTGGAGAGGTCGTTTTTTCCGGATCCTTTCTTCCGCGTCTTTATTCCGCACATCCATAAGGGCAAGCATGGATCCGACACTGGGATTTACGATAACGAAGGGCGGTTCGTACCGTCACGCTTTGAAGATTTGTTCGCCAGGTATGCGAAGCGCTCGAAGGAGAATCCGGACGTGCTTGCCAATTCGTTGTCCCTCTTAGAAGTCTTTGAACTGATGAAGGGTCAACGCTGCGCTGTCGACCCGTTTGGTTGGTCTGCTGCTATGTTTGAGTGGGTCACTGCGTGGTTGCTGTTGCAGCAGGGTGGGAGAGTGGACAAGGAGGATCTGAGGAGGTTGTACGATGGATCTATCTTCTTTGAGATTAGCGAGGCGAGGCAATCGAAGGAGGGATGGAACAAGGGGTGGGGAATGGGTGGGGATGGGTTCATAGGGGGTGAGAGGGTATTGCCGTTTGGTTTATAGATTAATAGTTGGTGTATGGATCGTTGTACGCCCTTCTGCCAGTAATGTAAAGATACTTTTAAGATAATATAAATGATTATTGTCGTCCATTGCGTTGCCAGCAAACTAGATCGACTACTCTCCTGTAACTGCATGTTTGTAGAGCTGTTGGCTGAAATGAACTTGTTGCCCCATTCGAATACTCCTTCAAGGAATCACGGTTCTATGGACCTACACCTTCGAAAATTCATTTCCGTTATCTCAAGCTCCATATGTCCTGGTGACATTGACCTGATTATTTTAAGGGTCCTTGGTTTCTGCAAGAAAATGTAACAGTACGTCTTTTCCCTCAGCGATGCGTCTGCTATTTCACCTGTCGTCCAGGATCCTTTCCGAGTCAGCGGGGTTGACGGCACGCTTGACGGGAGAGCGGAAGGAGTAGCGGATTGTTAGCTCCGAAGTCCGAGCCATCGATTGTCATTTCGGCGAAAAGTGGCAGATCCCGCCCGTTTTCCTCAGTTTTGATTCCGGACCCTTCCACTGGCACCCTCCTCAACCGCTCTCCGTCAACGCATCCCCACGTCTTGTCCCCAGTCTTTCACGCCAGCCGTTCGCGTGGGCGTATGGGCTGCCGGATGGCCAGTGGGGGTGGATCGCCGTGATGACGGGCGATCTGCGAAGGGGGAGGAGGGTTGAGTAGGAGGACTGGTGCGGGGCACTGTCGCGAGATGTTATCGATGTCGCGACGACAGACCCAGTGTTTCTGTCCTGGATCGAATTTTATTCTGCAGCTGTGGGAAGGCAGTAGATGTGCGTTCCATATCTTATATCTTTTGTCAGCTGGTTTCTTGTCTATATCAATATGTCCCCATGGCGGACGTGTGGGGTTCAATCTGGTGAGTTCTTGTTCTGTCGACGAGAACCGTCAGCTTAAGTGGTTTATTCACAGCAGAGCGTATGCGCATACAGTCATATACGTCAGTATTGCTATTATGAACATAAAACATATGACTCGAGACGTACGTTTGAATATATATGTGAAAATGACTCACGCTGTTTTCATACAACCCCCATCGCTGGGTTATTATGGATCTGCAAATCCTCATGAAAGCCACGTCTGGCATGTTCTGCATCCTATACACCAAAGAGTTTTGATCACATGGAACTTCCCTTCAAAACGCAAGCATAGAGACAAGACCAGCAAGTATCGCGAATCAATACAACTACTGTACACAATAGTACCAATGATGATGCACGCACTGTGCAAATAGTCTATAGGTATTGGGGACGGGAAACTAAAGTAACGCGCATGATAAGGTAGGACGGCATAGGTAAGTCTAATCGCTGGTACGAGTTCCAGCGAAGGCTATATACAGGTACAACAAGTTAATGCGGTAACCAAGGCAGACAAGATAATCATACGTGGCGTTGAAGACCATAGGAGAAGATTTCGAGTAGGAACCGGTACGTGTGGGAAAAGGCCAATGAAACCATCGGTAAATAGAACAAGGTGTGTCATCCTTGAAGCAGGTGTATGATGAAAAAGTTAACTAAAACGCGTTATTAGCTGTCTTGTTGAACGACTTGGAATGGATAACACCTACATTCCACAAACATGAAAACTATACGGTCAGGCCCATTGCTCTTGCGCCTGCACCAATATCTCCTTCCCAACCAAAGAACCGTTCTTTGTTCAATCCCTCAATCTTATCATCGCCAGCACCAATGTACATTTCCTCATCCACATCGCTGTCTGCCCATGACCGATTCGCGCCCTTGGTATGCGCCCATACGGAAATGAACAAAATTCGCTTTAGTTTCCGATTCAAAAAGAACCAGTGCGAAGACCATAGGAGAGCGCCACCACGGCGCTTCATTCGTATGTGGGGGTAGGACGGCAGCGCATATATGTTATTGCTCGTGGCTTTAGGGGGCGAGTCGCTCTGACTTCGACTGCTTGCACTGTCAGCCGTGCTACTGCGAAAGGGTATACGATGGGTCTGGGAGCGATACGGATGGTCATCTACATCATAGTCGTCGAAGTCAAAGGTTGCCCCGTCGTCGCCATCGTCACTCGAGTATTCATCCCCGATACTCACGACGTCATCCTCGTCATCCGAGAAGTCGTTCGCGTGCGGGTCAGAGTCGATGTCGGGTGCATATGAAAAGACTTCGCAGTCAGTGAGACCGATGACGTCGTCAAGAATGCGATAGAGCGTGGGGTGGGTGCCTGACACTATTTGGGGTGGAGCGTAAGGGCTGGCTATCGTGCTGTTCATGGGCGATGAGGAGGTGGGAACAGATGAAGGGAAGAAATTGGGAGACGTGGGTGGATACGATGAATATGTCCTGGGAGCGCGCATACCTGCGCGATGGGGTGAGAGTAATGTGGTGCTGAGACTATTCAGAACGCTGGCTCCACTTTCCTCCTTGTTGAAGTGCGCAGGCCTCACGTCCGAGAACTCATAGTCAGGGAACGCGATGTTGAGGGTGGCTATGAGGAGGTAGAGAGTCTTTCTGCTGGCGTGTTTGTCGATGGGGCCAAAGGGGGTGACATCAACCTCGCGGTCGATAGCGAGCCACGAGGGCAGAGGCGGTGAGTTTGAGAGCTCGTCTGTGTATGCTGTTTCGAGAGACTTGAAGAGTTTCTTGTCGCGCTTGATGTTCTTGCAGCTGTATGCTTCGAGGCGGGTGTGTACTGAACACTCAGGGCCTTCGTGGGTGAGGGCCTGTGCAAGGCGGGATAGTTCAGGAAATTCGATATATTTCATTGCTGTCGAGGACGACGACGACGGCGAGCAGGCTGGCGGGGGAGGGTGTGGGCGTGGGCGTGTCTTGGTGAAGGGAGAAAGGAGTGAGCGGGAAGGGGGCGGTGAGGTCGGTCGGAGTGGAAAGCGACCATGGCTCTAGCCACAATGGGATCCAGTTGCCTTTTTGGGACTGTGGCAGGAATGCGCACCTCAGATCTCAAACGTGCACCAACATCATGAAAATCATCCCCTGGACAGCCATACGAACATACATACGACCGGTCAGTATATTGTCGTGCAGAGCTTGCAGAGACACCAAGGTGAGTGCTTTGGTTGCCAGCCATTTCCATCGAGCTAGCTCCGTGTCGTTACACCGCTCGATGATTGCGTGTCTGGTGCAGTAAGTGCCACCGCTCCACTGTATTGGCTCCGCCAGTGGATCGCTCTCTGCAGTCTTCCAAGCCAATGTACCGTAAATATGCAAAGGAGAATCCTAGTCCTTTTGAGTTAACGGGGTATACTTGATGCGGCTGACTCTGACTTAAAGCCGCACCTTTAGCCTCTGGCTATTCCTTCGTGAAACGATGCACGTCTAGACGGCTTTCTTTGTCTGGCACACTGAATGCACTTTACTTCGATAAGTGTTTAGGAAGTGTTAGTGTTCTGTCAGTGAGCACGGCTGCAGTTCATACTGAGCAATGTTTTGGTGCGATAGCTACGTTGTGCCGTAACTTCCGGATCCGGCTGCGCGGTGTACGGCTGCAAACGTAAAAATATCATGTGCAATGAGTGCTTGCTCACTTTTATCTTCACCGTCGTCGTCAGCCACCCGAGCTCTGTCCCTCTATCACATCAACCACCACCACCACCATGTCAGATCTCAAAATTGAAGGTTTCAAGGTAATTGCCTTCTTCTCAGCCAGCCAGCCGGGCTGGCGTTCGCTTTGCAGTGACTTATTGGAGCAATCCACCTATCCCCGCAGGCATCTGACATTATATCCGCCCTCAACTCTGCTTTCAGCGGATTCACAGAGCAGGAGAGGGCCACGCAGATAAAGAAGGTGGGTAGATGTCCCCGCCGAGGTGCCCGCTGCCGCCTCATTTCCAAACCCTTTCAGACAAATGGCATCTTTGAGCTTCGGATATCCAACGCAGACAAAACGGAGGCTGTCTGGACCATCGACCTGAAGAAGAGCGGATCTGTCTACAAGGGACCAGCCAAGCCAAAACCGGATGTCACCCTCATTTTCTCAGACGACGTTTTCACACAGCTTGCAGAGGGCAAGGTATGTGTGCCACTTATTTACCTGAAATGAATCACGTTCTCAAATTCGTGGCAGCTGGATGGCCAAAAGGCTTTCCTCACGGGAAAGCTCAAGGCAAAGGGTAACATTATGCTTGCTACCAAACTCGACGGTGTCTTAAAGGTGAGATCACCGCAGTCCGTTACTTCCTTTACTCAAACTGCCTCGCTTTCCAGACCGCCAAAGGGAAGGCCAAACTCTAATATGTTTGACTCTAACTATCCGTGTACCCATTTCTATTTGTGAGCCGCTTTTCAGCTGCCTAATACAGCACCGCAACATATGAATGGAGTGTGATGATTAATTGGAGCTCATTATACATGAATGTTGTCTCTCATAACCGATAGAATTCTACTGTATATACATTAAAACATACCACCAAACAGACCGCGTTGTCGACGTGGAGAAGGTTGTGAATCGGCCCTTAGGGTCGAAAGGCTGTTGAGCTGCTTCATTACCTACGGCCGCAATTAAAGTTCAGTTCAGTGGAAGGAAACACCAAAAGCACAGAGCTTACCTCTTCCAACTTGTCCTTCCTTTCCTGAAGGTCCAGGTGCTTCTTGATCACGGGGTTTTCCCTGGCAAATTCAATGATCTCACTGCGATCTAAATCATACAACAATCGAGAATCTATCTCTCGAGGGAACTAGGGTAAACTCAATCAATAGAAGTTCGTGATGCAAACAAAAGTTTAACACACCTGGTAGAAGAAATGATCCAATAACTCTATATTTATAAACATGGCTGAAGTGTATGCCAGTTTATCTGCCACAACATTGAGGAAGGCCTCAGGGCACAACACGTCGCTCTCTGGCCCAGCACGGCATCGTTTAGACTTCAACGCAGCGAGGCGTAGCTTGAGTATGGAGAGCCTGTCGCTGTACAACATCGCATGACGAGCTGCGAGTTGTAAAAGTAGTCAGCTAAGTACAGTGAGAATGAGAAAACGGCATTCTCATTACCGTCAAGTATTTGTGCTGGAGGATACCGGTATGACTCTGGGTCTTCCTCAATTTGGTCTTCCTCTCCACCTGCCAGACGTTTGTTCTTCTTTTCTCTCGCTTTATCCTCTAGATCCTTGACATACCCCATCAGGCCACTCAGCCTCCGGCTACCACCCACTTTCTTCCGTATATCCCTCAGTTTACCCTCGCACATCGCCATCTCATTTTCAAACAGCTCAACCGCGCGTCCTCTCCCAATTTCCCACTCCCGTTCATCCACATCAACCTCATACTTGAAAGGCTTGATGCAATTCTCTACCTGGTCAGACGTCACACCGATCCTATCGCGCAGTATCATGTGGGAAAATTGTATGAGCCGTTCCGCCGCGCGTGGGTGGAATGTAAACGGCTCTCCCGCTGCGATAGAGTCGATGAGTGCCCGTAAGCCGTCTGCCACGAGCAACGTCGAGTCGCGTCCCACGCCAGACTTGGTGAGCAGAGACGACGCGGCTTCGAGTTTGTGCCTCCAATACGGCTCAACTTCCTCGGGCTTTAACTTCGGGTCCGCCGCTAGCGTGCCCAGTTCAGGGGCACGTTTATCCAGCCAGTAAAGTTGCTCGAGGACATCCATCACTTTGTCATCCAGCATCGCCTTGAGCTTGGCACGAACCTGCGGCTTGCGGAACTGGACCGTGAAGTCCTTGAACCGCGCCTTTAATGTATCAACAGCTTCTGCAACGTAGGACTCGGCGGTGACACGCCGATCATTGTATTGCACTTTGAACTGATACGTTGCCTCTTCCAGCTCGAGTTGAACTGCATTGGTGATCCCATGGAGCGATGACGCCATGGATGATTCCAACACTTCCATCAGTCGGCGACGCAGCGTGTCGGTTCCTACCATCAGAGAAGATGTGCCACCAAACTGTTCCCTGTGCGCACCAAAGTAGTCGTTCTCACTGCGCCGTGCGACGGCACCAGTTGATTCATTTCTGGCTTTCTTCCCTGAGGACTTTGCCACCACACCTACGTAACCCAAATGCAGGGGGTACCGATTTCCAGCGAGAATACCGGCACCCTGTTCTGGTGGAACCAGATCCATTTTGGTGATGACACCGATAGTGCGAAGACCTAATGGATCCACTTTGCGGCTCGCTCGCAATGCAGGTGAATTGGCCAAATCGACGTCTGCGGCACAGACGGCGAGAATGATGTTGGGCTCGCGAATGTACCTATCGCACAGTCCAGCGATTTTCTCTTTCAACGTTTCGGGTTGGTCCAGGGAAGATATTTGCACGTATCCGGGCAAATCGATGAGGGTTAGATCTGGGACGTTGGGACTATAGATTCTGAGATCAATGGGATCGTTTGAAACGGCTTCCGTAGGTGGGACGGCAAGATTAAGGTCGGTGAGTGTCTGTTGGATGTTTGAAAAGTTGGTGATCTTTCCAAGTCCAAGCGCTGGGAACTCCCCATATTCGTCAGGCGTTTTGCCATCATTTTTGGCAGGGGTGTGGACTAGAGTGAGCTCAATGGGCCTTCTAGTCACCATATTGTTACCTCTGGATGGAAGGGTCAATATTTGTGACTTTTAGTATATGACAACCACTGACTTTGGAAGGAACTCATGCCCGACAATAGCTTCGAGGACAGAACTTTTCCCAGAACTTTGGCTGCCAATAACGACGATGCTTGGAAGTTTGAGTGAGTCACTCTGGTCGATACTCAGTAACATACTCCTGATTTCGATCAATTTTCGAGTCAGGTGCATTAGCCCATTCTGCCTTGGGTCAAGACTCGAGTTATCAGAATCTTCAGAAGCCTTCGAGTCTGACGGCGATGACATCGTAGCAGCAAGCAGTGCTGCTATGGCTGCATTTTCCTCGCCTGGAGATCGATTCCGCGAATTGCCAGGCTCATCCTCCGACGAGCCGCTCTCTTGGTTGCCTTTGCGGTTTCCTTCAAGAGAAGCCAAGAGATCCTTGAGGAACTGAGGTGTCTCGACGTTTGGAAGTTTGACTTCAGAAACCCGGGCGGTGACTGTTTTGAAGCCGTCGGAGGCTGTGTCTAAAAAATCTGTAGCTACGTCCTGAGCAGAGGATATCCATGCCGTTGATTTGTTACGTAGTTCTAAAGTTCGATCAGCTGCTGCTGCTATTTGAGTGAGCGGATGGCACGATACCTTCAAACTTGTAGTTTGCATAACCAAGACCACCTGCACCTATAGTTGCGCCAGCAATGGGGACACGAAAAGCTCGAGCCACGAAGCGCGGGATAGACGAGTACGAGATGGCACGAACATGGAGATGGCGTAAAGCAGCAGGAGAAGGCGATGCGTATCGTTGCCGGAGACGAACAGCGCCATTAGAAGATGTGAAGAACGTGCCAAACTGGCGACGAACGGGCCTTGTCGTTCCTGTGACATTGCGGGATGCGTTCAAGCCATATGTAACGGCTTTTCTGGAGGATACGACGGACGATATGGGACGGCGGAAAGAAGAGTACATCGTGTGTCGATGTATGGCAACTCAAAGCTCACACACAAGACACCGAAGTACTATCCAAGGGAAAGATATTTACCTAGCCTGTTTGCTTGCTGTGTGAACCAGAGCCAAGGTCCAATACCTCCAGTGAACCCAGGAAAAGGTGACTATGCAGAAATCCTGGACAATGATGCGGATGAGTGGCTAGAAAGCTTGAAATGCCTCAGGCTCACGCCGAACCGAATCGTCAGTGCCGCTTACAGGTGGTCCACCAAAGACCGGGAGGACCCGCAGGACCCATGGACCACCTGCCTTTTTTGGATTGTGGCGGAGGGAAGAAAGAACGAAAGATTGCGCCTGGTGACCTCGCTCTTGTCTACAAAGGTATGTACATGTCCGGAGCTCCGTATTGATAGCTGATGATAAACTTGGCTTCACAGGATGTGGATCTCCCAGGATATTACTCTTAAAATGCAAGCAAAGGCAGCTATCGTATGTTCTTATCGTCCCAGCAGTTTCAAGCTCGTATCTTGCGATATTGCAACTGCAAGCACAGCGAACTACACTAGTTGAACAACATGTCCCACCCACCTCCATCTGGGATATACGTTCCTGCCGTCTTGTTCTTCAAAGATAACGAAGAATTCGATGTACCAGCTATCAAGTCCCATATCTTGCGGCTCGCAAAGGTAGATTTGCCATTTCTCTTATCCGACTCAGTTATGGTTTCTCATACCCCTCCTTTAAGGGTGGCATCACTGGTATCGTTGTGCAAGGCAGCAATGGAGAGGCGCAGCATCTTTCTCATGACGAGCGCAAAGAGGCAATCAGGCTCACACGCCAAACATTGGATGAGAACGGGTTCCAAAACGTCGCTATCATTGCTGGCTGTGGGGCTCAGTCTGCGAGGGAGACAAAGAGGCTGTGTGTAGATGCAAAGGAAGCCGGCGCTGGTTTCGTCCTCGTGCTAACACCGTCGGTATGGCCCCCGCAAATGACGAAGGAGAACATCCTTCGTTTCCACCGAGAGGTGAGATAGTCGATTACATACCTTGCACAGAATCTCCAACTAATCAACCAATCATTTTGCAAGGTTGCGGACGCTTGCCCACTTCCTTACATGGTGTACAACTTCCCAACAGTCACTGCAGGTATCGACTTGGATTCAGACACGATTGCTACACTGTCACAGCACCCGAATATTGTGGGGACCAAGCTTTCGTGTGGTAACATCGGAAAGCTCCACCGTCTCACGTCCACAATACCGTCCTCTGAGTTCGCAGTCCTCGCTGGTGTATCGGAGGTGCTTCTTCAAGGCCTTTTGTCAGGTAGCTCAGGAGCCATCGCAGCTCTACCCAATATCTTGCCCAAACTACACATGAAGATGTATTCCCTGTTCCAGGCCGGGAAGATCGACGAAGCGATGAAGATTCAAGCATTATTAGGTCAAGGCGACTGGGCTACAGGGAGAGTAGGAGGAATTGGTGGTATCAAAGCTCTCGTGTCAAAGCACTTTGGGTACGGAGGTACGGTTGTGAGAAGCCCATTGAAGCCCGCGAGTGTTGAGCAGCTGAGTGGACCTTATTATGAGAAATTGAAAGAGCTGATAGCATTGGAGAAGGCATTGTAAACTGTAATTATATACGTGTTTAACAAGTCCGATCCTGTGGAAAGGTTTTGAGTAATCAAATGACTACAGAGTCGTGACTGCCATTATCCATAGCAAATTTATAAAAGGCGCTGGCAATGGGGTGCGTGTCGGTAATGCCAACGATCAGCAGGCTTCGGTGGTGGCTGAATCTACATCACCCTGACATGGCGCTGGTGAGGAAGGTGACGCGCGTACCGTCGAGATATATAACAACCGTGCCATACACTACGGGGCTCGTGGTTGTTTTGCGAATGCTCCATACTCAGGGTTTCATGAGCTTGATTGAGTGTTGCCATCAGAGCGCCTGAGCAAGTTATCAAGAAGAGAGGCAACTTTTTGTCGAGCATCCTCTCTTTCTTTCTGCACATGCCTCAGCTCTACATCACGGCGATGCGCGATTTGGGCTTCGTCGGACAATAGAAGAAGTAGCTTCAAAGAATGTGTGATGGAGAGCAATGAATTTGCAGCCCGAATCTGCCACACAGAAATACGGTCAATAATGTCACGATCACGATGAGTAAAGGTAGGTGCTCACCATGGACTCGGCTCGAGAGTGGATCTGAAAAGCTTCCTGCGATATTCGAAATTTATCCTTGTCGCCGATCTCGAAGCAGACGTTTAAGCTTGGATTGCATGGCCAATCATACAGCGAAAACCTACTGAGGCCAAGCTCACGATATCCACCATGCCATCGACGAGAGTTTCGACTTCCATATCGACCTTTTTGTTCCATTCTTCTTCCACTGCATCTAAGTATTGGTCCGAGTTTTGGTCAACAAGGGATTGTGTCGCTGTGTTGCGCTGAAGCAGATGGGCTGTTGGTAGCGCAGAAGGGCGAGAAACGTCCGTTTGGGGAGGTTCAGCCATTGATTTGCACAACAAGAGGTTACGGTTGGTTTCTGCTCAAGAGTGGGGTGGTTATATTCGGGCTTGTCCGAGTCACTGGCAGCGGCCTTGTATCGAGTCCTCCATATGCAGACTATTAGGTCTGCAACACGCCTTCCATATTCCATCCTGCAATGGATAGCTCATTAAACCAAACATCCTGCTTTCCTGCATCGTTTCGAGGTGCTCTGTGTCCGTGACAATGCAGTTTCAGCTGGGTATGAATATTTTTGCGGTGGATAAAAGACGTAGGAGATATCGTTACGTACCATTGGAGACGAACACAAACAGTACTGTCAAACTTGCGAGGGTAGGAGAATCTTGGCTTAGGGTGGGGGACTGTCCGTGGTTGGCTTGCTCTACTACTAGACCTGCACGCTACATTTTGGTCTCAACCGCTCGCTCTGGTGATCGCTGACCGCGCTGTCCCAGATTCGGTTTTTCAAGTTGTCAGCTACGTATCTTCAGCCTGAGTCATCGATTGACCATTCGTACCTTTCCTTCGTATCATCATCTCGATGATCTGCGAATACTTGCGAATACTTGCCTTCAAAGTCTCATCCACAGTTCAGTAGATATGGTGTTCTACAAGCCTCGTTTTTCACTTCTCAAGAAACCACATGACGATGATACCACGTCCTCGCAAGGCAACCAGTTCTTTGTTACGCATAAACGATATTCGAAACCGACTGCTGCATCTACATCCAGAATCATATCTCGCTTTGTCTCCGGAGCCCTAGATTCCAGTCCCTCCCCTACGCAGAACACACGTCCGCTCTCTGGAAGCTCCATTACTGCCGGCTTCGTCACATTGAACGCTCATAATGTCACGCTACAAGAACAAGTTTATCTACTCCAAGAAAACAACCAGCACCTTACCGATCAACTCGAAGTACTTGTTGGTCGTCTCATGTACACCTCACGTGAGCTTCAAGCACAGAGGACCATCAACCATCACCAGGCTCGAGAGCTGAAAGGCGCAAGAGCAGAGTTCCAGAGGCTTAAGAGTGGAACGACCGAGCGAAATGCGCGCCATGATGCCGAGCGACGTGAATTTAATTCGGTGATGCTTGACATCGAGCTAGCGAGAATAATGCAACGCACTCAATATGTCTCCGTCGACGACTTTCAATCCCTTCAAGATTCTGACATTGGCTCTCATTCTACGAGAGACCATTCACCACAGCCATCCACTCCAGGAACTACACCAGAATTCCCGCCTTCCATTCATCCGCATGATGACTTGTATGCTGAACTGGGTAACATGGTCGTTGGCATGATACATTCCAACCGGAAGGATTATGGTTCTTGGAAGTCCAAGCTGAATGCTGTCGGACTCAGCTCTTACGAGTCATTTACCCAGGGCTCCAAGATTTCTGTGACGGATTCCATGGAGGACGTCAAAGCTGTCCAGATTCAGTGCTCCGTGCAACAGTGTGTCCCACCCGTCGAAAGGAATGACGAGGTTTGTTCCTTGTCATATTAGTAATTTGTGTGACTTCATGCTGAATATGTTACTCTTAGGATGAGCATGCACTATCGGATCATGAGGGATCATCTACCACTCCGGCAGACGTCACCCCTGCTAAACTCACTGTCGTTGAAAAGCAAACCAATTCAAATCACGGAGAAGATGTTTCGCTTGAATCACCCTCATTCAGCAGCAATTTCTTTGAATGTCTCATTAACGAGTGGCGCCCTGAGAATAATCTCCAGCTGGAGATCGGTCAGACAAGTCACAGCCCCAAGCCTGTTGGGATCTACGAGGTTCCGCGTACAGTACACTCTTCCTCACGCACTACATCGCTGGATATAGCAGCCAACGTCGCTCTGGTTGCTCAAGGCATGGACAACAGGTGGTCTGAAGCATCAGAAACAGCGTTCTCTCATGCTCTCGTGGTCCAATCGTTGACGACGTCTCCAATATATTCCATCAAATGCTCTTCTCCCACCACCACCGGCACCCTCTCGCTCACCAAAAGAGACGCGAACCATATTCGTGCCAAAAAGAGCTCTTCAAGTTTTGTTACGCCTTTAAGTATCAGAAAAACCAATATCCCCAACCCACATTCCGACGTCCCGCCACCTCCTTCTTTGATCAGGTTCGATTCAGGACAGTCACCTGATTCTGTTTTGGATAGTGCGGTCAAGAAAGAGAGAAGGTCTGCTCGTAGAATCTGGCGTTGAAGATATAATATATAATGTTTCTACCATGTTGTGCATTCGTGTATTTTTATTTGCATGAGCTACGCTACTATACCGAACATTGGAGTACATGTATAATGCCATAACTTGCATCTGACGCCTTGTCCGACTTGATGAAAATTGACGACGCGATGTTTATTTAACTTTCCTGCACTTTCAAGTCGCCCCCACCGCCGATCTCTGACCAGACGCTACTGGCTTCCGGATATCATATCAATATTCAGTCTCCCTTCCAAGTTGTTTTCTAGTCATCTCTCACACGCCAGCCGGGACGAAGACCGAGATCTAATATTGAAATCTTGATGGTGGCGAGTCTGCGACGTCGCATAGAACATAACCCCATCACTATGTAGAGACGCTGACCGAATCAACAAAACAGCGCCTTAATCATATGTATTCCGTATTCTGAGTCCGAGTCGGATTTGACGATTTGGCAGCTCAAGCACTGGTACCTGTGTTTGATACTGTACTTATTGACTGTAGCCCAGGTCGTCGTCGTTTGTTTCCATCGCAGATTTTCAGATGACCCTTCTGAGCCTTTCTGTAGTGGTTCAAGCTACTGTTTCATATCTCGTCATTGGTGCCGTTTGGAAGCTATATTTCCACCCGCTAGCAAATTTTCCAGGTCCAAAGCTTGCAGCTTTGACGCGACTTTATCAGGCTTATTATGACATTGTCAAGGACGGCTCTCTGGTTAACCATCTGTGGATCTTGCACAGAAAATACGGTAAGGCGAGCCTGCTTCACCTAGAATCACTTGATTGACAGGTTGCTCTGCTACTTCCCATCAAGGTCCTGTCGTAAGGATCGGGCCTAACGAGGTATGTGATGTATTTTACACTTGTTGTATCATGGGCTCAGTCTTCGAAGCTTCACTTTTGCCATCCCAAGGCGTATGAAGATATATACAGCGTCGGGTCCAAGTTCACGAAGGATCCTCACTTCTACAGGGCGTTCGACGTTAAGCTTGCTTCGTTTGGTATCACTGACCCTCAGCAAGCAAAGGCGCAGAGAGAGGCCCTTCGGCCCGCCTTCTCGCGTCGTCAAATTCTGAAGTTGGAAGGACTCATGCAGCAAAAGGTAAGGGAAATCCCCATCTCATCTCCTCAGTATGTTACTTACTACCACTTACTCCCTCTTCATTAGGTAGACACGCTGGTTGATCGATTACTGGCTCCTGAGCACCATGAAAAGCCTGTAAACATGAAGTTTGCGTTTCGCGCCACGACCATGGATCTCGTCACAGATTACTGTTTCGGCCAGTCTTTCGGCCCACTCCAATATCCAAACTTTTCTCATCCCCTGGTACTTAGCCTGGAAGAATTGACTCCTATCCTTTCCATCTTCAAGCACTTCTACATCTCTTCATACCTCGTCAAAATTCCTGACTGGATTGCATTAAGGCTTAATCCATCGTCTTCCGCATTCATTCACATGCGCAGAGACATGGAGGCAAAAATCAGCAAACTCCTCACTAACCCGCATATGCTCGAGAAAGTGGACGATCAGGAGACCATATATCATTTCCTGATGAACCCGGAGAAGGGCCCAGCAGTCAGTGACAAAGGTCTTTTTGAAGAAGCCGGGAACCTGCTTTTCGCAGGGACTGACACTGTGTCTAATACCTGTGTCGTCGGAACTTATTGGATCCTCAGGAACGTTGATATTCGCACAAAGTTGGTGGAGGAGCTGAGAGACGCATGGCCAGAAAAGGATTCAAAAGTTGGCTACGAAACACTTGAAAAGCTGCCTTACCTTGTGAGACACTTACAATCACAATTTCTTTTGAAGTTAGACAGGCTTACGCTTGAATTGCAGACGGCTGTGATAAAAGAATCACTCCGCCTTTCCATGGGCATACCTGTTGGTTTGCCAAGGATTGTGGGACCTCCTGGAACGACAGCGAGCATCATGGGTATGAGTGTGCCGGCAGGGGTAATATCCAACATATCGTTTATTTTAACCAAAGCTGACGCTTCTCTAGACAAGCGTTTCGATGGGAGCCACTTTCATGCATCTCAATGGCGACTTATTCGACAACCCTCACGAATTCAGGCCTGAGCGATGGCTGCAGGGAAACGGGCACGCGCTTGATAGCAGCTTGGTGTCGTTTTCGCGCGGGCCTCGTAGTTGTATCGGTGAGTCTGTTAGGTTAAGACATGTTAAGACATGTACTTATATAGATATATGGGACTTTCAGGTGTCAATCTTGCATGGTGTCAGCTATATCTTATCTTTGCTAACTTGTTCAGGAAGACCACTCTTGAGATATACGACACAAGGTACTTTGCTTGGTTTTCTTGGGGCCATCCTCTGATCTTTCATCGCTACTTGTTATGTTTAGCGACGAGGACATGAAGCCACGAAGTCATTTCGTACTCATGTGGCCTGGTAAACCACTGCGTGTTGTCGTAAAGGACACCACTGACTAGGACAATGTGGACGATATATTATCCTTGTTGGGAGATTTGTTGTAATAACATTTTGGGGATATTTATCACCATCCTTGCTATCCACTACTATTTCTGTTGACTAAAGTGTATTTTTTCTTCACGTCAATTATGCTTTTTGGCCCTTTTGTACAGATATCGATCGCGTCTAATACGACGCATCTCTAAAAGTGAACACTACATAACTTACGCTTTTGACAAACATTTGACATGTAGATATTCGTTTCGTTTAAGGTAAGCCAGTAGAATTTCACAAAATACAGAAGACATAATCAAGAGAAATGGATACATATACCAGTCGAAGTATAAATTACACCAGTAATAGGCCAGTAATAGGCCAGTCCTACAGGATATTCAGCATTCCTTCTCCCGGTTAATCCTGAAACGTTGTTCTTCATTGGAAAAAGCAGGACTATGCCTTAACTCAAAATAAAACGCACACAAATGTGCTGTCAATATAGGTAACGGTACTTTAGGTGCCTTTCCGGTGGACGAGTAACGGTGAGTGGACAGAGCTTGCATATACAGCAGACCGTTCAAGGCTTTCAAGAGTCGTTGGACTGAGAGAGAAGAGCTTCAGCTTGAATCGAGCGCGCTTTGATAGAGCATTTAAAAGGTGCCGGATGACTGTCCAACAAACGCATTAGCTTGCGAAGAAAGACGAAAGTTCAGAAAGGTGGCATGTACCAAATTGAACCACCCAAATATTCTATCTCAGGCGTGATCTCCACTCCATTTTCGACAGTTTTGCGAACGTCAAGTACTGCGAGTGACAGAGCACAGGTCATGAACACAGAAACTTCTGCAAGATGAAGGCCTTCATCAAAGGAGACGTAAGAAACACGAGGAGTATGTAAATGGACATAAATGCTCACCTGGACATATCCTGACAGGTGTAAGTCTGTGAGTTAGCTCTTGGGATAACAATCATGCGATTGATACGAACCGCCTTCCATATCCAAAACATGTATTTCTTGGGTCCGTCTCAGGCTCTCTCCCTTCTGAGGCTAGAAATCGTTCTGGGTTGAATTCCATTGGATTAACGTACGTCCGTTCATCATGGAGAATGTGCCTTTAACATGGGCGCATTAATCCCAGATAACACGAAAGGAGACAATGCAGTATACCATATGTTGACGATAACGTGTGCATCCTTTGGGATAAAGTATCCTCCACATACGTCATCCTTTGATGCTCGGCGAATAGCTGTACCGAAAACCCACTATTAGCACTTGTAGCAGATAGTGAGACCATCAAACGACCATACTTAACGGTGCAACTATATTCCATCGAAGAATCTCCTTAAACAGTGCTTCAACATACGGTAGAGACCCACGATCAGCATAGGTTGGCAATCTGTCTTTACCAATGACCACATCCAGCTCTGCTTGAGCCTTTTTTTGAACGTCAGGGTAGAGAGTCATGGCAAGAAAAAATGCATAATTTGCTGAAACAGTCTGGGGATGGAGTAAGCAAGACATTACGTCCAACGAGACAATGAATCTACCGTATCAGAACCACCTGATATACGCAAATCAGTTTTAGCAACTCCTGAAAGGTAGGTGTTTAGAGTTCAGTACCTAGGTACACGGATGCAGCTGCCCATTTGACATTGTCTTCCTCGGTCTCAGTCAAAGAACAGCCTTCGAACAGACGAGACGTAAATGAGTTTGGTGCTATTCCAGAAGCCTGGAATACAGGTCGTTAATAATACGAGCTGATGCTACGTCATGGCACTCACGATTTGAGTTTTGGCATAATTATGGGCTTGGTCTGCCGCATCTTGCAGGGTTTTTGCATAACGTTTTGCAGTTTTCTGGAAGCCTGCACCGGGAAACCATTCTGGGATATATTTCACTTCCATGGATAATCTCAGTATTTAGTAAAATAAATAAAGAGGAAGCCAGAAAACGTACATATCGGAATTATATCAACGAGATATGCACCGGGTGCGGCGGTTTCAGATAGCTGTTCGAGAGCTTTGTCTGCTAACTCTACGAGGGGGTCTATACCATCCTGGACCTCGTATCCATGCGATATACGAAGAATGATAGCCCCAGCAGTTCTGAAAAGAAGACGGAAATGATTTATATCGAGATTGCAAAAAAGCGCGATATACACGTACTTGCGGACATGGGCCTCGAGTCTAGTATCATCGCACAAAACCTTTTGTGCAAAACGAAGAGTTTCGTGTTCCACGATAGGTACGAATGCGCGGATACTAGTTCTGGCTCCAATTGCCTGATGGAAATATTTACGAATCTGACGAAACCGTTCGCCATATTTTGTCATGAGTAGAGCCTTGTTCCAACCGGAGAGCTCACCGGCCATGACCATAGGTGGCCTATCAGAGTACGAAACGCTTCTTTTGTCTAGCAGTTCCTCCGCAATTGCCGCAGAGTTCACAAGAATCAGGCAATGACCAAAAATATTCATCGACGATAGGTTCCCTATATGCACATCTAGTGCGAGAATTCGAATGCAGGGAAAACAAACTCACCATGTTTCTCGCTCAACTTCTCAAAAGCAAGCCAGGCCTTCTCAGATGGCATCTCGAATATATTACCCAGTATTGGAACTCCTTTGGGGCCTGGTGGGAGTGGTAGACGCGACTTTGCTTGGAAAAGGCGTTTGATCAGATAAACACCCAGTGCTGCAAGAGCAATATCTAGGTATCCCATAGTACAAGGCATTGTTGTAAATGCGATATAGTAAACGAAGGGTCGTCCAAGTGAAAGTTTAAGAGAATCTTGTCCTGTCTAGGAGATTTGTAACAGCCAAATGTTCTCCCTTCCATTATTTTAAGGCCATTGAGCGCTCAGCGTCAATGAAATTGATTCAAGGCACAGCATGAATGATGACGGCAGCAACACTGATAAGCATCAATGCAAGCGTGCACTGGCTAAGCGTCCATCCTATTCATCAGGAAACCTAAACCCAGAGAATACTCATAATTGCAATCCAGATCATCTCAGTTTGATATGCAGTTCTGCACGACAAGCATCGCACAGCCAATCCAAAAATCATCGTGAATGTCATATTAACAACTCCAGTTCTGCGCATGACAAGTAATATCATACGAGCCAGAAGGCATCGTTAATGTCAAATTAACCACGCCAACATCGGCTTGACACTCTAGTCTTGATTAACAGTTTATTCATAGAAACGTACCAAAATCTCATCTTCATCTTTCACCCAGATGTTTCCATCATCCACGCAGCGAAACATGGACCCGTCGACCCATCGTCTCCATGCAGCCCGATAGCTCTTTTCTAGATTTTTTGTCCATCGCTTCGCATCGAACAATGGCATAACATCACGGTTCAGGAACAAGTTCCGCCGCAAGTTAATCAATTCGCCACCTGTCTTCAGCTCCATATCTCCACGAGAGTCGTGGTGTACTTCGTAGCACAGGCTTTTTGCAAGTGAAATGGCCCGTTCTTCATACTCCTCCCTGCTACTCACCACCATGTGCTGACCAAATCCTGTTGCATTTGCAACACTTGCTGCTACTCGAGAACACATCTTATAGCGATGCTCAGACCAGGCGCAGGCAATGATGGGTGTTCCGGACCACAACACACTGTTATATCGATTCCATCAGGGTCAGCGAAAAGAAGAAAAAGGACTGTTTTAAGAAAACCCACTCAGCAGCTACAGTGTGTGCACTGCACTATATTACGCCTGCGTCAGGCGCTGTGTACAAAGAACATCGGAAACTTACCTCTACAGTGTCAAGAAAGAGATCAACAACGCGACAACGATAGATATGTTGTTCTTTGCGGGCAACGTCTGTAAAATGGATACGAGATGCAACCTCTTGGCCAGCCCACATTTGAGCTGTACGCAAGAGATGCGCTTCTCCTGCTGCAGGAAAACGCAGTAACCATAAAATGCTACGGGGAACTTGAGCGAGAATTCGCAGCCAGGTCGCAAAGATCACCTGCACAATGCCTTTTAGCGCCCTAATCACAGAAGTGGCCGGTATAACGTACTGGATCAATCTGTTTCCAAGCATAATTGTCAGTGATGGCTTGTACGTATGCTTATTTACTCGTGACCTTATACAACTGGACATCTTGTAAGTTTAGGCTGCAAGTAAGAAGATAGATATTCATTTACCTGATTGAAGTTGGCAAAAATAACCACGTCCCTATTAAGTGTGTGTGAAGATCCTGACGCACGAGAATTTTAACACTGCGCAACTATATACTCACAAAGGTAAATCCGGAAATAGCGACCGCCTCAGCTCTCCTCGTCGATGAGCCTCGTCAAGCCACAGTTTAGACTCAGGAACAACAAGGCGATCTTGCTCAGATATGTTCTCATCTTGCCGACAAGATTGCCTGTGATCGGTGACGAGATAGGTATGCTGTCAAAGAGTGCCGGATGAATCATCGCCCTTGCTATATGCACTAAGTAGCTTACCGGCATGTAGATGAAATTTTCGGTACTTGGAATGGACATCAAGGCATTGAAAACAGAATAAGATGTCAGACACAAAACTCACTATACCCAGTCCATAGAAGGTGATTCCGGATCAGCATCATCGCCAACTGGCACTCCTACGTCGTATGGTTTGTGACCACGGTCACTGCGCATAGCATGGACTCGTGATCTCATATTTGAACCAGGTGGGCACGACAGTGGATCACAGACCAAATAGTCGCACCAGCCTAGTGCCAACCAGTAAGTCACTGGACATTATATAATCCCAGAATGATAATCACCAGCAGAAAGTGTGCCTGCAAACCCCATTAATGATATCTGTATTGGACTAGGACGAGCAGCAAAAATGTCATTTCTCGCTCCCTTGGTATACCCACCCAGATTGACGACTATGGGAAATGAATATTCATTGCTCTGTAAACGACAGAAAGAGTTGGCACATACGAATGTGAATTTGGTCGCGTAATATCCTCTCGACTACATCGTCACAAGACATTTGTGACACGTCTAGAAAGTGTTGACTGTCATGCTCAATTTGATGTCGAAAACTTGATCCATCAGATGGAGTCAATGCATAGACGAACACGTTGAAGTCGTTGAGATCGTGGAGACCAAATACAGATTGCATGAGGTGAGCCAAAGGGTGATCACTAGAGTATAATTAGCGTTGCTCAGCTATAGAAGGAGCCGAGAATACATACTTGAAATCACTTGACATATAGCCAACATTTATTTTTCCTTTGAGCGGAGGATGGGGAGGAGGATGGAAACCCCTTGAAGGTTTCAATTTAGCCAGTGCGATGTGTGACATCCGGAGAGCATTTCTATGGGCTATTAGACGAATTACACGAGGAGTCAGCGGATAAGTAAACTGCGCATAGATTGAGTAAACTGGCAAACATCCCCAAAGTGTGCTCACCGTATGGAATGGAAGAACAGATGGAAGAGACGGTAGCTCAACAGAAAATGGCAACAAAGATGGTGGAGTCGAAGTTTCGTGTGATGATGACGTAAGAAGATGATTAGATTGAATGACATTGCCGTAGGCTTTGATATACCACGATCGTTGCATCCTTGTCTGCCACCACTCTAAAAACCTGATGAGGAATCCTCCTTCGTTCAAAAAAGTGGGCTTCCTGTCGTCATAGTCAGTATAGAATAGGCTAAGCCGACCTATCCATTCTCTTCGTTCTTCTGCCTCCAACTTCCGCCCGCATGCTTGCTCGACCAGGTTGACCCAATCATCCAGTGTTTTATTTGCTCGGACAAGACCGAAATTGCGAGTAGATGGAGCCGAAAGCTGCTGATCACAAATGTGGATGAGTTTCAACATCCATTGGCCTGGTGCATCATAAGATATCTGCTTGAGAGAAGAGTCTACGCTTGCAAGACGTTGCGGTTCACCTCTCCCAGTCCAATCGCATACCGCGTTCATGGAATAGACTAGCCCACATATTGCTTCAGGCAAGTAGTGGTTAGTGATAACAGCTCTATAATAATACGGGATCGCCTCCGCAGGGTGGCCCTGTCATGATAATCAGTCTCGTCTAGTGGTCTCATAGATATAGAACGTACCATGTCTTTTAAGGTATTCGCTATGTTGACGAGGGCCACATCAAGGTCAGGCTGGATCTGCAGGACTCGATCGTAAATTCTGTACTTGATTGATCAATACCAATAGGGTAGTGCTACTAGATGACCTACTGGATCGCTTGAGCTATATGGCCTGCATCTTTAAGGAGAGAGCCAAAGTTGGATAAAAGATGGGGATGAGCGGGATCTAGTTGCAAGCCTTTCTCGTAATACAATTTGGCAATATCGTGTCCAGTGGCGGATTGATGACCACCAACATTTACAACTGGTAAACTGGACACGAGCACGCCAACGTCGTTATATGTGGATGGTGAGGGATCCAGGGCTAGAGCCAGGTAATACAGCATCAGGATTAACGAGGTACTGGCACGGACAGGGATTTCCAGTCCAGGTAGTATATCTAATCCAGGTGCTCCTTCCTGCAAGCGCCTAGCCAACGTGAGAAGAAGAGCTGACGTCACGATATTCGTTTGTTGTTGGCTAGCTGCAACTGTTGCGTGGAATGAGAATGAGGATGGGTCAGACTGAATCAAAGAGTAGACGGCGGGTAGAAAGCCTGATGAGAATGGGAAGATGAATGTCGGAAGAAGAGAGATCTGGTCGGGAAGTAAGACAACAGTTGGCAGGCTGTACGTGCCACTGTCAATCAATGCTTTTGCCAGACGATCTCCAGAGGTATGAACGATCTGCAGGAGGTTAAACCCAGGATCTCCTAGGCGACATAGGATATTCGATTGTCCAACCTCATCGAATGTGAGAGTGATTTCAGGTGGTAGGCACGAATCGCGTGTTGATGCCATGGCTAGGGCGGCAACAGAGACGGCCAAAATCAAATCTCGAAATGTGAAATGCCTCTCATCAGGGCTGAAGTCTAAGGGTCGAAGGACCAGTTCTATCGCATGGACATATTGGTGTATGGTATCCGGGGTGGTTCCATTTACAAGTTGCGAGATGTTTGCAGTACACAAGAGAAGGTTGAGAAGACGGTGCAATTGGTGAAGAGTAATCGGTTTCACGAGTTGGCCATTAGATTGTACGAACGTTGAAAGAAGACTCTGGCAAATCTCGGAAGATTGTGGCGGCAGAGGCGAAGAGGTCAAAAGTCCATTGACTATGGCATCCTGAATGACATATTCAACTTCCAGGCTAATCCGTCTAAAAATAGTGTAACAGAGCTCACCACACTGTCGAAATCAGGCGATGCAGACAATGCAGACACTGGGTTGCCCTGCAAGGACTTTGTTGGGAACATACTTCACCGTTCGTTTGCAATCTGGTTTTCGGCACTAGTCAAAAACATGAAGAGCTTTGGTTGCGGAAAAGGGGGGAGTCCACAAAACTACGAAAGCCGTCGCCGATCAAATTTGTATCCATGAGAAACACTTACCTTACAAATTGTACGCATACCCTTTATTGTATAACGAACTGAACACGGTTCAAGACAACCTATGTTGATCACCGGCAGCTCGGCTTCGCTTCATCGCTCCCGCGGTGTGGCTGCATCGTGTATGAGGTATCCTTGGTGCTCTTAGCATTGGAGTCGCTCCACCTGTAGACGCTCCGTGCTTCTATCGTATCGGTCACATAAGGCAGGTTCTATATCTGTCTTATCGGCCACATGAAACACATTCATTGGACAGAAAAAACAGATTTTGCGGAATGGTACTCCAATACCATCTTAAAAGGGAAGAAAACCTGAGATACTGGATGACTGGTCTGTTGCTCATCCTGCAAGCTGAGAATAGGATAGCACTACAATAGGGGTCAGAACTTCGGCGGCCCGCAACACGGTGTACGACAGACACTGATTTAAATGGCGGAGATGATAGTGACAACACCTGTATAAGCCTCGGATAGCACCTAGCGTCATAGAAGGAGTGGTGTTTGCGATGCTGTGGAGAAACGGACAGGTAGAAGTTTCATATGGAACATAAATTGGACGTACTTTTAGAAGTTGCTGACCCACAAATGACACACCTATGGTTCCCTATGATGCTGAATAGAGGTCAACGCAAATCAGTGAAACCTTCCAACTCAGCCGGGCTCTGGCGTGTTTGAATCGTTTTGCTGAGAAAATGCTGTCTATATGCTGTAGAACCTAGATGCCAACAGTGCATCTAGCAGTGAAGTTACAATGAAGTTACAGTCAGATGAGAAAATCATAATGGGCAAGTGATATTTTGATACTTTGTTGACGACGACCAGCGACAGCTTCGCAAATCAACGATGCCTGAGTAAAAAAAAATTGAACTAATACTAGATAATATATGAAACAGCTGCAAGACCAGAATCCATTGTCAAGGTAGGTGCCAATGGTGGTGGTCGCTGGTCAAGGTGTTACGGTAGGTTTACGCGTCGCGACCACAGTGCACGTGGCTCAGGCTGGATAGACTGCACCAGGTTTACCCACTAACCAGTTGTAAAATCCTGTAATAGATGCCATCGACACCACCACCAGCTGGAGTTTTCAATGTCCCCGCCATTCCTCGCCTCCCTTCTCCATCTGGATCGCGCAACCGAGGCTCGATAGGCTCTTCCTTCTCGTTTGGACCTCACCCGCTTGTTTCTTCATACCTTGATGGAAACTCAAGTACAGCTTCACATCCACATCCCTTTGCACTTGATCCGAATCGCTCTATTTTCCCATCATCACCCCTTCGCTCATCGCCTCACAGGCACCGACGGACCAAGGATAGCACTGGTCGTCATCCACTCGCAAATGACACGATGGATGTATTCCAGGACTCTGAGGCGGAAGGCGATAACGAAAGCGTTCACGAGTGGGGAATGGTCGATAGGATGAGGTTATGGCGGCATGATGCCTTGATGCAGCATTTATACGAGACTGCAGCTTTCTGGGGGGATAAAATCCTTTCATGGACAAGTAAGCTCTTTTGTAAAACGTGTACTTCACGAATGAACGCGTGCTCAACAAAAAATGCGTATAGACGAACCCAATGATGCATTCTGGCTCGCACAAACTTACTTCATGACACACCAGTATTCGCGTGCAGAGCGGCTCCTGACGAGACCCTTTCCAACTGCTCCTCCAAAGTCTAATCCCAATATGGTCGGGTTTGGGCAATCCCTCGCCAATATGTCAGCCATGGGAAACTCTGCTAAAGGCAAGGAGAAAGAGGTTATCCCACAGATAGCCTCTGCCCCTAGGCTGCCTATGGGTCCAGGCGGTATAATCGAAATTCCTGAAGAGCTTCAAGAGGGCGTGTCGCGGCTTGTAGATATGAGTGTCGCTTGCCGATATCTTGCAGCACAATGTCAAGTAGGTTTAGATACTAATGATCGTATAGTCCCAATAGACTCTGACCTTAACCAGGTGCGTCAAGGCAATTGGACGGATGCCACGGAAATGCTCGGTGAAGCTAATCCATTTCGCAACTCAGGTAATTAATACCTAATCTTGTGCGCTCATAATTTAACCGGGTAGCGCAGGAAGGAGTGGACCCTCAGTACCCAACGTGGATGGCGGCATAAAGGTAAGCAATGTTAGGGAAAATTCTCTGCTCAGAAGCTAGACAATATCGCAGGTCGAAGCTTCTATGTGTCATTTGAGAGGCATACTCATGCTCAAACTGAATCGAAGTGATCAAGCGAAACACTGTTTTATGGAAGCTTTGGCTTTAGATGTCAAATGTTACGACGCATTTGAACAGCTGATATGTGGTGAAATGATGACGCCCGATGAAGGTAAACCTGCTGGTACTTTCACAATATGGTGGTAATGACATACTATGATTCCTTTTCAAGAGTGGGAGTTCGTGCAAGGGCTTGCTTACCAGGAGCAAACTCCAGACGACGCGGAGTTCGTGCAATTGATATATACGGCTCGTTTGCGCAAGTATAAGCACGCGGAAGAACATGCTCTCACTCGGCGGCGTCTCGTGGAGGAATTCGGACTGTCTGACAATCCAGACGTATTGTTCAGTTTCGCCGATGCTTTGTATGCGCAGTTTCGTTGGGCAGATTGTTATCTCATAACAACCAGGTACGATGAGTTCACGACTTCCTGGCGATCTCCACTGAATTTCGTTCTGCGTGCATAGGATATTGGCTCTGGTATCTGTCCATGGTCCCACAATGCCAGTTCATATAGCCTGCATGTATCACCTTTCGCATTTGCACTCCAAACTGTTCATCCTTGCGCATGAACTTGTCGATCGGGAGCCGGAGAATCCGATCAGCTGGTACGCTGTAGGCGTTTGGTATCTTGCCTCTGGAAAGTGGTCTCAGGCCAGACAATACTTCAGGTACCTAAGCCACGAAATACTGCACGCCTTTATACTCATTTTACTTTTTCAAGTAAAACATCCTTAATGGATCCTAGATTTGGGCCAGCTTGGGTTGCATTTGCGCATACATTTGCGATGGAGGGCGAACATGATCATGCCGTGACTGCATACTCCACCTGTGCCCGTATGTTCACTGGGTAAGTGTCGAGACACCAGGATGCGTGACGAAGCTGATGGGTACATGCTAGATCTCATTTACCACTAATGTTCGTTGGCATGGAGCAAATAATGTTGTCAAATCACGACTTGGCGGATGAAGCTCTCCAAGCCGCGCACCTCACGTGTGATGGCGACCCTCTTCTTATAAACGAACTGGGCGTCATGGCATTCACTCATGGAGAGTACGTTGATAACATGAGTACTAGATGTCGATAACAATAACTGATCAAATATATGCAGCTTCAAACGGGCTGCAGAATTATTTCAGCAGTCCCTCGATCTTGCACAGGTATCCCAGGGCTCACAGAGTTCTTGGGCAACAACCTACCTCAATCTTGGTACTTGCTACCGCAAAATGAGGTAAGGTGGCCATAATGTCGAGGCGCCAAAATTTGATGTGACCGTCATTCATTATAGGCGATATGAAGATGCTAAGGCGAGCTACAAACGTGTCCTGGAGATTGAACCCCAACATCCTCAAGCGCTTGGTTTTCTTGGTATGGTTTACCACTTGCTTGAGGACACTGCAAAAGCTATTGAAAAATATCACGAAGTAAGTAACTCGTGCTTGTCGATATTGAATCAGAGTCTTATTTCGTTGGTATCAACAGGCATTGAGCGTAGACCCTATCAACAGTCATCTCATTGAACTGCTTAATCTGGCCTTAGAGTCTAGTATCGCCCGTGAGCCCATGGGAAGAGCGTATCCAGGCGGCGAGGAGGCGTTTACGCGTATGATGACGAATCTAAAAGAAAAGTATCTAAGGATCCACCCCAATGGTAACACCAAGTTAGATAAGGGTAAAGCCCCTATGATACATCAGGACTCTTCAGATGCAAGTATCATGGACGAAGCTATGAATTTGGGCTAAATATATCCACTGTGTCGTGTCAGTAGTATGAATGAAACATGGTACTAGATGGAGCCCTTTTCAAAATGCGAGCTTTAATGCACATGCCCATGCGTCAAGGTATCTACATGAACACCTTTCCGCATCGTATCTCTTATATATCTCCGTCGCCGTGGATCACCTTCATAATAACCAGACCAATGTCCTGGATAACCAATTGCATATCCCTGGCATTTACCTCGCCAGCTGGGATCTGGCCTCCAGAAAGTGGGAGGGGGCCTTTCCTTCAGAGCGCGGCGCTTTTTGCGCCTGTGCGAATCGGGTGCCTTTAGTGAGGATGCATGCGCGTCGCTTTGGATGTGTATGACGGGGCAGCGAGCTTTTTCTTCGGGGACGTCTGCCGGTGAAGTGTCTAATATATGGGGCGCAAACCTCCTAGCCACAAATCCTGGTATACGAACAGGCTTGGACTCTTCTGTCACCATAATTGCAGGTGGAGGTTTGGACAAACAAGGATTTGTTTTTGCGCGTACCAACTTCTGGTGTATATGCGGCAAATTCTGTGTGTTGTGATGAGATGCTAATATTGGTATAACAAAAAGAAAACAGACGGCTGGTGGTATTTGAGATTCCTTGATCACCCAAGCAAAGTCCACAGCTACTGATTGGGCCCTCTTCATTCGTTGGTCAGCTTCACTTTCACTATCCTCACAGGAAGGCTCCTGTATTCTGTGAGCGCTAGCGATGAGATGGGGCTACGTATTTCTGAGTTACGAAGACTTACATTAGAAGCGGCGGTGGTTTAGGTTGCAGCGATATCGTTTTTGGGGTTCGAGATACAAGACAGAATGCTGCATATTTCCCTATAGATTAGAGAAAATCCATAATAAGGATCTTGAGTGGGGCATACTCGTAGTATCCTCTGCGTCCTGTTCTCCCAACTTCTCTATTTTCCGCCGCTTCCTGGGTGGCGCGGTGCTTTCGATATTGTCTTGAACTAATTTCTCAAGTCGCCGTATCAACAGAGGGTCATGATTGCATGTCTCCGGACCACGTATATCTTCATCAGCGTGAATTTCATTGCGAGATACTATCGCTGATTGCTCCGTTCGAAAATGTGGATTTATGAACTTGGGAATCATCCTGAGCGGTTGTTGTGGGTTGTTTACCAAAGGCTTTGAGAACCATGAAAGTCTACAAACCGGATTCAAGCTTGGAAAAGCAAAAAACCCACGAATTCATCCTTCGTGATTCATAAAAATGCCTATATCCTCGTCCAAAAAAGTCACATTTGCTCCGACGCACAAAAAGACCAAGTCAAAGACAAACGGCTCAGCACAGGCAGAAAAAGAAAAAGCTTCGCTCAAGATAGCAAATGAAGCTCAGCAGGATTCGGACTCGGACGCAGACGATGCAGGAGCTGAAACTCAGGGCTTAGAAAACGGGGGGGAGGTTGACTTCTACGGGTTTTCAGACGACCCCGACTCCTCTGATGAGGAAGAGGTTATGGATGATGATGGCGTCGACCTTGGTTCGCTACCAACAATAGCAAAAGATGATGCTACTATCAAGCGGAGACTTGAGAAAGCAAAGCGTAAACCAGTGGGTTGTGAAATCTATTATCCATCATTCATTCTCATCGGATTTTGTCTCTAGACAGAAGATAAAGGTGTTATATACATCGGTCGATTACCGCACGGTTTTTTCGAAGATCAACTACGAGGTTACTTTTCTCAGTTCGGTGATGTGACGCGTCTACGTCTATCTCGGAATAAAAAGGTTGCTACACTGTTTTAATTTCCAGACGATTTCTAAACTTGAAATCTTGACAGACTGGACGTTCAAAACATTATGCATTCCTTGAGTTTGACTCGTCGTCCGTCGCACAGATTGTCGCCGACACCATGAACAACTATCTACTAATGGGTCACATACTGCAATGTAAAGTGATTCCAAAGGAAGAAGTGCGTCCTGAGCTGTGGATAGGTGCAAATAGAAAATGGAGGGTAGTCCCCAGAGCCCGCGTGGCTCGAGTGGAACACAACAAGGTCTGACAATCCCGAGTGAGTGAGGTGCTACATCTGACGAAGTATAACCATTATAGCCGCGTACGGAAGAGGAGATACAAAAGGCAGAATATCGCCTGATAAAACGCCAGAATGAACGTAAACGAAAACTAGCTGAAGCAGGCATCATGTACAACTTTGATGCTGTCGCATATGTAAGTACTGTGATATGTTGTCATTGAGTATTCATGAACTGATTCTCCTTGCAGAAAAAGAAAGCCAAATCAACTCAGGCATAATTGTTATTGCTACATGTAGAGGTCTCCAGATATGGATTACAGCGGGGCGTTTGCGTAGGTGACGATACAAGTTTTCATAAGATACAGATGGCTGGAGTCGCAACCGTTGGTTCCTCTGCAGGTGTCGCATAATGCATTCCAAATCTTTCTACAACTTCGACTTGTTTTTCTTTGATGGTTTACGCATTGTGGCTTGTGGATTTTCCTCCTGCGGGTTGGTCAGTTGACTCTTGGGATTGTCACCCGGCGTATCCTCTGATGGCTCTGATGGTTCAGCAAAAGCTGAGGCAGGTGGATCATTTCCCAGCCCCCCAGGCCCATCGCTGCTCTTCTGAGTCATTCCTGCATTTTTCTTTTTCGTCTCGCGTGACCCGTGTCTCTGCGATGGCTTTATCTGCTTCTCATTCGCATCGGGAATGTTCTCGGCAGGCTGAGTGGGCTCAGCGAAAGCCGGAGGTGGCAGTTCTTTGGCTTTATAAGGCATGGTGCAGCTATGAATACAAGCCTGCTAAGTTGTGAAAGGTGCTTTGTTAACGAAATGTTCTGCTCACTAGTTCGGTGTAAAGATGCGGTTGGAGGAAAGGCGATAGGGTAACTTAGGGGCTTATATACGCCACATCGTAAAATACGTCATAGCAAGTCAACCAGCCCGAAAACAAATATAAGCTTAAGGCCGATGAAAGCTCACTGCAGGATTGACAGCCAGTCTGCTACTGAGAGATAATTATATATGTAAAACTAAATTCGAATATCTACAGGCAAAAAACCAAGAGCATGCGTAGCAAGAAAAAGTAACTACATATGCGAGACACTCGTTATCCTAAAAGCCTGACTGGCATGCAGTCCTCAATCTCACCGGATAGGCTGAGATGTATTTCCCGCAACACCTATTGATGTCGTCAGCAAAGGCACAACAATCACAAAAGCTACGTTTGACTAACCTTCGACGAAGCCGTGCTGGTCTTCATTCGAGAGATCTTCAAGGGACTTTTGCTTTGTCTCAGGAAGTAACAGCGTCGAGAAAATACCAGTGATCATGAAGAACGCGAATATCTCCAGACTGCAGCACAGAAAAATCAATAATGGCTCAGAACGGAGACACGAGAAATGACTTGCATGTGTTGCACAAAAGCGTTGGTACCTCCGATGTTCACAAGTTTTCCGAAACCAACCTGAGCAATGATAGCCCCGAGTTTTCCGCTGGCGGCAGAGATACCATGTGCGGTGGAACGGTAGCGAGTGGGGAATGCCTCTCCAGGGACAATGAAGGTGGTCGTGTTGGGGCCAAAGTTTTGGAAAAAGTTAGCTAAGCAGTATAGGAACACAAATGCATTCCTTCCGGCTGATGTTGCATTAAGCCTGTCATATGCAAAGCCTAAAAATATTGTAAGCGCAATTTACACTCATATACAAACGATCTCACTTACCCATGATGATGAAGAGGATGGCGAGCATAGTGAAACCCATGAGTTGGATAGGCTTACGACCCCAAGAGTCGATGAAAAGGAAAGAAACCCAGTAACCGGGAATAAGACCAGCAACAGATAAAACCAGGTTACCAACGCAAATGTTGTATAGATTGGAATAGACGTATTGAGACGTGTTTGTAGGACCTGAGGGAGAACCGAACTTTATGGCGGTCAGAATGACTGAGTTATTGAGACCAAGGCCGTAAAAGGCAATCTAAAATGCGCAATCAGCTTCAGCATTATGTGTTCCTCATCGTGCAACTTACGTCTAGGGCAAACCAGGAGTAACATGTACCGATGAGAACCTTCATGTTTTCCCACTTGGAGAAGTATGCCGCAAAGTCTCTGCGACTAGCCCTGGGCGCCTGGACACGCTGGACAATAGCATCTTCGTCTACGACGTATTTCCCGGTAGCCAGGACGCCGTCAATGTCTGACGTGGCTTGTTGGACATTGCGCTCGACATCCATAGTGAAACGAGGCGTTTCCGGGATTGTAAGACGGAAGTAAAGAGCAACAACTCCTGGAACACATCCAAGACCAATGAGGAGACGCCAAGTGTAGTCGACTGGGACTACTGCTGGGAAAGGTGCCTTGAGGATGGCATCCTTGTAAGCAGCCACGACGACGAGACCAACAATCGCAGAGGCTGAAAGAAACTAGTTGGCACGCCATACTACATATATCAACGAGCTAGACTCACCGAATTGACCCCAACCTTGCGCGGCAAATACGGCGGTCATAAGACGACCACGAGAGCGGGTGGCAGCAAATTCTGAAGAGATGATAGCGCTAAGGGGATAATCACCACCGACACCTACACCCATCTTCATGCACGTCAGCGGTCTCAATCCGGTCAATAACTTGGGGGGAAAAACATACGATGAATCGCCAGACAACCAGGACACCAACGATGCCGACAGCGGGAGCTTGACCAGCAACAGCCTGACCGAAAGTTGCGATAATGATGATCATTAATTCGATACCATCTGCGATGGCAATAAGCATGGAGATAATGCTATGCGCAAAATGAATTTACACATCCGTTTACGACCGACAACATCTGCGAGCCAACCGAAGAGGAGTTGACCAACTAAGTTACCAACAGGCGTCGCAACTTTGACACCCAGCGACTGGTTAGTGTTCAGATTCTGGCCTGTGAAAAAGGATGATATAGATAAATGAATGGAGTAAGACAGATCGACCGTTTGTGCTATACCTTTTCCGTAAACGTAACCTAACATTGATACGGCAATGTTAATAGCAAATATGTCATAGCTGATGACTTTTGTGAGTCGAAGCAAGGGCATTAAAGTACGTTAACTTACGCATCCGTGAAGAATCCAACACCAGCCACCAGGCAGACTTTTACATGGAACCATCTATCGATATGAATGAATATCATTGAAAGAAAGTGTATTCTGGACGAGAGCATACGAGAAACTGGCGTTGTCGATTTCGGCCAGAGCAGCACGACGCCGTTCATCGAGAACATAAACGGCGCTGTTAGACTGATTTTTCTCTGGGTAAGAGCCGTTGTTCGACATTTGCTCTGCGTTAGTGGCCATGGAGGGTCAAATGGACGCTAAGCGCAGGACGTTTGTGAGGAGAGAACGGCGGGAGAAGAGGTACTTGCCTAGACGGAGATATTTGGCGCCAACATTTATAAGGTGCAAAATTTCAGATCAAATTGGACAGTTTTGGGATATACTGACAGGGAGTGTGTCCTTGTAACATGCCGGGAGGGTGACTTGAGTATCGTTGTTCCTAGCACGTTCGTACTCCGTGGCCAATCAGAAGACGTGGTTTGCTGACAAATCGTAGCTACTTCCAGTTATAGGCTTGGAACCTCCCTAGCACGTTCAAAGGACAGGCCCATTGATTCTATAAACGTTTCTCCCATATACATTGACCCGTGCTAAGAGGCACATAACGATAGCCGCATTTTCGTGTGCCCCTAGTTCTGTCGCATCTGAGGCCAAGAGAACCGCAGGGAGGTACATCCCTGACAGAGAACTATTAATCGTGCACCGCCGGCACAATAACCTCAGAACTGGCCATGACTATCCACATGAATTGGACGGGTCATGGGGCTGCTAAACTCGCCGCTGTGATGGAAATGCCATATTTGCTCTGAGCATGTAACTCTCGATATCTTGTCGCTGATCATACAGTTCTGGATCTTTGCTCTGGATCTTTTCAACAATGTACAAAAATTATACGGACCTTTGCTTCTGATAGGAACGATCAACATGGTGACACCGTTTGAGAAGTCCGGGATTATCTATACTCCCTGTCATTTCATTATCAGCGTCGCGCGCTACTACTAGTGATTCTTAATACTGGATGCACTTACTAGATGGTGATCTCAACAGACACCGAACCGGTCATCAACATGCTGCAACGAGCGAGAGATGGCTATTATTTGAACTGAATGCACCCGTGGCTATCTCCTACGCTGACCGTCGAGGCCATAAGTCGGTGGTACCGTGGTGGAAACTACAGTTACCTGATTTGGACGTAAGGGTGAGAAGGCGTCGGAGCGGATTCGGAGCAGTGACGTCTCTCCAATCCATTCTCCAATATGCAGGCATTGACCAGTATATTGACCTATTGAACGCTGTACGTCGAATATTCTCCTCTTGCGATTGCCTTTCTGCAACCTTGAAAACGCTGTGCTACCATAGACTTTAACGTTTCAACAGCTGATTCATGGTAACCGAATAACATGGCTTCTCAACCCACTCGTCTACGCGTGCTAGCGCTCTACAAGGAACTTCACAGACTGGGGCGTGATTATGATCCTTCGTAAGGATACCTTTTGCTCCACACGACTCTTTTATCTCAGATCTCGAAACAGTTATAACTTTCATGGGAAACTGAGGAGGATGTTTGAGAGTGAGTCTCGGCGTGAGAATAAGGTTCACAAATTTACTAATGAGACTCGGTCAATCCAACAGAGAACAAAGACCTCACGGATGAGGCAGAAATCGAGAAAGCCATCAAGTTTGGAGAGTACATTAAGAATGGTAAGTCGCGTGTACCTTTCTTCGCATCCAATTACCAAAGCCAGATATGTTAGAAACGCTCGCTCTGTATTCATTACGCAAGTATCGCCATCTTAGAAGGATGTATCCACCAAATACAAAACCTGACAGTTAACGGAGGCAAGCATATCTATTCGTCGAATAGATTCATCGAAGATTGCATTTTTAATCTCCTGCGCTACGTCCAGTTCACAGCTTGTTTTTTTTGAAGATCAGCAGGTATCGCCTTGGCTCTGGAGGAGCCAAATCAAGTATATCTACATCCAAAGCTCCGTCTCGGACCTGGCGTTTCAGTGTGGCGGTCCTAGAAAGCGCAAGTGGTCACCGGAAATGTTAGTCATATCGCTGTATCTTGGCAGTGTAAGGTCCACTATTTGCATATTTAGTTGGTTCGTCGTGTTTTACAGCAATTGACAGCTTTTATTGAATTCTTCATGGCACCCATCGAAAGATGGCGGCATACGTTTATGTGCAAAAATGCACACACGAGTAACATGCACAGAGCATGAGAAAGATTATCTACAATAATCACCCCTATCTTTGATGAAACGGCCTGAGTAGTATACATGGTGCCTAACTTTTGACTGATAGGAATTTTTGCCAGATGAAGAATGGTCGGGTCAAGTCGCATCCTGTCTCACATCGTGGCCCTCACTAGAATTCGAACGTTTCTATCGACTCATCTAAGGGGATCAATTATATATTTTATGGACTTTCCACAGGTCCATCAGGGCATCAGCATGTGTCTTAATGTCCGCACTCGATTTCTACTAGCTTCGATGTTGCAGCTGACAGTGATTCAGACCTGCAGGGCTATTTTTACAACTTCGCCGCTCAGAATCCATCTGAAAAGATAACTACATTATCACAATGTATACTTAAACTTGATGATATTAAGTCCTTGATAGTGTCTTTAATAAAGTTGGTTTTGGCTGCGTTAACGTTCGACCTTCTGCAGTACGATGTCATTTGCAAAATTGCTGGCTACATAGCAGTTTTGGCGCCGCACTTCTCACCAGATGCATAAGGCTAGTACCTCGAAAAATGCTGTTCATTTGAAAGCTGATGGCGGCCAAGGCCATAATATTATGGTTTTGTGGGTCCTTGAATTCGAATGTATAGTACCCCTGTTGGTGCCCCTGAGGTTTTAGTTTGCAGTGTTACTTGACAGAATCACGGTAGCCACTAGTCGATCTCAATATTACTGCTTTTGTTTTCGAGCGTACGGTGAGCTCGATTGTATTCTGTGATAATATGTCTATACACTACGTGTCTCCGCGTCACCACTAACTTCAGTCCAAGTCGTCGAACATGATTAGCGCTTAGATCAGTCGGCTGGATGTTTGCCGCGCCAATTTGAAGCTCCGGCCAAAATTTCAGCCCTTCGATCTGGATTACTGACCAGGCGCTAGTATCGTCCTTACTGTAACGCTCATCGAGCTCGACGACACCTATCGCCTCTAGTCCTTACAATACAAGGAATTGCGGCGAAGGAACTAACAGAAAACTTAGCTTAGAATGCCCAAGGTATTTCATTCTCAATATAAAGGCGTCGACTGAACATGCACACTGATCGTGAATCTTTTCACAGAATAAAGGAAAGGTTGGGCTCAATGCTGGGATAACCTGAATGATTCTGATGTTTGTGATAAATAGGGAGGAAAGAATCGCAGACGTGGAAAGAACGAGAACGACGACGATAAGCGAGAACTTGTTTTCCGTGAGGATGGTCAGGAATATGCGCAGGTGACAAAAATGCTTGGTAATGGGCGATTGGAGGCACAGTGCTTCGACGGGGAGAAGCGATTAGCACATATTCGGGGGAAGATGCGGAAGAAGGTGCGATATGCCTCCTTTCAGGCTCTATTCGCTGGTGGACTCATCGTGATTGCAGGTTTGGATCAATCAAGGAGATATCGTGCTGCTGTCTCTCCGAGAATTCCAAGATGACAAGGCAGACGTTATTGTGAAATATACCGCCGATGAAGCGCGGAACCGTAAGCGTCGATGACCCCTACATCGTGTGGGTTTGTGTCGACTGACCTCTTGTTTAGTGAAAGCTTATGGTGAACTGCCTGAGAATGCCAAAATCAATGAGACCGACACCTTCCCTGAGGAAGATGGCGAGTGTACGTTCGAGTTTGGAGACGAAGGGGAAGTGGATATCGACGATATCTAAACTGTTGGTGTATATCTCTCTACTGTGTTTATTTTTACGTGCGTTTTGTTGGTTGTCTTTCTAAATTCTCCTAGCTAAACTGATCTGTGTTCTTGTAGGTCTGTATCATGACCACCCCGCATGTTTCTATTCATATTTTGTTGTTGTACTGCCGACATCGGAGCATTCGTAGATGTGACATTAGCAACTTAAATGTTCTTTGCAGTGTATAACCAGGAAACCAAGAACAAATTTCTTGGCTTATTATTGTCCTCCTTATCTGGGCCCTTCCAGACTCGATACACTTGATCACGATGGAAGACAGCTTTGTTTGCCGTTATAAGTTATTAAGATTAAGGACATCGATACAAAAAGATTTATTTATGAAATCTGATGAACTGATAAAGCAAGCTTCAACTGGTGTGTAGGTGTTCCATTTCTACTAATGGCAGAGGCCAGTGCAAGGTAGGATGGGACCACTTACAGTGCGATTCCTTGACCCGAGCTTCAACTAGCCGCACAGAAATAGTCCGAACCAAGGTCGGACGATTATACGATGTTTGCAGCATGCTCAGCTTGGTTCAAAGTTTCTGGTTTGTGGTGACATACAGGATATTTTGAAAGATACTAGTACCCCAGAGTTAGCACCTGGGTGGCGTTGCTGACCCTCCACGTCAGGAAAACGGGACCATACCTTGTCAGAAGATGACTCAACGCATCAGAAGAATGGTCTGCATGTCTGGGACACATCCCTTCTCTTTGGTGAGATACTCCACAATGTCTCTGGCGTTGCATTTTACAGCAGCCTTCAACATGTCCTGAGTTGCGGTGATCCTATCTTCTAATTTCGGCTTTTTTGATTTCCCACTTTTAATCGTAGGCACATCATCCTTCTGGATGAGCATCTTCACCAATGAGAGATCTCTACGACGAATAGCGACTAGGACAGCGAGACCATCTTTGCATCGTGGAGAGGCACCGTGGTCCAAGAGGAATTGTATGAGGGGTATGAACGCGGCGTGGACGGCTTTGGTTAGAGCATAGCCCTCGTGTGAGTTGGCATTGGGAGGGCGAAATTTGAGGGAGTACAGGTAGTTTAGAAAAGGGAGTGGTTTATCACGATCAGACCATCCAATCTGTTTTGAGGATGGTTCCTCGGAAGACGGCTTTGGATGGAGAGGGCGGAATAACCGCCGTGGAAGCTCGGACGGGTAGTCCCAAGAGAATATATCGTCTCTCATCCGGATAACAACAGCTAAAACTTCTTTCGTACATAGGGGGTAGCGCAGTAGTTTGGTGACCCTGATGGTTGGGCAGACTGTCTGAGTGGCAGAAAGAAGGAATTGAGCACGATAGGATGAAGGTGCTAATTTGAACACATCGAAGATGTGCTTGCAGGTATATGGAAGAGAAGGCGAAACAGCGTACAGCTGGATTTCATGTAGTAACTGAAGTTATCATGGCGTTAGCAGAGTAGAGTTTGTGAAAGTATGTCTCACCTCTACAGGTAATGTATCCAGAGACAGACGTCGAAAAGCGGCCATCGACAGTCCCAGGTAGTTATCGCAGGATGCTGAGACGACTCGGCCTGAGTTAATCCCAAGATAAACCTAGATCTCTTTCATAAAAATGCATTTGCACGTGACTGAATACACGCTTTTTTCTTCGCGATTGTACGACATAGAAAGCATTCACTGTACAACTTAGGAGGGACTACGGCAAATTTAAAGACATGACTCGATCGATAGGCAATGAGATCGAATATAAAGCAACCGGAGAGGTACTGAAGCGCTGAAGGACACGGGACAACTGGACAATTGACTATACGTCAATTTTGAGGCAAGGACAACACTGAGCGAAAATCCCCAAACAAATACAAGAAAGGTCGAAAGAAATTCGCCGATACATTTCTTAAAACCTCAGAGTCTACAGAGCAGCACTGGGTGCTTCCAGCGAGGGGAAGTATTGAGGAATAAGATCCCTAGTAATAGGTCATTAAAAAAAACAAAGATAGACCATAGCGCGATCGACATACTCATACACAGATTTGTCCTTGTCACTGAAAACAATAAAGATGACACGATCATACTAGATAACGTGTGATTAGATTTTCGGTTATCAAGAATATTTTACTGTTACCTTAATTTCACTGTTGCAGTCCAGGAATTTTCGGACCTCTCCCAACGCAATATGAGTAGCATCCACGATCGGATAACCATATACGCCTGTCGAGATCGAAGGAAAGGCCTGTCATTAGACAATCAAGGATTAGAAGTCAATAGATTCAAGAAAGAAAAGCGTGTACAATATGTTTTAGGTTATTGTCAGCCGCTAGCTGCATGCTCTTTCTGTAGCACGATGCGAGCTCATCCGCTTTACGAGAAACATCGCTAGAGGAATAGACAGGTCCAACGGTGTGGATGACATGCCGGCTTGTGAATTCCATGATAAGTGCCATGAAGGTGAGTTGGTGGCAATGCAAACTTACGACGGTAGGTTGTAACCTTTGGTGATTTTAGCATCGCCAGTCTCGCAGCCGTTCAAGGTGCGACCTATTCAGTACAGCGAGTGATAGCAAGTTAGGCTTTGAGAAAGCTGCGAGGCAGATCACGAAGAGACGAACACTCTTCAAGAAGCTCTGGCCCAGCGGCGCGATGGATTGCCCCATCCACTATCACCAAACAATATGAAACTTCTCTCTCAAGGCCCTTTTGTATTCATGACGTACCTCCTCCGCCCCCTGAATCAGATTTAACCGGCAAATGCTGTCAACGCATGCTGGAAAGCGACTATAAGCTGCAGGACGACAAACCCAGCAGAGATTTCTTCGCAGCGTTCACAATTGCATCAATCTCCAGCTTAGTGATATCGCCTTGACTTTAGAATTGAACGCAGCTTAGTCTCATCACGAAAATACGCCATGTCTTAAGCCAAGTACTTACAGGAGGGATATCTGATTCAAGTATAGGTCCCGAAACTTGTACTTGGGCTGTTCTACAGCATGAAGTGTACCATTTTTGTAGAGTTCCCCTATGGTTTTAATATCTTTCAACAAAATAGTTGTGCTGGTCATCCTGAGGATTTGGTTTATCGATGAGGTTGGAGACAGTTTGAGAGGTGCCTGCGAGTCGGAGTCGGGACTCCGAGGAACGATCTACGCTCCCATTCTTTGCTACTGCGAAAGTCTGTATCTGGATGACGGGAGCGCACTCAGGTGAATAGTCGAGCAGCCACGTCTGGAAGTGTAGCTCCTACTCCAACAAAATCGATAGGTGCAAGCATTTGATGTTGGTTAAGACCGTAAATTACAAGCAGAGTGACACATGCTAGCAGATGTCCCATGATGCACGCAGAAACCGAAGAAAGAAAAAAGAAAAATTGCTAGCGAAAAAAACGAATGGTATAGATGCGCTGAAGAGCCTAACAACCTCTGGCTGTTATTGAATAGTACGAACGTTGTGATGTAGAGATAAGCTGAGATAGTAAAATTGATTGTTAACCAGGAAATGAATTATGAAGATGAACGAGCTGACCTCACGATATGTGAAGTCGTGACTAAAATGCTATGGGGGAGTGAAAGGAAGATGCGGTGTATGTTGACTTATAGAAAACTCTTGGGTTGGCGAGCCAGCTTGCGAACGTTCCACAATCGTGGCAGTGGGGAGTAAAGTGCCTGTCGTCGACTGTACTACAGTCATTGGCTCTGCGTCCGAGCCGCGGACAATGGTAGTGATTGGTTGATTATGTGGATAATATGATTTACGCCTCGATGAAACGAAATCGTATATAGTGAACCTGAAGAGGATGTTAAACATGCTCAAAAAACTAAACACAAAATTTAGACTTACTGTTCTTCGAGTTGTCGTAATTCTGGTTTCATTTTTTGAAGGTCGACATTAGTCTTACGCTTTGAATGCGTCAATGGCTTTTCCACCATCAAAAATTCATCAAGTTCGTGTGATACATCAAAATTGGCCTTTTTCATCTGATATCCTGTCAGTATGCCATACCAATAGAAAATCAATATGAAAATTCGACTGACATCTGGCACAAAGGGAGGCTGAGCTTCTTTGGTGTCTAGATTATCCCAATCTATGGCAGAAAACCAGGGATGCTGCTGAATGTCTATGATTCCTTGGCCATTCGGCCGGCATCCAAGTCGATGATTAGCATTCCGTTCCATCAACTAAAAGGTCATGATTCGTGAGAGATGATACATGTATACAAAAGCGAGTACAGACTGCTTGCAAGCACTTAATGCCTTGTGGACTGCATTTTTTATGCGCATCTTCCGGAAATCTGAGGGGATCTTTGAGGATCGATTGTGTAATTCTTTCTGAATTTCGCCCTTCAAAAGGTCGTTGATGGAACAGTAGCTCAAATGCTGTAACACCCAAGCTCCACCAGTCCACAAACCACGTGTAACCTTTCCTCCCTACTACTTCGGGAGCCATGTAAGCCATGCTTCCAGCTACGCTGGTGTGCAACCGACGCTCCGAATAATGAATAGCCACATTAAAATCAGTTATATGAGCGTGACCTCTGGCATCCAGTAGAATGTTATCTGGTTTTAGATCGCTAGCAAGGAGGTAAGTAAGTAAATAGACAATCAAAAAGGTGAAATAAGTACCGATGGATAATGCGTTGTTTATGCAAGTAGGCGAGAGCCGACGCTAACTCGGCAACCCAAAAGAGAACAACGTTTTCTTCTATGGCGCCCTTCCGTTCGAGGTGAACTATGGATATGTGCTTAGAACGGGCGTGTTACAGACAAAACATTAGTATAGTACTTACAGCGTAGATCACCCCCAAGCATAAGATCGAGTACAAAGAAACAATTTTCATCGTCTTGAAAGGCGTAGCGCAGATTGACGATGAAGGGATGATCAATCTATACGGAGATGAAAAAAGAACTATTTTATGAGCTTCAAACCACACACCTCCTCTAGAAGCCTTCTTTCCTGGATAATATTGGCAACTGCTTTCTGCTTGATGCACCTCGCTTTATCGATGTACTTGAGAGCGTAGAGTTTCTTGGATTTTTTATGCTCGACCACTCGGACCTAAGCTTCTTGCATCAGCACTGAATATAGGTTATGTATAAGACGACAAAATCCTCTAACCTTGCCGAAAGCTCCTTTACCAACAGCTTTGTGAAGGTCGAAGTGAAAAAGGTTGACTTCGCTATCAAAATCAACAGGTTCAGAAAAGCAGCATCCCATGTTTCATCACAGATGAGGAATGAAAGAGCGTGAAGGGAACTTAGTTAAATGACAGCTGAAAAACAAAGGGGGATACTTATGGTAGAACACTTTGTCTCTTTGGATAGCAACGACGATGGGAAATCTGTATTTTGATTTACGTAATATTCATTTTAACTATTCCTGGGTTGCCTCCTCCGTTAATTACGGCCTGCCGGCCCCAAGCGGCAGCCAGTAGTCCGGAACCTGCTGCCCAACATGAACTAGTAGGCAGTACAATGCCGTGACTTAAGACACTGGCTCAAGCTGCACTCCCGCCTACACCAATACTACCAGTACTCTAAACGCACAAGGTCATTGGGACTTTCGGTTAGGCTCCTTTGATTTGGCATCACTCAGTATCCCACTTGAACTGCAACTGATCCCAGCTGTAGTTTCTGCACAGGTCTCAGAGTGTCGTTGCTGGGAAAACAATATTGCTCGTCACAAGTTTAACCCGACCCTGTGGTCTGATTTATCCCCATATACGGGCCTACCCCTCTCGACTAGGAAGCCTGCACTAGGTCCTGTACAATGGATTCCGAAGACCAGACGCGGGCTTTACTCGCACCTTCTCCAGAATTCCTAGTGTCCGTCAAAGTATTTCCGTTAATACCATATCTTAAAAAGGATGTCATTGTAAGTTGCCATTTTCTCAACATACTACGGTTCCAATCTAAATATAACACACTTTGGGGTTCATAGAAATCAATCGGTAAGTTACTTAATGCTTCCTGTCTTCTGCAACTTACGCGTCCCTCAGATAGTTCTCTTAGCTGGGAGTGAGTGCCATAGTATTAATTTAAATAGGACTGATTCTATGTGATGTGCAGGCAGCTTACTGCCTCTGATATCAATTTCGCCGTAGTGCGTCCCTTGGTTTTCAAGTATGCCAGGCTAAGAAATATGGCCGTCATATACGCAGCGTTGGTGGTTCGCTCGTACTTTATTGCTCAATCAAGCTCGAATCTGGCGCATTCCGGGGTGATGCTTTCCCGAGCGGCTTTATGCGAAATCTTGGCCATGAAGCTTCTTGCTCACTTTGCGTCCAATAAAATCCAGCTTGTAGCGGTGTTAACCACAGGCTGGAATCCATTGGCAGGTGCTCCTCCTGAAATTGTTGGTGACGTAAAGGAAGCTTTAAGGGGCGATGAAGATCAGTTCAATCACCCTCAAAATGCGATCGAGGTTTTCTCTTTCTTTCCTGATACCCGTACTGACACTGACATAACCATCCGATACAGATGGCTATCTCTACTCAGGCTAAGGCATTCTTGGCATCTCCAATTGTTCAGAGCGTCGTGAATGATATCTACTCTGGTCGCATTGTATTCTCCATAACGGGTAGTAGAGCCATGTTGGCTGATAACTACAAACCCCGAGCTATAGAGATATATGATTCTAGGAAGGCCCCTTTCCTTGACCACTACAGGTGCGACGGAATCTACAATGGTTCTACGTGAGCTGATTAGATCGGTCATAGACTACGTGTCCCAAAATATAATGCGATACTACAATTTGTGAACTTTGCCGTACTTTTGTTGACGTTTATAGCGTGTCTTTATAGCAAGTCTTAAACTGGTACATTATTCTTTACCTAACCCATCTTTCAGGCCGCGAACTCGAAAGCGTCACATTCTGGGAGGTTGTCTTTCTTGTGTTTGCTGCTGCCTTTACACTGAAGGAATACACGGCTACAAAAGAGCACGGCTGGACAAGTACGTCTCGAAATTTCACCCTTCCTATGCAGTCATCTCATTTAACTGACAGTTTACATTGCAAATGTATCGACCAGACTTTGCCTTCACTTCAAAGCTCTAACCAGGCATTAACAGATCTGGAATGTATTTGATGTTTCTTTTGTCTCGGTTTTTGTTGCATACCTGGGCTTTAGAATAAAGGGACTTGCGAGCCACAACAGTGAGCATTCCTTATTACTGTAAAGTGTGTCATATTCATTATTCTCGCAGCTGACACTTCGCAAACGGCCTTTGATCTATTGGCATGTGGCGCATGTATTCTCTTGCCACGGTAAGCATTTACTTATTGACGCTGATGCACAAACCATAGCGCTGTAAAATGTTGCAGCTTGGCATTCTTTGCAGTATCAAACAACGTCGTGGTACTGTAAGAGCTGTCATTCTCGCCCTCTCCGTTCACGATTCACCTTTGATATATCTAGTGCTCTGCGTGTTATGGTGTCCGAGTTCATACTTTTCATAGGGATCGCCGCCATTTGTTTTTCCGGCCTTTTGTTCACTCTGTATACTTTAGGTGCTTTCCCTAAATGCCGATGACTTCACTTTTCTTTACATAAACTAACTTACACTTACGCATCTACAGCATCAAACAGGTGGACAGTTAAATCTATCGCCTGGCTCATGGTTCAAATATGGTTCGGTAATACCAGCCTCAGCTTTGGACAAGCCGCCAGCTTTCATCCCTTTTTTGGACCTATACTAATGACGTGTTTCGCGGCCTTATCAAATACTCTACTCTTGACGAGTAAGTCAGAACAAGGCAAAAAACTTCGACCGTTATTCAAGGGCTTTGACTTCCAGTCCTTATTTCCATCCTGTCGAATACGGTTGCTCGCATTGATGCTGTGAGTAGATGTTCCCTTCGGGTCCGAGTAAAGCTGATTTACTGTGATTTTGCACAAGAACGCTAATCAAGAGGTGTGCCGCGTGCGCTGATTATTGCTAGAATAATATTTCATAAAGCCATGCAGTACCTTTTTCAGTACGCCATTTCCACCATTGAAGGGTAAGCTTTGAGTATTTGTGCACACTATTATATGATCTTAATTTATTTTCTCTTAAGTGGTAACTCGGATGCTCTTTTTAGTTACCAGCCGCCCTTCAATCTCATCGCTTTTGTCATCCTTAAACCAGCCAGCTGGTTTTTGTCCCCGAGGGCCCTTCACTCGGCAAATGTCTTCTTGATTAGGCTCACAGTACGTATCTGGTCATAACTAGAAATTTTGATCATGTTGCCGGACCTCATTACAGTCTTTCCCTTACTTGGTTGCGATTGCCTTGTACGAGCGGCATCTTGCTGCAGGACAACCACTACGAAGGTCAAGCAAAGGAGTTGCGAACTCATTCTATAACAGCCTCCCTCGTCACATCAAAACGATGCCAGTACTGGAATATCTCGTGGGATCGCACACGACAGATTTGTACGATGCGATATTTGAAGTGGAAGATTCGCATGACTTTGGTCTATTCGACGGTTCTCAGGCCGATGGTGATGAGCACACGATGCATAGCCTACCATCACCCGTTGTACCTGATTTCGGCCATGAATCCTCATCAGGAGCTCCATTCCAGTGGCAATCAGGCCACACAATGTCTCTGCAAGTTGAAGTCCCATCTCCAAGGACTCGTAAAACGAGCGTTTTGACTCCTTTGGCTGAAACCTCGGGAAATGCTGATGTGATCAAGATGGATAATTCGACTCCTCTTGCCAGAATGTTTGGTCGATTTATGCCACAAGGAGCCACACACTCGCCAGAACGTCCACCGCATCATGGCGCAGGCCTTGAAATCGGCATTAAACGGATTGAGGCGCTCCTAGAGGATTGTAAGACTCTGCCTGTGCAGCGTCTTAGAGACGAAATTCAGGAACTTCATGTCAGTCCTTATCCATCGCACTTTGTATTCATTGTTTCTGATAGTTTTGCAGGTCCGTCAGGCTCGTATCGAAAACCTTCTTCTCACGCTAACACACGGAATGCATAATGACACGAACGCTCCCCAGAAACGTGGTATGAGGTCTTGAGCCTGAGGATTTAAATTTCAATGCAACGATTTGACTGGTTTTCGTTTTTATGTGCCACTTGCTTTGTTCTCGATTTGTATTTCATCGTACGTACCTGTTAAGCATTTATAGAAAACAATGACTGTTATACCAGTAGACTGTGATACACATGACCTCCTTTTATACCTTATAGCCTTTTCACCTTATCGGAGGGTATAAATACTTATACGCAACTAGATAAATATATTTCTTGGGACGGTATTCTGCTCTTTATAGTCGTGTCACGGACCATACTAGTAGATGGAATTTGGCATCAGACGACCTTGTGAGGTCTACTCTCTGAACCTCCTGAAGCTCGGCATCTACACGAACAGTCCCTTTCTTAAAGATTTCGCCGTCCCACAGCGCAGACCAACTTTCAGAGTTGTGGCAAAACATATAAGTGTTAGACGAGTTGAGCAGCTCTGTCCTGTAGCCCTTTTCAGGACGTCCTCCATGTGAACCAAAAATCACGGAACCAGGTTCGGAAGAAAGGAGGCCCGCCAGTCCACGTGCGAGGTGAAGCTGCATGTCCTCTCCGAATAGTTGAAACAATGAAGAGGCGTGAATGGCAGATACACGTCCGTGAAGGGCATTCAGGGAAGTTATGGCCGTCAAAGGGGGGAAAGGCCCCTTCATTTCCTCGTAGGACGGAGGAACAATTTGTAAATGGGCATCATTGAATGCGTCTCCTGCAATGAATTTCGCAGGGAATGACTCTGGGGTTGAGTTGAATAAATCATGTCCCAGTGCCCAAAACTCTGTGCCAAATGAAGTTGACTTGTCAGCAGGCTTACAGAAGTAGCATCAAAATATAAACCTGAATGCAAGTCGGACGCGAGCGCACGGCTAACTGGGAAGCCATCTGCTACAGCCTTTCTGATATCATTTCCAACTAATGGCAGGTGTAAAACAGCACATCTTAGGTAACAGAATCATTGATGTTACTTACAGCAACATCCGATGTCAAGAAGAATAGCATCCTGATGATCACGACCAAGTCTCAAGACTTGTTCATACGCAGGCAACCGAGATATTTTGAGGCTGCAAGACCACCTCAGAAATATGTAAATAGAAGATAAGGTAGAGAGACATGCCTCGTGAACGCAAATCGGCGTATGCAGCGATATGGATGTATCTGGAGGTTGTTATGGGTATGGTATTCCCCGAGATTTGGTGAGAAACATTCTGACCTTCCATGCCTTTTCCTGAATGGCGAGAATATGTGTTTTGAGTTCGTCGTCATTGTGAATTCCGGTCTGGGCTTTAAAGAAAGCAGTCTCCTCTTGGCCAAGGTTGTAGTAACGCTCGTCTAGAACGTACTGCCCTGCATCTGACTCTGTCGCAGCAGTCATATTTGTGGTTCCAGGAAGAATATAGGGATATCATAAAATATCCTCAGCTATTTATGTTTCACACAAAACACATGCCATGATCAAGACACGGCCGAGAATGAATTCCTGGCTCTCAGACGGGCGAGGGAACGGGAGATTTGGCTGACTATCTCAGTGCTATCTCCCAGTAATTGACAGATGGGAGTATCGTCGCATAAGTATCGATAAGTAATCGCAAGCCTCTGTAATGAATGTCACTGCTCGTGCTTGTCGGCGCAACACGGCCGAGGTCTGTATTATTCAAGTTGTAGTGTACTACTACCTGTCACTGTCATGAACAGTTCAAGTGAGTACAAGAATGCCTCAAAGTAAAGGAACAGGTTACCTTGCGAACAGTTTTTGAACTAGGATTATGACGGAGTTGTCCAAGGCTGTACGGCATAAAAATGGTTGTTCGGTTCGCGATAGACCTTATAGACCTCACCTCAGACTCGGAGACCTTAACCGACCTTTTTCAAAAGCCCTCTGCTTTGGAAAGTCATGAAGCTCAGTGGTTTGCTTGAGTCGAGGGAGACCTTGCTTGAGTGAGTGCTCGTATTCTTTCTCGTAAAAATCGAAAGCTAAATGCCCTGGCCAGGTATGTTTTTGTGAAGCCTCATGTCCGTATACCCATGAATTGGTCAAATTTTTCGACCTATTTTCTTCCTCTCCTCGTCTCTTACTATGCTCTTGCCGTGCTTGTTCAACTTCCGAGGACATATCTCTTTCGTCTTGCATTGCTTCCCATCACGTTGTGGCTTGCCTTTAGAGCTGGTGTAAACCTTGATTTGTCCTGGGCTGACCCTCAGCGCTCTTTTTTGAACCAGGGACTGGTGGTATGTTTCTTTTCTTGTCCCGCGATATGGAACTTAATGCGTAGAATTTCATAGCTGGGGATGTATACAATTGCTATGCGTGCGACTGCATGGACATTTTGCAAGGAGCCCTACCGACGATCCATTACAAAATATCACCAAAAGCAAACCGCAAGTTCTAGTCAGAATGATTCATCCAATCCAGGCTACGATTCCATCAGTTTCCAGCGTGCCCTACAAAATGCTTGGGACTTGATGGTTAACCTTCGTGGTATTGGATGGAGCTGGTCTCAAGGTCTGCACATAGCCGAGGAAACTCGTCCTACAGATTCTCGTTTGGCGTTTCTGGGAGTCAGTTTTGTGCGTTTGGTGATATATGTCCTCGCTTTCGACGCAGTCTCCGCAAGCGTTCGTTCGTTCTCTCTGGAAACATTTGGCTCTGCTAAAGGTGGCACCATTTTCGACCCTTCACTTCCACCCATACATCGGTATCTTATCGCATGCGCCGTCACATTCCTAGCTGGATGGACGGCCTATTTAGTAATTGAGCTATTCTATGTCCTGACAGCGATACAATTCGTGTTATTATTTGGACAACACCCCCAGCAGTGGCCACCCCTTTTCGACTCTCCTTGGCTGTCCACTTCACTGACGGATTTCTGGGGAAAACGATGGCATCAACTTTTTCGCAATTGCTTTGTTTCTGTAGGGTCTCAGCCCTTCTCCTATCTTGCAGGGCGGGTTGGAGGAGTAATGGGAGCATTCCTTATGTCTAGCATCTTGCACGATCTTGGTATGCGGGCAATGGATCGCGGTCAAGATTCATTATACATATTCGCATTTTTCATGATGAATGGTGTCGGACTCATTCTCGAGCGTATATGGCTAAAAACAACAGGAAAACGCGTCTGTGGTATCTTCGGGTCGATGTGGGCTATTGTATGGTTGACTGCTTGGGGAACGCTGATGATAGATGCATGGGGTAAAAGAGGACTTATCGGCTCGCAATTCTTTCCTGAAGGTTATAGACCAACCTTACTGCTCGTTGATTTTGCTGCAAGGTTTGTATGATTTGGCGATAATCATTTAGAATCGAGGGACCTGGTACAACTGTTGTGCACTACTATACTTTTCGTGTCAGTATATTTCTTGACCTATGTCTTTGATGCGTTCTTGAACTCAAGGTTATTACTGTACCAGAATCAAATGATACATCGACTCCAGAAAAGGTGTCACCGTAATGCCGTTTCTTGGCCTATGATAAATTCACATATTAGATTTCCTAGTTTAACATGCATGCTGAACGAAGTGAAATAGTAAACCGAACAAAGATAAGATATCGATTGCAACGGGTAAGCCATCTTCCTGGAGTTTAGGACGTAATGCATTAATGCAATTCGGATCCTCCAGAGCACTGCCAGAATCACTGGCACCCATTGGGGTATTTTATAAGTATTTAGGTATATCTCACAAGGTCTGTATTTGTCACTGTATTCTGTACTATGTCTTGGTGAGTATTCCATGAATTTGGTTTCAAGCGGTTTCATCTGTGCTGACTGGCATCTTCAATGTGCTCTAGGTCGAACACCTATCATACTCAGTTTGGAGTCTCATTATGGCCGATACTACATTTTGACAGAGTCCCATTAACGACCAGAACATTTTTGACTGTTCTGCTACCAATGCTGGTGACATATTATGCAATGGCTGTACTCATTCTCCTCCCCAATACACTGTTTCTTCGGCGAACGCTGCTTCCGCTGACATTATACTCTGCAATCAAGGCCGGGTTATCCATCGACATTTCCTGTGGCAATCTGGCTAGAGCTCATTCCAATCAAGGATATGTAGTGAGTACATGCTGGTGAATGTGCCTCATTCTCCAAGAATAACCATCACACCTTAACATTTTAGATGCTAATAGGGATGCTAACCATGCGTGCGATGGACTGGGCGTTTGCTAGACAACCTTGCAGACGCCTTATCACAATCCAAGGTCGCCGCAATAGAAGGGAAGGCGAAACGATGCACGAGGGTCGCAGCTCTTTTGTATCTTCCCATTCACGATCGATATTATGGGATGCTTGTGACCTAGCAACAAATATCCGTTATATTGGATGGGATCGTGCTCGAAACCTGTACGTCCCGCGCGAGACTCGGTCTACAAATTCCAGAGGCGCATTCCTATTTTCGACACTCGTTTCCGCAGTTTTGCATGCATTCTTGTGCGATATGTTTCAATATGCTGTCCAAATATTTTCTCCAGATACGTTTGGTTCCACTATCGGAGGCACCATATTCGACTTGTCTTTGCCTCCTTTCGACCGATATTTCCGGTCCAGTCTGATCACGTTCTTTTTCGGCTGGTCTGTATATGCTGTTGCTCAACTCTTTCATGATGTTATGACTATCCTCTGTGTTCTCATTCTGCAACATCATCCACGACGATGGCCACCTATGTTTGATGCCCCCTGGCGATCGACGTCACTAATAGACCTTTGGAGTAGAAGGTGGCATCAGACACACAGAGTCAGTTTCATTCGCTTGGGAATGAAGCCGTTCTCCTATATCGGGGGACATGCAACTGGCGTCTTGGGTGTTTTCACACTCTCAGGTATCTTGCATGATCTAGGACTACGGGCAGTCGGTAGAGGGTCGGATTTTTGGGCTGTATCCGGATTCTTTTTCATGATGGGTGTCGGCATCAATTTGGAGGTCCTATGGGCTAGGCTAACGGGGAAGAAGGTGACGGGTTATACAGGATGGCTGTGGACTTTGGTTTGGGTGACATGCTGGGGAAATTTTCTAGTAGATGCATGGTTAAAAAGAGGTGCAGGGGGCACTGTCTTTTTCCCAGAACCATATCGTCCATCAAGGTTGGTGATGACTGTTCTTCTGCGACTTTGGTGAAAGTACACCTTCATCTTTGGAAGATGACGTTAATATGTCTGCTTTGGGACAACTATTTACATAGGACCTGATCGAGAAAGCTAGTATACAATTACGGGTTTCAGTATCAGATGACCAACAAACCTAACTTGAATTTCATTATCTCCTTCAGAGGTATCCAACGTAAGCCTGCCCCCAATGAGGCGTGATGCCAGCATCTGCATCTTCTTTAAACGCATAACGATCTATTCAGGGATATCAACCATGAGATCTGACACAACGAATAGGCGACCACACATACACATTCTGTGACTTGCAGCGTCGAAGGTATATCCATAGTAATCTTCCGCGTGATATGCCCTCGTAGGCCACATTCGACCGTCATTCTCGTCGTCGTCGTCATCATCATTGTCATCCTCCTCTTCATCTTCGTAATCATCATCTTGATCATCCATTTCAGCCTCGGCGCCCTCATTGTTTTCATTGCGACGAACTTTTCTCGCATTTCGATAATCATGATGTGAGCCCATGCGATCCATGTAGCTACATTCTGTAGCGGCATAAAGAGAGTTGCGCCTCTCATCCCAAGCAAGGCTTACGACAGCATTGTTCCCAGTAGCCAAATCGTACACCGGTGCCTGCGCACGGACATCCCACATCTTGATTTCTTCTTCTTTCTCAGCACCTGTAAATACAGCTAAAATATAGTATATTAATAAAGGTATCTTAACAGACTATTGCTGGTCAAAACCAGAAGACGATCAACTTACTTGGAATGCCATCGGGATGGGCTAGCGTAGCATTAGCACACGGCCCAGATTGTCTGGTCACATTAAAAGTGAGAACTGGCATCGGGTGACGAACATCGTAAAGGCGAGCACAACCATCGCTACAGGCAGTGAGGAAGATATTTGGATCAGCCCTACTCGTGGAGAAGTTATTGATGTTTCCTCCGTGTCCAAGGTATTTTCCCACCGTCTTTCCATTTTCCATATCCAGTGCGTGGCAGTAGTATTGTAAGGACGTGTGTGCATTTGTACTGCAGAGCATGGCGCTGGATAACGACGGGTGAGGGTGCCAGGAGCCAATTTCAAAGCTGTAATCCTCGAAAGTGATGTCGTTGTGGGGTTCGCTGCCTTGAGAGGGTTCAATGAAGTCGTCCATATCCCTCATGGTTTCTGACGTGTCGAAGGTGCCGCCGATGACATTGTTACGACCTGGGATATGTTTCTCCAAGGTATCGATATTCCAAACATCAGCGAAACCGTCACCTGCCCTAAGTATCCGGCCGTTAAGCACTATCAATGGACCTTGACAGTCTTGCGAATTGAGAGTATGAACAGGGACGGCTTCCTCAAAGTTACGCTGACGGTTACCCCAAGCATAAGATTTAATCCTGTGGTCGTCCGCAACAAAAATCAGCTTGCGATCTTCATCAGTAGCAGAAGCGTATGCGATTCCAGAAAGCGCAACATCCACAGAGTGGGAGGGGAAAGCCGTTTGACCCTTACCAGCCTCATCGAGAAGGTAGTATTTCAGGTAGGGTTCTCTGTTTTTCCAGCCCCTAGAACAGGGTACCGCTAGACATGAACCTCCCGGAGACAAAACACACGAAATGGGCATGCTTAATTCGTCACTCTCAATTTCACATCTAGCTTGATATATGATGTTTGCAAGAGGAGTCGATGTATTCGCTGACAAATTGACCGCATTCCGAAAGCGAGCAAGGGGCGTACTACTGCTGTGGGGCTTCCTTGAGGAGTCATATGGGGCAGGTCGATCGAGCATCGGGGCGGCATTATTTTGGGGGAAGCTTGGTACTACATGTAAAGTATGTATAAGAAGCCGTCGAATCGCGCATGGGATCCAAGTTAGAAGAAACCCACCATCACGCATCATAGAACTGAGAAATTCTGTAAACATATCAAATAAACCATTGCCAACTGACTTGTTTCTTAGTTGAGCAGTATGTCATTCGGTGATACACTTACAGAATGCGCGTCCAACCTCTTCATCCTCGACAAGAGTGATGTAAGGGATACCTTCGTTGGCAGTGTTTCCTTCGTGAGCGAAAGAATTCAAGTAGTCGAACTCAGCATCGCCATAGGCGAAGTGAACAGCTTCATTGATCAAATTATCGACGCGCTCGACGATGGTGGGGAGATTAGGGGCTCCTCCACTGTCTGCCTCGCGTACTAAGTCACAAGCAAGCTGCAGATTGCTATAAAACACGGTTTCATCGATTTCTCCCTCTTCGTCTTCCTGTTCGTCTGCTTTATATCTGTCGATGTCTTCCTTGATTTCTTCGAGGCGCGTCAAGAGCTTGGAAGACCATTCCAAGTGTTCAGGTGAAGGATAGACGTTCATTGTGCATGAATAGGGCCTGCGGCTTGAGCTTTCGAATTATGATTTGGTGGAAGCCTGAAACGGAAGAGCGCGCTCGCCTGCAGATAGCCTGAGTCCTTCTTTCTTATATACACCCAAAGGTCACGGTCATCATATCTGTAAATGAGATTATCGTTTACGTAATGTACACTAAGCCAGCCCTAACCCGAGTGCACGCATCCGAGTACCGCAAGGAGTGCCGACCCAGTAATGACCGTTGACGGTCCTTTGCATCGCTCGATCTGCGCCATGTCTACACTCACTCCTATGCATTCTCCAAGGGTAAAGCGCAAGCCATCAACACGCAGACCTCGTGCTCCCTCGCATCTTCCTCCAGTGCAAACACAAGAAACCCACGATGCCGCCCTCCATGCCATCCGCACCCTGCTCAAAGGACGGACCTCATACGATGCATTTCCTGTTAGCTTCAGACTCATCGTGCTCGATACCAAGCTCAACGTAAAGAAGGCCTTACAGTGTCTGCTACTGAACGGTAAGCATGCAATGTCCATCAGAATTTGATTCTGCAGCTTACCACCTGTGACCTTTGTAGGTGTCGTATCCGCTCCACTATGGAACAGCGACAAATCAAAATTCGCTGGAATGTTAACCGTACTTGACATAATACATCTCATCCAATACTATTACTACACCGCAAATTACGATAGCGCTGCGGCTGACGTAGAAACATTCCGCTTAGAGTCATTAAGAGGTATCGTCTATCTCTTCCATTATGGGATATTGGAGAGCTAATATATCCGGGACTACTATCAGAAATCGAAAAGAGTCTTGGAGTAGCGACCCCACCACTTCTCCGAGAACACCCCAATAGCACGCTATACGATGCCGCGAAACTCCTCATCCAGACACATGCACGGCGACTACCACTGCTAGACAACGATTCAGAAACTGGCCAGGAAGTCATCGTCTCCGTCCTGACGCAATATAGGCTACTCAAATTTATTTCCATTAACGTAAGACTCGCAAGTTGATCGATATCGATATTACGATCTCAACCATATTGCTGGTTTTCAGTGTACCAAGGAGATACACCAACTTCACTTGTCTCTACGAAAACTCAAAATCGGGACATATGTATCCTCTACAATACCCCCGTCAGATTCTCCAGACGGTCAAAACCCATATTGGCCAATTGCCACCGCAACACTCGATACACCCGTCTTCGATGTTGTTCATATGTTTTCTGAGCGTGCAATATCAGCGGTGCCAATTATTGATGATGAAGGTGTCGTTGTAAATCTCTACGAGACTGTCGATGTGATTGTATGATTTTTTTGGCATTAGCGCTCGTTTCTCCTTGCTAAATAGTTTTTCATGACAGACTCTCGTCCGCCTCGGTGTTTATCAATCTCTCGACCTCACGATATCTGAGGCATTGAATCAGCGCTCACCCGATTTCCCCGGTGTGGTCATCTGCACGGCTTCTGACTCTCTCGGAACTTTGTTGGAATTGATCAAGAAGCGGAGAGTCCACAGGCTAGTAGTCGTTGAAGGCGATGTACGCACTTCTTATTTGATCGAGCAACCCCAGACACTGATGCTGTTTGCTTCATCTAGGAGGAAGAGAAAAAAGGTGGAAAGAAGGGGCGATTACTAGGCATCATCACCCTTAGTGACGTTTTACGATATGTCATCGGCCAAGTGGGGATTGGTGAAGTAGCCGAGCCCGTAGAAGAGAATGCGTCTCCATCCCAAGCACGAAAGCAATCATAGAACCCTTCCAATCTTGATATCTTGTCAGTCTGTACTTCATATATTGTAATTGTATGTCAGCTTTGTGTGTATGTTATGTCCGCTATACTGTGCTACTTGATTTGGGATATCAAGCATGTCGTGCATCATTACAAAGTTGTATTTCAGTGCTAGTGTTTGATCGACTCCCAAACTTGTCCTCCACGTGTGTTGAATAGATGACGATATAGCGGTCAGACAAATTGATTATTCACACTCTAGGTAGTATCAATACAAACAATCATTCTAAGACTCAGTCGTATACTAGCTTTATTTTGTTATGGTTGAAACGTCGTTGTACGAAAACATACCCTATGATGGTATCTAGTCGTCGGGAAATCCCGGTAACTCCTAGAAAACTGGCGTTACCCGAGAAGAACGCAAGTCTGGCCTGCAACACTCCTGCAACGGGAATTGAACTTTACTGTAAGGCCTGAGCGCTGAGCACTAACTACACTCGATACACCCGTCTTCGATGTTGTTCATATGTTTTCTGAGCGTGCAATATCAGCGGTGCCAATTATTGATGATGAAGGTTTCGGGCCTTCCTTAGTTGCGGATAATATGTACAGCCTGAGGTGAGACCAGTACTCGAGTACAGCCTTACTAACCTAACGCTTATGGGTAGGAAGCAGCTGATGCAGCCTCCGAAGATTATTGTCTGGAAGGTTGCACGGCTAGCAACGAACCTCGAATACTGATGCGGTGATCGTGAACAGGAAGTTACATCATCCATCACACTATAAAGATGCCAAGCAACGAAAAGGGACGACGCTCGAGTTTTTACTGCTCCGGCTATCAGAAACATGACACTTTGAAGAAAGTACAGCATCGCTTTTTGAATTTTTAGTGTAACATTAAAGAGCGCGCCCATTTGATCGTGAATGGCGCCGGTCAATATATGCCGGATGTCGGTGCCAATGTCTCGCATTTTTTCCAAGATACTTCGAGACCTCGAGGTCAACTGATTAGCTTACTGATTATTGCGGTCTCTTCCGTCCGCATGAGAACCAATTGAAAACCTAGAAACACTATAAGACCACCTGTTATCATGTACGAGGTCTGCATATTTCATCTCCCCTCCAGTTTCTTTTCGTTCGGGTACTAATTTTGCTATTAGGTTTCATTGGTAGATATTTCCTAATACCGAGCTCCTGATCCCTTTTTTCTACCACCTTTTCTGCTGAAGTCACCATGATCTCTTCTGTCCTATCTGTTGCCACTCTTTTGGTCGCGGCCACAACTGCCTTTCCTCTGAATTATTTTCTCCCTCGAGATCCCTCAGACAGTAAAAGCTGCTTGTCCCTTCGCAACGCATGCAATGCCAATGTAACCGACCTTTCCAACTTTTACAACAATACGGCCTGCGTGCTTCTCACCGTCTGCAGCTCTCCCACTGAGAACCCAGCTTCGACGCTCAATAGTATGGATGCTCCGGCGACCCAGCCACGCATGACACAAGCGGTGAGCATACCTGAATTTCGCATTTATCCAGGATTTAAATGTATCTTGCGGCTAGTTCTTCGAAACCTTTTCAGGAGGCTCGGATTCTTTAACCCAGCAAGCGTATATCGATGCATACTACCACCAGATTTCCATCACTCCGAACGGCACATATCCTGCAAGGTAAATCCATCTAGCCTTTAACGTAATGGTACTAGATTTAATTATGTATCTAGCGTCAACGATGTCATAACCGACTTCACCAACGTTGCTGCTTGGACAGGTTCCTGTGATTCACTCAACATCCCGTACTCTAACTTTGCCGTAAGCATTCCCCCTCCCGTTTATCATACGCAACTAGATCTGATGCCTTGATGATATCATCATATAAATATACAGGATTGGCTCGAGTACTCTTCCGTTCCTGGTGTTTGCCCTGCTGTTGCTTCCTGCGATGCCTCTGTAGCGAACTCGACGACTCCTTGCGTTCCCCAACCCGTCACCGATAACGGCAGTTGCGCTGAGGTGGCAGCCGAATGCGAGTTGTGGGTAACCGGTGGTCTTTTCCAGAACGAATTTTGTGTACTTGCAAGCATGTGCTATGCTGAGTCTACCACGGACGTGTTGATTAAAAAATTGTATCCTTCGTACGTGTCGAATATCCCCACATCGTTGACAGAGCAACGTTTGTCACAAGGCGTAAGTGACTTTGAAATCCCTTATTCGCCACTTCTTGATCTTGCTTGAAATAATAGGTCTTCTACAACATTACCCAAGGAGCAGAGACTATGACAGAGCAGAACGTGATTGATGCTTATTATGGTGCTTTGGTTCGTGTGATGTCCTCAATGTCCAACGCAACGCTGTACTAATGTGATGCCTAATACAATAGACTGGTACATACCAGAGCCTCGGTGGACCCTTTGGAGCCGAGACCCCTGGAAAGACCAGCAACAATGGTCCATACCCCACATCGTATGTCTATTATCGTTGACCATGGCTCTTTTCATACTCACATAGTAATTAGGACTGACTATGTGTCGAACTTCTGGAGCATTATCAGCGCCTGGACAGGCATGTGTGACACTAAAGAAATCCCATACGAGAACCTCGCCGACTATCTCACTTACGCCGCTACGAGCGGATACCACCCCACTTGCTGATCGTGAGGCTCGGCTCTCTGGACTTTTTTTACTCTTCTATTTTTTTCTTGGGTCTTATCCCATTTGGATAATATTCTTTTGAGTATGATATATTCGCTCTCTTACAGCTCACCCTCTTTGTCACCGTCGAAATAATACCTATCGAGAATAAAAATGGACACTGAATCTTGTTTGAAACGCTGCAGCTGGTTCACGTATGAATTCGTGACATTGAGTGAATTGTCCATCTATATCGTAGCTTCGTCTTCGGAAATATTGGTGATGCGCATTAAAGCGTTTCTTGCACTGTGAAATGCTTGGTCTCTAAAATCGGGGCAACCTGGAGGAATTACTATAGGTGGCTGGCACCTTACCGTTACCATAAGTTACTGGGCTGCTCAGTGCAGCATCATCACTAATACAAGTACCTACGTCCTCGAGTTATGATGGTCAGGGCTCACGGTAACAAGTGAGATAATGACTGCCCTGGTTCCGAGTCGAATTTCTTCACAATAGGCGTACCCGCAACCGCCAAGGTCAATATTTATCGAGAAAGAGGTAGAACCAGTAAGCAAGTACTCAATTAGCTCGTCTCTTTGAATTGCCCAGGACTAAGTCAAATGCTAAATCTAATATTCATTATTCGTGTCTTCCCAACTTGTGATCATCATACCACTTACACGTGCACGTGCCTGTGACGAGTCGCGACAACTTGAACTCGAAACTCGGCCCGTATGCGATACCAAGTTACATATATTCCAGTAATCAAGCCCAATAAAAGCCCGCTATCAAAGATGATCATTTCTCTGCAACGGAAAAGAGACAGATGCGACATATAAACTGATTTATTTTTGTACCATATGTGCATGAGACCATCCTTGTGACCTGTTTCTACTTCTTGACCCCGATAACTCTCCATCGATCTGTTGCAGCAGTTCACCCAGCTTAAAGTTGATAACGCATTACTGGCCCTCTTTCAATATAATACCATGAAGATCGCTGTCACGGGTTGCAACGGTCGCATAGGTCGACGTGTTGTGCTTGGTGCTCTGAAGCTCAAACACACTGTTATTGGTTTGGACTGTATCCTAGCTGACGATACAGAATTTCGAGAGGACCCGGGCTTTACTTTCCTTCAAGTCGATCTTAAAGACTTTGACGAAGCGTTGAAGGCATTTACAGGATGTGATGCAATTATCCAACTTGCCTCGTTCTCACATCCAGGAGACTATAAAACGGCTACTCACAATAGGTGTGAACGCTTCTTCCTTCCAAGGCCTGTAATAACAGTTTGGAGTCCTTCTGAAACAGCAATGTTGTGATCACTTGGAATGTCCTGCGCGCAGCCGCTGAGGTGAGTCCGATATTTTGTCCTGAGAAACTCGCAATACAATCTAGCCCCCACCAGCTGGGCATTACGCGAGTCGCTCAAGCATCATCCGTCAATGTCTATCATGGGGTATTCAGCAAGGAGCCTCAATTTGAATACTTCCCTATCGATGAAGATCATCCCTGCCTACCAGACGAACCATATGGTCTTTCTAAAGTGTGAATAATGGTCCTGAAAGTTTGGTCATGTGAAGCATCTATCTGAAATGAATTCCCAGAATAGCCGAAATGCAAGCTGATACCATTGTACGTCGGTATCCATCGATTCGAGTTGCCAGTATTCGTTTGCATTGGTCCCTTCCAACTCGCGCTCGGGCATATCGAAGTAATATGGAACGAGCCAAGGGTGATCTTTGGGGTTACGTTCAGGAGGACTCAACTGCAGAGGCCTTCCTCCTAGCTGTCACCATGGAGAACGGGAAGTGGTCTGGACATGAGCCGTTTTTGATTGTTGCGCCTCAGACGGCATGTGACATAGACACAAAAACGCTCATACGTGATTATTGGCCAAATGTGCCACACAAGGATGGGTGGGAGGTTAGTGAGGGTACGGGATTCTATAACTGTAGAAAAGCGGAGCAGCTTTTAGGATGGGTACACAAGGACGTGTAGAAGGGTCTTACAACTTCACCAAAGAAAGTGATGCAATATGTTAACTTTCGAGCCCATAAAGTACGCGACGGTGGGTATGACACACATAGACGTTGATAGATGAAACACAGGCGAGAAGTTAAATATGTTTCATCGGTATTATTGTTTGAAGACATTCAAAGGTGCAAAGTATGAAGCAAAAACTATGATGGGTGCAGAAACGTTTGCAACTGACATGTGAAGTTAGACCATAATCGCTTTTAAAGAAGAATCGGATACGCACATATTCTTCATAGTGGTGAAGCACTTCACGAAGCTGCTTCCTCGATATTTCAGCTCGAAATAAAATTTCGTCGTCAGTTTTTTTACCGTCGAAATATTGATTTATCCTTAATTGAAATCATACGTAAGTAAGATGAATTATTGTAGCTATGATACTTACTTTTCAAACCGTCTCGCAATATACTCTTCTTTGCCTTCTGACATCGCCGCTAGCCACCTTCTTTCCAGCGGGGTAGCCATGCCGGGATCACTGATCATTGACGGCCAAACGTTATCCTCTCTCGTTCCCCACCCCACATTCTCCTCTTCCGATTCTTCTTCTTCATACATTTGTCCGTCTTCGTCTTCCACGAACACTGAACCTGACATGTCACTTCCTTTACTTTGTCCAGATTCAGTAGAAGGAAGACGCCTTGAATACCGCCGCGCAGTCTTCGGTGAGAGTGAGAGCCACGCGACTCCGGCCATCTCTCTTTTTTCACTCAACCCATTAGACAGCTCATCGCCACTTTCTAGGAATTTTTGGCTAAGCTGCCGCCCACGAGCACGTTGGCGTTCACGTTGAGATAGTCGCCCTAGCCTGCGCTCGTGAGCAAAACGCACGATTTTCTTCAGCTCGGACGTAGCCACGATGCGAATACGGAGATGCAACGTGAGCAGAAGCTCATGCTTCAGCATCCATAAAACTACATCGTGGTAAAGCGGGATCAACTCTTTCGACTGCACTACAGTGGCGAAAAAATGATTATCCGACTGTTTAGAAGTTGCTGTCGACACATTTGAAAGTATCGTTGGTAAATGAGGTATAGATGGATGGGGAAACTCCCGTTTGAAGTCGATGGATAGGCTGGACAGGCTGAAGATACAGGACAAGATGATGAGAAAACATATTAGATTACATGAAGAGTGAAAATAACGGACGAGGCTTCGAATCTTGGAGGCAGAGTAAAAATGGTCTTCAAACCGCTGTGGACGATATCGACAACTTTGGCTCTCCTGTGATGAACCAACCAGCGAACGGTGGGATAAATCTGATTCTCAAGGTCCCAATCTAACAGGCTCGCCATATCTGCAAGTCTAGATAACATTATCATTATAAAGGCGTCGTATTAGCGTTTGGGAAAAGTGTACATACGACAAAGTAACCGATGCAGTCTCCAAGAACTTGATTAGACCTTGTGCCAGTGTCCTCTCTTCCGGCCTCACATGTGGGCCTCTGAGATTCATGTATGGGTCCAGTCCTTGATCACCATCCAACAGTAGCAAGCTCTTCCAAGGTGCTAAAGCAGGAAGCCGCCACCCGAAGCTCATCTCCCGTCCCCAAGCTCTCGATTCGTCGTCGTCTTCCTTATAGTCCACGAAGTCAAGGTCATATTCTTCCTCGCTGTGGAGGAGATGATCTAGATATGGCGGAAGCTGAAGCTCCAAGGGAAGATCGTGTATTGTTATATAGGCCATGGTAGAGGACTGTATAGCTTCATACAAAGTCTTCATGGCCGGGGCTAACGAGGACCTGAGAAGTGCCTGGGCGTTAAATTCAGAATATGGTTCTCCTAAGTAACCATGAACGGAAGCTCAGATTGAGAAGAGACAATGCGGCGACCTACCCTTGTCAATGTACTCGTCCTTTAAGGATACCAGTATGTCACACTCAGCTTCTACGAAATTGGACAACACTTGTTCTTGGAATAACACTGCGGTGACCGTGAAAGCTATCTGTTCGTATATGACATCAAAATATTTTGCAACATTGCCTGATGCAGAAGAAGATGGGTCGGGTAAATCCAAAACTATCACGAAGTGAAACATTTGTAGCCAAAGGCTCTGAGCGGGAGGACCTTTCTCTGCGATAGAAGATATCTCGGACTTGCCATCATCTTGCTGAGTTGCATCACGGTTTCTGGAACCTCGACCTCTGGAACCTGATTTCAACTTCTCAGATTTGAATCGCCATGAGCCATCGGATTCAGCACCGACTGGGTGCCCCAAGAAGACCAGATCATCTATGCGCAGCTCGAACTTCTGGTGACACAAAGAACGCTGGGGACAGAGCATGCTGGCCAGGAATTCGGAAGAGTAACCAAAGAGATCATGATATGCGTCTGTTTCTTGGGGATGATCCAGATCATCGTGGTCGAATGGGGCATCTTTAGATGGAGAATTACGCCCTGAAGAGGAAGCAGCAGAACGAGAGAAGGAGGTGGATCTGTCACGCAGAGTGGTCGGTCTTTTCCATTCATAGTCATCCATGTCATTCAGCAAAGCTTCGTCTTTTTTTTGCCTGTCCATGATTGAAGAGAATGGATCAGAAAAATTTGCAGCCCGCCATGGATTATCGAGCTGCAAATTATCAGATGGGGGGCGAGGGCGAGCAAGTCTAGAGGAAGTTTGTGGACACGGAGGCCATCTGAAAACGACGCTCGAGCCTTTTGCTGATGAGGTGACCAGCAGAATGGAGAGCAAACTTTCAGCCATTTATGCAGCTTTTCCTTTTCGCAGTTTTGGACATGAAAGAAGATGAGTGGATGAAGGTTATGCAAAGATACTGATTCCTTGAGTAGCAACTTTAGCGTGAACATTGCAGTATTGAGGTGTCTGGGGTCTACGCGTGGGCTCTTATTGCTCTAATCCTCTGACCGCCATTACTATTACTCATAAATGGTCAAATTTGTGAGCATGCAAGAGCTTGTTCCGCTGCCTACTGGTGTTTCGCTGGAAACCGTACGCATATATCCAAACCCAAAACAATCCTCGACCAAGCTCGCAGTGTGCTTGCATCCTTGGTCATGGCTCGGAGGCAACATGAACGATCCGTGAGTCACCATGACTATTCGACAAAAAACGTGCCCTTTATCGTTCCATGCTCCCCAACTGTCAAAACGTAAAGAGTAATCCATACTCTTGTCCTTCTTCTTCAAGCAAGGGAATACCATGTAATTTATTACAACTCCCGAGGAGTAGGAAAGTCGACTGGAACGGCGTCATTTACGGGCCAGAGTGAAGCAAACGACCTCAAGGCCATTGTGCAACTCGCTCTCGAAGAGATACCTAGCATTCAAACAGTAGTATTGGTCGTAAGTCCTTTACTTCCATCGCCAGCTGCTGCATATGTTGACTTTGTGATCAAGGGATACTCTCATGGATCTCTTATAACTTCACTCCATCCGATACTCCAGCCAAATATCAAGATATGGTATCTTCTGCTGTCATACCCACTCAGCCCAAGAGGTTTCCTAACTTTGTTCCGATCTAAATCGTACGAGTCAGCACTAAACAACCTTGTTCGACATCCCGACGTCAATATACTTGTCGTATTTGGCGACAGAGATAATTTCACAAGCGAGTCGAAGTATGATAACTGGACTGAGGCTTTGCAAAAGGAAGCACGAGGTGATGGCACGGGAACGCTGCAAGTCGTAAAGGTTGCAGGAGCATCCCATTTCTGGGCGTCTGCGGAAGAACGCGGACAGCTGGAACAAGTTGTTGGGGCTTGGTTGCCATAAAAGCACGCAGGGACATAATTCTGAGATCCCATCGCCTGTAGCCAGCTCGTAGTATACATGTATCTGTACTGTAGTACAATGCTTGACTAGTTTTTGTGGTACATTCCTGTGCGGTCTTAGCCGTTGTTGACGGCGACGAGCAACCAATAAAGCACTATCGATAGTTGCCAAATGCGGATACAGCTGACTGTAACGTATCCACCACAACATTTCCGTCGCACTGGCATCGCTGACCCAAAGCCTCGCCTCATCACTGCCGTTTCTTGCCCAGTATCTTTGACCTGCAACTTTGTATATTGTGTCTTTCAGATCTTTCTTTCGCCTCCCCTTTCACCCTCCTACCACGCCATGTAAGTTTCCGTAGCCATTCACTTGCCACCGTGGCTGCTGTCATTGACAGATTACCTTTGCTTCCCATTCTTTGCTTCCTTCTCTTTAGGCCTTTGCCTGACGAGCGACCGCGTCAGAGCGTAGCCAATCTTATAGGGCGATTTGAGCAGCAAACTAAAAAGCAGCCAGCCTCTGCAGCCCCGTCAATCCCACGCAGCTCGAGTGTCGCGTCCCAAATAGTCGGTGATTCAGCAAAAGAAGACATCAAAGAAAGACGGGAATGGCCTCCCAAACCTGTGGCTTCTGCTGAGAAATCTACCACCACCCCTTCTTCCAATACCACCATGTCTGCCATTCCCTCCTCAAATCCTACTTCTCCGCCAAACACTGAGCCCGAGATGATACCTCCTGCGCCATCCAAGGAACTAGCTTCACCGACAAGTCCAACTTCCCGCAAAACTCCAACGGCAGCAAAAGACTTGGACCATCCAGCTAAACCAAGATCCAGCATGCGCAGTCCCACATCTCCTGTCAAGGCCCCACATGGCAGATCTTCTATCGCCTCCGCAGCTAGAGCATCCATTAAATCTCCTGTCAGATCACCGCCCAAGTCCTCTCTCGCCCCATCTACATCGCAGCCAATCAGGCCACAGCACACCGGTCAGTCTGTAGCCTCCAATGCGTCTACCGTTCGCAGTCCTCCTTCCAGGCCCAAAACTGCCCCATCTACTCCTTCTCGTCCCAAGACACCTGCCGCTCATTCTCCAGCTGTGACCAACCCATCTCGCCCCAAGACACCTTCGGGCCTTTTCGCACCCACCGCTGCTTCTCTTGCCCGTGCGCGCAATGCTACACCACTTGTCCCGCTGCCCACAAAGAAGACTACGCTCAGCAGTAGTGCCGCTGAGCGACTCAGCAAGCCGACGGCTGCTTCGATGTCGAAGATCCGTGGCCCAACTGCTAGCCCTGCTTCTACTCCCCCGAAAGTGGCCAAGGTATCCTCGGCGGGCGCAGCTGGGCATACCTCGACGAGGGGTCCTTCAAAGTTAAGAGTGGGGCTGGCACCTGCTAGGATAAAAGAAGCGAAAGAAAGAGAGGCGGCAAAACGAGCTGCAGCTAATGCGACGTCACATGCTGAGAAAGCTCCTCTTAGTCATCCTGAAGCTGAGGTTGACGAGCATCTCGTTGTTGAAGAACATCATGCGAATGGAAATGGACACGAAGAAGAGAAATATGCTCATTTGTCTGTACTTGAGCCTGAAGAGTTGACAGATGTTGACCCTCAGGAGCACCACCTCCACGAAGAACATTCGAAGGTCCTTAGCGAGCATGTTGAACATATATCATTGGAAACAACTGAAGCAGGTGCCGCGTTGGATTCAGAGGAGCATCCAGTAGAAATCCTACAAGCACTAGAAGCTATGGAAGCCGATGAAGCTTCAGGATCTTCCATCTCCCACCCAACCGCCGTCGGATCCCCAGATCACGGAGAAAGTAGCCATGAACACGATGAGGTGGAAAGCGTAGCCGTAGTTCATGATGATCCCTCCGCACCCCAATCCCCTGAGGAGGAAGATGTATTTTCAGCGACGCCCGACGTCGACGTCGTACGTGTCGACGAAGTTAAATCTCGGCAAGCTGGAAACGATCTGGAGGACATGGTGACTTTGCTAGAGTCTAGTGTGCCCGTCCTCTCTACCAAGCCTCGCCCCCAAAGCATCGCTACCATCCCCGACGAGTACGAGATTGATGAGTGATCAACAAGCTGATGGCAGTGTTCAGCTGTATATACACAAAAAAAGTTAACATAAAGATGATTGGTTCAGTAAAGAATGCCGACTGCACCCTCTACTGATTTCATTTTGTTATATACTTTGGACGGTGAGTCTTTCCACTTGATAAATGATTTCGTATCTTACGCCTATTCAATTTCTCAGCATCTCTACGTCATCCACACTCTCTAGTTTATCACGTTCTTTTAGTCCTGGTATTTCTTTGTTACCTGGTGGTTGTTTCAAATTCCTAGTTTTCCTTTCACTGTCTTCTGCTTTCAAGTTCTGTTCTACCCTTCTTTACATCCATTGGGCCATTTGTGACTCGCATCTTTTTCTCGTATTCCCTTCTAGGTTTTTTTACCCTACCATGAACCTCTCTCATAAGCTTATAGACTCTGGAGATAAGTTTTCATAACAGTATACCCTGTGCGCATTCTTTTTTACATAAAGGAAAGGTAGCAATCGAGTCCCCGTTGAAAACAGTTTAAAGCGTAAGTAAAGGAAAAACAGGTCAGGGTGCGAAATCGTTGCACCAGTGTTTGAAGAAAACTACATGATGATATCATAATCCGTAAATAAACAGTGCAAAATCGTCTGAACAACAAATACAAGGCAGTGCACAAAAGAACAAGGAAGAATCATAAGAATAAAACCAAAATAACAATAAAATGACAAAACAACCTAGGTTACATTCAGCGAGCTCGTTTGGCAGCCTTCTCAACATCCTTGAGCATGCTCAGGGTCATCCTTCTGAATGGTATATTCACAGTACCATCCTCTTTGAATCTCTGTAATAGATAACAAGTGAGGTTATGAGTATGTATTATATAGGACCACACTTACCCTCAAATGAAACTTGCACATCATAAAGCCCGACTTGCCACGTTCTAGCTTAGCCTGTAATGAAGATAAGGTTAGGTGCTCAGGGTGATGCAGTATCACCAAGTACCTCATCCACAATGTAAAGTCCGTCATAGCGGTAGCTAGGATATGATTAGTTAGGATAGAATGGCAGCAAACGCGAATCGACTTACCCTTTCGCAGGAGTGTAGCGATTCGATTTATCTTGGCCTCGAATAACACGTACTGGACGCCTGGTCTCCGACGATATCTAGGAATAGCCGTAAGGATAGCGGCTCTCACAGCGCACGAGTCTGTATAATTACCTGCAACGCTCTGTTATAAGAATACTCGAAGGTCTGATCTTCAATTTGCTCCTGCTCAAAAGTCATGTTAGGTAACAACAACTAGAACAAAATTGACCGGGAAGATCATACTCCAGAGTCATTGCGTCCTCCTTGAGCGAATATAAGTTATCGATGACCTCTGCTTGGCTAGAGCGTATAGATACGCACCTGCTCCTGTGTAGATACTATTAAATAGAATTAAGGTTCAATCAGTTAACTAGTAACGATATCCAACTAATGAGAATCAAGCTACGCACATAGTATCTCCATTATCTTGGTCGTCTTCGTAGCCGCCAGAAATGACAATTGAGTATGCACCTTCTCGTGCATTGCCACAAATCCCGGCTTGCGTGGATGCATGTACTTTAGCTCTTGCACATGCCACACTGCAACACGTCAGAATAGGTTTCAGACGGATTACTACATATACATACCGTGAAGGCCAAGTGGTGAACACATCGACGCCAGGAATGTGCCCGAAAGTTCGACTCCTGAATGAGACTCAGATACGATAAACGAGAAAAGGAACAGAATACTTGCGAGACAGACATAATTTTCTGGGCTATTCGTCTGGAAATTCTGTGGTAATACTGGTTTTCAGTGTGTCCTTGTAAAGAGATGAGGGTTCGCGCCAAAATCACGTTCTTGGGGACGCGACGCGACGAAATGCTTTATATTATGGATCGACAGGGTCAAACACAGACAAATAAGAGTACGTGAGGCTGAGTCATCGAGCGGTGTATTTGACTCGGACAATGCCGAGCCCGAGTCAGCGTGTTAGGGGCATGGTAAGAGACTACCGACTAGTATCTAGACAAAGGTCTTATCCAGATCCGCAATTTCGCATGGTGTAAAATCGTATTTCTGACTCGACCTCGAACACATATATTTATATCCAATCTGTTGTAATAATCCTGATGTAACGATCAGTCGAGAGCCCTTACAAAACGCATCTCAACTTCTTGGAACACATCTACCGTTTTGACAACTTCAAAACCGAGTCGTCTAAACAAAGCGATACTAGGTGCATTGGATTGAGATATCCGTACCACCAGAAACGAGGGTTTTATTGGTAATGGGACGGGCGGAGGCGGTACATCGGGAGCCAAAGGTGAGCAGGAAAATGTGGATGCTGCGCCTGTTGCAAAACTCAGCATTAACTGGAGCGCTTCACATGCAAAACCCTGTTGCCGATAAGCAGCTTCTGCAGGCCAGATTTAAGTTGTATTTATGGTATCACAGTGTTTCTGACCCACCCGCTATCATGATTTCTACTTCCGCTTCAAAGTCTTCATCGTTTGGGTCTCCTTTAAGAAAGAGATTCACGTCACCAACCATTGGCATGGCCGAGGTCTCAACGTCTTGTTGGTTTGCCAAAATAATGAAGGTAAGTTCTAGATTTTGCGAGTAACATAATCAGACACCCGGAATCAACAGAAGATTTGAAGATCCACGATTTTCTCACTGTCATTGTCTTCTCGCCATTTATCTCAGAGAAGGTCATCATCGTGACTTGCACTTTATCCCATTAGGAATACATACTCTGCATTGCGTATTCTTCCTCTAATGTGAGCGGTTCACTGGCTGTGAGTGCTTGCAGAACTGGGTCGGTCATCCACTTGTGATACATCTATTACACGATGAAAATGAAAGAGAGATTATCTGATACAAGAAATGTTTATATTACCTCTACGTGTTTGCGGCTATATGGTACTAACACCACCTTCCTTCCAACTATAATTGCGTCTGTAATCATGGTAGAGCGTGATAGTAAGCGTTTGAGCAAACTTCAAGTTATATCTTTGCCGCTTATCTAGTCCGCTTGGGTTTCCTATTCGGGCTTGTGATGCCGATAAGACGCGTTGTCCCACAGCCCGACGCTCATCTTCGAAGCCAAAGGCCCAATAACATACTCATAACATACTCATACGACAACTCCCTGCGACTCAGACTTGTCCGCATCACTGCACCAATAAAACTGAACAAACATTAGTATGGTTCTGGGCAGAGTGGCGCATTATGCTGTTGACGCTGTACTGGTTTCAACTGTCGTCGCTGGTATTCGACGTTCAAGTGGATTTACGTGAGTTCTGCCTTTCAATACCAACGTTTTATTTTTGTGCTCACCTGTTTATATTTCCACATTATTGTGTTGACAACTGCGCTCGCCTCAGGCCTCAAACCGACAGTATCACCGATCCAACCATGAGGTCCGTCGTCGACCGGTTTCTCGGTGTGGGCGAGACGGTCTTTGACATGGCACAAGCTACAGTTGTGAATAGCCAGTACTTTAGAAGGGATTCGAAGGGGCCAAGATGACACTGATAAGGTTGGAATGAGTCTCGCGGTTCAAATGGGAGTCGCTGTGCCTCACAGTTGCAGTGTATTTATGGCCCCTCAGTCAGAAGAGCTCCAGGATGCATACACTCTGAGTATATACTTGAGCTTATATGTGTCTATATCCTATAGATTTTATGCAAAGGGAATAACAGTATAGCACTCAGATATGTAGGTTATGAGCAGGGTTGTGACTGTGTTCTAATAACCCTAACCCTGGGTAGACGCTATACCCCGCACTGCCACCCTAAACCTGTTCCGCATGGTGAAAATCGAACGCGACACTATACTATGACTATGACAGCCATAAATCATTGCTGAGTAGAATAAGCAAACGGCTGACATTTGTAGGTGTGAGCTAGATAGAAATGCTTCTTATTACTGTTCTGTGCTGAAAAGTCCTGTAGTCTGTTTACCATATAGTAGGAATTATAATGGCTTCCTCAACGCCGGGTCCAGTTCCACCTCGACATACGCGTCAGGGGCAAGGTGTGTTGTAATTTGTATAGCTGTACCTTGTGTTTTTTTAACAGAATTATGGGAACTAGGTCAGCAAACCGTTTTGGCTCGACTACAAGCATTATTTCCCGCTTCCCCAAACGTCCCGCAGGATGAACCGCAACCCCCCAAGCCCCCAAAGTGTCTCAAGGTTAGGATAATAACATGGAATATGCACGATTCGCTACCAAAGGTACGCTGTAACACTTTCTCTGTGTCTACGAATCTTTCATATATATTGTCAGGGAGATCTCGAAGAACTTTTGGGTGCCGTTTCTCCTCACAAGCTGGTTCCCATATCGCCAGATAGCCTCGATATCCCGGACATGTCCATTGATGCAAATCATCCCTATCATCTTGTAGTCGTGTAAGTTCATAGCTATCTTAGGCATGGCTTTGACCTGACTTTTTCATCAACCAAACTATAAGTGCTGGACAAGAATGCCCCAGTTCATCTGGTAAGCCGTCGTGGTTACCTACCTATGTAATATACAAGATGGATAAATTTTCAAAAATAGGAATTCCTATGGGTTTGGGCGCTGGGTTCAAGTTAATCGATAAGGAAAAAGAGAAAGAAAAGCTTGAAGACAAGGATGTCGAGAAACCACTCTTACACAAGCTCAAAGACCAATATGAAGGCAATCGTGGCTGGAAAAGTTCTGATGACCTTGCAGAGGACGTTGTTATCAATCACCCTACTGGCTGGACATCTATACTCGAGCACTGGTTATGTCATAGGACTCAAGCGAATCCGCAGTCATCTGATGAAACCGAGCCCATAGACGTGCCATTGTCCCCCAAACGGGCTTCCGTTGGAAACCTACATCGTAGAGTGACCGTAAAAGATCACGACAAGGGGCCATATGTACCACTAGTTAAGGAAAGGATGATGGGATTATATTTAGCGATATACATCCACCGGGATATACGCAATCTGGTCAAAGGTGAAATCGACTTGCAGAATATCTGATATATACTGACTAAGTAGTCAGGTACTTCAAAATCAGCGGTTACTACCGGGCTAATCGGTGGGCGAGTAGGAAACAAGGGTGGTGTAGGCATCAGTCTCAATATCGATGGAACAACGCTGTTGTTTGTAAATGCCCACCTCGCAGGTAAGTTCATCAGTCATGCAAGACATGATATTGGATTAACGTATTGGTAGCTCATGAAGGTAAAGTTCTTCATCGACTGGCTAACCTTGCCAAAATTAAGGTAGATATCAAGCACTTAGAAGTTACTGTAGACCTGAAACTCTGCCCATAGACCGAACTATCCGTCGATCCCTTTCTCAAACCTGATGATCCACGAATCATGGCTGAAGGTAAAATTTAATTTCCTTTCACACCATCCCCCGTTATGAATGAATGATTTCTAGACGTAACCGACAGGTTTGACTACACGTTCTTGTGTGGTGACCTGAACTTTCGTTTAGATATCACACGTCTTCATGCAGACTGGCTTATATCCCGGCAAGGTAGGAAAACCCATCTTATCTGACAAGGCCTTGTCTCAAAAACTCAAAAAATATCCAGAATACGAACAAGCACTAGCATTTGATCAACTGCGCAAGCAAATGGAAACAAATTCGACGTTCGCGGGTTTTAGAGAAGCGTCAATCAATTTTCCTCCCACATTCAAGTACGATGTCTTGCGAACCCTAAGGAGGTTCAGAACGAAAGCCTCTAGGCGTCACAGTAGGCGCTCTATATTCGAGAAGGATCATGCAGGCAGCGGAGCCGAAGGCAGGGACCACGAAAATGACGACGATGATGCTGAGGAAGAGGGTGACACTGAAGCTGCATCAATGGCTTCCTCTGCATGGGCGTCCGTGAATTCCAAAGCGGCGACGGACGTCGAAGATGATGATTATTTTGACTCACTCAACTCTGACCATGCAAATGGGAAGCAGAGGTTGTCACTCTCGGCTGCAGTGCATAAGGCAAAATCTAAATGTAAAACACTTCTCTCGCCTGCACTGTCGCCCTCTCTGCCCAGTACTCCTACAAAATGGCGACGCATGAAACAAGGCTTAGCAGAATCTGCTGTCCTTTTCAACAAAGACCCGGCGTCATCGGTGCCATCAATTGAGAATATCCCTACTAGTTTGTTACCTGAGCCCACTCACAGGCCAAATCTACTTGATCTTTCAGCAAAAGAACTACTGGCTCTGCCTCGCCCTGTATCTCGAGGTGTTTCAACAAGGTCAATACCTCCCACTACAGACCAAGAAGACGAAGACGAGGACAAAGGAGTATATGATTCCTCGCACAAGCAACGTGTTCCTAGCTGGTAAGCTACAGTATGTCATATCGGTGCCCATCCGACTCAAACATATCCTGAAGGTGTGATCGCATCCTTTGGAAATCAACGGTCGTTCCAAGCCTCGGAGATGATGACTGTATACCCGAAAATAGTGGACCTAAGACTCGAGTTGGCAATTTCTTCTCGGCACTCCGCCCCCATTCTCGCATACGGCGGGACTCGAGCAATTCCACGCTTCAAGAAGACATAATTACCCCATCTCACAGAACAAGTATTGACACTAATATAGCCAACACTTCAATTATCGACATTTATTCCGGTCATGGTTATCCTCATGCTGGATCCACTCAATTATCACCCAAATTTCTACACCATTCTCGTTCTACCGAAAGATTGCCCCAGAGAAAGCAGACTTTGGTTCCTCCCAGACCCTCTACACAGTACGCCGGCTACAATGCTCGCCTTGAGGGCCAATCAGCCGACATCAATTCTCCGAATCTCGAATCGGTATTCCAGCCTTCGCCGCTCGTTACAAATGAGGCTTCCCTAGATACCCCGCCCCCGGTGCCTCCTAAAGACTCGGTAGCTCGCTGGCGATTCTTTCCTTTTCGTCGAGAAACGTCACAAACTATCGTTTTGTTGGAAGAGCCGCCAGCAGAAGTGACACCCCTTCCCCAGAAAGGCGACATCGTATGTCTTAGTTATAACACTTTAGATGATCGAGGGATGCGACGCTTGGAGGGTCGTAGTGACCATCGCCCAGTTATTGGTTCATATGCTATCTATTTGTAATACTCGCTGGTCGGACTTAGTGTACATTTCTACTCATCAGCGTATACGTGTTAGTGTCGTGGTTGGTCCATATAGTCATAGTAATTATCTACATACCAGTATATATATTTCGGGCTCGCAAAACTCGTCGCGAATGAGACTCTTTGGACTACTACATTGGGTCCATTTACTTCCGGCCGGTCTTCCACGCTTCTGAATAGTAAGGCTGGGGCTGTGCTAAACTTGACACAATGCCTGCCTGCAGGCAATTGCAAGTTGGAAGGTGCGGAAACCGGTATAACGCAAAATCATTGGTCTTTTTCTGATTGTCCGCTTTCTTGTGGCCAGGCCTCGATTGCTTTAACACTCTCGTCGGGCAGAGGACTTGGCAACCCTCAAGGTTAGTTACCTGGAGTCTACTCTCATATTTGCCGCAGCTTTGGTTTTTTTTGTTGAAAAAAAAACCCTTTGGTATAATTGCGAGCTATATAGATCTGTCTCCCGTCGCTTTCGTGCTTCGCAGCAACGAGTATTTTTGCGTATGGTTGATCCTCATAAACTCTACGGCCAAGAAGCTCTTGCTGTTTTGCATCGTCCAGACCAGGCTAATCAGCGAGGCAGGTTATCATCCGTTCTAGACAGCAATAATATCGCGTGGGCCACTACGCCAGGGCAGTCTAAAGCGTTCGGGAACGGCACGCGTATTGTCGAGCAAGCAAGAGTGGACCAGAGAAATGTTCCCATCGCGGAACTCAGAAATCGCAAAATGCTCCTGCAAAAAGCTATCACGCAGATAGACACCTCAGTGGCGCATTTGATGGCTGTGCGATCTGGTATACCAAGTGCGATCTGGATACCCAAGATGCAGCAGATATATGCTGAAGTGAAGAGCAGAAAAGACCTTCTTCCCAAAGTGAACCAGGCCTTAGCTCAGGCTTCGACTCAATTTGACAGTGACAGTGATCAGTCAGATAACATTGGTTCTTCAATGTAAGGAATCATATTCTCTTCATGTTCACGATACAAGCATATATTTAGCGCTTTATCTGCAGTGGCTCCTCCCTAGCTCATCCGCCATCGCAGTCGGGGCTGGAACAAAAACCACGACCTGCACCGCTGTTACCTCACCCTACAGGGCAACCGCAGTCTGTAGCAACAGACGGGAAAAAAGTTTTTACATTGGATGAACTCACTGAGAGGAGGGCAATACTGCAACAATCTATCGTACAGTGGGAGACTACAGGAAAACAGCTGTTGGCTGCTCGATCCGGGATGGCAATTGAAGTTTTCGAACCAAAAATGCAGCAAGTACAATTCGAGGTGACTAGGAGAAAAGGACTGATGGTAAAACTGAACCATGCTATCACCCACATATCAGCGCAACCTCGGCCGCACGATGGTTTGCTCGTCTCCTCTCTGATCCTACCTCCTCCTCTGGATAAGGCGAGGTTTGAGATACATTACGCCAATTTTTGTCGTACCAAGGGCCTCGAAATGACGTCGCGAGTTGCTTTATCGGACGCCCAATGGGTTGATTTGTATCAACTCCATGTAAATGTGATGAAAGAGGGAACGTTTGCGAAGGTAAAACAAGTCCTCTGCTCCACTTGAAAAATCTGGCTTTGACCGCCCTCTCAGGTGAATCAAAATAACTTATGGCATATTGTTGGAGGACGATTAGGCTATGTGCGGGCCTCAGACAATACGGTTGATCCACCTAGGTGCGATCCGGAGCTTGCAGCACAACTATCCCGTATATACAAAGAGCATCTTGAACACTTTGATTTTCTCTACATCAGTTCAGTAGTCGATATGGCCAAGAGGAAAGCGGAAATTCAGAAACAATGTAAGTAATAGGTCAGAACCGTTAAACTGAATGACTGAGTAACGATTATACAGCATGATTCTACCGGCAGGCAGACGGGCACAATGTAATCTTTTCCCCTCTGAACTAGCCCGCTTGTGCTTCGAGGAAACCACATACATCAAGTAGCTCGAATTACTACGCGTGAAACCATATGTTCCACCTCCCACTGACCATCAGGCTCACTTCGCAGTCACAATCATCAGGGACATTCGCCTCCCTTTGAAGCGTCGAGAACTGGTTGACCTGGTGGGTAGGATTAACACCATAGGAAATACAGCAATCTTGAACAACTTCCGTAAGCAAGACAAATCCAGAGGTCGTCGTATTAGCTATGGAAAACTATTCGAGTTAACTTTGTTGGACCAGTGAATACAACCTGTGCCTGTTGCTATCTACTACTGAAGACAACAAAGTCCTGTTTTAGGTCACTCAACCGACCTCTGTCAGACGCTCCTTTATACTTGATATGCACCGTATGCAACCTTAGACACCACTAGGTCTGGGCTTAGTTGAATCCTGTTCAATATTGATCAAATATCCTTCTGGATAAATTTTCAGAATGCTAGTGACGGTCGTCAACGATGATCTGTGCTGTACATTCACAAAGTCTTTGAAGGCCCGGTATTTTGACCCCGTACGAGACGGAGAAGCTGTCAGCAACGCGGCAGTGCGACTGACGCCGTGTCGAGGAGCAAAGGTCACATTAATTGATATAAAATTTGCAATGTTTCAGCCAGTACGATATAGAGCAGTATTCAGTGAGTCAAGAAAGTCAAATGGCCACACAAGTGTGTCGCACAAAGTAGGGCACTGATGGCAAAAGTTTAAATGCCACTACTGTGGCCAAACACAATGTCAAGCTTTGACATTGTCCTGCTGTACCGCGCTAAACGCCGATTGACTATTGCTTTGTCGACATTTAATCGAACAAGAAGTATGGGTTTCAGGAATATATATGCAGAAAGATTGAACGGCATTAAGCCGCGGTAGTGATAAAATATAGGTTTCGAGTCAGCTGTTGGGAATGAACGAACGAATTATGTGCAAAAGAAGAGTGAAAACCTCAGTTTTAGGGATAAATGAAGATTTAAGTAATAAACTGGAGGCCTGGATAAGCTTTGTGTAATTACATAAGCCAAACTCCGCTTGGCTGGCGTGTGGTCTGTGCTTCACAGCTTCGAAAGCCCCGACCAATCCTCGCTCCCACCCACCAACATCCTCGACGGCGCTCTCCCCATCCTCAACAGTGTTCTCCCTGTTCGTCCTCGGGTGCAGGTCGCTGTTGTCCCCGTTCTCGACATCTCTTGGCCTTCCCCGCCCATCGTGGTCCCTGTAAAGCCCCCAGTTTTCATTCGTCCCTGTAGGGGACGCACATTACCTTGGATATGGCCGATCGTATTCCTCAGTACTCTCTTTTCCCTCAGAATCTCGCTCCAAATCTTCACAACCAGCAGCCTCAGCAGCAACCTCAGGTCGAATCCCAGATAGTCCCTGGTTTAACCAATGCTGACCACGGGCGAATGTGGCAGCAAATGCAAAATCAGTATCGCTCTCAAACGGGTCATGACATCAACACATCCCAAATTAACCAACAGGCGAGTGCTTTGTTTACACTCACTTGTTTTTTTTCTCGCTGCCGAGGGCGACTTACCTTTTCATGTGTTCTCCTTGCCCTCATGTGCAGCATTTTTCGAAGCAGTAGTTGCTTCGATTAGTAATGCTGGATTCGAGCGCTTCTCAATCATGTTCGCCTTCTTAAGCCAAACCATTGACTTGTTTTGGTGTCTATCGTTATGCGTGCTAACCGTTACACTGACAGATGGTAGACTTCATGCGTAATCAAAGCCTTGCTCGCAGTCAAGGACAACAGTCAATGGTTCAACAATCTCAGCAGCAGTTTGGACTCGGACCCCAACGCATGAATGCCCCACCGACTTTTCACGAGCTACAAAACAATCAAGCTCCACAGTCTGTAATGCAGCCCAACTTTGGGATGATGCCCAATACAGCACCGATGCAACAGTCAATGAACTCTCGGAGCGCCATGTTACAGGCACTCCAAGCCAATCCAGGCAATATGTCCCGACAACTTCAATTGATGAACCTCGCACAAAACCAACAGAAACAGCAGTCTCCAAATGCACCCATGGATTTCACAGCACGCTTAGCTCAACAACAGCAACATAATCAATCCAATGCAAATGGCTCAGTTGGCCCAAATCAGTCAAACCAGCCCGACATGTTTTCTTCTCCCGTTATGCAGTCGAGTTCCGATGGCGTGCACAGTTCCCCTCATCCGTCCTCTCAGCCTTTGATTTCTCAGGGTAACATGCCAAATCCTATCCAACTCTCTCAGCAGTCAACGCAAAATGGCCAAAGGATAACTCCCAACGACCTCCAGGAACGTAAATTGTACTTGCAGAATCAGATCTCTCAAGGAGAGGCGTCTTTACAGCGTTTGGCCGCAACTAGACCGGCTACGCAAGACCCCAATTGGATGCAAAAGATGCAGCAGTTGTATCATGATGTGAGGAACAAGAAAGAGTTATTGGGAAGGGTTAATTCTGCTATACAATTAACTGCGCAAGCAATGCCCAACACTTCTGTTAATGCGGTGCCAGGTGGGAACTCTGGAAATATGTAAGTAATTTTGATATATATATCTTCGTATGCGCAAGCTTAAAGCATTGTAGGAATTCCATGACATCGCCTTCGCTGCAACCTCCGCAATCAGGAGTCATGGCTAACGGGCACGCTCAGCCAAATTGGATGAACCAGGCCAATCAGGTTCAGAACTTTAACATGGGTTCAAATTCAGGCCCTTCGCCGCCTTCGCATGCGTCTCAGCCATTGATTACCACTAGCAATGCTCAAATGTCTGCGCAGCCCGCTTCTACGCAGAACGTTCCACCTCCGCGTTCTGGCCACACTCCACACCAGCTCCTTGGAAATCAACAAGTAAACACCATGTCGCCCAGAATAAACAATCAATTCCCTTTTCAAGGACCGGGAGGGCAACCGCAACCGGGACAACACCGGCTAGACGGCGGTAACTCATCGATCACAATTCCCCCTATGGAGAAAACGAGATTTGAAAATGCGTACACCAGCTTTTGTCGAAATAGAGGGATTGAGCCGAATCTACGTGTGGTGCTGTCGGATAGTCGATCTTTTGAGTTGCACCAACTCCATGTCCAAGTAATGAGAGAAGGCGGGTTCTCAAAGGTATGTAATCTTTGTTGAGGATTCTGATTATCAACTCATGGATACAATCGTTAGGTGGCTCAAAGAGAACTTTGGCCTGTCATCGGTGGACGTTTAGGATTCGTGCAGTTTCCAGCCCGCGAAAATGAACCTGATAAAGCGGGTCCAGCCTTTGCCGTTCATCTATCACATGCATATACGGAATACCTGCAACAGTTTGACTTGGCGTATATCAGCACAATCCTCAACCGATTAGACCCGTCCAAGAAGATACCACAGAATGGCTTTCCCGGTACGCAGGGAAATACCATGCAGTCGAATGGCTCGAATCCTTCAGATGCACAACCAAATGCGCCCCGGAACACTTTTAATAGCCCACAATTCCTCAACATGGCCATGCGTTTTGCAAACGTATCAGCAGCCGACATGAGACGGCAAAATTGTCCAGAGCAATTTATCCAGGTTGTTGAAAACATGCGGCCCCAGTTGCTCCGTTATCAACAGCAAAATAGTCTCCGCAATGTGATTACAAAAGGCGTTGCACAGCAGCCTGCCCCACCAGAACAGAATGTGATGCCCAGCGGTGTGCCTGGTCGCTTTTCAGATCAACAAGAGTCTCATTCATCCGTCCCTCTACCTCCTGCTGTAGGACGCTCCCACGTGTTGCAGTCCGGACCTCCCCACCCAGGTACAAATGAAGGAGCTTCGTCCAGCAAGCAAGTTGTTCGACCACAACCACCGGGAAACAATGTCTTACAGCGTCCCAATCAGGCCCAATTACAGCAAGCTATGCAGTTTGTGTCTAGTGTGAAGCAGAAGTATGCAACACGCAGTAAGTGGCAGAATTTTTTTTTTGTGAAGATTCTCATGTCCGCACAGACTATCAGAATATGGTTCAGCAGAATGTTCCAGATGACCAGAGGATGGAGTTTAATCATCTCTTGGAACAAGTGTATAAGGCCACGACGGATTTCGATAACAAAATACCTATGTATTTCGTCCTGCTGAATCAGGAAGGATATGTTCGTCAGCTTATTGCAATGGTAATCCTGTTTTGTTAGCTCATCAAGGATTATCTCTGACTTCCTTTATTTCTGTATCCTAGGTCATTATGGTGGCGCAACAAAGGAATCTTTCTGGCATGAACCCGCCTAGATACATAATGGATCTTACCCAGCTCCGCCGGATGCAAATGCAAATGCAAACGGCTTCTGAGACTTTTGAAAAAGCGTGCCGCGCGATTCAGGCCGGGCATGCAAATCCTCCTCATCCTTTGGTTAGTGGCCCTCCCCAACCTCCTCCACACGTTTCTCCAGTACCTACGCCAGCTGTACAACAAGTACTCCCACAACCCGCTCTATCCTCACACCCATCTACTTCTCTCATGGGTAATCGATCAGCCTCAGTGAACCCTCCTGTTCCTGTAAAGAGAAATGTGACTACCATTGTCCCAGCTAGTCCCTCAATGCTTGGTATCACCGTCTCCACACCAACTTCTCCTCCTGCACCGTCTGTTTCCACACCTGCGGCAAGCGTAGCCACTCCCCAGCCTGCCACCTCACCTCAGACACCGAAGTCACCCAAGATCAAACCGGCTCAGAAGGCGAAGCGCAAAGTCTCCAAAGCATATCAAGAACCGGTTCCGTCTCCCGTTAACGCCCTAAAGAGACCACGGGACGAGGAGATTTCAGCTTCTGGAGAAACTGTGGCTTCTAGTAGTGCTGGCATCAGCGCTCCATCTCCAAAGAAAGTGAAAACTGAGTGGGAGGGCCCAACAAGTGAAGCACTACTGAAAAAGCAACAGGATATCGATAGTATAAAGTCTAACGAAGATGCCTGCAACTTTTTAGAGCAGCTCATCAAGATGACTGCGTCTAATGACAGTGAAGGGTCTATCTCTGACATCGCCGAAACGCTGGAAATGATTTTGAAAGGTGTTGGTCAAGATCCAATGTCTGAGGGAACTAGTTCATCGTCACTCGTATCGCTCGGTGGAGGGGATGCCGGTGATTCAAAAGAGTCTCTGCCATCACCTCAACAGCCGCCTGCGGATGAATATTTTGAATTCATCGATTTTTCGTTTTCGGGAACTACGGAGGAGGAGGACGACGGATCAAAAGCTCCCACACCAGATCTTGTATCATCCTCTTCGACTAACCCTAGTCCGGAATCCGGAGATGGTGATCCGTCTACACACTCAATGGCACCTGACAAGGTCAAAATAGAGGACTCTGGAGAAACTTCTGATCCATTGCGACTGGGGCCATTAAAGGAGATCGATGGTGGCGAATCTGCTTATTATCAAGCTGTTAACTGGAAGTGGGAAAGTCCGATGCCTACACTCGAGCAGCCATGGGCCATCTTCCCTTCATAGGGCATCTTTTGGTTGATTTTGTATTGTGGTTATTTATCTACCTCAGTCTACGCTGGATTTATCTCTTTTTCCTATCTCATCTATACTTTTTTCCCCATCGTCTACCCTGTGTCATCACTATTTCTATATTCTTGGCTTATGTCTCAGTGCTCTGTATTCGTAAATGTTGTGCTGCCCGCTATCGACCTTCTTGCCACTCAGAACAGAAGTCTACAGCGTAGAGATAAACAATCATAATAATCATATCATTTAAAATATGGGTACTGAGTTGGAGTATGTACAAATTATGACCCTTTGACGTTCTTGGATCGAGAATCAGGGATCCAGTCTGGGGGTTTTCGCTTGTTACCAGTAAATGAACTCGCTTTCCGTGAAGTGTTTTCGAGTATCCGAGCTTTCAACGAGCGTAACTTATCATTAGATGTGAATGCCGAGGACGTTCGAGGAGAAGTTGAATTTGTAATTGAAGAGATAGGTGGAATCAACTTCTGTTTCTTCGTATTTCGTTGCATTTCCGTCTCCAATTCAAGTCTACGTTTTGTCCACTCCTCTTTGGCTTGTTCCCTCGCTTCATCGTCATCTTCCAGAAGTTTGAATGTCTCTGGGAGTGCATAGCGACCCTTGATTTGATCATCTGCGGCCTTCTTGCGTATCTCGATCTTCTTTTCTTCCCGGAAACGCTTCCGTGCCTTTGTGGATAATGAGTATGGATCAGAGTTGTAATGGTCGGAAGCAGTCTGTAGGGTTTCCAGTCGAGGGATTTGGACTTTAGCTACATAGTTCTGAGCATCGGTGGTCTTCTCTAGGGTAGCCAGCGGATCCGCAACAATTGCAGAGGCAGAGGAATCTGAGGAACATTTCAGAAATGAACTTATTCCTTGCCATGCATGGAATATTTACCGTGAACGGGAAAACCGCCATTTTCTTCTGGGTTCCAGTCCTCGTCTTTTTGTCGAGCCCCAGATACCACAACATAGCGGGTGTTCTGTCGGGAATCCATCAATTCAGATAACAGTAGAAACAAAACTCGAAAAGACCACAGTTTACCTTTGGATCTGTCTGGATCTCAAACCAACCATCACACAAATGACACTTGCAGCGAAACGAGAATATTGGGGTAGAGTAGTACGATCCAACTTTCTTCTTCTCAGCGTTATAGCGTACACCCATACCAATATGGTTATTGCATGTACCACTGTTCGGGAATGATAAGCAGGCAACAGTAAAGTCTACATAGGCAACTTACCACCAGATATTGAACGGCATTTCAAATCGTGTGATGAGTATCCCCTGGTCTAACTTACGGGCTCTGTCACCGAGTGCATGTTTGCCTGGATGACGGATTGAGAATGAGAATATGCGAATAGCCCAAACTACCAAAGTACGAACCTCTGTACGAGTTGAGACTCTTATGTTTCTCCCCATCGTAGTCTGGGGGGTAGTATTTGTTGAAACCTGGTGGTATCAATGCAATATAAGATGCTGCTGGACCGACGACTTAGACTGGGTGCACATACCTTGCATGATTGCTTTTCGAGAAAGGGCACCGTGACACCCCGGCACTGGCACCCCTGGAATGTGGGTAAGTAAGCGCATTACGTAAGCAAAAACTCGGCTTTCACCGCGCACATACCCATGGCGAACTCTAATTTTCTGAGCTCTCATCAACTCGAAACCTTAGGTGAGTTTTGGCTATTCTTCAGTTATTCGGACTAGTGCTCATATTATATCCTTCTAGTCACCTTCTGACTCGTTCGCCATCCTCTTACACTATTCAGAATGAGTTACGTCGCTAAGGGTGAAAAAGAATACGATGCGGCCGGTGCTGTCCCCGCCGCCAAAATCCACAAAATCAGGATTACACTCACCAGCAGCAACGTCAAGAATCTGGAGAAATGTAAGTCTTGAACCGATAATATACAATATGCAATCACTCATATTGCTGCCATTATTACAAGTCTCTACCGATCTCATTAATCGTGCCAAGGACAAGCAGCTTCGCGTGAAGGGTCCCGTCCGTCTCCCCACGAAAGTGCTAAAAATCACCACTCGTAAAACTGTAAGCTTTATCCTACTCTATATGCGTCATCCTAACCCATATTCTTCAAGCCTTGTGGTGAAGGTTCCAAGACGTGGGATCGCTACGAATTGAAAGTCCACAAGAGACTGATTGACTTGCACTCTTCCAGTGAGATTGTCAAACAGATTGTAAGTGAAATCTCAAATTACGTGGTGGTGATGATGCTAATTGCATGCTACAGACCAGCATCAGCTTGGAGCCTGGCGTTGAAGTCGAAGTTACTATCTCGGCTTAAACTGTAGTCCTGTCATTATGAACTGAAATGAAATGTTTATATGTGCTTTTTTGTCTGAATTCAGACATCACAAAAAGCCGTACATGAGTCTCGTAGTTGGTGACTCGATGGAATACTACAGTGACGGAATAATGCGAGATGTTCGATTCCATTACAGTGATAATCGCCATTTAAAAACTACCAATTGTATAGCTCTAAAACCTGATAACGTCGCCGGCGAAGTAAAAGTCTAAGTAATAGAACACTGCAGATGACGATGAATAACGCAAGTGTCCCGTGATAGCATAATAATACGGATATGGATACAAAGAATGAGATAAATAGGTCCCTCAAACACACCGTTAGATGAGATCAGTTGAATTGCCTTGATTTCTACTGTTCTGACTGTTTTCGCTGTTCGTGTTCTTGATGACTATTGCTGGTCCGGCCTCTAATATTACATCTTCATCAATTTCATCCTCGTAATCATCTTCACTCTCCTCGTCCAACAAATTCACCAGCTGTGGAGTTTTAGCTTTGTTCAGGGGTGCGCTAGGTCCCGCAGCCAGTATCTGGTCTTCTTCTTCTTCTTCTACGTCCTCTTCTGACGGGCCTTGCTCTACATCCACGGCTGAAGCAACTTGAGGCTTGAAGTAGTAGCGAAGACCAACCGGAATGAGGACACCGACAACAACAGCGGAGAGTAGGAAGAAGTTCCGCCACGAGATGAGATGAAAGTCAGCTGCAGAAGTCATTTCATCGAGACCTCCACCAATAGTGGTATGGATGACACTGACACCGAATATTCCGAAGAACGTGCTTATCCAGAAAGGAATAATTCCGATACCAACGTGGGGACAGATGACGTTAACAACCCAATGAGGAGGCAGTGGGGCAATGCGTAGGACGATTAGGAAAGATATCAGGTTGTCTTTCTGAGATCGTATCTTGTCGGACCACCTGTCAAGGCGGGCTTTCCACTTGGGAACAGTAAGGAGGGCAGGACCAAAAGCGGCGCTGATGAGATAGCACAGGGTGGCGCCAGTAGCGACACAGGCACACGCGAGAGGCAAAGCCCGAGGCACACCCCAGACAGCACCACCGAGGATTGATAGATACATAGACCCAGGGAGGGAAAAGGCCTGGAGACTAAGCGGAGATGAGATTGAAGGAGAAGAGGGACAATAAATGACACCCACAAGAGATAAGTTACCACATAACAAATGACGATACGATATGGATAGATGTCACGGTATTTCTTCAACAGACTGTTAAGTGCCTGAAGTTGGGCAAATGACTTGGGAATCCGAAGAAGAGGCCGGTCATCTCTGAGAACGAGTCAGCACGATAGGATACAAGAATACAATAAGACGGAGACGAACTCGTCGAGAGTAGGCAGTGCAAGCCACAATGTACCACCCAGAATAGCAGTACTAATGACAAAGACAGCAGCCATCTTGAGAGCGGCCATGAAAATGAGCCTGCGAGATGATGGCTGTCGTGGACGAGCCCAGCGGGGGATGGTGGCACCGTAAGTGGAAGCTTCGTCGGTGAGAAGGGGGGTGATCACAGAATGGGGCGATGATGGGCCATCGTCGATGTGCACGGTGGCAAGCGTGTAGGACGATGAGTTCTGGTGGTGGATGTCTTGTAGGGGCGAAGAGGATGGCATTGGAGAACTGGAGGTTTGGACGTGAGACTGGCGTAGGTGGAGAGGAAGCATGTGGGAATCACGTAACTGACATAATGTAATACAATAAATAAATAAATAAATAAAAATAGTGGCTGTAAAACATTTACCGTGCGTTACCAATCAGACAGCAAAAAATAGCCGGGCGGTGAAACGGGCGGTGATTGGACGGCATATCGGCCCATGTATCGTGGGAACATCTCGGCTGATCCCACAAAGCAGCGATGGCCAGGGTGATTAGCAGAGGCGCGCTGAGCTCGTGCTGAACATTGAACGACTACGCATTCCAGTGCTCGACGTCGTGCACGACAGCGAGGAAACATGACCCACATCCTCCCTCCCCACGCAGACCTCAACCTTGCCCCGTCGTCTCTGCACACAGCCCTCCATATGGACCCCAATCAACAGCCCCAGCAGCTCCAGCAGCAGCCTCAGCAAGCACCGCCGCAAGCGCCCTCAACGTCGTCGAAAAAACGCAGAAAAAACGACTCTGGCTCTGACGAAGCGGCCTCACCATCAGAAACAAGACGACTCAGACGCTCCCATGAGGCTTGCGCACGATGCAGGAGCAAGAAAATTAAGGCAAGTCCCGTCGGTAGACACCGACCGCAAATTTCCGTTCGCCTGCATGTCTTCTTACTCTACTGGTCCCTTAGTGCGACTCCAAACATCCTAGATGTACTGCTTGTGCAACCGCAGGCGTCCCCTGCCAGCAGGAAGACAGGCATAGGCAGACCCTCACCCCCCGCGGCCACACAGAGCACATCGAGCGCCGGCTCTTGCAGTGTGACGCCCTCCTTAAGCGCCATATCGCAGGCTTCAACCTTGCCAACATCGACGAAATATGCGCAAGGGAAGGCATCGAGGTCGACCCCGGCAGCGTGGCAGATGTCTCCACTGCGTACCAGTTCGGCGGTCAGGGCAGACAGCCCGGCCCCCCAAGCGCTCATCAGATTCCCAAGTATCCCTATCCGCCCCCGCCTCATATGGTTCCTCCGGGCTATCCTCATCCTGGCGTCCCCATCCCCTACGGTCCTCCGGGTTCCCCTTATCCACCCCATCTCGCCATGCAGGGTCCATACAATCCTCATATGCATCCACAGTACCCGCCTCCGCCTCATCACATGGCTCATCCCGTTCAGGTACATGCCCCTCCCCCCCATTCCAGCAACGAAGTAAAAGGCCAAGATCCGCAGTCACTTGACATGTCTAGTGCTCAGGTCTGTTTATCACAAAATCTAATCCATCCAGTAGCTAAATCTGAAAACTTTCTACCTAGGCGCTTGCAAAGAACTTTGGGGTTTCTCCATTCATCGTCAGTGACACTCAGTTGGGTGCCGTGGATAAAGAGGATCTAGCTGTGGGCTCAAGTGGTCTTTCTTCTGGACGAGATCGCGACATCACCGAGTCCTCCGTGCCCCGTGATGTGGCCAAATGGATTCCTATTCCTGTAGTCAGGGGTAACACGGTTGGCGCTCCAGCTACCCCGGCGCCTAATTTGTCGGTGTGGTTACCCAAGGATCGCAAAATGGTGAACCACGTCGTCGATGTCTACTTCCAGCGACTCAATTTCCATCGTCCTGTGTTCGCTCGTGCTGACTTTGAGCGCAGGCTCAACTCCCTCTACGAAGGCGAGGATGTCTATCAGGATCCGGGATTCATCTGCAGCATGTATTTAATCTTGGCATTGGGCACTTTGAGCGAGTTAAACCATCGCGCTACTGCCACTGATAAAGATAGAAAAGCACCAAGCGATAGTCCTATCGCTGCGAAGAAGTTGCTCCCCGCCGATTGGCCCGAGCAAGATGAATTCTTCGAGAGAGCTCTTGCCGTCAAACCAGATCTTCGTGTCACTATCTCTAGTCTACAGGCACTTATACTACTGCAGTGGTATCTCTACACAGAGGTAAGGCATTCATGCTTTTCAGAGCCGGGGATGTTCCCTCATTACTTGTTTGCCAGCGTCAAGGCCGTACACTGTGGCGTCTCGTTGGCAGTCTTGTTCGCCTTGCGATAGAGTTGGGGCTTCATCATGACCCTACTTCTCAAAATCACACCTTCACTGAAGAGGAATGTCAATTACGTATCCGCCTCTGGGGAATCGTGATGGTGCATGATCGAGGAACCTCTATCTTACTCGGCCGACCCCTTGCTATTGCTCCTTATGATTCCAATACCCCACGCCCATCTCGTGGGATCAAGGGGCAATACAGTGACTTCTCCGAGCATTTCCTTTTATCTCATCCCATCGCAGAGATTCAAGCTGATATTATCAACTCATTGTATGCTCCAACCAGACAGAGCACAGATACAATCATGCGACATGCGACACGTATCATTAAGAGTATGATCGAGTTCAGGCGGCAGCTTCCTGACAACTACAAGTGGTACTTTGGTGGCACAGAAGAGTGGCCACTGGAGAAACGTCAGAAACTCGTTCAAGATATCACAGAAGATGAAGGCTTGACTCTTTTGAAAATCGGGATATCAAGAATCCTCCTGTTGCGCGCATTATTCAGCATCAAAGAACTTGATTACGGACACCGAGTCCGAGCCCTTGTTGATGGCGAGTAAACAGTATATGTCACTTTTGCAGACATGTTAAATCTTCTTTATACAGCTATCGTCACATCCCATAACATTATTATCGTTCACAATCAGCTTATTCGGTTCCCTGACATCGCCTTTTTCGTTTCTCCCATTCCCCTGCACATTGCTGCAATGGTAATACTCTACGGGCACATGTCGCATTGCGAACGGCTGTCTCGCCAAGTCATGGTCGAAGACGTTTGGATGGCCCTTGATATGCTTCCACGTTTCCGTTGGCGTTGGGAACGCAAGGATGTCAATGGCGGACACCCTCTTATCGCTAAACTGGCCGAGAAAGTGCTCAATGTCAACCTGCGTAGTGTCGGTCCAACCAAAGACCCGGTTCTGCTTTCCGAACTTGATTGGGATACGGATTCACCTGGTGGAATGCTGGGATCGCCCTCGCTGGCCACGCAACAAGTGCAACAACACATGCAACAGAGGACACCAACCATGGCTGCTGCCTATCCAAACGGTGCAAATTCTAGCGCTTACGGTCCGCAACAACGTGGACCTGGATCTTCGAGTACCACACCTATTAAGAATGTCAATGGAACATCCACGAATGGAATGACCACTGATAAATTAGCCGAGGTACCCGCGGGCCTGTTTTACCCTTTCTATCCAGAAAACCCTATGGGTTCTATGAGTGGCCCACAGGCGTCTGGCGTATCCAGTGAGACTGCATCAGCGAACGGGGACGCAGGCAATGGAAATAATAGCCAAGACTATAGCCATTTGTTGGCGGCTGCGGCAGCTCAGCCCAACGGCACTTATGGTTGTCAGTCATCTCAGGATTCGTACATGCTAGAAGAGAAACCTCCTATGACAAGTGGTCATGGGATGCAGATGTGGATGAACGTTGTGAGTAATCTGGTTCATTTAGATTACCTAGCCAGCTGACTCGCCTTGTTTTAAAGGGGGAGAGGGGTATGCCTCAGTTTATGACTGGTTCTTGATTGCGTTTAGTGAATCCGTGCCCGTTATTTGAACATTTCCTCTATTGTATGCTGTCTTTCAACGATTCTTATTCGCCCTCCTGAAATGGCGACTTTTATTGTATGCTTCGTTTGTTCCACATATATTGCTTTGTCTCGTTCCAGGCGCCCGTTAAGTGGTAAATCAATACTTCAGCAGTAGTACTTCTTGTTTGTATGAGTATCTAATAATTAGAACCAAGAGAATAAACTCGACTACTGGGTAATGCAAAGTGATATACAAAAGTGAAAGTTTTGGATGCAATGTTGTCTAAATAATATGAGAGTCTATGCAAAAATAAAGATGTGGAGAGAAGATCGAGTAGCTAAGTGAAAGTCTAGAATGTCGATGTCTGATAGTGCGTATCTTTACCCTAGTATACGCTCCATCCGATCAAGGACAACATCGATGCCTCTGATGAGAAGGACTACACGCCGAGGCAGTAATGCAGTCTCGGGGACCTCACTATTACCCTTGTCACTTGTGGTATAGTGGCTATCATCTGCATATTGATCCCGAATGGCCTTTTCAAGTGTTACAGGGAGACTGAGGGTGATACGGGTAAGCTGAATGGTGAGACGAGAGCGACCAGTAAGATCGAAGTAGGAAAGTTGGCGAAAGGCATGTTGAAGCTCGAGAGCACGTATTAACTCCGAATGAAGTGCGATGATACATGTTCGACAGGCTGCGAGAAGGAGCACGGTTAGAACAAAACACAAAAAGCCATCAACAGGAGCCTCTCACTCAATGCTCGTTCTCGTATGCGCTGAATGGCCGCAAGGACGGAGTTTATTCCTTCGTCACCCAGCTTGAGGGACGGGTTAATGTCGTTGATGGCCCCTATGATAGTGTGAGCTGATCTAGCATTATAGCATAAGCAAGGGCCATACTGAGCAAGGTGCGTATCATTTCAAGGTCGCCGTCAAGGAAATCGTTGAATACACCGAGTATGACGCTCTTCAATGTCTCTTCAGCGTGTCCATCAGATGGCGATGCGAAGAAAGAGGTTGAAGAAGATGGAGAACGAGAGTCGTACAGTCGTTTTGAGGATGGCTTGCTGAGAACATTATATGCCACAGAAACCTTTTGGAATGCATGGGTAGCTTCTGGATTTCCCGGAAATTTGCTATTTCTGTATTTTAGAAACGGTATTTCCTTGAGAAATGGAAGCCATACTCTGGATGACACGCCTTGCTCCGAGAGAGATAAGCACGCCGAAGAGTGTTTCTGTCTATTGTTGATGACCTAGGAATGCCGAGAATACGATACAGATCGTCGTTGGACAATACTTCTTGCATGGTTGATAGTTTATGGTCTGGAGCAGAGTATGACTGTGATATATGATACTTTTTTCTTTGAGGGGAAGGTGGCGACTCTGGTGGTAGCGGGACGTGTTTCAAGTAGCATGGCATGGTACGCTCGTCGTCGTCATCGACGGGTAAATGAAAATATGTGCTTGCTAGAGAACACGGTTAGAATGAAGATGGTAGCCTAACGGATGGCTTTCTTACCTGAAGAGAGGGCATAGGAGAACATTGTTACAACAGACAAGCCATGTTCACATGTGATTCACTTTTTCTGGATAGCCATCTTATCGGTGTCAAATTGCTTTATTATGTAATCGCCTGTTATCTTATCTCTACCAACAGCACTTGGCATATTTTTCGAACAGCCCTCTTCACCTCCCCCCGCTCCCCCATCACAGTCCATCTAATCGATGCTCCACTTATATGATCCACGGCCTTTGTCTGTGTGAGGTCAAACCTTCCAAATGCCCAATTCAAGATATATATTCCGGTTGTCAACCGTACAAATCCTTTCACTCGCCAAACCGTCTCCTTCGACAATGTTTCCAGAGCCTCTCTGAGCACTTCTTCTTGTATGCTGTCTGGCGCTTGGTGGGATTCTTCTCCGCTTGATGTGGATATTTTTGAATCTCCATCGCACTCGCAGCCGGCGCAGTGGGTATGGTGATTATCCGAGCCTCTATACAACGTGACGGTCTCTACCTCATCATGATGATGATCCAATCCAGTAAAATGCTCTCCATATTGCTCGTTATCCATAAATAATTTTGTGTCAAGTCCAAAAAGGACATTGGGATCCACACCATTCCGACCTTTGCACCGTATCTTTGGTGTCAGATCATTTAGTGTGTTTAGATGGTCCACAACCAAGTCCAATGCACGTTCAGAAACGTGTTCCCACTTGTTCTGTCACAAGTCAAGTGAGTAAATATTCATGCACATACGATGCGTACGCACGATGAGTATGATGTCAGAATAACTGGCTTGCATTCTTGCCGTTGGAGACGTGTCTTCGTAGCCTGTGAAGTTTTCCGCATCTATGACAGTGACAATGGCATCTAACTTGAGATCATTCTTCGTTTCGCGCTCCAACTCCCGTATCTGAAAAGCTAGCGTGGCAGGAAAAGCAGATCCCCTGTAAAAGTAGTCAGCATGTTAGGATGGCATCAAAAACGCAGCATGGTATAAGACTGACGAGCATTCTATGAAGATACGATCGGGACGAAAGCGTTCTACATGAAAATAAATGTGTGAGAAAATGGATCAGGAGAGATCTCACCTCTGATTTCCAGCAAAGCTGTCTGCATTTGGCCAACCAGTACACAACACCTTCGCATATCACACGGTCAGATTGTCAGACACTTGGACAGAAGACGAATACAGACATGCATCCATTCAGTATCTCGCTGACTGCAGCTAAGCTGGATTGCTTTGCAAGCTGGCTGTCCACTGTAACGGACCATGGGTAAGCGACACTATATGTTCCGTATACCACCCACCTTGGATGTCACCAAACTCATTTTTCAGCAAAACCACCTTGTAGTTCTTTGGTAGCTGGGGAAGGAGCGAAAGAATTACGGAGGTCTTTCCAGCTCCCAAGAATCCAGTGAAGACAGTAATGGGTATCGACGACATAACCAAAGCCTCCAAGGCGCTAAAAGGCCCGTCCCGAGATCTTATGATGGCATGGGCACGTGCCGCTCATACAAGATTCCGAGTAGTATGGGCGCGCTGCATAGAGCTGTGTTGCTTTCAACCATCCTTTTGCCTTACCCCCACCACAAGGGAGGAACATACGTCGCATTGAAAGCGACAATATGGGTTCTCGGAAAAATAAGATTCATGGTGGACCACTTGTCATCCATGCGCATTATATTGCTGCTGCTCATACATACCTTGCCCTTGGAGCATTCTTCTCAGCTCTTTTTCTTGGCTGTGTACTTCACTACAAAAACATTGTCAAAAATGGCGTTGCTGGATACCCTGAAGAGTGGTTCCCGTCCGTGTCTGCTACGTACGAACGTCTTTTTCAAACCGTGTCGCGAGAAGCGCTGATGATTCGAGTTATTGACCAGTATCGGAGACTGGTTTCCTGAGCGGAATATTTTTCAGATCCTCATTGCGATAACGTCTGGTGAGCGAGATTTTCGTGACACCCCATTCCCGTATCTAAGCAGTTGCGTGACAAACAGGACCGCGGTTTGCTCTGGTGTTTCTTCAATATTTCATCACGCGTTCGACCAACTCTATCCTGCCCGGTTGCGTTTTCTTTGCGGGCATCGTGCGGACACTTGCTTGTGGCGGGTGGGCCTATATCACTTCAAACGACAATCATGACGTGCACGATGTGTTGATGATTTTGTACATCTTGTGCAACCTTCCTTGGATGCTTGGTAGTATCGCATGTACACCTTTGAATCACACACAGGCTCGTAGGAGGCGGTGAGTTATGTCCTGTGCATGCATATTCCATATATTAAGTTCAGTGAGCAGCCGAGTGATAGCCACCGCGTATGGCTTTTATAACCACTTAAATCAGACCTCCCACTCATAGTCCTCCAGGTTTTTTATGTCAATAGTACCCATGATTTACTTCTTTATACAGCACAAAGTTCATAGGATTCCGGGAGGTCAGTGCTTTCGTGCCTATGACTTACTATCCCATTCATCCTTCAATGGTTGCCTCAGCATACACCCGATACAGCTTTTTCGATGGGTCCTCATTATATTAGATGTCATGTTTGACTCGGTAGCTGAGAGTGATTTCCGACAAGCCCATTCTACAGGTGGGCGAGCTCACGAGTAGTGAATTCCTTTTGTTGACGCACCCGATAGAATTGTTTTAGGTCT